CCAGTGCACTCGGCGACCGGCCCGGATGGCATCCCTTATACCTTTATTAAAGCAATAGTCAGAGCAAATACAACTCTAATCCAAGACATGTTCTCCGCCATGCTCCGGCACAGTGTACACCCAGCGGAATGGAAAATAGCTAAGTGTATCCCGATCCCGAAACCCGGTAAAGCAAATTACCATGAAGCGAAAGCCTACCGGCCCATTTCCCTTCTACAATGTTTCAGCAAAATCCTGGAGAAGATAGTGGCCCAAAGACTCTGCACCGCTGGAGAAATTCTAGGCACACTCTCAGCGAATCAATTTGGAGGAAGACCAACCATCTCGGCAATCGACGCCCTGCTGAGAACCTTAACGCCAATACAACAAAACCTACTACTGAAAAACAGTACCGGAGTCGCTCGGCGAGACAGACCAGCGATCCTAACCAACGACATTCAAGGAGCATTTAACTGCGTCGACCACCTACTCCTCGCGGAAATCATGTACCAACAAAAATTCCTTACCTACTTAACAGAATGGTGCAAGGAATTCAATACCGGCAGAAAACTACAGTTTCAATTTAATCATGAGCTAGAGGAACCACAGCCTTATGATTCTGGAGTGCCGCAAGGTAGCCCCATGTCCCCGGTACTATTCATGATCTATGCTGGAGTAATCCTGGACCCAACAAGTAGCCCGAAAGAGATGGACACCACATATATCGACGACGATGCACTGGTGCAAATATCCAAAACACCAGGCTTCACAATCAAGAGAATGGAGGAACGAATGAGAGAGAGACTAATAAAAGCTGAGCCACTCCAAATCAAGTACGACCCGGATAAATCCGACCTGATCTTCTTCCGGCCCACTACATCATACACACAACAACCACGACTTTCGGTCAAAATTAACAATACCAACATACACCCCAAAGAGAGGCTGAAATATGTAGGAGTCTGGATAGATCCGACCCTCTCCTTCCGGCCCCACATTGAAGCAGCGCTCGCAAAAGGCCTTAAAGCCCTCCACCAGATTCGATACACCGCCCGCCTGCCAGGAATAACGGTTAAAACAATCCATCACATTATAACACAATGCTTCCTTCCAAGTCTACTCTACGGATCCGAGGCTTGGTGGACTGGCGCAGACCACATTATAAGATCCCTCGAACCACTATACAATGAAGTGGCCCGGGTCATCACCGGCCTACCACGATGGACCAAAAGAACTAAACTCCTCCGAGAAGCAGGCTTACCCCCCTCAGAATATCTCCTGACATATCGCTCAAGAAAGTACGGAACTAGAATACTCTGCACCGACGCAACCCACCCCAACAACGAATCCCTGATCGAGCTCCTCCCATACAGAGAAGCAAATATCAAAGGAACAGGCTTACACCGAATCGCCTCCTTACTACTCCCATACCAGACCCCCGGAAATGCGAGAGATAAGTGGAACCAAAACAAACTACTATGCGACCACCTGTTGGAAGAATGGAACACACAATCAATACCGAACTACCATCATCGGGGGGAATTCCGCCCCCCTCCCAAGATAGCGAAACTCACCCTTACGGAAGCAAAGAAAGTATTTCGGATCCGGTGCCAAACCACCCGAGTCGACAAACACGCAGTATACACAGACCCCGAACCATGCCAGTGTGGGATGGAAAACTCAGCGAAACATATACTTATGGAATGCCCAGCATGGGCTCGAATCCGCGCCCCTCTGATAGAGAAGATCCCCGGAGCGATGACCTGGGAAAACTGGATGTTTACAAACCTGAGAACGGACCTCATCCTACAATTTGCGAAACAATCTCAACTTTCGAAATGGTACGAGTCGGCGGAGGCCGAGGCGGACCTGGAAGAGGGGATGGAAGGAAATGACTGGAAACGGGATTAGGAAGGGGAGTTTCCTTTTACTCTTTAAAATTGTTTTTATTCTTTGATTTGATGGATCCAGCGCTCGAGTCCGCTGAGATATGTTATTTCTCCTTGTCGTTGGGTTTTCTGGTTGAGATGTTGTTCTGGATTTTCCCTGTTACTGTTCATGCTCGCTTGTGCTTGTTTTGTTCTTGTCCTTGTTCGTTTGCGTTTATGTTTGTTGTTTTCTTTTCTTTCTTTCTTTTGTTCGGTTCGGTTCGGTTCGTGTTTTAGGCGGTTGGGTCGGTGTGCGATAAGTCTTGTACTTCAAAGCAATATAAGTTTCTTCTTCTTCTTCTTCTGTACTTTACGGTCACGAATACTATTTGGTTCGCGCTACGTCATAGGGTTTACCCGATATACTAGACCAGGTACAACCATCCATAGTCCATAGTCCACAGTCCCCGTTCTTGCCTTAGGTATACCCTTCGGCCCCATAGTCCATAGTCCACGAACCTCCTACGTCCACGTCTTCGCCTCGGTTGTATTCCTTGGCTTCATAGTTCCTACGCCCATAGTCCCCGTTACACTTAGGTTGCGTCCTCTACAGCCAACCAATACAACACTGCCTCGCTTAGCTCTGGTCGCGACCATGTCCGACACCACTCAAGATACGCTGCTACAGCGTCTTTCAGAATTTTTGACCACTTATGGTCCTCTCCCAGCGGATATAGACTTCGGTGATGAACTTACCGAGGCCCATAATCTTATTGCTGAATGTTTGGAGGCTTTCAACAAGCCTTCCGAAACCCCTGAACCCGTTATCGACACGGCCCAAGAAGAGGTCATTATCGGCCTCACCAAGGAACTCGAAGCAGCTGACGAAAAGGCTGCCGATCTATTGCAAACCTTGTCCGAATGCCAGGAAGAGTCTACCGCGACTATCCGGGACTGCGATGAAGTTATCGTTGCTCTCAAGGGCGAGCTTGAGGAGTCTAACGCCGAAGAGGAGGAGCTTCGGTATCGCCTGGCACTACATCAGGAAAGTCTCGCCATCGCTGACGAGAACCTCACTGATGCTGAAGATGAGATTCTTCACATCACCTCTGTTGCAAAGGCTTGGGAGGCCCAAGCCAATGCAGTCATTGTTGACCTTCGTTCTCGTATCCCCGTTTCCACCGCTACAGTTAAATCTCGCCGTGTCTCCAAGCCTCGTTACCTGGCTCCTCGCGCCCAAGATCCCCGTTCCATTAGCAATTGGCGAGAAAGGCCACTTGAAAATGGGTCCCCAAAGCCGGCGTTAAAAGGTCAGCCCCTTTGGTAAAAAATGGCAAACCAAAGGGGCTAGCCCCACCACCACTCTCTGTTATTTCTGCTGCTGCCATGTCTGAGGACAAGATGCCCGAAGACCCTCTTGTTGTTACCTGCTCAGTTTCTCAGAATCCTGACTCTTTTATACCCACCTATGCCCTTATTGATACCGGAGCCTCTGGATACGCTTTTATTGACGAATCTTTTGTACGCCATAATAATCTTACAATGACCCACCTTAAAGTACCTCGTCAGGTAGATGTTATGGATGGGAGGCCTATTGAATCAGGAAAGATCACCCATATTGTCAATGTGTCGCTGGATATCCATGGTCATCGGGAAACTGCATTATGTTTTGTAACGAAGCTGGGACATTATCCAATTGTGATGGGAATACCTTGGATGCGACGTCACGATGTTATGATTCGGCCGAAGGAAAATTTACTTGTTTTTGACTCCCGAAGCTGTTGTCAACACTGTTCACTCGGTGGAACGACAGTCACTGTCCATGGAATATCGATCCCTCTACCAGAACATCATACTGTTGTCGTTTCAGCAGTTGAGAAATCCACCGTCGACGTCAAGCAACTAGTACCAAAGGAGTTCCACCATCGTCTCCATATGTTCCAAGAATATGATGCTTCAGTCCTTCCACCACATCGGCCGTCACATGATATTGAGATCGTATTGGAGGAAGGTAAACGACCACCGTACGGACCGATATATGGATTATCCCAGGTTGAATTGAAAGCACTATGGGAATACCTTGATGAAAATTTACCAAAGGGATTTATTCGAGCCAGCGACTCGCCAGCGGGAGCACCCATACTGTTCGTAAAGAAAAGTGATGGGACTCTTCGACTCTGTATGGACTATCGAGGTTTAAATGCGATCACTGTTAAAAATCGATATCCGTTACCACTGTTGAAAGAAACTTTGGCCAAGCTTTCGAGGGCACAATATTACACCAAGTTGGATCTACGTTGGGGGTATAATCAGATCAGGGTAGCCGAGGGAGATGAATGGAAGACGGCGTTCAGGACTCGTTATGGACATTTCGAGTACACAGTAATGCCATTCGGATTAGCCAACGCTCCGGCTACATTCCAACATTGGATCAATGATATTCAACGACCTTATCTTGATCAATTCGTAACGGCATATCTGGATGATATTCTGATCTATTCGGATACCTTATCGGAACACAGGGACCATATTCATAAGGTTCTAAAGGTACTTGATGATAATCATGTTCACCTTAAACCTGAGAAATGCGAGTTTATGGTTCAGGAAACGAAGTATCTCGGCCTTATTCTCACCCCGGATGGGAATAGGATGGATCCAAAGAAAGTTGTTGATGTGTTAGAGTGGTCTACACCAAAGAATCTTCATGACGTTCAAGTATTTCTGGGATTTGCGAATTTCTATCGGCGTTTTATCTTGGGATATTCGAGAATTGTTGCTCCGCTCACAGCCTTAACGAAGAAAAATGTTAAATTTGAATGGACAGATGGAAGAGAGGAAGCATTCCAAACATTGAAAAAGATGTTTACAACGGCACCAATCCTAGCGCACTTTGATCCAGATCGAAGAATCGTGGTAGAAACTGATGCGTCAGATCATGTCTCTGCAGGAATTCTATCTCAACGTGATGATGAAGGGATTCTACATCCGGTCGCATTCTTCTCCAAGAAGCATTCCCCTGCGGAATGTAATTATGAAATCTATGACAAGGAACTTTTGGCGATTGTCCGATGTTTTGAAGAATGACGACATCATCTAGAAGGAGCACAGTTTCCGATTGAAGTCCTCAGCGATCATAGGAACCTCGAATATTTCATGTCAACAAACCTATTAAATCGTCGACAAGCCCGTTGGTCGGAATTTCTTTCACGTTTCGATTTCGTCATTCAATTTAGACCAGGGAAACAAGGGGCAAAGCCGGATGCATTGACTAGGAGGTCGGGTGACCTACCTAAGGAGGGGGATGAACGGTTGACGCATCATAGCCAGGTGGTTTTGAAGCGAAAAAATTTGGATTTAAAGCTAAGTTTGTTCGCGGGTTCTTTTTCAAATGAATCCGCTGGAGGAATGTCCACTGTAGAAGAGTTGTTTTTAAATGCTTACCAAGTTGATAGTTTCCCGAACAAAGTACTCGCGATGCTTCGGAATGGCGTCCGTCACTCGAATAAGATCTCGCTTGCCGAATGCACGGAAGATAACAACGGTCGGCTACTTTACCGTGGCGCACTCTATGTACCAGATGATAACGACCTTCGGCTAAGACTCCTAAAGGAACATCATGACAAACCATCGGCAGGCCATCCAGGTAGAGCGAAGACTTTGGAACTTGTGAACCGAGAGTACTACTGGCCACAGATGCGAAAATATGTCGACCAGTACGTTTCATGGATCGACTAGTGGAGGTACGGGGTTATGAAGAGTCGGATTAGTCAGAAAGGTTCTATTGGGTCCTACCGGGTTCCGTTGATTGTTAATGTATGAGTCAGGTTGGATTTGTCATCGTTGGGATTTCCTTGAGTATATTAAGGGGGGGTTTTGTTTGTATTTTGTCTTCTTCTTCTTCTTTCTTTACGCAACGTCTTCTGTATCTACGCTGTCTATTACTGTTTAAATATCATCGTCCTCTTCTTTCCTCAAGAAGACCACCGCCTCGCTTTCTCCTCATCTCGTCGCACCTTACCAACGCTAAGAGCTCCGTAGCATCCCTATTGCGAGCTCCCCTACCGTCCCCTATTACACTCTTCGTACCCTGCGGAATACTCGCTACTCACCCCCTTGAGATTACGTTGCGTCGTCATCCGCACCGTACGATATGTCCACCTCCGACCCACCTGCATGGAATGCACCCAAAGATGTAGAGGAATTCAGGCAGATGTATGAGGCCGGCCCTGCTGAACTATTCGACAACATTGCCACCCTCGTCCAGCGCATCCGCCTCCAAAGGGACACCCTTCATACACAACTCACTGCCGCCAATGAAACCATCGACAACCTCGAGGAGCAGATAAACCGGCTCAACCTCGACCTCAATGTCGCCCGCGCTGCCCCCGCCCCTACCGTCGCTGTCCCCGTTGCCACTGCTCCCCCACCTGCTCCTGTCCCCGCCTTCAGGTCCGAAAAGTTCCCAGACCCCGAAAAATTCCCTGGCACCCGCACCAAGCTCCCCGGATTCACCACCCAACTTCGAATGAAACTTGAAGTCAACCACGATCGGTTCCGAAACGAGGCAGCAAAGGTTATTTATGCCGTCAGCCGCTTGGAAGGAAGGGCCCTCGACCAGGTCGTTCCACTCGTTAACGCTAACCCTGCCGCCCCCTTCTCCTCCGTCACCGACTTTGTTGCCCACCTGGAAGCCTCGTTTGGAGACCCAGACCCCCGGGGTACCGCCCGCCGCCAACTCGTCGCCCTGAAGCAAGGCAAAGGGGACTTCGCTACCTATTACTCGCAGTTCCTCCACATCGTGGCATACCTAGACTACAACGAGGGAGCCAAGTTCGATGCCCTGGCCGAAGGACTGTCGGAAGACCTGAAGGACGCTATGACATACCGGACAGACAGGCCTAACACCGTCGAAGCCTATGCCACCATGTTGATGACAATCGATAACCAGGTTCGGGGCCGCAAAGCTGAACAACGGGCAATTCGGAATACAATGGGACAATTCACCGCCCCCGCTGCTGTCGCACACCCATCTCATACCGCCGGAGGCCTCGCCCCAATGGACCTCTCTGCTCTCCAAAGCCGCCCCACTCAACCTCCTGCCATTGAACAACGATACACTTTTGTCAATGGACAACGCAAAACCTCTGCCGCTGAAAAACAATGGCGAAGGGACAACAATCTCTGTATGTACTGTGCCAACCCCGGTCATGTCTTTGCCAACTGCCCCTCTGCCAATCGCCTGCGCAGTAACCAACCGGTTATGAGAGGCGCCCTCCTCGCACCCAGCCATACGGCCGTCGACCCCGCTGCTCCACCGGTCGCTAGTCCCGCCTCCTCTGAGTCGGGTTTTCAGTAGTTCCGGGCTTGATTAATGGCCCCTGCCCGGGACCTTCCAATGTTTCTCCTTTGTCTGCGTTTTCTATCTCTGGCTTCTCGGTATCGTCTGTGGAGGATTAATTGGATGGGGATCATTTTGTTGCTTCTTGTAAAATTATAAACAATAAAACACCCATTCGAACTCACGCATTGATTGATACCGGTTGCTCCGGATTCGGATTCATTGATGAAACATTCACGCGCCATAACAACTTCCCATTTCTCCCCCTCAAATCACCCCGCACTCTTGAAGTCATCGACGGTCGGCCTATATCTTCCGGACAAATTACCCACCTCTGCTATCTGCCGCTATCCATTGACTCCCACCATGAAACTACCCCCTTCTTCGTTACCAAACTCGGCTCGTACCCACTCGTCCTCGGAATCCCCTGGCTTCAATTGCACGACGCAACATTACGGTTTAAGGACAATAGCATACTGTTCGACTCTGAATACTGCAAACGCAAGTGCAACTCTTCCCCGATACCCGTTCCCATTAGAGGAGTTGCCCCACCGCCCCGTTTCCACCTCATCAGTTCAGCTGCTCTTTGTCGCTTTGCTCGAAGAGACAAACTCCAAATCTTTAGTACAACTATTGAGGAAATAGCTCAAGCAACGGGCGAGGCCCCTAAGCAAGACTGGAGGAACCGGGTCCCAACCCGGTATAAGAGATTTTATAAAATGATGGACGAAGAATTCGCTAACGAGATGCCGCCTCGCCGCCCCTATGATCACAAGATACCGCTCAAGGAAGGGAAAGAGCCCCCTTTTGGGCCACTTTATGGTATGTCCCGCGAGGAACTCATTGTGCTGAACCAATACATACAGGACAATCTTCAAAAGGGGTTCATTCAGGCCAGCTCTTCGCCTGCCGGTGCCCCTGTCCTATTTGTTAAAAAGGCCGATGGAACACTCCGCCTTTGTGTCGACTATCGTGGCCTTAACGAACTTACTGTCAAAAACCGCTACCCGCTGCCACTCATCCGGGAAACTCTCGACCGCCTTTCCAAAGCCAAGTGGTACACCAAACTTGACCTTCACCAAGGGTACAATCAGATTCGAATGGCTGAGGGTGAAGAATGGAAAACAGCCTTCCGAACGCGTTACGGACATTTCAAGTACACCGTAATGCCCTTCGGCCTCACCAATGCACCAGCCACCTTTCAACATTTTATTAATGATTGCGTCCGTGAATACCTTGATATGTTCTGTACAGCCTACCTTGACGATATCCTTATTTACAGCGACACCTTCGAGGAACACCAAGTACATGTCGAAAAAGTACTGGAAGCCCTACAAAGAAATGGAATACTGCTGAAACCGGAGAAATGTGAATTCCACACACAAAGCACCACCTATCTCGGCCTAATTATCGAACCCAATGGTATTAAAATGGACCCAAGGAAAGTGGAGACGGTGAAGAATTGGACCGTCCCCAAAACAGTTAAGGATGTACAAGCATTCCTAGGTTATGCTAACTTCTACCGCCGATTCATACGCGGATTCTCGGAACTGGCTTCCCCTCTTACCAGACTGACACGTAAGGACACATCATTTGGATGGACACCCGAAGCCCAAACCGCCTTCAATGCCCTGAAAGAAGCCTTCACCACGGCGCCCATTCTCACTCAGTTCGACCCGGAAAAGGAAATTACTGTGGAAACCGACGCATCTGACTACGTCTCCGCCGGTGTACTCTCCCAATACGATGACAATGGTATCCTCCGACCTGTTGCATACTTCTCGAAAAAATACTCCCCCGCCGAATGCAACTACGAGATTTACGACAAGGAATTACTGGCAATCATTCGGTCTTTTGAGGAGGGGCGACCGGAACTTGAAGGGGCTGCACACCCAATCGCCGTCATATCCGATAATAAGAATCTCGAATACTTTATGAGTACCAAACAACTCAACCGGAGACAAGCACGTTGGGCAGAATACCTGTCACGATTTAATTTTGTTATCAAATACCGACCAGGGAAACAAGGAGGGAAACCGGACGCGTTGACAAGAAGATCAGGAGATCTCCCTGGAGAGGGGGATGAAAGACAATCGCATCAGAGTCAAGTTGTGTTGAAGAAGGAGAATCTCGATGCAAAGCTAAGTTTGTTGGCGGGTTCCTTCTCAAATGAGCCCGCTGAAAAGAACGCCTCACTGCAGGAATTATTCGATGAAGGATATAGCGCTGACCCGTTTCCCCAAAAAATACTGGATATGCGGAATAAAGGCGATCGACAATCAAAGGACATATCACTCGCCGAATGCACCGAGGTCGAAGGCCGATTGCTTTACCGAGGCAGCATATATGTCCCTGATTACGACCCTCTTAAACTCCGAATCCTCCAACTTTACCATGACGCTGCCTCTGCCGGACACCCGGGACGCGAAAAAACATTCGAATTCGTTAGTCGGGACTACTACTGGCCCCTCATGCGAAATTATATTGCCCGCTACGTTCGGAACTACCACACCTGCCAACGAAGCAAACCCAACACCCATGGAAAACTCGGCGTACTTCGACCTTTACCGATTCCCGAACAACCATGGCAGGAAGTATCGATGGACTTTGTTACTGGCCTACCGGAAAGTGAAGGGTACGATGCAATTATGGTAGTGGTTGACCGGCTAACAAAGATGCGACATCTCCTGCCCTGCAATACTACAGTCAACTCCGAAGACGTCGCCCGACTATATTTGCGAAACATATGGAAACTCCACGGGCTACCCACACACGTCACCTCCGACCGTGGTACGCAATTTACAGCTAGGTTTTGGAAGGCTCTTTGTAAACACCTCAACATCGAAGCAAGGATGTCCACCGCCTTCCACCCGGAGACCGACGGCCAAACCGAAAGGCTGAATGCTGTAATGGAGCAATATCTACGTGGGTATGTCTCTTATCAACAGGACGATTAGGTAAAATGGCTTCCTATGGCAGAATTCTCCGCCAACAATCAGGTCTCCGCATCCACTAAAGCTACACCATTCTTTGCGAACTATGGGTTCCACCCCCGGTTTACAGTGACGATCAAATCGCTTGACCGGACCCCACCGAGTCTCAATGCTAAAGACTTCGCCTCGAAGATGAGAGAACTCCATGAGCACCTACGTTCCAATATCCGCACAGCGCAAGATCAACAAGAGCAAGCCGTCAATACTAAACGAACGCCGGCCCCACGGTACGATGTCGGTGATATGGTGTTTGTTTCAGCAAAGAACATCCGAACCACGCGTAACTCCCGGAAGCTGGACTGGAAGAAACTGGGACCGTTCCCCGTTAAGGAAATTATATCGCCATATGCGTATCGAGTCGACCTGCCTAGAAGTATGAAGGTGCACCCCGTCTTCCATCTATCATTATTGGACCCCGCTGCGAATGATCCTGTCCCAGGGCAAATTCAACCACCACCCCCGCCCATTATCGTCGAACAAGAGGAGGAGTATGTAGTTGAGGAAATCTTGGACTCGCGAGAATTACGGAACACTGGCCTGCAATACTTTGTTAAGTGGACGGGCTATACCGACCCTACCTGGGAACCCGCCGCATACCACGATAATACCGCCGCCGTTGATATCTTCCACATACGCTACCCCGACAAACCTGGACCATTGGAAGGAAAGATTAAGGTTAAGGCTCACAGGAGCTCGCGCTTGAAGGGAGGGGCTACTTTCATGGATCGACTAGTGGAGGTACGGGGTTATGAAGAGTCGGATTAGTCAGAAAGGTTCTATTGGGTTCTACCGGGTTCTGCTGATCGTTAATGTCTGAGTTATGTTGGATTTGTCATCGCTGAGATTTCCTTGAGTATATTAAGGGGGGTTTGTTTGTATTTTGTGTTCTTCTTCTTCTTCTTTCTTTACGCAACGTCTTCTGTATCTACGCTGTTTATCGCTATACAATATCACCGTTCTCTTCTTTCTTTAAGAAGACCACCGCCTCGCTTTCTTCGTGCCCCGTCGAACCTTACCAACGCTAAGAGCTCCGTAGCATCCCTATTGCGAGCTCCCCTACCGTCCCCTATTACACTCTTCGTACCCTGCGGAATACTCGCTACTCACCCCCTTGAGAGTACGTTAGGAATTGCAATGTGTGTGCCCGTAGCAAGGCACCACGCAATGCACCTTATGGGGTACTTCGACCTATGCCAATACCCGATGGACCATGGAGAGATGTATCAATGGATTTCGTTACTGATCTTCCGGAAAGCGATGGATATAATGCGATATTGGTGGTAGTGGATCGACTAACCAAGATGCGACATCTGATTCCTACAACTAAAGAGGCGGATTCGAAAGAAGTAGCGAGGTTGTATATCGATAATGTTTGGAAATTACATAGACTCCCTGAAACTATGGTATCTGATCGAGGAACACAATTTGTTGCGGAATTCTGGAGATCCCTTTGCGATCGTTTGGAAATATCGCCAAAGTTCTCTACAGCGTTTCACCCCCAGACGGATGGACAAACGGAAAGAATCAATGCTGTGATGGAACAATACCTTCGAAGCTATGTTTCTTATCAACAGGACGACTGGGTTCGATGGTTACCAATGGCCGAGTTTGCAACAAATAACCATGCTTCGGAAACGACGAGAATCTCTCCATTTTACGCTAATTCAGGGAGGAATCCAAGAATGACTTTTGGTCCTTTGGAACATGGTAGGACGACAGCGGAGCATCAGGCCAACAGTATTGGAAGGGAGATGAAGGATATATTGGGTTTTCTAAAGGATGAACTATTTCGAGCGCAAAGGATCCAAGAAGAGTCCGCCAATATACGTCGGACTCCAGCACCTCACTATCGTGTGGGGGATAAAGTTTTCTTATCGACCAGCCATGTCCTCACTAAACGCCCTTCGAAGAAACTCGATTGGAAACGCATTGGACCATATATTGTGAAGCGGATCGTTAGTTCTTATGCCTATGAGTTGGAACTCCCTCGTTCTATGAAAGTTCATCCCATATTCCATGTCTCTTTATTGTCATCTGCAGCAAACGATCCTTTACCAGGACAACAACAGTTACCACCACTGCCGGTCGAAGTTGAAGGACAGGAGGAGTGGGAAGTCGAGGATATTTTGGATTCCAGGGATCGTCGAGGAAGATTTGAATACTTGGTAAAGTATATTGGTTACGATGAAGCTTCGTGGCAGCCATTGTCGGATGTCGAACACTCACCCGATATCGTCAAACGATTCCATGAACGTTATCCACGGAAACCTAAGCCTACCAGGAGGTAGGCCTTAGAGGGGGAAGTGGTCTGTAACGGCAGTTAGGCGGGTTGGCTATGTGAGTTGTCTGGGTATAAGGGAGAAGGATTATGTAGTGTGGTTGGGTTTAGTGAAGCGGGTTTTTATTATGTTCTTTCTGTTTCTGTTATGCGAGGGTATGAGTCAGCATTGGGATAGGGTATGGATATATAAGGGGGGCGTTGTCTTGTGATTTCTTGTTTCTCTTTCTTTTTCTTTTCTCTTTACGCAACCTCTGCATTCTACCCGCTCGCCTCTGGCTCGCAAAGAACTCCCTGACAGTTAACCTCGCTTCAAAAAACACTTTTATTTTTATTCCCTTCGGTTTACCCTGGTATACCATACCAGGTTGAGCCACTTTGTCCCCGATCGTACGGTCGCGTTTGTTGTTCCTAGCGAAAGAAACACCACAAAAACTGGCTTCTAGCGAAGAATTCTCCAGCCTTGACCTCCCGAAAGGAAGGAAAAGAAACCTTTCCGAAACATCACTCTACGCCGCCAGAAGAACTGGACATTCAATCATGTCGCAACAAGCCTCGCTCCAGTCCTTTTTTACCCAGTCTTCCCAGCAAGGGACAGCCCCCCCGCAGAACAGAAACACTCCGGTCCCCGACCCAACCCCATCCGGAGCTCAGGAACAGGAATTCTCCTCGACCTTTGCAACAGAATCCGACTACAACGACCCATACCAACCAAGAATTGACTACCTCTACCCGAGCGTTATCCCCCAGGACACTCACACCCAGACGGACCTGAACTATATCACTTGGGCCATCAGACATGCTACCAGCCGGATCTGCCCACCCTCTGACAGGATTGAAATCCTCGAAGAGCAAACAACTACACTCCAGAGAACAGTGGATACACTGAGACACCAGATCGAGGCGCAGACACATATGATCACCAATATGCATTCGGCGATCCACGCCCTCCTCAGCAAACAACCGCAACCGCAGCAACCGCAGCAACCGCAACAACAGCAACAACAGCAACAACAGCAACAACAGCAACAACAGCGAAAACCACAACAACCGTAAGGACAGAGAATGCCCCCTCCAGCGGTCCCACAAACAGTTCCCCAAGCAGTGCCACAGGCAGCTCCTCGGGCCCCCCCACCCGCACCCCCCCAACAAGCCCCACTCCGGGGATGGAAGGCAGGCACCTGGGCCGCCGTGGCCTCGGCACCCGGTCCTGCCCAAGGAAACTTCCAGGTTGTCGAGAGGAAAAAGAAGTCCGCAAAGCCAAAAGCGGACCCCCTCTTCAAGCCAGAGTACACCAAAATCAACAGGGAGATCATTATTGAAACCACTGCCCCATCCGACGTCAACCCCTCTGAGATCAGGACCCTAGTTAATGCAAAGATTCAGGACAAATCCTGCCATTTCATTTCAGCAAGGAGAACACCCAAGGACAACTTCATCCTGGAAACAAAGTTCGTCACCCCTGCAACAAAGGCAATGGAATATGCCAAAGAAATTGAGGAGGCCCTCCTCACCCTACAGGTACCGGTCGCTGGCATCCGCGCAAACTCTAAATGGTCAAAGTTTCTCCTCCATGGAATTCCCACAACGGTCGGGGAGGGCATCGAGGCGGGACAATTGGTAGCATCAGAAATCAGAAGCAACTATGGAGAGAACTTCCAACTTGCACAGATTCCCCGCTGGATCTCCAGAGCAGAGACTCGAATGGAGAAAACCCACTCATCAATGGGCATCGCGCTCCCAGGACAAATTACAATGGAAACACTAGGAGTTAAATTCCTATGTCTCTTCAACCGAAGCTGCCATATTTTGGCCTTCCTTCCAACCTTCCCGGATACCCAGTGTGCGAAGTGCCTCGAATACGGCCACCGCCAGGAGAAATGTAAGAACAATGGGAAATGCGGCCACTGCGCCGGAGACCACCTCACCAGTTTCCACCCATGCAATCAATGCCAGGGAGGATATAGATGCACCCACACTCCAATCAGATGCCTGAACTGTAAAGGAGCTCATAAGGCCTCCGACCCAGCATGCCCCGAGAGAGCCAAACGCCGATTCCTCAATAAAGGGAAGGAAAATGCACAACCCGCTCAAGACCCACCGGCCGCACCCGTCCAAGAGCTGCTTCAAATAGTTCAAGTACCAGCCACCGCCCCAGTCGGAGCCACACCCGTTCCCGAAGATGATCAATCCATGACAAATAATGCTTAGGCCTCGAACCACCGCGCTCGCACACCAACTCAATTGTGCACGGAGCGAACTCATTACCAAGGCGGCGGTAGAAGAAGCGGAAACAGACTCTAGTATTTATTTCCTATTATTACAAGAACCATGGACCTCAGCAGAGGGATATCCACCGGAATCAAATCTTTTTTACCTTTTTACAGCCAGCAATATCAACACGAAATGCGCAACATACGTCCGCAAACATGCCAACCTTAAACCAAAACACCACTATACACATGATAACTTCATAGTATCGATTACGGTAGAAATCCAAACCAAGAAAACCCAAATCCTAAACATTTACTCCCCAGGCCGAAGTGGCCCCTTCGCTCAAATAGCAAGTACAATCCAAACCCTTGATAATTGTCTAGTAATGGGAGACTTCAACTGCCACCATCAAATGTGGTACGGAGTAAATTCACATGAATATAGAAACAACATTCGAGCAGACCGCGTCAACGGCGCACGGTTAAAACGATGGATAACCCGACAGAAACTGTCCCTCCTGAACGAACCAGGCGTCTTTACGCATTTCCCCAGAGACAGAGGGAAAAGGCCCACAACCATCGACCTTACATTTGTAAAAGGCCCAATACTCGATCACAACCTACGATGGAGCACTGAACCCTACGGAGCGCGCTCAGACCATGGGAGAACCTCCGTTCACTTACACTTGGAGAAACCACCTTTTGTACCAAGACGAATGTGGCGACAAACAGACTGGAAGCTATTGGAAAACCAAATGTCAAACATTTCCATCCCTGCAGAGGCATGGGAAACCAAGGAACTTACGGAACAGACTGTCGATTTCTTTCTAGAACTGGTCAGGTCAACAGCCAGCATAGTAACACCGCTCTCGAAGGAGGGGGTAACAGCCAACTCCTGGTGGTCAGATGAAATGAAACAAATGAAGGCAAAGGTAAATGCAGCAGAAAGGAAGGCGAGGAACACAAGGAAACCCAATTACGTGGAGGAACACCGGAAGGCATGCAGAGAATGGACAGTCATGATCCGGAAAGCAAAAGCGGACCAGCGGGAAAAGACGATGAGAGAGGCGAAAGGTAGTGAAGTCTGGAGAATCCTAAACGTAGGAAGAAGACGAGACACAATCATACCAACCATACAAGGTGAAGAAACGTTTGCGGGGAAGTGCCAAGCTCTAAGAGCCCAACTTTTCCCCTCGAAACGGACGTCCCCCGACCACCCCCCCCTAAACATTAGACCCCCTTCTTTTGACCTTAGCAACACCTTCGACATAGTCACCCCCGAAGAACTTAATAAAGCAATCGACTCCTGTCCAGCGCACTCAGCGACCGGCCCGGATGGCATCCCTTATACCTTTATTAAAGCAATAGTCAAAGCAAACACAACTCTAATCCAAAACATGTTCTCCGCCATGCTCCGGCACGGCGTACACCCAGCGGAATGGAAAATAGCTAAGTGTATCCCGATCCCGAAACCCGGTAAAGCAAACTACCATGAAGCGAAAGCCTACCGGCCCATTTCCCTTCTACAATGTTTCAGCAAAATCCTGGAGAAGATAGTGGCCCAAAGACTCTGCACCGCTGGAGAAATTCTAGGCACACTCTCAGCGAATCAATTTGGAGGAAGACCAACCATCTCGGCAATCGACGCCCTGCTGAGAACCTTAACGCCAATACAACAAAACCTACTACTGAAAAACAGTACCAGAGTCGCTCGGCGAGACAGACCAGCGATCCTAACCAATGATATCCAAGGAGCATTTAACTGCGTTGACCACCTACTCCTCGCGGAAATCATGCAACAACAAAAATTCCCTACCTACTTAACAGAATGGTGCAAGGAATTCAATACCGGCAGAAAACTACAGTTTCAATTCAACCATGAGCTAGAAGAGCCACAGCCCTATGATTCTGGAGTGCCGCAAGGTAGCCCCATGTCCCCGGTGCTATTTATGATCTATGCTGGAGTAATCCTGGACCCAACAAGCAGCCCAAAAGAGATGGACACTACTTACATCGATGACGACGCGCTGGTACAGATATCCAAAACACCAGGCTTCACAATCAAGAGAATGGAGGAACGAATGAGAGAGAGACTAATAAAAGCTGAGCCACTCCAAATTAAATACGACCCGGATAAATCCGACCTGATCTTCTTCCGGCCCACCACATCATCCACACAACAACCACGACTTTCGGTCAAAATTAACAACATCAATATATACCCCAAGGAGAGGCTGAAATACGTAGGAGTCTCGATAGATCCGACCCTCTCCTTCCGGCCCCACATTGAAGCAGCGATCGCAAAAGGCCTTAAAGCCCTCCACCAGATTCGATATACAGCCCGCTTGCCAGGCATAACGGTCAAAACAATCCATCACATTATAACACAAGGCTTCCTTCCAAGTCTACTCTACGGATCCGAGACTTGGTGGACTGGCGCAGACCACATTATAAGATCCCTCGAACCACTATATAATGAAGCGGCCCGGGTCATCACCGGCCTACCACGATGGACCAAAAGAGCTAAACTCCTCCGAGAAGCAGGCCTACCCCCCTTAGAACACCTCCTGACATATCGCTCAAGAAAGTACGGAACCAGAATACTCTGCTCCGAGGCAACCCACCCCAACAATGAACCCCTGATCGAGCTCCTCCCTTACAAAGAAGCAAATATCAAAGGAACAGGCCTACACCGAATCGCTTCCCTACTACTCCCATACCAGACCCCCGGAAATGCGAGAGATAAGTGGAACCAAAATAAACTACTACGCGACCACCTATTGGGAGAATGGAACACACAATCAATACCGAACTACCACCACCGGGGGAAATTCCGCCCCCCTCCCAAGATAGCGAAACTCATCCTTACGGAAGCAAAAAAAAATATTTCGAATCCGGTGCCAAACCACCCGAATCGACAAACACGCAGTATATACAGACCCCGAACCATGCCAGTGTGGTATGGAAATCTCAGCGAAACACATACTCATGGAATGCCCAGTGTGGGCTCGAATCCGCACCCCCCTGATAGAGAAGATCCCCGGAGCGATGACCTGGGAAAACTGGATGTTTACAAACCTGAAAACGGACCTCATCCTACAATTTGCAAAACAATCTCAACTTTCGAAATGGTACGAGTCGGCGGAGGCCGAGGCGGACCTGGAAGAGGGGATGGAAGGAAATGACTGGAAACGGGATTAGGAAGGGGAGTTTCCTTTTACTCTTTAAAATTGTTTTTATTCTTTGATTTGATGGATCCAGCGCTCGAGTCCGCTGAGATACGTTATTTCTCCTTGTCGTTGGGTTTTCTGGTCGAGTATTGTTCTGGAATTTCCTTGTTACTGTTCGTGCTCGCTTGTGCTTGTTTTGTTCTTGTCCTTGTTCGTTTGCGTTTATGTTTGTTGTTTTCTTTTCTTTCTTTCTTTTGTTCGGTTTGATTTGTGTTTTAGGCGGTTGGGTCGGCGTGCGATAAGTCTTGTACTTCAAAGCAATATAAGTTTCTTCTTCTTCTTCTGTACTTTACGGTCACGAATACTATTTGGTTCGCGCTACGTCATAGGGTTTACCCGGTATACTAGACCAGGTACAACCATCCATAGTCCATAGTCCACAGTCCCCGTTCTTGCCTTAGGTATACCCTTCGGCCCCATAGTCCATAGTCCACGAACCTCCTACGTCCACGTCTTCACCTCGGTTGTATTCCTTGGCTTCATAGTTCCTACGCCCATAGTCCCCGTTACAGGAACACAGTTTGTTGCGGAGTTTTGGAAGTCGCTTTGTGATCGGTTGGAAATATCGTTGAAATTCTCTACCGCATTTCATCCTCAGACAGATGGACAGACGGAAAGAATCAATGCCGTAATGGAATAATACCTTCGAAGCTATGTATATTATCAACAGGACGATTGGACTCGATTGTCATCAATGGCCGAGTTTGCGACAAACAATCATGCTTCGGAAACAACAAAAGTCTCTCCTTTTTATGCCAATTCGGGAAGAAATCCAAGGATGACTTTTGGTCCTTTGGAACATGGTCGAACGATGGCGGAGGATCAAGCTAATCGTATTGCAAAAGAGATGAAGGATGTAGTGGATTTTCTGAGAGAAGAGATGTTTTGGGCGCAAAGGATACAAGAAGAGTCAGCCAATTGAAATTGGACTCCAGCTCCTCGTTACTATTTAGGAGATAAAGTTTTCCTATCGACACACCATATTCTAACAAAGTGGCCTTCCAAGAAATTCGATTGGAAACATATTGAACCTTATAGCGTTAAGCGGATCATCAATCCCTATGTTTACGAATTGGAACTTCCCCGGTCAATGAAGATTCATCTAGTATTTGATATTTCATTATTGTCATCCGAAGCAAATGATCCTTTACCAGGACAGCAACAATTAGCACCACCTCTGGTTGAAATCGAAGGGGAGAAAGAATGGGAAGTCGAAGATATTTTGGATTCGAGGAAACGAAGAGGAAGGTTCGAGTATTTAGTACGATATGTAGGGTATGACGAAGCCTACTGGCAACTACTATCTGACCTTAAGCATTCACCTGATATCGTCAAACAATTCCACGAGCGTTATCCTGGAAAGCCTAAGCCTACCAGGAGGTAGGCTTTAGAGGGGGGCGTGGTCTGTAACGGCAGCTATGTATTTCGGTTAGGTGGTAAACTAGAATGATAAAAGGAGGTATTCTGCAGTAGAATTAGGATTTGTAATGGAGATTTCTGTTATGTTCTTTCAGTTTCTGTTACGTGGAGGTATTAGTCATCATTGGACTATGGTTGGATATATAAGGGGGCGTTGTTTTGTGCTTTTACCTGTTTTCTCTCTTTCCTTCTTTCTTTACGCAACCTCTGTATTCTCCTTGCTCGCTAAGGCTCGCAAAACTTCCTGATATCAAACCTCGCTTTAAAAAACACTTTTATTTTACTCCCCTCGGTTTACCCTGGTATATCATACCAGGTTGAGCCACTTCGCCCCCGATCGTACGGTCGCGTTTGTTGTTCCTAGCGAAAGAAACACCACGAAAACTGGCTTCTAGCGAAGAATTCTCCAGCCTTGACCTCCCGAAAGGAAGGAAAAGAAACCTTTCCGAAACGTCACTCTACGCCGCCAGGAGAACTGGACATTCAATCATGTCGCAGCAAGCTTCGCTCCAGTCCTTTTTCACTCAGTCTTCCCAACAAGGGACAGCCCCCTCGCAGAACAGGAACACTCAGGTTCCCGACCCAACCCCATCCGGAGCTCAGGAACAGGAATTCTCCTCGACCTTTGCAACAGAATCCGACTACAACGACCCCTACCAGCCAAGAGTTGACTACCTCTACCCGAGCATTGTCCCCCAGGACACCCACACCCAGACGGACCTGAACTACATCACCTGGGCCATTAGACATGCCACCAGCCGGATCTGCCCACCCTCCGACAGGATTGAAATCCTCGAAGAACAAACGACTACTCTCCGGAGAACAGTGGATACACTGAAGCATCAGATCGAGGCGCAGACAAACATGATCACCAATATGCATTCGGCGATCCACGCGCTCCTCAACAAACAACCACAACCGCAGCAACCGCAGCAACCGCAACAACCGCAACAACAGCATCAACAGCAACAACAGCAACAGCAGCGAAAACCACAGCAACCGCAAGGACAGAGAATGCCCCCTCCAGCGGTCCCACAAACAGCTCCCCAAGCAGCGCCACAGGCAGCTCCTCAGGCCCCCCCACCCGCACCCCCCCAACAAGCCCCACCCCGTGGATGGAAGGCAGGCACCTGGGCCGCCGTGGCCTCGGCACCCGGTCCTGCCCAAGGTAACTTCCAGGTCATCGAGAGGAAAAAGAAGCCCGCAAAGCCAAAAGCGGATCCCCTCTTCAAACCAGAGTATACCAAGATCAACAGGGAGATCATCGTGGAAACTACTGCCCCATCTGACGTCAACCCCTCCGAGATCAGAACCCTCGTCAATGCAAGAATCCAAGACGAGTCCTGCCATTTCATTTCGGCAAGAAGAACACCTAAGGACAACTTCATCCTGGAAACAAAATTCGTTACCCCTGCAACAAAGGCAATGGAATACGCCAAAGAAATTGAGGAGGCCCTCCTCACCCTACAGGTACCGGTCGCTGTCATCCGCGCAAACTCCAAATGGTCAAAGTTTCTCCTCCATGGAATCCCCACAACGGTCGGGGAGGGCATTGAGGCGGGACAACTAGTAGCATCAGAAATCAGAAGCAACTATGGAGAGAACTTCCAACTTGCCCAGGTTCCCCGCTGGATATCCAGGGCAGAAACTCGAATGGAGAAAACCCACTCATCTATGGTCATCGCGCTCCCGGGACAAATCACAATGGAAACACTAGGAGTTAAATTCCTATCTCTCTTCAACCGAAGCTGCCATATCGAGGCCTTCCTCCCAACCTTCCCGGATACCCAGTGTGCAAAGTGCCTCGAATACGGCCACCGCCAGGAGAAATGTAAGAACAATGGAAAATGCGGTCATTGTGCCGGAGACCATCTCACCAGCTTCCACCCATGCAATCAATGCCAGGGAGGATACAGATGCACCCACACCCCAATCAGATGTTTGAACTGTAAAGGAATCCATAAGGCCTCCGACCCAGCATGCCCTGAAAGAGTTAAACGCCGATTCCTGAATAAAGGAAAGGAAAACGCCCCACCCGCCCAAGACCCACCTGCCGCACCCGCCCAGGAGCCAATTTCAATAATCCAAGTACCAGCCACTGCCCCGGTCGGAGCCACACCCGTTCCCGAAGACGACCAACCCATGACGAATAATGCCTAGGCTGCGAACAACCGCGCTCGCACACCAACTTAATTGTGCACGGAGCGAACTAATCACCAAGGCGGCGGTGGAAGAAGCAGAAACAGACTCGAGCATTTATTTCCTACTATTACAAGAACCATGGACCTCAACAGAGGGATATCCACCAGAATCAAATCTTTTTTACCTTTTTACAGCCAGCAACATCAATACGAAATGCGCAACATACGTCCGCAAACATGCCAACCTTAAACCAAAACACCACTACACACACGATAATTTCATAGTATCGATTACGGTAGAAATCCAGAACAAGAAAACCCAAATTCTAAATATATACTCCCCAGGCCGAAGTGGCCCCTTCGCTCAAATAGCAAGTACAATCCAAACCCTTGATAATTGTCTAGTAATGGGAGACTTCAACTGCCACCATCAAATGTGGTACGGAGTAAATTCACATGAATACAGAAACAATATTCGAGCAGATCGCGTCAATGGTGCACGACTAAAACGATGGATAACCCGACAGAAACTGTCCCTCCTGAACGAACCAGGCGTCTTTACGCATTTCCCCAGAGACAGAGGGAAAAGGCCGACAACCATCGACCTTACATTTGTAAAAGGCCCAATACTCGATCATAACCTACGATGGAGCACTGAACCCTACGGAGCGGGCTCAGACCATGGGAGAACCTCCGTTCACTTACACCTGGAGAAACCACCTTTTGTACCAAGACGAATGTGGCGACAAACAGACTGGAAGCTATTGGAAAACCACATGTCAAACATTTCCATCCCTGCAGAGGCATGGGAAACCAAGGAACTTACGGAACAGACTGTCGATTTCTTCCTAGAACTGGTCAGGTCAACAGTCAGCATAGTAACACCGCTCTCGAAGGAGGGGGTAAGAGCCAACTCCTGGTGGTCAGATGAAATGAAACAAATGAAGGCAAGGGTAAATGCAGCAGAAAGGAAGGCGAGGAACACAAGGAAACCCAATCACGTGGAGGAACACCGGAAGGCTTGCAGAGAATGGACAGTCATGATCCGGAAAGCAAAAGCGGATCAGCGGGAAAAGACGATGAACGAGGCGAAAGGTAGTGAAGTCTGGAGAATCCTAAACGTAGGAAGAAGAAGAGACACAATCATACCAACCATACAAGGTGAAGAAACGTTCGCGGGGAAGTGTCAAGCTCTAAGAGCCCAACTTTTCCCCTCGAAACGGACGTCCCCCGACCACCCTCCCCTAAACATTAGACCCCCTTCTTTTGACCTTAGCAACACCTTCGACATAGTCACCCCCGAAGAACTTAATAAAGCAATCGACTCCTGTCCAGTGCACTCGGCGACCGGCCCGGATGGCATTCCTTACACCTTTATTAAAGCAATAGTCAAAGCAAATATAACTCTAATCCAAGACATGTTCTCCGCTATGCTCCGGCACGGTGTACACCCAGCGGAATGGAAAATAGCTAAGTGTATCCCGATCCCGAAACCCGGTAAAGCAAACTATCATGAAGCAAAAGCCTACCGGCCCATTTCCCTTCTACAATGTTTCAGCAAAATCCTGGAGAAGATAGTGGCCCAAAGACTCTGCACCGCTGGAGAAATTTTAGGCACACTCTCAGCGAATCAATTTGGAGGAAGACCAACCATCTCGGCAATCGATGCCCTGCTGAGAACCTTAACGCCAATACAACAAAACCTACTACTGAAAAACAGTACCGGAGTCGCTCGGCGAGACAGACCAGCGATCCTCACCAATGATATCCAAGGAGCATTCAACTGCGTTGACCACCTACTCCTCGCGGAAATCATGCAACAACAAAGATTCCCTACCTACTTAACAGAATGGTGCAAGGAATTCAATACCGGCAGAAAACTACAGTTTCAATTCAACCATGAGCTAGAAGAGCCACAGCCCTATGATTCTGGAGTGCCGCAGGGTAGCCCCATGTCCCCGGTGCTATTTATGATCTATGCTGGAGTAATCCTGGACCCAACAAGCAGCCCGAAAGAGATGGACACTACTTACATCGATGACGACGCGCTGGTACAAATATCCAAAACACCAGGCTTCACAATCAAGAGAATGGAGGAACGAATGAGAGAGAGACTAATAAAAGCTGAGCCACTCCAAATTAAATACGACCCGGATAAATCCGACTTGATCTTCTTCCGGCCCACCACATCATCCACACAACAACCACGACTTCCGGTCAAAGTTAGCAATATCAATATACACCCCAAAGAAAGGCTGAAATATGTAGGAGTCTGGATAGATCCGACCCTCTCCTTCCGGCCCCACATCGAAGCAGCGATCGCAAAAGGCCTTAAAGCCCTCCACCAGATTCGATACACAGCCCGCTTGCCAGGCATAACGGTCAAAACAATCCATCATATCATAACACAAGGCTTCCTCCCAAGCCTACTCTACGGATCCGAGGCTTGGTGGACTGGCGCAGACCATATTATAAGATCCCTCGAACCACTATATAATGAAGCGGCCCGGATCATCACCGGCCTACCACGATGGACCAAAAGAGCTAAACTCCTCCGAGAAGCAGGCCTACCCCCCTTAGAACACCTCCTGACATATCGCTCAAGAAAGTACGGAACCAGAATACTCTGCTCCGAGGCAACCCACCCCAACAATGAATCCCTGATCGAGCTCCTCCCATACAAAGAAGCAAATATCAAAGGAACAGGCCTACACCGAATCGCTTCCCTGCTACTCCCATATCAGACCCCCGGAAATGCGAGAGATAAGTGGAACCAAAATAAACTACTACGCGACCACCTGTTGGAAGAATGGAACACACAATCAATACCGAACTACCACCACCGGGGGGAATTCCGCCCCCCTCCCAAGATAACGAAACTCACCCTCACGGAAGCAAAAAAAGTATTTCGAATCCGGTGCCAAACCACCCGAATCGACAAACACGCAGTACATACAGACCCCGAACCATGCCAGTGTGGTATGGAAAACTCAGCGAAACACATACTCATGGAATGCCCAGCGTGGGCTCGAATCCGCACCCCCCTGATAGAGAAGATCCCCGGAGCGATGACCTGGGAAAACTGGATGTTTACAAACCTGAGAACGGACCTCATCCTACAATTTGCAAAACAATCTCAACTCTCGAAATGGTACGAGTCGGCGGAGGCGGAGGCGGACCTAGAAGAGGGGATGGAAGAAAATAATTAGGGACGGGATTAGGAAGGGCAGTTTCCTTTTACTCTTTAAATTTGTTTTTTTATGTTCTGTTTTGATGGGTCCAGCGCTCGATTCCGCTGAGACATGTTATTTCTCCTTGTTGTTGGGTTTTCTGGTCGAGTATTGTTCTGGAATTTCCTTGTTACTGTTCGTGTTCGCTTGTGTTTGTTTTTGTTTTTGTTCTTGTTCGTTTGTGTTTGTGTTCGTTGTTTTTCTTTTCTTTTCTTTCTTTCTTTCCTTTTTGTTCGGTTCGGTTCGGTTTTGTTTAGGCGGTTGGGTCGGCGTGCGATAAGTCTTGTACTTCAAAGCAATATAAATTTCTTCTTCTTCTTCTTCTGTATTCTACCCGCTCGCCTCTGGCTCGCGGTAGGATTTCTTCCCCCCGAGATGGAGTTATCCTGATTCTCGAATTGCTTCGGTCCCAGAACTTCCCTCGCTCGACCCCCCCATTCTTTGCTCGTTCGGTGCCCTCACGTGATGCGTCCACCGTTCACCCCTCGCCAAACCAGCGGCTACTCTCGAAAGCCGCCTTCGCCCCTCCTTACTTTCACTCATCGCACGAGTGATCCCACACGTCGGGTACGCACACTGTCAGTAATCTCCAGTCAGTGAGAACCTACTGCCAAAGCGCTCGACAGCCCGCGAAGTTAGCGACCTCTCGGTCGCGAAACTATCGTCAAATTTTTACCCGAGGTCCCGTGACCTTACCCCTCTTTATCGGCCTTAACCAGGCAACCTCTTTTTTACCCGAGGCGGCCCGCTCCCCTCACCCCAACCCAACCGGTCTCCGAGACCACCCTCAACACAATACGGTGGGCACTTTCGATTGCGACCCCCATATATACTGAGCCTCCGGCTCACCCCTTTTGCATGTCCCCTCCAGAGGACACCACTTCAAATACGATTCGGGCACAGTCTTTAGCCGTTGCTCCAGGGACCGACGACCCCACCCACTCCTTACTTGACCTACCGGTCACCACTCTTTACTCCCTCGCTGTTTGACAAGCAGATGCTCGAGGACCAATACTCAACCCACCCCCCCTCGCTTTCACCCCTGACGCTGTTGCGGTTGGCCTTTCCTGCCTTCGTGCGCGTGGTTTCCCAGTCCTGTTAAGGTTCGTCCACAGATATGACACCGGGAACGTTGGTAATGATATCGTTTCGATTGAACACTACGTATAGGATTGTGCTCGCTAATGTAGTTGACGGAGAAGTTTGGGGTTTTTATTCTTACTACGGGGAGGTTTCTTTGTTGTCGCTTAGATTCTGCTTACCTGTACCACTTGTTATTCGCGCCCTCTTCGTGCGCTGTTTTTGTTTTATTATGTACGTGGTTCTTGTAGCTGCGGTAGTTAGTTTTTGTACTTCGTTTTTTGCTTTCGGGTTAGTCGGTGGAGGTTGTAGTCGGGTAGTTAGGTGTGCGATAAGCTTCGGCTTCTATGCAATATAAGATTCTCTCTCTCTCTCTGTATTCTACTTGCTCGCTAAGGCTCGGAAAGAACTCCCTGATAACAAACCTCATTTTAAAAACTTTTTATTTTACTCCTCTCGGTTTACCCTGGTATACCATACCAGGCTGAGCCACTTCGTCCCCGATCGTACGGTCGCGTTTTGTTGTTCTAAGCGAAAGAAACCTACGAAAACTGGCTTCCAGCGAAGAATTCTCCAGCCTTGACCTCCCGAAAGGAAGGAAAATAAACCTTTCCGAAACATCACTCTACGCCGCCAGAAGAACTGGACATTCAATTATGTCGCAGCAAGCTTCGCTCCAGTCCTTTTTTACCCAATCCTCCCAACAAGGGACAGCCCCCCCGCTGCACAGGAACACTCCGGTTCCCGACCCAACCCCATCCGGAACTCAGGAACAGGAATTCTCCTCGACCTTCGCAACAGAATCCGACTATAATGACCCATACCAACCGAGAATTGACTACCTCTACCCGAGCATTGTCCCCCAGGACACTCACACCCAGACGGACCTGAACTATATTACCTGGGCCATCAGACATGCCACGAGCCGGATCTGCGCACCCTCCGACAGGATTGAAATCCTCGAAGAGCAAACGACTACACTCCGGAGAACAGTGGACACATTGAGACATCAAATCGAGGCGCAGACAAGTATGATCACCAATATGCACTCGGCGATCCACGCGCTCCTCAATAAACAACCCCAACCGCAGCAACCGCAGCAACCGCAACAACAGCAACAACAGCAACAACAGCGAAAACCACAACAACCGCAGGGACAGAGAATGCCCCCTCCAGCGGTCCCCCAAACAGTTCCCCAAGCAGCGCCTCAGGAAGCTCCTCAGGCCCCCCCACCTGCACCCAAATTTCCAGGTTGTTGAGAGAGGAAAGAAGTCTGCAAAGCCAAAAGCGGACCCTCTCTTCAAGCCAGAATATACCAAAATCAACAGAGAAATCATTGTTGAAACCACTGCTCCATCCGACATCAATCCCTCCGAGATCAGGACCCTAGTCAATGCAAGAATTCAGGACGAATCCTGCCACTTCATTTCAGCAAGGAGAACACCCAAGGACAACTTCATCCTGGAAACAAAGTTCGTCACCCCTGCAACAAAGGCAATGGAATATGCCAAAGAAATTGAGGAGGCCCTCCTCACCCTACAGGTACCGGTCGCTGGCATCCGCGCAAACTCTAAATGGTCAAAGTTTCTCCTCCATGGAATTCCCACAACGGTCGGGGAGGGCATCGAGGCGGGACAATTGGTAGCATCAGAAATCAGAAGCAACTATGGAGAGAACTTCCAACTTGCACAGATTCCCCGCTGGATCTCCAGAGCAGAGACTCGAATGGAGAAAACCCACTCATCAATGGTCATCGCGCTCCCAGGACAAATTACAATGGAAACACTAGGAGTTAAATTCCTATCTCTCTTCAACCGAAGCTGCCACATCGAGGCTTTCCTCCCAACCTTCCCAGACACCCAGTGCGCGAAGTGCCTCGAGTACGGTCACCGCCAGGAGAAATGCAAAAACAATGGGAGATGCGGTCATTGTGCCGGAGATCACCTCACCAGCTTCCACCCATGCAATCAATGCCAGGGAGGATATAGATGCACCCACACCCCAATCAGATGTCTGAATTGTAAAGGAATCCATAAGGCCTCCGATCCAGCATGCCCCGAAAGAGTCAAACGCCGATTCCTCAACAAAGGAAAGGAAAACGCTACACCCGCTCAAGATCCACCGGCCGCACCCGTCCAAGAGTTGCTTCCGATAGTTCAAGTACCAGCTACCACCCCAGTCGGAGCCACACCCGTTCCCGAAGATGACCAACACATGACAAATAATGCTTAGGCCTCGAACCTTTAATGGATCGATCAGTGGAGGTACGGGGTTATGAAGAGTCGGATTAGTCAGAAAGGTTCTATTGGGTTCTACCGGGTTCTGTTGATCGTTGATGTATGAGTCATGTTGGGTTTGTCTTCGCTGGGATTTCCTTGAGTATATTAAGGGGGGTGTTTGTTTGTATTTTGTGTTCTCTTCTTTCTTTACGCAACGTCTTCTGTATCTACGCTGTCTATTGCTATATAATACTCTCGTTCTCTTCTTTCCTCAAGAAGACCACCGCCTCGCTTTGTTCTCGTCCCCTTCAAACCTTACCGACGCTAGAGCCCCGTAGTACCCATATCGTGGAGCTCCCATACCGTCCCCTGCTACGCTCTTCGTGCCCGCGGAATACTCGCTACTCACTCCCTTGAGAGAACCACTGCGCTCGCACACCAACTCAATTGTGCACGGAGCGAACTTATTACCAAGGCGGCGGTAGAAGAAGCGGAAACAGACTCTAGCATTTATTTCCTACTATTACAAGAACCATGGACCTCAGCAGAGGGATATCCACCAGAATCAAATCTCTTCTATATTTTTATGGCCAGCAACACCAATACAAAATGTGTAACATACGTTCGCAAACACTCCAACCTCAAACCAAAACACCACTACACACACGATAATTTCATAGTATCGATGACGGTAGAAATCCAGACCAAGAAAACCCAAATCCTAAATATATATTCCCCAGGCCGAAGTGGCCCCTTCGCTCAAATAGCAAGTACAATCCAAACCCTTGATAACTGTCTGGTAATGGGAGACTTCAACTGCCACCACCAAATGTGGTATGGAGTAAATTCACATGAATACAGAAACAACATTCGAGCAGACCGCGTCAACGGCGCACGGTTAAAACGATGGATAACCCGACAGAAACTGTCCCTCCTGAACGAACCAGGCGTCTTTACGCATTTCCCCAGAGACAGAGGGAAAAGGCCCACAACCATCGACCTTACATTTGTAAAAGGCCCAATACTCGATCACAACCTACGATGGAGCACTGAACCCTACGGAGCGCGCTCAGACCATGGGAGAACCTCCGTTCACTTACACTTGGAGAAACCACCTTTTGTACCAAGACGAATGTGGCGACAAACAGACTGGAAGCTATTGGAAAACCACATGTCAAACATTTCCATCCCTGCAGAGGCATGGGAAACCAAGGAACTTACGGAACAGACTGTCGATTTCTTTCTAGAACTGGTCAGGTCAACAGTCAGCATAGTAACACCGCTCTCGAAGGAGGGGGTAAGAGCCAACTCCTGGTGGTCAGATGAAATGAAACAAATGAAGGCAAAGGTAAATGCAGCAGAAAGGAAGGCGAGAAATACAAGGAAACCCAATCATGTGGAGGAACACAGGAAGGCTTGCAGGGAATGGACAGTCATGATCCGGAAAGCAAAAGCGGACCAGCGGGAAAAGACGATGAACGAGGCGAAAGGCAGTGAAGTCTGGAGAATCCTAAGCGCAGGAAGGAGACGAGACACAATCATACCAACCATACAAGGTGAAGAAACGTTTGCTGGGAAGTGTCAAGCTCTAAGAGCCCAACTTTTCCCCTCGAAACGGAAGTCCCCCGACCATCCCCCCTTGAACATTAGACCCCCCTCCTTTGACTTTAGCAACACCTTCGACATAGTCACCCCCGAAGAACTTAACAAAGCAATCGACTCCTGTCCAGCGCACTCGGCGACCGGCCCGGATGGCATCCCTTATACCTTTATTAAAGCAATAGTCAAAGCAAACACAACTCTAATTCAAGACATGTTCTCCGCTATGCTCCGGCATGGTGTACACCCAGCGGAATGGAAAATAGCTAAGTGTATCCCGATCCCGAAACCCGGTAAAGCAAATTATCATGAAGCAAAAGCCTACCGACCCATTTCCCTTCTACAATGTTTCAGTAAAATCCTGGAGAAGATAGTGGCCCAAAGACTCTGCACCGCTGGAGAAATTCTAGGCACACTCTCAGCAAACCAATTCGGAGGAAGACCAACCATCTCGGCAATCGACACCCTCCTGAGAACCTTGACACCAATACAACAAAACCTACTACTGGAAAACAGCACCGGAATTGCCCGGCGAGATAGACCAGCGATCCTAACCAACGACATCCAAGGAGCATTTAATTGTATAGATCACCTACTCCTCACGGAAATTATGCACCAACAAAAATTCCCCACCTATCTGACAGAATGGTGCAAGGAATTCAACACCGGCAGAAAACTACAGTTCCAATTCAACCATGAGCTAGAGGAACCACAGCCCTATGATTCTGGAGTGCCGCAAGGTAGCCCCATGTCTCCGGTACTATTCATGATCTACGCCGGAGTAATTCTGGACCCAACTAGCAGCCCAAAAGAGATGGATACAACTTACATTGATGACGATGCGCTGGTGCAAATATCCAAAACACCAGGTTTTACAATCAAGAGAATGGAGGAACGAATGAGAGAAAGACTAATTAAAGCCGAGCCACTCCAAATTAAATACGACCCAGATAAATCCGATCTGATCTTGTTCCGGCCCACCACATCATCCACACAACAATCACGACTTCCAGTCAAAGTTAACAATATCGATATATACCCCAAGGAGAGGCTGAAATACGTAGGAGTCTGTATAGATCCGACCCTCTCCTTCCGGCCCCATATGGAAGCAGCGATCGCAAAAGGCCAGAAAGCCCTCCACCAAATCCGAAACACTGCCCGCCTGCCAGGTATAACAGTCAAGACAGTTCATCACCTAATAACACAAGGCTTCCTTCTAAGCCTGCTCTACGGATCTGAGGCTTGGTGGACTGGCGCAGACCACATCATTAGATCGCTCGAACCACTATACAACGAAGCGGCCCGGATCATCACGGGCCTACCTCGATGGACCAAGAGAGCTAAACTCCTCCGAGAGGCAGGACTACACCCCCTAGAACACCTCCTAACGTATCGCTCAAGAAAGTACGGAACCAGAATACTCTGCTCCGAGGCAACCCACCCCAACAATGAATCCCTGATCGAGCTCCTCCCATACAGAGAAGCAAATATCAAAGGAACAGGCCTACACCGAATCGCTTCCCTACTACTCCCATACCAGACCCCCGGAAATGCGAGAGACAAGTGGAATCAAAACAAACTACTACGCGACCACCTGTTGGAAGAATGGAATACACAACCAATACTGGACTACCATCACCGGGGGGAATTCCGCCCCCCTTCCAAGATTGCGAAACTCACCCTAACGGAAGCGAAAAAAGTTTTTCGAATCCGGTGCCAAACTACCCGAATCGATAAACACGCGGTATATACAGACCCCGAACCATGCCAGTGTGGTATGGAAAATTCAGCGAAACACATACTTATGGAATGCCCAGCGTGGGCTCGAACCCGCGCCCCTCTGATGGAAAAGATCCCCGGAGCGATGACCTGGGAAAACTGGATGTTTACAAACTTGAAAACGGACCTCATCTTACAATTTGCGAAAGATTCTCAACTCTCGAAGTGGTACAAGTCGGCGGAAGCGGAGGAGGACCTAGAAGAGGGGATGGAAGAAAATGATTAGGGACGGGATTAGGAAGGGTGGATTCCTTTTACCTTTTAACTTTGGTTTACTTTGCTTTGATGGATCCAGCGCCCGAGTTCGCTGAGATATGTTATTTCTCCTTGTCGTTGGGTTGTTTCTGGTTGAGTGTCGTTCTGGAATTTCTTTACTCTTGTTTGTGTTTGTTCGTGTTCGCTTTTGTTCTTGTTGTTTGTTTGTGTTTGTTGTTCTCTTTTCCTTTCGTTCTTTTGTTCGGTTTGTGTTTAGGCGGTTGGGTCGGCATGCGATAAGTCTTGTACTTCAAAGCAATATAAGTTTCTTCTTCTTCTTCTTCTGCATTCTACTTGCTCGCTGAGGCTCGCAAAGAACTCCTTGATAACAAACCTCGCTTCAAAAACATCTTATTTATTCCCTTCGGTTTACCCTGGTATACCATACCAGGTTGAGCCACTTCGTCCCCGATCGTACGGTCGCGTTTTGTTGTTCCAAGCGAAAGAAACCTACGAAAACTGGCTTCCAGCGAAGAATTCTCCAGCCTTGACCTCCCGAAAGGAAGGAAAATAAACCTTTCCGAAACATCACTCTACGCCGCCAGAAGAACTGGACATTCAATTATGTCGCAGCAAGCTTCGCTCCAGTCCTTTTTTACCCAATCCTCCCAACAAGGGACAGCCCCCCCGCTGCACAGGAACACTCCGGTTCCCGACCCAACCCCATCCGGAACTCAGGAACAGGAATTCTCCTCGACCTTCGCAACAGAATCCGACTATAATGACCCATACCAACCGAGAATTGACTACCTCTACCCGAGCGTTGTCCCCCAGGACACTCACACCCAGACGGACCTGAACTATATTACCTGGGCTATCAGACATGCCACCAGCTGGATCTGCGCACCCTCCGACAGGATTGAAATCCTCGAAGAGCAAACGACTACACTCCGGAGAACAGTGGACACATTGAGACATCAAATCGAGGCGCAGACAAGTATGATCACCAATATGCACTCGGCAATCCACGTGCTCCTCAATAAACAACCCCAACTGCAGCAACCGCAGCAACCGCAACAACAGCAACAACAGCAACAACAGCGAAAACCACAACAACCGCAGGGACAGAGAATGCCCCCTCCAGCGGTCCCCCAAACAGTTCCCCAAGCAGCGCCACAGGCAGCTCCTCAGGCCCCCCCACCCGCACCCCCCCAACAAGCCCCACCCCGTGGATGGAAAGCAGGCACCTGGGCCGCCGTGGCCTCGGCACCCGGTCCTGCTCAATGAAATTTCCAGGTTGTTGAGAGAAGAAAGAAGTCTGCAAAGCCAAAAGTGGACCCTCTCTTCAAGCCAGAATATACCAAAATCAACAGAGAAATCATTGTTGAAACCACTGCTCCATCCGACGTCAATCCCTCCGAGATCAGGACCCTAGTCAATGCAAAAATTCAGGACGAATCCTGCCACTTCATTTCAGCAAGGAGAACACCCAAGGACAACTTCATCCTGGAAACAAAGTTCGTCACCCCTGCAACAAAGGCAATGGAATATGCCAAAGAAATTGAGGAGGCCCTCCTCACCCTACAGGTACCGGTCGCTGGCATCCGCGCAAACTCTAAATGTTCAAAGTTTCTTCTCCATGGAATTCCCACAACGGTCGGGGAGGGCATCGAGGCGGGACAATTGGTAGCATCAGAAATCAGAAGCAACTATGGAGAGAACTTCCAACTTGCACAGATTCCCCGCTGGATCTCCAGAGCAGAGATTCGAATGGAGAAAACCCACTCATCAATGGTCATCGCGCTCCCAGGACAAATTACAATGGAAACACTAGGAGTTAAATTCCTATCTCTCTTCAACCGAAGCTGCCATATCGAGGCCTTCCTCCCGACCTTCCCGGATACCCAGTGTGCGAAGTGCCTCGAATACGGCCACCGCCAGGAGAAATGTAAGAACAGTGGGAAATGCGGCCACTGCGCCGGAGACCACCTCACCAGTTTCGACCCATGCAATCAATGCCAGGGAGGATATAGATGCACTCACACCCCAATCAGATGTCTGAACTGTAAAGGAATCCATAAGGCCTCCGACCCAGCATGCCCCGAAAGAGTCAAACGCCGATTCCTCAACAAAGGGAAGGAAAACGCCCCACCCGCCCAAGACCCACCTACCGCACCCGCCCAAGAGCTACTTCCAATAATCCAAGTACCAGCCACCGCCCCGGTCGGAGCCACACCCGTTCCCGAAGACGACCAACACATGACGAATAATGCCTAGGCCCTGAACCACCGCGCTCGCACACCAACTTAACTGTGCACGGAGCAAACTAATCACCAAGGCGGCGGTGGAGGAAGCAGAAACAGACTCGAGTATTTATTTCCTACTATTACAAGAACCGTGGACCTCAACAGAGGGATATCCGCCAGAATCAAATCTCTTTTACCTTTTTACAGCCAGCAATATCAATACGAAATGCGCAACATACGTCCGCAAACACGCCAACCTCAAACCAAAACACCATTCTACACATGATAACTTCATAGTATCGATTACGGTAGAAATCCAGACCAAGAAAACCCAAATCCTAAACATTTACTCCCCAGGCCGAAGTGGCCCCTTCGCTCAAATAGCAAGTACAATCCAAACCCTTGATAATTGTCTAGTAATGGGAGACTTCAACTGCCACCATCAAATGTGGTACGGAGTAAATTCACATGAATATAGAAACAACATTCGAGCAGACCGCGTCAACGGCGCACGGTTAAAAAGATGGATAACCCGACAGAAATTGACCCTCCTGAACGAACCAGGCGTCTTTACGCATTTCCCCAGAGACAGAGGGAAAAGGCCCACAACCATCGACCTTGCATTTGTAAAAGGCCCAACACTTGACCACAACCTACGATGGAGCACTGAACCCTACGGAGCGGGCTCAGACCACGGGAGAACCTCTGTCCATCTACACTTAGAAAAACCACCTTTTGTACCAAGACGAATGTGGCGACAAACAGACTGGAAGCTATTGGAGAACCACATGTCAAACATTTCCATCCCTGCAGAGGCATGGGAAACCAAGGAACATACGGAACAAACAGTCGATTTCTTCCTAGAACTGGTCAGGTCAACAGTCAGCATAGTAACACCGCTCTCGAAGGAGGGGGTAAGAGCCAACTCCTGGTGGTCAGATGAAATGAAACAAATGAAGGCAAGGGTAAACGCAGCAGAAAGGAAGGCGAGAAACACAAGGAAACCCAATCACGTGGAGGAACACCGGAAGGCATGCAGAGAATGGACAGTCATGATCCGGAAAGCAAAAGCGGACCAGCGGGAAAAGACGATGAGAGAGGTGAAAGGTAGTGAAGTCTGGAGAATCCTAAACGCAGGAAGGAGAAGAGACACAATCATACCAACCATACAAGGTGAAGAAATGTTTGCGGGGAAGTGTCAAGCTCTAAGAGCCCAACTTTTCCCCTCGAAACGGACGTCCCCCGACCATCCCCCCCTAAACATTAGACCCCCTTCTTTTGACCTTAGCAACACCTTCGACATAGTCACCCCCGAAGAACTTAATAAAGCAATCGACTCCTGTCCAGCGCACTCGGTGACCGGCCCGGATGGCATCCCCTATACCTTTATTAAAGCAATAGTCAGAGCAAATACAACTCTAATCCAAGACATGTTCTCCGCCATGCTCCGGCACGGCGTACACCCAGCGGAATGGAAAATAGCTAAGTGTATCCCGATCCCGAAACCCGGTAAAGCAAATTACCATGAAGCGAAAGCCTACCGGCCCATTTCCCTTCTACAATGTTTCAGCAAAATCCTGGAGAAGATAGTGGCCCAAAGACTCTGTACCGCTGGAGAAATCCTAGGCACACTCTCAGCGAATCAATTTGGAGGAAGACCAACGATCTCGGCAATCGATGCCCTCCTGAAAACCTTAACACCAATACAACAAAACCTACTACTGAAAAACAGTACTGGAATCGCCCGGCGAGATAGACCAGCGATCCTAACCAACGACATCCAAGGAGCATTTAATTGTGTCGACCACCTACTCCTCGCGGAAATCATGCACCAACAAAAATTCCCCACCTATCTGACAGAATGGTGCAAAGAATTCAACACCGGCAGAAAACTACAGTTCCAATTTAACCATGAGCTAGAGGAACCACAGCCCTTTGACTCTGGAGTGCCGCAAGGTAGCCCCATATCCCCGGTACTATTCATGATCTACGCCGGAGTAATCCTGGACCCAACTAGCAGCCGAAAAGAGATGGACACAACTTACATCGATGACGATGCGCTGGTGCAGATATCCAAAACACCAGGCTTCACAATCAAGAGAATGGAGGAACGAATGAGAGAAAGACTGACCAAAGCTGAGCCACTCCAAATCAAATACGACCCAGATAAATCCGATCTGATCTTCTTCCGGCCCACCACATCATCCATACAACAACCGCGACTTCCAGTCAAAGTTAACAACATCAATATATACCCCAAGGAGAGGCTGAAATACGTAGGAGTCTGTATAGATCCGACCCTCTCCTTCCGGCCCCATATGGAAGCAGCGATCGCAAAAGGCCAGAAAGCCCTCCACCAAATCCGAAACACTGCCCGCCTGCCAGGTATAACAGTCAAGACAGTTCATCACCTAATAACGCAAGGTTTCCTTCCAAGTCTGCTCTACGGATCCGAAGCTTGGTGGACTGGTGCAGACCACATTATCAGATCCCTCGAACAATTATACAACGAAGCTGCCCGGGTCATCACAGGCTTACCTCGATGGACCAAGAGAGCTAAACTCCTCCGAGAAGCAGGACTACCCCCCCTTGAACACCTCCTGACTTACCGCTCAAGAAAGTACGGAACTAGAATACTCTGCACCGATGCAACCCACCCCAACAATGAATCCCTGATCGAGCTCCTCCCATACGGAGAAGCAAACATCAAAGGGACAGCCCTACACCGAATCGCCTCTCTCCTACTTCCATATCAAACCCCCGGAAATGCGAGAGACAAGTGGAATCAAAATAAACTACTACGCGACCACCTGTTGGAAGAATGGAATACACAACCAATACCGAACTACCACCACCGAGGGGAATTCCGCCCCCCTGCTAAGATTGCGAAACTCACCCTTACGGAAGCAAAAAAAGATTTTCGAATCCGGTGCCAAACTACCCGAATCGACAAACACGCAATTCTTAAGGGGGTGAGTAGCGAGTATTCCGTAGGGTACGAAGAGGATAATAGGAGACGGTATGGGAACTCGGAATAGGAATACTACGGGACTCTAGCGTTGGTAAGGTTCGACGGGGCATGAAGAAAGCGAGGCGGTGGTCTTCTTAAAGAAAGAAGAGAACGGTGATATTGTATAGCGATAAACAGCGTAGATACAGAAGACGTTGCGTAAAGAAAGAAGAAGAAGAAGAACACAAAATACAAACAAACCCCCCTTAATATACTCAAGGAAATCTCAGCGATGACAAATCCAACATAACTCAGACATTAACGATCAGCAGAACCCGGTAGAACCCAATAGAACCTTTCTGACTAATCCGACTCTTCATAACCACGTACCTCCACTAGTCGATCCATGAAAGTAGCCCCTCCCTTCAAGCGCGAGCTCCTGTGAGCCTTAACCTTAATCTTTCCTTCCAATGGTCCAGGTTTGTCGGGGTAGCGTATGTGGAAGATATCAACGGCGGCGGTATTATCGTGGTATGCGGCGGGTTCCCAGGTAGGGTCGGTATAGCCCGTCCACTTAACAAAGTATTGCAGGCCAGTGTTCCGTAATTCTCGCGAGTCCAAGATTTCCTCAACTACATACTCCTCCTCTTGTTCGACGATAATGGGCGGGGGTGGTGGTTGAATTTGCCCTGGGACAGGATCATTCGCAGCGGGGTCCAATAATGATACATGGAAGACGGGGTGCACCTTCATACTTCTAGGCAGGTCGACTCGATACGCATATGGCGATATAATTTCCTTAACGGGGAACGGTCCCAGTTTCTTCCAGTCCAGCTTCCGGGAGTTACGCGTGGTTCGGATGTTCTTTGCTGAAACAAACACCATATCACCGACATCGTACCGTGGGGCCGGCGTTCGTTTAGTATTGACGGCTTGCTCTTGTTGATCTTGCGCTGTGCGGATATTGGAACGTAGGTGCTCATGGAGTTCTCTCATCTTCGAGGCGAAGTCTTTAGCATTGAGACTCGGTGGGGTCCGGTCAAGCGATTTGATCGTCACTGTAAACCGGGGGTGGAACCCATAGTTCGCAAAGAATGGTGTAGCTTTAGTGGATGCGGAGACCTGATTGTTGGCGGAGAATTCTGCCATAGGAAGCCATTTTACCCAATCGTCCTGTTGATAAGAGACATACCCACGTAGATATTGCTCCATTACAGCATTCAGCCTTTCGGTTTGGCCGTCGGTCTCCGGGTGGAAGGCGGTGGACATCCTTGCTTCGATGTTGAGGTGTTTACAAAGAGCCTTCCAAAACCTAGCTGTAAATTGCGTACCACGGTCGGAGGTGACGTGTGTGGGTAGCCCGTGGAGTTTCCATATGTTTCGCAAATATAGTCAGGCGACGTCTTCGGAGTTGACTGTAGTATTGCAGGGCAGGAGATGTCCCATCTTTGTTAGCCGGTCAACCACTACCATAATTGCATCGTACCCTTCACTTTCCGGTAGGCCAGTAACGAAGTCCATCGATACTTCCTGCCATGGTTGTTCGGGAATCGGTAAAGGTCGAAGTACGCCGAGTTTTCCATGGGTGTTGGGTTTGCTTCGTTGGCACGTGTGGTAGTTCCGAACGTAGCGGGCAATATAATTTCGCATGAGGGGCCAGTAGTAGTCCCGACTAACGAGTTCGAATGTTTTTTCGCGTCCCGGGTGTCCGGCAGAGGCAGCGTCATGGTAAAGTTGGAGGATTCGGAGTTTAAGAGGGTCGTAATCAGGGACATATATGCTGCCTCGGTAAAGCAATCGGCCTTCAACCTCGGTGCATTCGGCGAGTGATATGTCCTTTGATTGTTGATCGCCTTTATTCCGCATATCCATTATCTTTTGGGGAAACGGGTCAGCGATATATCCTTCATCGAATAACTCCTGCAGTGAGGCGTTCTTTTCAGCGGGCTCATTTGAGAAAGAACCCGCCAACAAACTTAGCTTTGCATCGAGATTCTCCTTCTTCAACACAACTTGACTCTGATACAATTGTCTTTCATCCCCCTCTCCAGGGAGATCTCCTGATCTTCTTGTCAACGCGTCCGGTTTCCCTCCTTGTTTCCCTGGTCGGTATTTGATAACAAAATTAAACCGTGACAGGTATTCTGCCCACCGTGCTTGTCTTCGGTTGAGTTGTTTGGTACTCATAAAGTATTCGAGAGTCTTATGATCGGATATGACGGAGATTGGGTGTGCAGCCCCTTCAAGTTCCGGTCGCCACTCCTCAAAAGACCGAATGATTGCCAGTAATTCCTTGTCGTAAATCTCGTAGTTGCATTCGGCGGAGGAGTGTTTTTTCGAGAAGTATGCAACAGGTCGGAGGATACCATTGTCATCGTATTGGGAGAGTACACCGGCGGAGACATAGTCGGAGGCGTCGGTTTCCACAGTAATTTCCTTCTCCGGGTCGAAATGAGTAAGAATGGGCGCCGTGGTAAAGGCTTCTTTCAGGGCGTTGAAGGCGGTCTGGGCTTCGGATGTCTATCCAAATGATATGTCCTTACATGTCAGCCTGGCAAGAGGAGAAGCCAGTTCCGAGAATCCGCGTATGAATCGGCGGTAAAAGTTAGCAAAACCTAGGAATGCTTGCACATTCTTAACTGTTTTGGGGACGGTCCAATTCTTCACCGTCTCCACTTTCCTTGGGTCCATTTTAATACCATTGGGTTCGATAATCAGGCCGAGGAAGGTGGTACTTTGTGTATGAAATTCGCATTTCTCTGGTTTCAGCAGTACTCCATTTCTTTGTAGGGCTTCCAAGATCTTTTCGACGTGGACTTGATGTTCCTCGAAGGTGTCGCTGTAGATGAGAATATTGTCAAGATAGGCTGTACAGAACATATCCAGGTACTCACGTACGCAATCATTAATGAAATGTTGAAAGGTGGCTGGTGCATTGGTAAGGCCGAAGGGCATTACGGTGTATTCGAAATGTCCGTAACGCGTTCGGAAGGCTGTTTTCCATTCTTCACCCTCAGCCATTCGGATCGGATTGTACCCTTAGCGAAGGTCAAGTTTGGTGTACCACTTGGCTTTGGAAAGGCGGTCGAGAGTTTCCCGGATGAGTGGCAGCGGGTAGCGGTTTTTGACAGTAAGTTCGTTAAGGCCACGATAGTCGACACAAAGGCGGAGTGTTCCATCGGCCTTTTTAACAAATAGGACAGGGGCACCGGCAGGCGAAGAGCTGGCCTGAATGAACCCCTTTTGAAGATTGTCCTGTATGTATTGTTTCAGCACAATGAGTTCCTCGCGGGACATACCATAAAGTGGCCCAAAAGGGGGCTCTTTCCCTTCCTTGAGCGGTATCTTGTAATCATAGGGGCGGCGAGGCGGCATCTCGTTAGCGAATTCTTCGTCCATCATTTTATAAAATCTCTTATACCGGGTTGGGACCCGGTTCCTCCAGTCTTGCTTAGGGGCCTCGCCCGTTGCTTGAGCTATTTCCTCAATAGTTGTACTAAAGATTTGGAGTTTGTCTCTTCGAGCAAAGCGACAAAGAGCAGCTGAACTGATGAGGTGGAAACGGGGCGGTGGGGCAACTCCTCTAATGGGAACGGGTATCGGGGAAGAGTTGCACTTGCGTTTGCAGTATTCAGAGTCGAACAGTATGCTATTGTCCTTAAACCGTAATGTTGCGTCGTGCAATTGAAGCCAGGGGATTCCGAGGACGAGTGGGTACGAGCCGAGTTTGGTAACGAAGAAGGGGGTAGTTTCATGGTGGGAGTCAATGGATAGCGGCAGATAGCAGAGGTGGGTAATTTGTCCGGAAGATATAGGCCGACCGTCGATGACTTCAAGAGTGCGGGGTGATTTGAGGGGGAGAAATGGGAAGTTGTTATGGCGCGTGAATGTTTCATCAATGAATCCGAATCCGGAGCAACCGGTATCAATCAATGCGTGAGTTCGAATGGGTGTTTTATTGTTTATAATTTTACAAGAAGCAACAAAATGATCCCCATCCAATTAATCCTCCACAGACGATACCGAGAAGCCAGAGATAGAAAACGCAGACAAAGGAGAAACATTGGAAGGTCCCGGGCAGGGGCCATTAATCAAGCCCGGAACTACTGAAAACCCGACTCAGAGGAGGCGGGACTAGCGACCGGTGGAGCAGCGGGGTCGACGGCCGTATGGCTGGGTGCGAGGAGGGCGCCTCTCATAACCGGTTGGTTACTGCGCAGGCGATTGGCAGAGGGGCAGTTGGCAAAGACATGACCGGGGTTGGCACAGTACATACAGAGATTGTTGTCCCTTCGCCATTGTTTTTCAGCGGCAGAGGTTTTGCGTTGTCCATTGACAAAAGTGTATCGTTGTTCAATGGCAGGACGTTGAGTGGGGCGGCTTTGGAGAGCGGAGAGGTCCATTGGCGCGAGGCCTCCGGCGGTATGAGCTGGGTGTGCGGCAGCAGCGGGGGCGGTGAATTGTCCCATCGTATTCCGAATGGCCAGTTGTTCAGCTTTGCGACCCCGAACCTGGTTATCGATTGTCATCAACATGGTGGCATAGGCTTCGACGGTGTTAGGCCTGTCTATCCGGTATGTTATAGCGTCCTTCAGGTCTTCCGATAGTCCTTCGGCCAGGGCATCGATCTTGGCTCCCTCGTTGTAGGCCAGGTATGCCACGATGCGGAGGAACTGCGAATAATAGGTAGCGAAGTCCCCTTTGCCTTGCTTCAGGGCAACGAGTTGGCGACGGGCGGTACCCCGGGGGTCTGGGTCTCCAAACGAGGCTTCCAGATGGGCGACGAAGGCAGTGACAGAGGAGAAGGGGGCGGCAGGGTTAGCGTTAACGAGTGGAACGACCTGGTCAAGGGCCCTTCCTTCCAAGCGACTGACGGCATAAATAACCTTTGCTGCCTCGTTTCGGAACCGATCGTGGTTGACTTCAAGTTTCATTCGAAGTTGGGTGGTGAATCCGGGGAGCTTGGTGCAGGTGCCATCGAATTTTTCAGGGTCTGGAAACTTTTCGGACCTGAAGGTGGGGACAGGAGCAGGTGGGGGAGCAGCGGCAACGGGGACAGCAACGGTAGCGGCGGGGGCAGCGCGGGCGACATTGAGGTCGAGGTTGAGCCGGTTTATCTGCTCCTCGAGGTTGTCAATGGTTTCATTAGCGGCGGTGAGTTGTGCATGGAGGGTGTCCCTTTGGAGGCGGACGAGCTGGACGAGGGTGGCGATGTTATCGAATAGTTCGGTGGGGTCAGCCTCATACATCCGTCTGAATGATTCTACATCGTTGGGTGCGGCCCATACAGGTGGGTCGGGGGTGGACATGTCGTACGGTGCGGATGACGATGCAACGTAATCTCAAGGGGGTGAGTAGCGAGTATTCCGCAGGGTACGAAGAGGATAATAGGAGACGGTATGGGAACTCGCAATAGGAGTACTACGGGACTCTAGCGTTGGTAAGGTTCAACGGGGCATGGAGAAAGCGAGGCGGTGGTCTTCTTAAAGAAAGAAGAGAACGGTGATATTGTATAGCGATAAACAGCATAGATACAGAAGACGTTGCGTAAAGAAAGAAGAAGAAGAAGAACACAAAATACAAACAAACCCCCCTTAATATACTCAAGGAAATCTCAGCGATGACAAATCCAACATAACTCAGACATTAACGATCAGCAGAACCCGGTAGAACTCAATAGAACCTTTCTGACTAATCCGACTCTTCATAACCCCGTACCTCCACTAGTCGATCCATGAAAGCAATACATACAGACCCCGAACCATGCCAGTGTGGTACGGAAAACTCAGCGAAACATATACTTATGGAATGCCCAGCGTGGGCTCGAATCCGCGCCCCTCTGATAGAGAAGATCCCTGGAGCGATGACCTGGGAAAACTGGATGTTTACAAACTTGAGAACGGACCTCATCCTACAATTTGCAAAAAAATCTCAACTCTCGAAATGGTACGAGTCGGCGGAGGCGGAGGCGGACCCGGAAGAGGGGATGGAAGAATATGATTAGGGACGGGATTAGGAAGGGCAGTTTCCTTTTACCTTTTAATTTTGGTTTATTTTCGTTTTGATGGATCCAGCGCCCGAATTCGCTGAGATATGTTATTTCTCCTTGTCGATGGGTTTTCTGGTTGAGTGTCGTTCTGGAATTTCCTTGTTTTTATTTGTGTTCGTTTGTGTTCGCTTTTGTTCTTGTTTGTTCGTGTTTGTTGTTTTTCTTTTCTTTTTCTTTTCCTTTTGTTCGGTTCGTCTTTTAGGCGGTCGGTTCGGCGTGCGATAAGACTTGTACTTCAAAGCAATATAAGTTTCTTCTTCTTCTTCTTCTGTATTTATTCTACGAATATTACTTTAATTCTACGCTACATCATAGGGCTAATCTTGGATCTTTGATCAGGGTTGAACCATCCCATAGTCTACAGTCTCGAATCCCTCGATACCATATCTTCGCTTTGGTTGTATTCCTTGGCACTACAGTCTCTCGTTCACAGACCCACGTTATAGGACTATGCCAGGGAAGTCTACAATAAACGAAAGCTCTACAGCAATGATTACGTCCACATTTGAATGGCAGCTCATTTATGCAGGTCCCGGTTGTATGGCAACCAAGGCTGCAGGTGTTACAAAGGCTTTGACTAATAGTGGTTGCCTTGAGCATCGGAATAACCTGTTGACGCTGAGAGAAAAGTAGGGTAGCGGTGATATTGTTTCCCGGACCGAGCAAAAGGTTTCACCGGAACTTAGTAAGAAGTTAGGAGCAGAGAATAGAAGTCTTGGAGTGGAAGTGCTCAGGCTCATTCTCGCCCTTCAGTCTTGTTCTCTCGAGTCTTCATCAGAAAGAAAAATCAAGTTCTTATCAGTAGCAGAGCATTGAAAGATTATTGAGTTCTAGCAATAGTATCTTTGAATAATCTGCAACCTGATTGTCTATCTTACCTGACCGTCTCTATTCTATCCTATTCTTATTCTCTTAGAAGAGATACCCATTACATCTCCCGCTTAAATTACCCCGCACTCTTGAAGTCATCGACGAGCAGCCCATATCCTCTAGACAGATCACCCACCTGTGCTACCTGCCACTGTCAATCGACTCCCACTATGAAACTATTCCCTTCTTCCTCACCAAACTTGGCTTCTATCCACTCGTACTTGGGATTCTTTGGCTTCAACTACACCACGCCACATTACGGTTTAAAGATAATAACATACTGTTCGACTCCGAATACTGCAAACGCAGTTGCAACTCCTCCGCAAAACTCGTTCCCATTAAAGGAATTGCACCACCACTCCGTTTCCACCTCATCAGTTCAGCTGCCCTTTGCCCCTTTGCTTGAAGGACAAACTCCAAATCTTCAGTACAACTATAAAGGAAATCGACTAAGCCGTTGGCAAAACCCCCAAGGAATACTGGAGAGACTGAATTCCAACCTTGTATAAGAGGTTCCATAAGATCATGGATGAGAAGTTCGCGAATGCAATGCCGAAATGCCACCCCTATGATCATAAGATACCGTTCAAGCAAGGAAAAGAACCCCTGTTCAGACTACTCTATAGTATGTCCGCGAGGAACTCATCGTGCTCAAGCAATACACACAGGATAACCTTGAAAAGGACTTCATACAGGCCAGCTCTTCCCCTGCTGGTACCTCTGTCCTATTTGTTAAAAAGGCCGATGGAACACTATGTCTCTGCGTCAATTATCGTGGCCTTAACGAACTTATCGTAAAAAACCGCTACCCGCTGCTGCTTATCTGGAAAACTTTAGATCACCTCTCCAAAATCAAGTGGTATACCAAACTCGACCTTTGCTGAGGGTATAACCAGATCCGCATGGCTGAGGGTGAGGAATGGAAAACAGCCTTTTATACACGTTACGGGTATTTCGAATATATGGTAATGCCTTTTGGCCTCATCAACGTGCCAGCTATCTTCCAACATTTTGTCAACGATTGCGTTCGTGACTACCTCGACATGTTCTGTACAGCCTAAATTGACGATATTGTCATTTATAGCGACAGCTTTGAGGAAAATCAGGTAAATATCGAAAATATTCTGGAAGCCCTACAAAGAAATGGAGTACTGCTGAAACCAGAGAAATGCAAGATGCATACATAAAGCACCACCTACCTTGGCCTCATCATTGAACCCAACGGCATAAAAATAGATACAAGGAAAGTTGATACAGTAAAGAACTGGACCGTCAAGCACATTTCCGGCGATTCACACCAAAATAGTAAAATTGATTCATTAACTCATTCACTTCTATAGACTTTAGAGACTATAGAGAGTCCAGACTTGGAATATCCGTTAAGGTTTTGGCCTTCGGGCGTTTCGAGCTGTACGTGCGCATCATGCGGTATCACTCGGACAGGTTAACCTGCGCTTGTGAGACGAGGCGAGATTGGGAGAGGTTTATCTTGTGTTGTGCGAGAATCTTCGCTCCAGCGGCGTATCCGTGTTCCACGCGCCTGGGGGTTGGGGTTCGAAGGGGGGGAAGTGGAGTCATGGGGTATCACTCGATCACAGTGTATCACCCGGTAGATACACCCACGCCCTTTTTTTTTTTTTTTTTTGCACACCCGCACATGCGCGCGGCGTCTATGCCAAGGTCACTGGGTGCGAGATTGGTAGTGAGATTGATGCTGGTTATGCTTACGCTGGTTTGTCTGTAGCTAGAATGGTCGCGATCGGTGTAGATCTCGGACAAGGAGTCGTGTTTTCACTCTACTTGGCCATGGTGTAAGGCATTATCTACTATGTGGCTACAGCAAGACCTATCATAATTCCACCCCCGTGGTGACCGGACTTTGCTGGAGTTATCGTAGGGATAGAATTTAGAGAGAGGTATTTGTTAGCAAACTACAGGCATTGTTCACTCCAACAGCTGGAGGTTTGGTAGGGATGGAATTTCGAGAGGGTGGAATTATGATAGGTTCTGCTGTATATACATAATCACAATAGGACCGTTATCTGTACATCCTCTGCACGTATCGTAGAAAGGTAAGTACATAGTTAAGTAAGCTGGCAGACTGCATATCCGCAGTGGAATTATTTTATTCGGAACAGAGACGATTCCGTGCGTTAGTAAGGAATTAAACAAAAAAAAAATGCTTTCGTGCGTTGTACAGCGGTCGGTGGTAAGTGTGATGGAACGGGCCGAGACACAGTTGTACCTGTTGTGGGCAAAACGCCCACCGATATGCGGCGTTTGTAGGTGTAGATGTATCTCAGGGCGTTCCATCACTCATTACCAATCGCTAGATTAGTACTGCGCTGTGCTACATTTTGTTATTGTCAGTGTTTTTGTCTATTGTTTGTACATGCCCTAGGCAGCTGGGAATGAATACGGACATGGGTATGTTCGAATTCCCTCGACCTCACGCTCCTAGCTGATGACTCCCGAGCAGAAGGAAGAATCGCTCGCAATTTTATTTCTCGGTTGTATATAATCCCCACGAGAGGTCCGCTAGCTACACATCTTCTATCAAAATCCCCACGCCGTGGATAGAAACATCGACTATCATCCCCAGCGCGTCCACGTGGCGGAGGTGTTAATCTACCATGCAATACATGTACTACGTACTACAACTGCCATCCCTCACCATCAGATATCAGGGAATAGATATCATCATCCTCTCCCTGATCTACATCCTCCGCCATATCCCACCACTCGTCGTCCAGCGATGCCTCCCAGTGTACTTCCACCACCCCCTTCTCCTCCCCCACGGTCGGGGCCCGTGGCGGGCGGGCGTATCGCACCGCCCCCATGTCCGGAAGAAGGGGCGCCTCTGGTATGACAGGGCGCGACCTCTGAACATCCACCTGGCCTGGAAACGACCACATATCGTTACTGATTGTGTTCTGTTTCTCGTCGATTGCTTTAAGGTCGGATAGGGTCCTCTCAATATCCTCCGGGAATGGAAATGGCAACATATCATTTTCGATCTTTTGATGTTTCTCGGCGATCACCCTCTCCAGGTCTGACGGGGTCCACCATGCGTCACCGGAGACGCCCATGTCGTGCTCTTCATCCCAGCCACCCGCCCCATTCACAAGAGGAATATAGCTATCCATCAACGGCTCCATCAACGGCGAGCGCAAACGACTCATCAGGGGCGAGCGCACATGACCCCCCTGCCGCTCCCTCTGCGACATCGTCCAGTCCCACACCTCCCTCCACCGACACCCCCCCTCCAGCACCGCCGCCCCCCCCTCCACACTCTTCGCAAACACCGTCCTGAGCCTGACCTTTCGGTACAGCACCGCATACACCATCTCTCCCACCGCCTTCATCCCCACCTGCCCCTCGCCGCCCCACTGCCCCCCCGCGGCCCCCTCCGGCGCCAGCACCGCCGTCCCCGGCACGACCGCCAGCACCCCCGCGCTGCCACCCCCCGCACGCTCGGACGTGAAACTCGCATTACACGCGCTGCGGATGCCGACAACGAGATACACGCTGTCGCCTCTCCGCGCCGCGGCCTGCATCCACCGCTGCGTTGCCTCCTGCCCGCACGCCTCTGCAAACCACCCGTCCGAGTTCTGCAGGTCGCTCGTGGTGGTCTGCGGCGCGGCGAGGGTCGCGGCGCCGGTCGAGGTGGTGGTGAAGCGGAGGGAGAGCAGGTCGGCGAGGCCGACGCTGAGGCGCGAGCGCTTGGTGAAGGTGCGGGTTTCGCGGAAGTCGGTGTGGTGCGCGGTGTGGGTCTCGGTGGTGTTTGGGCGGGGTGGGAGGGGGTCGTGGAAGTGTTGGTGTGGGCGGTGGGGGCTGGTGGTGAGGCGGCCGAGCGCGGTGGAGGTGGGGGGGAGGAGGTAGGTGAGGAGGTGGGCGGTGGTCATGGTTGTTGTGGGGGGGGGGTGGAGTCCTGGCCCGGGGGAGTGGGGGAGAGGGGCTTGCTTTTCAGTTGTACCGTGGATGTAAAATACCCCCTCGATTGGTAGGTTGTAGGTACAGTCTGTAGACGTATTCGCGAGGTCAGCTAGCTATATCTCCATTCTTCTCATCGTGCCCAGAATCCCACTGCCGACGTAAAAGCACAGTAAGAAAAAGAAAAAGAAAGAAAAAACCGCGAGGCTGCACGAAATAAGCTAGGCGGCAATCCACATCCACGAGGGGCTGAGAAATCAGAAGCACCGCCCTACTCTGGGTATGTACTCGTAGTTTTTTTTTCCGTTTCCGAACTGGACTGGGTCTGCATATGGGCGTAAATCGTGCTTGGCAACCAGATTTTGGTGATATGCAGACTCAGTCCGGTTCGGAAACGTTAGAAAACTACGAGTAGAGTAAGAGGGTGTAGCGAAAAGTGATCAGAATCTGATAAGACAAATACACGTATTCACCGCAGCATTCACTTATCAGATTCTGATCACTTACCCTCAACACCCGGTACATACCTAGAGTGTCTGACATATCAGAGTGCATGCGGCGCTGACCGGGGCTAAATTCACGATCGCCGGCACAGCGTGCGATGGATGGTGGGTGAGGTGTGCAGATCAGATCCCAGTGAGAGGTGCGAGCCTTGAGCCTTGAGCCTTGGCACCTTCCGTAACGCGAACGGTGAACATCATATTCCATCACTCGATCATGTTATATCACATCACTCGGTCACGTTCCATCACTCGCCACACAATTGTCGATTTTAGGGGGAAATGGGGTTTCACGAGGGAAAAATTAAATCTTGCTTTTGCGACCCGGACAGGCATGCATAGTTGATTGACGATCAGGCCGTGTGGTCAGTTGCCCCCCCCCCCCCCAAAAAAAAAAAAAAAAAGGAAAAATCCGTTATGGTGCCCCCCCCCGATCTTAAAGGTAACCAAAAGTGACAAAAAGTCAATCACTAATAACCATACCACCAAGAAACATAGAAATCTGTACAATAAAATTGTAGTAGTAGTAGTGATGAAGCCCACCTTTAGAGCCTAAAATCGGCTGTTTTTGTATGTAAAAGCACACTAAGCTAGACTGAGCAAAGTGGAACAGTATTATACCCGTTTATACCCCCTCAAAACCCGAATTGCAGCAGGAAGGAATGCAGCAAAGTGGCTAGAAATAGGCCCTCTCGTTGGCGCGGGAGTCATCTTGCAGCAACCGATTGTTCCACTTCCAGATATACCGCCGTGTCACCTTTAAGAGTGTGCGCACCATATATGTCGGAGTACATGAACTAATATTCTTGAGTCTCCTGCGCATGCATAAAGCCTTGTCTATAACAGGACCGCCGTACGCCCTGCCGGCCTCTGTATCGTAGAAAAGTAATAGTCAGACAGGTCAACCAAGAAAACCAGATCTTCCGCATTTCTATTCATGTATTCCTAGCTAGCATGCAGGAAGGCTGTTGATGTTTCGTGTGTTAGGCGCTGTAAGTATGTGCTGCGATTCCTTATTGCCGCTTTAGCTAGAAACAACATTTTTTGTCAGTTGTTTGTGCCGGCCCTCCATGGCACAGCCGGCGTAAATATACATGTTCTCTGCAAGATCTGCTATGCATCTCCAGCCGTTGAGCACTGCTGCAGGAGGAAGAAGAAACCATCGATCCACAACTCTATTCCCCATCTACCTAGCCACGTTCAACTCCTCACACTCGACCGCTGGCCCCACCCAGCACGCGAAACCGCCCCGGCGGCAAGTAACCTTAGTACTTAGCAACCATCACCTCCGCAATCAACTATTTACAACATATCCCCATGGGCACGAACTACATAATATATATATAGTACACATCATACATATTCGTATGTGCACGGCACATCGCCCCCGCCACTCCACTGCACATCATACCCCCCCCCTCTCCTCCTCCCGGCCCCCCGCGTACACCCTCCCCTCCAGCTCTTCCTCCTCCTCTCCATCCGACGGCACGTCCCACTCCTGATCGTCCAGCGTCGCCTCCCAGTGTACTGTTTCCTCGCCGTTCACCACATATGAATCCTCCTCCTCGTCGTCATCCAGACATATATCCATCTCCTCGCCGCCATCCACCACACAATAATCTGTCCCCTCGTCGTCGCCCCCAACAAGGGAGTACCGATCGCGACCCTCCCCACGACCCCCGATCAACGCCCCCCGCCCGGCGACCATCGCCCCTCGCATCCCCGTCGTACTGAGCCGGCGGCGCTGAACAAGCCCGTGCCCCTGACCGCGCACAGCGGCCTCGTCATACCGATACTTCAACAGCGGGCTGAAAAGCGGCGCTGGTTCGGTCGCTGGTTCGGACACCACATCCTCCCCGCCGCCCCTGCAATCACAACCACGACCCCCTGTACGCGCATACCTGATGATATGAATGGACTCGGGTCATCCTGTTCAACCCATAGCCACGGAGCCGGGAATCGTGAGGCGACGGTTCTCGGGCAACCTCAAAATCCTGTCCGAGATTGCCCTACTAGATTCTAGACGTCAGTTACGGAACGGCTAGGAATTCATAGAAGACTCTCGACATCGTACCACCCGCAAACAGATGGCCAAACAGAAAGGACCAATCAGCATATGGAGTTTTACATTCACTCATGCACTGCAGGCACTGGCAAGAAATGGAAAGACTTATTACCCATTTGCGATTACACATACAATAATGGGAAGCATACGTCAATCAGGCAATCATCATTCTACTGCAACTATGGTTTTCACCCACGCAGTGATTGGCCAATGGATGCAGAGATCGAGCGATTGGATGCCAGCGGGAACGAATATTTGGACAATATTATCACGGCTCATGAGTTAGCGAGAGACACGCTACAAGAGACCTTTGATAGGATGGCCTCAAGACTAGGACCAGCAGTCCAACGTTTCACCATCGGCCAATAGGTCTTTCTAGATACTCGTAACCTCGGCGGTTACAATAAATAGGCAGACAAGGTTACGGGACCATTTACAGTGGTAGCAGCTGTCAGCAACAGGGTTTATCATTTGAGTCTTCCGGTAGAATGGAAGGTTCATGACGTATTCCACTAGATGTTGTTGCAATCTTATCGCGAGGACCCAAATCCCGGTAGGTAGCAGAATACATGAAAACGACTAGCAACACCTGAGCCTCAAGAGGCATTGGCGGATGAGAACTTCCAGCCAACCACGAACACTCGCCCCCAAACGAGGAGTCGAGGCCCGGTGGTCGACGCCCGGCAGACCCACAAACGGCAACAGACTAGTAGAGACTAGCCTCGATACCATTCCCACTCTATAACTTTTCCCACAGGGTTTTTATCATAAGAGAGGTTTTTAATGGTCGAGGGCGACGTCTAGGAAGGGAGAGTAGTGTTATAGAAATTACGGAGCGCTGTGCAAAGGGGAAGCACAGTGAGGAAAACGAGTGACGGGTTGTGATGAAAGTACGGTCGGGTAACGAGAGGACAAGCATAGAAAAGTATCGGGTATTAGGGAAGCACTTGGTGCCACCACACTAGTATTAGGCTATTGTGATAGCGCACTTACTATTAGGGTGACTCACCCGGAAAGGAATAGAAGCGGCGCTTACGGCTGCAGGCTGTTCTACTTCTGGAAGTAGGTCTAGGACAATAATATGATACAGCTCAGTTACTGGCAGTGCAAGGTTCAAGATTACGTTTCGGGATTAGAATAGAGAACGGGACTATGCGGGGACGCTTTTCGATTGGGGTTATCTTCAGGTTGATTGTATTATTCCATTATTGTTATGTTGGCAGTATTAGAAAGTGGGCCTTAGCAAAGGTTCCAGTATGTATAAAAAGAATACGGTTCTGCCTCGACTTAGTGGTATCATCAGCCATCAAGCGAGCGGAATCCGGTCTACAATATTAAACTGTTTAAAAGCTACAGAATTGCTGTTTAGCATTGGCATTTCCCCAAACACTATATTGTACCTTATCCACTACACGTTTTACCTATCGCATACTACCAATGTCTCGATAAGACAACTACTCGCTTAGCCTATTACTTTGAGTATTTTGCTTGTTGCGGATAGTCACCGTACTCTTCGTAGGAAGTATAAGAAAGTAGTATATTAGACAAATACTTAGTACCTCATGCACCTTTGAGTAGCAACAGCAGCTATCAATCATTGGGGTCGTTAACGCAAACAGTACGGATCTGCAAATCTTTGAAACCAAGGAACCTTGTCCACACCTCTCTGCTGCCACTAGCTTCTATAACTGGCACCAACGGCTCGGACATCTCCCTGCTTCCTCACTGTCACAGCTTCACACAATGGTCGCCGATCCAAAGTCTCTCCCCACAACAGGTCATATGGAAATATGCAATACATATGAACTCGCCAAATTCACCAAATCAAACCTCGCTCCTCTTACCGGACCACGATCCAAACAACCACTAGAACAAATCCACTCATATCTGTGCGACAAGTTTTCCATTCCTTCTCTTCGCGGTTTTAGTTATTATATTACTTTCATCGACGATTACTCCAAGTACGCTCACCTCTACTTCCTTAAAAAGAAGTCAGATGCAGCAGCTGCCACACAACGGCACATTGCATACATGGAAAATCAAATAGACAAAACGGTCAAATGGTTTCGAAGTGACAATGGTGGCGAATACATCTCCAACGACCTCCAACAGTTCTTTGCCACCAAAGACATAAAACATGAATTCACTATACGCTACTCTCATGAGTCAAACGGAACAGCAAAACACTTTAACAAAATGATAGCAACAATGACACGATCCGCTTTGCTCGACCATGATCTCCCACGGAATCTATGGGCAGAAGCGATGAATACAATGGTGCATTTCAAGAATCATCTCCCACATAAAGCATTCCCGAATATGACACCATACGAAGCAGTTACTGGCAAGAAACTCTTCATTGGGCATCTCTAATCTTTCGGTGAAATAATGTTCATTCACATACCTGTCGAAGCACGACTAGCTGGAACAAAGATGGATGCTAGGGCAATCACGGGACAATCCTGCAGCTATGAAGTCTCTGATAAAATCTGCCGTGTTTATATACCATCACAAAGAAAAGTAGTTCTCTCTCGTCATTTTAGGTCTAAAGGTCCATCCGTAGGGGAAGAAATCGAAACAATGAAAACCGACACACCCACTAAACCAAAACAAATCGAGATCAAACAAGAACCACTCTCAGATCCACCAACACCACCTGCAAAACTCTCAGATTCTGATATCGAAGACATGTTCAAAAAACAAATGCTTCGGAAAACTCTGGGACATATTACCGACGATGAATCTGAAGAAGAAGAAGAGGAAGACGCAAGTATAGTAGGTGTGGGCTTTTCGAGGTCCACTCCTGAACGTACCCCGCAGGATGATGTTGACACGGATACTGATCAACCGAGATATAACCCAGTACGGGAACGGAAAACCCCGGCCAGATACGGATACAACATTCAAAACGATGTTACCCTCACAGAACCAACAAACTATCACCACGCCATCAACAGTCCTGACTCCGAGAAATAGCAAAAAGCTATCGGAGTTGAACTCGACTCACTCGCTAGAAATAATACTTGGAATCTGGTTGACACACCAGATCACTCAAAGCTGGTCGACTGCAAATGTGTTTACAAAATTAAACTCGGGCCCGATGGCAACCCCATTCGATACAAAGCCCGCCTTATCGCAAAAGGTTTCTCACAGGTACCTAGTCAACATTTGATCAAACCTACGCCCCCATTACCCGATAAGAATCCATCAGACTACTTCTTGCTCACTGTCTTCAAACCGGTGGCCAATGCGATCAGATAGACGTTACTAGCATTTTTCTATACGGTGAACTCCAGGAAGAAATCTACATGAAATCACCACCTCGGTACCCTACTCCAGGCGAAGCATGCAGACTCATCAAGTGCATCTATGGCCTCAAACAGTCATCTCGGGAATGGTATACCCGTCTCTCTAAAACGCTAATCAAAATGAGATTCAGAAAGGTAGACTTCGACCCTTGTATCTTCATACACAAAACAGGGGAAGTTGTCATTGTCATCTATTTGGACGATATCCTTATCTCCTACTGGTCTATTGAATGCAAGAACCACGGTAGCCTCCAACTCCATGCAGAATTCGAGATGACGGAAACTGGCACAGTCAACTGGACACTCAGGATCCACTTGCTCCAAACTAAGACCGGCGTCATCCTATCACATGAAGCCTATCTCAAGTGTGTACTTATCAAATACGGTTTCGATGAATCTAGACCTGTGGCAACACCTATCGACAACAATGTTCACCTACAAAAGGGAACAGAAGCGGAGAAAATTGATGATCCAATAATCTATCAGTCGATAATCGGTTCATTAATGTATGCAGTAGTCGGTACCAGACCGGACCTCGCCTACCCCGTTACCATGCTCTCGCAATTTTCCTCCTGCCCCACTAAAACTCACCTGGCTGCAGTCTATCGTGTTCTTCGTTACCTCAAGGGTACCCTCGATTGGTCACTCTTTTATGCAAAAACGCCACCCACTGCACTCATTGGCTTCAGTGATGCAAGCTATGCCTCTGACATCGACGATCACTGCTCATTTAACCGGCACTGCTTTATGCTAGGGGAAGCTCTCATCTCCTGGCGCTCTTATAAGCAATGCTCCGTCGCTACCTCCACTATTGAGGCAGAATACATGGCTCTTTCAGACACCAGTCGATAACTGATCTGGCTAAGGAAGGCGATACACGAGTTGGAATGGAAACCAAAACTTTCTTTTATTCTTCGTTGTGATAATAATTGTTCTTTATCCTTGGTTAAAAATCTTGTCTTTCATAAAAGGTCTAAACATATTGATGTGCATTTTCATTTTGTTCGGGAATGATACAAGGATAAATTGTTTGAGTTGGAGTATATTTATATAAATGAAAACGAGGCAGATTTATTTACAAAGGGATTGGATAAGGGTAAACATATTTTATTTTCTTCTACTATTCACTGTGGCTCACGAGGGGAAGTCTTGAAATAGTACGATCGGCACGTTTCATAGTATTGGAGGATTCTCATTTCTCATCATGAGTCACGGGTTCTGACTCATTCTTTCACTGGTATTTATTAGTCATGTTTTTCTATTACTCATACGGCTATGATTCTTTATGTTTTGTATTACCTTTCTTTAGTATAAATATGGGGCATTCCCCCCTCTAGCTAGTTGAACTAATACGCTCAATTACTACACTTCTCTACATATATTTTCTCTAAAAGATAGTTGGGGAATACTTTTAAAAAATGATTTTTGTCCATCCGATATTCACTACATGATGAAACAGTTACTCTACTATGTGCGCAGGATGATGTTGATAATTCGAGTAGTTCGTGTTGATGATCACGATGGGTTGGTGTTGATGATCACGATGGGTTGGCCATGGTGTTGACCGAACAATCTTATTCCCCCTGTCCTGAAGTGTTACTGTCACGCCTGAGGGTGACAGTGGCAGTGATGCCGCATTTCTACAGTACTAATATCAATAATTTATTCTCAAAAGTGCGGCTGTACGGCGGTATTTCTCAAAATGCGCATAGACCTAGCATTTCTGTGGCATTCCTACGGCACGGATTATACCCCGTTTTTTGGTACTGTATGTAAGTATATACTCGAAACCAAATCGAAGACATCATATGGCATCACAGACAATGAGGAATCTGAGTACCCCTCGAACCATTGCCATAACGTTTATTTGCAAAATAGTCGAGATGCTGTTAGCCATCAACGAGCTTGTTGTATCCTCTGTCGTAGAGAGGCTGCAGTGTCCTGTCCTTAGGAAATTGAGAGCCTGATCTACCTTAACCGAGTGATGACCCGTGATCGATCATGATTTAATTGCTGGACTATTCACAGCGTTTAGAGGCAGCTCTGAGATAAAAAAGTACAAACCTACCACTATTTGCCTGCGTCAAGAAAAAGAAAAACGTTACTTGACTCGAGGGTAGGTGCGTATCACACGAAACCCTCATTTTGAACTTTTAGACGTTCCACCACCCTTCCCGTCACTTCTCCAACCCCACATTTAGCCCGCTCTACACCTTATCTGCAAAAGAGGTCAATCTCAGTCTTAAACCCTTCTCCCTCCGTCAGAAAACTCTGCTCCATTACAATATCTCGGTACAACTTTAGTAATAGACGCAATCTACATATAATTTATATCGAAACTAGAGCATGTAAGAATTATAAAAGTTGGCACGCGTCTAATAGTTAATACCCGGAGCCAGGATTAAGAGTACCAAGGCCGAGGTGCTGCTCTCTACGAGATGAAGGCAAATCTCGTCGTGGCCGTCTAACGATGTCAGTCACGTGGTGGATATCAACAGCAAAAGGTGAACACGGTTCCTCGAGTTATCCTCACGTGACCGAAACTTGAGATCAGCAGATCGGGAGGTAATGTTCGTTCAACGCCCGCGTCCAATAGGGTGATAACTATCCTATAACCAGGGGTCAAAATTGTGATTTGGGCCGTTGGATAAGATAAGCATCATGAGCATGCGCCTGCACCTCTGAAACAACCTTCTTATCCACAAACCGCATCTCTGGGGGCCCACTATCTTGGATTTCAATGCGAGTATTGGATGGCTATGAGGACCTCTCTGTAAGCGGAGAAGGTGGAAGGATAGGTATATAGGAACTATTCGGAGATGGTGGGATGCTGCAGAATCTCAGCAATAACGAAACGAACTGGGCTGGAATACCACTTACCAATTGGTCAAGACGACCAAAAGTTACGCTTTGGCTCTGTCGGATTGAGTCTCAACAAGCATTTGACCAATCCGAAGCCCAATATTCCAGTCCAGCTTGTTTCGTAATTCCAGAAATTTTGCGGTAGGTGTTGCCTTCCTGCTAAAGATCGATTTCAGAGAAAATGACATGTCAGCTACAAGGCATGCGCACCAACTCTTTCTCTACTGCGCACAAATCCCATGCAACCGAAATCCATTGGTGGTACAAAAGGTCGCCGGCAGTATGTGTGGAGTGAAATCCAGGGGAAGATTTACACTCGGGTAAGAAAACTGGTTGTTTTTTGAATTAAGAAGCTCCAATCGCTTACCCGAGGAGCCATTGAACAGAAAGTAAGTGCTCTACGTAGAGTACACACGGCCCGGTGCCAGCGATGTGAGCTCAACCTGAAACTCTGGTTTAGCGCGATCGGCCACTTACCGGGGTGCATACAGCAAATCAATGAGTGAGGTGAAAGTGCAAAAGTCTGGCTACGAGAGAGGCAAAGATCATTTATAAAGTAAAATCCCGCCGTGAGTATTTTGTTTACCCCACACAACACTCCATCCCCGACACATCCCCACCACAACAATTCCGCTATAGATATGGGTTCTGTTCAATCCAAAATTCGGCGCCTTTTCAAAAAGAAGCCCAAGAAGACCCCGAACAATAATCTCCCGACAAAAACCACCCAGGATGCACCTCCGAAAAATGTGCCTGGCGAATCCAGTCCGGCGCCCGGCGCTTTACAGCAACAAGCTAACGCAACATATCAAGATACGGGAGTAGTTCTTCGTGAATCACAAATTCCTAGGTTTGCTCACTGCAGATTTTGTGCGGTGAATTCTTTCTGATCCGGGATCTATAAGTGAGGCTATTGGTGTCCCCGATAATGTTTCTTCTAGTCCGATACTTCCTTCCCCGCATACAAGCGTCGAGATGAATGGGGATGCTCCCCAACTGGAACACGGAACCACGGCCGTTAGCGATGTTGACTTAGCCACAAGTCCCCAGTGTGAAGTGGGTAGTCTGTTATCTTCTCATGAAGTTGCAGATACCGCAAAAGCTAGGTAAGGCTCAACTAGAGTAGCAAGCATTCGCCTAATTTACTTTCCATCTACTTACAGGACCGTTCTTTAGGATCTCGATGCTATGGCGCGAAGCAATCGAAAACCTCAAGCAGAAGGAAAAAATTGAGGTAGAGATGGATTCTGAGGAGGATACGTATACCATGAAGCCCGTTCAGAACCTTCTTGACGACGTAAAAAAAAATCGTGCAATAATCGAAAATCAGCGAATTCGCTATAGGAACAGTGAAGGAGAATATGTAGCTGTGGCCGATACAATCTTTAGAGAGCTTAACAACTACGCTTTTGTCGGAGACAAGGCTTTACAGCATCATCCAGATGTTGTTGCCTTGGTGTGGTCAGGATTTAGGCTTCTCTTACATGTATGTGACGTTACCCCTCTATCCAACTTGCAGGTTGGATTCTCACAGTCGCCATAAAGATAGGGACCTCATATGCCAATAATCTTGCAATGATCTTGAGCAGCTTGGGATATCTCGCGTGGGTTATATGCTGTGGTGCACTTTATGAGGATCTGTACTTGGAAATAGACTCTGAGTTGTCTCGAGAGTTACGAGATTGCTTGGTGGCTCAATATGTCTTGATATTATCATATCTTTCATATGCGAATGAGCATCTTCAACGGAATAAAACAGGTGGGGAACCCCCAAGTCAGTTCTCCCATCGATTAGCTCTTTTAATAACTAGTTATCAATTGTTTAGAACGCATTTTTGAAAGCCTGTCACCACGCCTATCTCGGCTGCTGGACAATATACGGGAATCTGAAAAGACAATAAAAGAGCGTGCAGACATAGCCGAGAGGAAAGGTGAGGACAACTAGTATTGCTACATATGTTGTATTACGCTAACTTGTGCTGAAAGCGGCCAGCACGGATCGATCTGGTATATATTTACCCCTATTCACTAAACTATTATATGGATATTCTAACATGTTTGGGCGAAAAACAGAGCAGGATGCGTCACGACGCGAGTTGGCGGATAATTTAAAACATGTCAGGGAACGATTGGAAAATGTCAAGACTGCCGTCGATGAGTGCCATACAAAACTTTCCAAACTTTGCCATTTTATTGATAGTAAGTGACAAGTACATTGATCTAAGCAGGAATTTTACTAATAGTGGTCAAGAGACTATTTTCGATAATACGCTCGACTGGGTATGCCATATCCAATATGGCAAGATTCATGAAGAGCACAGTGAGAAGCGTACTGCAGATACATGCATTTGGCTTGAAAACAACCGTATATTTCAAGAGTGGGTTCATTGTCGGTCATCGTCGGCCGTCCTCTGGCTGAGGGGTGCAGGTATGATATGCCCGCATGCTATCCCTTCATGCTTGAAAATTAAACTAATTCATCCACCAGCCGGGACCGGGAAAACAATTCTGGCGTAAGACTTATTTTGTAGCATCTGTTATTTCTGTGATCTCCGTTTAGACTGTCTAACGTCCTTAACAGCTCCTCCATCATTGACCTGCTCAACGATAAATACAAAATGAAGCGGTCTTTAGCGTACTTTTACTGCAGTATTACATCTCGGGACAGAATCACACCTGAATCAGTGCTAAGAGCGATTACAAAGCAACTCTGTCATGCGCATTCCGGAGAGAAACTGCCCAAAAAGCTGGTGGAAATTAAAGATAAGAGGGTTCGAGAGTCAGCAGGGCTATTAAGTTTGGAAGAAAGTACAAATCTCATTATAGAGCTTTCCAACTATTTATCATCGGGGGTATGGATTGTTATTGACGCACTGGATGAATGCGATGGCAGCACTCGGAAAAATCTATTTACCTCTTTGGACAAAATTGTAACTGGCGGCAAGGATATCCGAATATTTCTTACGGGCCGCGATGAGGCTGATATCAGAGGTTATATGATGCAAAGACATCAGAATTATCTTATTGACCCTAGAGATAACGCCTCTGATATAGAGCTATATATAAAGAGCGAGCTGAGAAAGCTTTACGAGGATCTCGCGTTTCGCGAAGTAGAGCCTGAACTTGTCACCCAGATGAAAAGTCTCGAGAAAGAAAATATCGAGTCATTGAAAGGGAATGCCAATGGAATGTATGTATGGAGATTACTGCCACTAGGAATACGTCGCTTATATTCGATGCAGGTTTCTCTCGGTCCATCATCGAATGAAAGCCCTGCGCGTTGAAACAACACTTCACGGTGTGCAAAAGGCTATTAAAGACTTCCCCAAGTCTCTGAACGCGGTCTATGCAGATATATTGAAGAGGATCAGTAGACAGAGCGACACCGATTCTGCATCTGCACATGACATATTGAAGTGGCTTTTTTATGCGGTAGACGATTTTTCAGCCGACACCATTCTCGAAGCTCTGCGCCACACTGTATCAGTGAAAGAGAGCGGGAACTCCAAACCAAAGGCGCGGACTGTAAGGAATGCCCAGAATATTTGTTGTGGACTCGTCACCCACGACGAAAAAACTAAGGTGCTTCGATTTTCGCATGCTACGGTAAAGGAGTACCTGGAGAGGCTTAACGGACCTGATTCATGCCTCCATGGAGGGCACGAATTCATGTCCGATATATGTCTCAGAATCCTTACCATCTCTAATTATCGCATCGATGAGCAATGTACCGATGGCACTTCAAGCCAGGCTTTTATCAACTATGCAACTCGCAACTGGGGAAACCATGTCCGCCACTGCGAGTCAAGAGACTCGTGCCAGGCCTTCCTCGAGCCGTCATCCTCCTCCTACAAAGCCTGGTCATCCAAGGCCGTCGAAACCATACCTGACCTACGCATGAAAGGACCCAAGGGGGGTTGCGTCGATCTATTATGGGTGACATGCTATTATCGCCTGTTGAGTACATTCAAGATAAGTCTGGAAACGATCGGTGCTGGCTGCATCAACGCTGCCGGACGTACCCCGTTACATCACTGCGCAGAACATGGCTACTTGGAATTTGTTGAACATCTGGTCAAGCATAAAGATATTGCCGTCAACGCCCAGGATGACATGAAACGTACACCGCTGCTGCTAGCGATAATTTCGAATCAGGTAGATGTCGTTCGGGCTCTATTAAAACACCCGCATCTTCAGGTTTATATCGTCGATAAAGATCGAAGAACGGCGTTGATGCATGCTTCCATGATTGGTAGCGAAAATATAGTAGAGCTGTTACTAGATTCAACAAAATGTGATGTCAATGTCAGAGATACAGAAGGTTATACCGCCCTACACTACGCTACGTTAAACAGGCACGAGAGCATTTTGGATTTACTCCTCCGGGTTTCTTCTCTCAATATCAACGCTCGAAGCACGGATGGAAGCACCGCTCTCTGGCTTTCTGTCCGAAGTGATAAAAACATCGCGGTTGTGGAGAAGCTGCTAAGCTTTCAAGCCAGCACCGGTCGTGCTATTGACCCAAATCTGGCGAATGACAAACGGGAAACACCTCTTTGCGTTGCGGCCCGGCTTGATCAACAAGAGGTCACCGAAAGATTGATAGAGGACAAGCGTGTTGACATCAATTGTGGTATCGGAACGGACAATATGTTTATAGAGGCTGCGGCGAGAAACAAAACGTGGCTAGTAAAACTATTGGTAGCGCGAGGGGATCTGGCTATTAATCGTCCAGGTATGTTCGGCTGGACAGCCCTGTCTAATGCCACCCGTATCAGGTCCTTGGACGCTCTCAAATACATTATAGCAGCTCCCAGTGTCGACATCGAATGCAAAGACGATGAGGGGGACACTTTGCTTCATCTTGCTATTAAACGCCGGAGTATAGATATCGCCTTGGAACTCTTAGCGCACGGAGCGAGCACAAGCGCAGTGGATGGGGAAGGTCAAACGGCACTGATGCTTGCCGTGGAGAACGGGAGTTTTGATGTCTTTAAGGTTCTCCTCGCACAGTACGACAAAGCGCAGTCGCAAGATAGGGGCACGTATTTGCTAGGCGTCGCAGAATGCGGTGGCGACGTACGAATGATTCAACTGATTCTTGATTGGATGGGATATAATACAAGTCTCAATCACAAAAACGATTCTGGCCAAACTGGATTGATGATAGCTGCCGCAAACGGGTTTACCAAGGCTGTTCAGACACTTCTAAAGAAGGATGCGATCGAAGTCAACGCAGTCGACGATAAAGAAGAATCCGCGCTCACTCTTGCAATCTTAAGTGGCCACAACAGTGTGATTGATGCCCTCGTAGAGCACCCTAACATAGAAATCAAACTCCCCGCTCATAATGGTACGGCATTCCCACGATGGGCATTTCAATGTACAAACGACAAGATATTTGATCTTATCTTAAAGAGCTATCCAAGGCTGCAAATCTTTAAAGGTACACATCGCAAGAGGTTTATATCCCTGATATCCGCCGCTTCTTGCAATGACATGCAGATGATGCAATTTCTGTTAACCAATGGATATAACATCAACTATAAAGACGATTTTGGTCAAACCGCACTGATAGTAGCGACAATCAATGGATACATTGAAGTGGTTCAGATGCTATTGGAGAAGGAGGAGATTGATATCAACCTCGTCGACCTCAAAGGGAGATCTGCGCTCCTACTAGCGACAGTAGAAGCACATAATGAAGTCGTTCGGATGCTACTGAAGAAGGATGGAATCGATGTTAATATAGTCGACAAAATGTACGGGCAATCTCCGCTTCTCTATGCGGCAAAAAGAGGACATACCGAGGTGGTTCAGATGCTATTGGAGAAGGAGGAGATCGATATCAACCTCGTCGACCTCAAAGGGAGATCTGCGCTCCTACTAGCGACAGTAGAAGGACATAATGAAGTCGTTCGGATGCTACTGAAGAAGGATGGAATCGATGTTAATATAGTCGACAAAACGTTCAGGCAATCTCCGCTCCTCTTTGCGGCAAAAGGAGGACATACCGAGGTGGTTCAGATGCTATTGGAGAAGGAGGAGATCGATATCAACCTCGTCGACTACAAGGAGAGATCTCCCCTTCTCTGCGCGGCAAAAAGAGGACATACTGGAGTGGTTCAGATGCTACTGAAGAAGGATGGAATCGATGTTAATATAGTCGACAAAATGTACGGGGAATCTCCGCTTCTCTATGCGGCAAAAGGAGGACATACCGAGGTGGTTCAGATGCTATTGGAGAAGGAGGAGATCGATATCAACCTCGTCGACTACAAGGAGAGATCTCCCCTTCTCTGCGCGGCAAAAAGAGGACATACTGGAGTGGTTCAGATGCTATTGGAGAAGGAGGAGATCGATATCAACCTCGTCGACCTCAAAGGGAGATCTGCGCTCCTACTAGCGACAGTAGAAGGACATAATGAAGTCGTTCGGATGCTACTGAAGAAGGATGGAATCGATGTTAATATAGTCGACAAAACGTTCAGGCAATCTCCGCTCCTCTTTGCGGCAGAAAATGGATATACCGAGGTGGTTCAAATGCTATTGGAGAAGGAGGAGATCGATATCAACCCCATCGACCTCAAAGGGAGATCTGCGCTCCTACTAGCGATAGTTGAAGAACATAATGAAGTCGTTCGGATGCTACTGAAGAAGGATGGAATCGATGTTAATATAGTCGACAAAATGTACGGGGAATCTCCGCTTCTCTATGCGGCAAAAGGAGGACATACCGAGGTGGTTCAGATGCTATTGGAGAAGGAGGAGATCGATATCAACCTCGTCGACTACAAGGAGAGATCTCCCCTTCTCTGCGCGGCAAGAAGAGGACATACTGGAGTGGTTCAGATGCTATTGGAGAAGGAGGAGATCGATATCAACCTCGTCAACCTCAAAGGGAGATCTGCGCTCTTGCACGCATTATCCGCTGGATACATGAAAATTATAAAGACTCTCCTTGAACACCCACAGATAGACGTTAGGCTTTGCGATCATCACGGTTCTACGCCACTACTCCTTGCCGCTTACTACGGGTACGAAGAAATATTCAAGTATCTATTCGAACGATCCACGACGGATCAACTCCAGGAAATGGATGGCGATGACGACACGCTACTTCTATTATCGGCGCACTCCGGACATACACGAATAATGCAATTAGTATTGGGCGGTGGTGGATGCAATATTAATCACCGTAATAAAATGGGAAATACTGCTTTGATATACGCCACAGAAGGGGGTCATAAGGACGCTGTGGAAATATTGCTGAAGGAAAACGGGGTTGATCTCGGCATTTTAAACAACCAAGGGGAATCTGCGTTGGATCTTGCCAAGAGGAAGGGTCACAAGGAAGTTTTCGAGCTGCTGGAAGCTAGGATGAGTCAGAAGGTGGAATAGTTCCTTACCTTTCACAAATATTATTACATTTATTTCTTTATGTTCCGTAGTGTATGCAAGGCATGGGGGGAGGGGTGAGCATAGGTTTCCTTTTTAATTGACAGACGAGAAGGCTGGGTTTCATATCTAAATTGTATGTCAGTTTATTATCGTATGCTCTATTATTTATGTATTTGGATTGGGGTTATTTTACCTCCGGGGACTTGCAAATTCGTATTACTATTCATCATTTATCTTACAAAGCAGTACATGATGCGTACTAACCCAGATCAAGAAAAAAGAGTCCGCGACTTTGTTGTCGTCTATATCGACTAAATTATCTCCAACTAACGCCTAAATCGCGGGCGTTTGATTTTACTATATTTCCGAATATCTCGGGAGCTACTAATATCCGAACGTTCTGTGTTATTACGGAAGTCTCTTTGTATCACGGAACGGCAAATACCCGCTTTAAATTCAGGGCATGACTGTCCCGATCGATCCTACGATACTACCAGATATTGAAATTCCCTGTCACACATCTATTCAGGTACCTCCTAGTATAGTATAAATACTTTCGTCGAGCTCAGGCTCTTCCGTCGATCCTCCTCCTCCAGCAACCCGTCCTCCACAAACACCTCAGCGCACTCAGGCTCTCCCGCGTCTCGTCAACCACCTCAGCGAGCTCGTCAATTCTACGCCCTGTATCCCGAAGAGGTTCCGGTGATCTTGAGAATCTCTCTCTTGTCCTAAGGGCACTATATTTCATCCACTGGATACCCTATATATCAACAGCGTTCCGGAGTCCTTTCCACAGCGCTTAGCCATCGATATCGACTACTCCAAGTACCTTCTATCAGCCTCTTACATGGCGGGGGTTCTAGCATCGCTCTCGAGTCCTATGGGCACCAGCTATTGCCGATTTAATGCCCTGTCTATCACAGCGTTCCGGTGCGTCGGCATATTGGTATTGAGTGCTACAGGCACCAGGAGTCAGTCATTCGACGCCCTATATGTGGGGTCCGGGAGAACTTGGGCGGCTGAGAGGCAGCTATCATTCGGTGCCTCACACACCATGGCGTATCGGAGACGTTTGGAAGTGGACGTCGAGTGGAGGGTGAGCTTGGGGATGTTTCGATGAAGATGTGGTGGTGGCGGCGGTATGTGAAATACTCCATGGGGATGAGGTTATGGACCTTGACGCCAATGTGGCGCGGGTGCACGTGACGGAGGGTTGATAACGGGCATGAGATAAATACTATAACGAGTCCTGTGGAGATCGACAGAATAAAGGGTATTTATTACAATGGTGTTATCACGTCTCTATCGACTACATATACTGGATCGGCGGACGCAATGCGGAGCGATATACGTCATACAGAGTGCTAATATGATGTGCCAGCAAAGCAGAAACCGCGCCTATAACCTCATGTTTTCAGGGTAAAACAAGCCAGATAGCGAATCATACATGTGGATTACCGGGCAAACCCATCAGAATACTCCGGGGATCTTTATTCGTAGATTAGTATGAAAAGACTCCAACATGCAACCCTGAATTCATAAATTGAGGAAACCCGCCGCATGGCTGTACATACCTTGATTGGTGACGTACAATTGTAGAAGGCTTTTGCGGCTCAAAGGTGTCTTCAATCGCTTACGTGCGAACACATCGTATACTAGCCACTCCTTGCATTTGCAAGACCGTTTCCCCAATTAACAGACTATCTGGCTGGCGGGTGACATCGACAGCTACACAGTAGTGGCCCTGTAGTACTTCTCCCTACACATAGCGAAACATACCGGATTATATCAGGATCCAATAGCTGAATCTCGCATTGACATACAGCTCAATTAGCTGCTATATATACGCTCCCCTGCCCCCCCCTCTCCCATATGCCTCCGGTACTATCGTATAGGGATAGGAACTCGATAGAGTACACCAACAGCATCTACAAAGAACGGTTATCCATCTCGCTGCTATCACGACGTCTGCTAGGGTGCTCGGCGGCGCAACCCCTGCCACACCACACCGGCTGCATGACCCCCGCTACCGCAGGTGTGATGTCCGACGCGTCGTCCGCAGACATCGCTCTAACGCCAAAGCTCAAACCAGAACTACATGTACCCAGCACCCCTCTCCCAGTGACTGCCCTCTGTGCCCCCTCAACCCGGTGCGCAGTGTCCGACGGTCCAGCCGAGTGCCCAGAATAGAATCATCAGTTATCACTCGGCCGAGTGATAGGCCATGACCGCCAGGCGCCCAGGCGGAAACTGGTGTTCCTGGATGCAATCCCCTCTTTGAAGAAGTAGAGCAGAGTTTGTATCGCTATGTCGCATGTGGGTGTTCCGAGGTTCTCTGGCTACCTGGAGGCCCCCGGCGGCTGTGATGAGTAACGAAAGCGCTCCTTGGCATGTCCTTGGCACACCTAACCCTGCCATTTGCCTACACGTACGTACCTGATCTGATTTTTAAGGGTTGTTGTGAATACTTATCCCATAGTAATGATGAAGTAGTAGTGGCTACTAAGTGCTTCATGGCCGAGTCGGTGGCAGTGCCCGGTATCGCCGGAGGGAGAGTGATTTGTGAGACGCACTTACCGTTACAATGTAGGGTCGGTGAGGTATTTTAAGGGTTTTCAAGAGGAATATCGTGCATCTTCCATGATATGATCTGAAGAAGCACGTTCAGCGCCCATGTCATGTCGGAGCCCGGAACCGGAGGGGGATATATACTCGACTCTACAATAGGCGCATAATATTAGTCTCCGCCCCCGGCACCGCGCCTGGGTGGGTAATTCTCTCATAGCAACCTCGTCACGCCCATTTGAGTGAAGCATGGAACGTTAATGAGCAGTGAACTTGACATCCCAACACATCTCCTTGTTAAACCGGGCGCTTTATTTGGCTCTGTTTCTTTTTTTTTTTTTTTTCTCCTATCTGTCGATCGCGATGAAGGGACTAAAGAACACGTATCTCCGATAATGATATCGATCTCTCAATGAGGTCTTCTTCTACGTATCGGGGAATCGAGAGTCTAATGCAATGACTTCCGCGGAGGTCATAAGGCCTCGCGTTGATTCTTAATGTAAACTAGGTAGTAGCACTGTGATTACCTCACCCACAGAACCAGTCTGGCTCGAGACTGCAAAGGGGCCTGGAATTGCGAGTGGGTACGTGGGTATTGAGGGCTGCGGGCGGGTTAACCGCTGGTAGGGAGGTATCCTAAGTGGGCATTTAACGTCTTGCCCCTTTGCAAGTACCGGAGCATTGGCCGGTCAAAGGGAAATCCTCCCAGCGTCGGGGTGTATTGATCGATACTACGATACTGCTATAGGACCCGTTAATGCTAGTCGGGATCGCGAAGCTGGGGGTAAAATGAGGGTATAGGGAATCCTAGATGACCGCTATATCGATCTCACAGGAATACATGGAGCTGAATTCTCCCCCCGCTTTTCCAAGCCGAAGAGGTCCATTCGATCCAGAACTAGTATATCTTTATGCCCTATCCCACGCCTATGGAAGCCAGATACTAGACTCTTCCGACGTCAAGACCTTATTGCATTTTCAGTCGCCTGCAAACCAAACCTATGTTTTCAGGAAACTTTATTTCTCGGTGGGCTGGGGATATTGGATATGGCTTGATACTATTTCCCCGTTAGATTAAAGTCTGATGCTCGGGTTATAGTGTCCAATGGGGGTACGTACCCGGCGCCTGGATAGCTCAGCCTAGCCGGGCCCACGCAATAGTTGGTCTATCCCAGCCCAGGAGAGTTTCATGGAACCAATCCCGAGACAGCCTCGCAATTGGGACTAAATTAACGCTATATATTGTGTTACTCATATGCCTTCAATTTTAGACCTAGGAGAGCGGTGGGGTGAGGACCACTGTGCAACGTGAGGCATCTTCGATCGAACAGGTTCCCTTGAGGGCATTCTGCAACTCTTGCGTAATTGTATACTTATCCAATAGATACGTAAATATTTAGGGTCACATAACTAAAGCTTAGTGTCAATTGTAGACAATCGAAAATATTACCAAGGTCGAAATCGTTAGATACAAAATGGGCGTGCATCACCAATTTGTCTATACATGGGCGGTACCATCATTGAACTACCTTCCCGATACTCTTCTGGGAGCGTTTATCGAACAGTTTTCAACATTTTCCATGACACTGGCCCCAACACCTTGATATCCTGATACCTTTCGTGACACTTTCCTTGCAGCGTTCCTTCCACCTTTCCCTACATCTTTCCTGACGCCTTTAATTGAGGAACGAAACAGTTTATTGATTAGGAAATGTATCTGTATACGTATGTCCATGCCCTGGAAAGGTTCAGGAAATGACAGCATGGAAAGGCATCAGGAAACCTATCTATACACGTGTACAAGGAATGATCAGAAAAAGAGTAGCACTGAAGGGTATCCAAAATTGAATCAAATATTCGGCTCCAATCGACATCTTCTGTGAATGAATGAAACAATTCGTTTTCTAATGCCGCCACCACTCTGGGACCTCCAAAAAATCGGTCTCTACCACCGTAGCTATGGGTTCTCCGTTCGATCAAGAACCAACGATTGGTACCCTGAAACCGATTCAGTGGGATATACTACACTATCTTGGTTTCCTAAAACCGACTCAATGGCAGCTAAAGATATCGGATCGTCTATCCGGCCCAATTCAACGGGAGCTGTGAATATCGGGCCGTCTATCCAATCTTATCCAGTCGGAAATTCTACGGAAGCTGAAAATATCGGGTCGTCTATGAAATCCGATTCAGTGGGAAGTAGAGCAACTGGTTGGTCTCCAGAGTTGGTGGAGCGTAGCAAGTGTAGATCTGAGAGGATATCAGTTCACGAATAGGTGGCACCAACTGAAATTCTAAATCAAAATCTGGATGTAGCTAACTTACTGTTTGTGCTATCGACGTAATCGTATCTCCAGCTCCTGGAGTCGAGTTCTGCCTGAATTTCAGACAACGATCGACAGCTATTTATTCTATCTGCTGACTCGATTCTATTCATTCTATCTGCTGATTCGATTCGAACCCTATCCGGGTTCCTATCTACGGCCTGGCGGGCCACCCGCGCACAAAGGGACTTTATGTGGTGATTGAGCTCGTAGGCTTTGTCAAAGAATAAGCCACAGCGAATACACGAAATAGGTCGGATATGTGCTCGGAGAATATGATTTCTATGTCTGGTAGTTAGTGAATGGGAGTTTAAAGAATGCGGCTGATATAAAAGAGGGAGGCGGGGGCAACGTCTTCATAGCCATCAGCTTACTTCATTGTTTTCACAGTGCAGAGAATATTCTTATTACAAAGCGTGCACCGCCAGAACGCCCCAGGCAACAATGTCAGCATGTTACGTGTTCATGGCTTTATTTAATTAGGATTATGTAAATTACCTCGTTGATATTAGCTTACTTATGGGGGCGAGCTCCGCCCTCTCATGTAATTCCCGTAGTAAAACATGTAAACGACGGAATAATCCTATATCTCGATAATCCACAGCACTGGCCCCAGCTGTCTGTACCTTTAGTGTGTTTTCATCCCGCGTGTTCTTGTTGGTATTATCTATCTCTATAATCCGTGGCTCAAGTGATACTTGAAAGGTTGTCTGGCATTGTTCACTTGAAGTTAATCATACAGTCAGTATCGCTTGTCTCGAATATACGGATAATCTTTATGAAATTATCGTTGGCAAATCAAGTTAACGGGTAATTTTACCATTGAACCCGTTCCAGAACCCCACTTGTGTCCCCCTCATAACACTTTCCCCATTTTGGGCACTCGTGTTGGCTTTGCCTCGTAGGTTCCTTCTCCAAAAACAGCATCATAGCCATCGATAGCCTCATACCAGGCTTGACAATATTTCCATGAACATCGCTGCTCAGCTTGGTCCCAGTGGCCTCATTAGTAATCTCGTATCTCCTTTGCTCCATCCACGATGCCACCTTTGACAGTTTGAATCTGAGGCCAATCAACGTATGGAGGGACTTTTCAACGGAAATTCGAAAGCTAATAGCTGGCGGGATTGTATAGAAATACGGATTAGCGCTGGTTCATACCTCGAGGTCCTGGCAAAAAGCCGCCGAAAAAAAAACCATTTCATCCATCGCATCCACCAAAATGACTGGCTCCTCCTTGAACTGGGTAGGTGATATAGTAGTAAGGCTGTTTGTCGGTACCATAACAGCCTGGTGGTGAACGTTCTCGCCGTGCGCCATTTTGGTCAGTCAGGAACTAGATGTATGTACATAGCTATCGAGTCCGATCTACATACGCAATCATCATTTCCGCGATCCGACTCATAAGGGCATTCAAGTTTTCCTTGTATCTCATGACTTTATTCCTTTGATATACAGCCCATTTTAAGTGTGCAGAGCCCTTCGTTGCTGGCGCGCAAAGGTACTTTTCGATTTTTTCGAGCGTTTTGAATGACTCTAGGAGATGACGCTTGGCCATTCTTGCAGCTCCAGGCGAGATGTTAGCGTCTCTGACTCGCTGGTCAAGCTCTTCTAATCTGAGTTTCCAAAGGGATATCTCTTCCCGGATTGTCCCAGTGTCCTCCGAATAGGCACGGACTCCAGCCCACATAGTGAATGCTCCACGTAGCACGATGCAAACATCTCCGAGGCCTATACCGACGGACATCTTTAACACGAGCGATCAAGTATGGAGGATGTGTATCAGATAGTGGGGCAGAAAGCATGGGAGACCGCCGACAAGATTCGCGAGGTCCGGTATACTAGCAGCGAGGCAGGGGGCAGTGCAACGGTCCTTGGCACCTAGACTCCGATTGGTTGAGAGCGAGAAACCTAACCTCTGCAGTGCATGTCATGTCTGCAACAGTGAGTCGTGCCTGTAAAATTGCCCGGCTGGAAATGATATTTGGACGTCAAGACTGGTGGAAGGAGGTGCCTAATCGTTTGGCAACGGACCGACTTGTTAAATTTTGGTGGGGAATGACTTATCCGTGAAATATTGCATGACTTACCCCAGTACAAAAGTCAACCAGAGTCAACAAATCGACTGAAATAAAAAAACGCTGCCCCGACCCTAACCCAGCTGCATTTAGTTAACATAGCCTAGTGGCTTACCAAACGAGTACACTTGTCCTCTCCACGTCAAACGGGCCCTTAGGCTTGGTCCCCCGGGAGGGGGAGACGAGGTAAACTGAAGTGAGCAAAGCTTGATCTCTTTTTATAAAAACTATATAATGGAGCTCAGGGGCGGCCGTATCGTTGACAGGGACCATATAATAATATATATTTATTAAATATGTATATATATATATGTATAAGTGACAACTTGATATAACTGAAGCTGTTAAAAGCAAGGAGGAGATGTTCCCAATGGAATCGGGCAAAAGAAAAGAGGGGGGGGGGGGGACGTCAAGATATATACCGTGCATTCCTTTCTTGAACGGGCAAATAGGCAACATTTCATGTAGTTTTCGAAGTCAATGAATCCAGGCATCTCTCACCCACCCGCCCCACTCCCTCATAAGTCGACTACTCTCTCTACTAGCTATAATTATATAAGAATACTATAACTATACACTATTTGACCTCAAGAGCAGACATCAACAGTCGTCAATCTACGCAGAACTACGAGTGCGCATTCATATATTACTAGTGAGGGAGGTGTTATCCCGTCTCATGGCAAGATACATGTATATAGCTGCCGGGGAAGTTAAATTGGGGACGTGGAGGGATAATTCTGTTGTGCGACATGTGGTTGTTTCATTTTAATTCATAAATATACTTGTACTTAGGTGGCGAGGACAAGTATGCCGTAAGAGATCGCAAAGAATCTCAATAATACTTCGCCTTAGTGTGGTCCACGAGGCCGCTCGAGAAGAGAACGGAGAGTAGTACCGAGGCCGCTTGGTTTTACTTAACATTGGCCTTTCCTGGTCTCGAGGTTTCAGGGAAGTGGCCTCGAGGTGTCTCGAGGCATCTCGAGACCGCCAGTACAGAAACTTTTGGTGATAAGAGTGGATCGATACTTAAACCTAGTGCGATACCAACCTGAGTCTGCATTATATTTAAGGATATGCTCGATCTTGGCTGCCTCGAGGCACCTCGAGGCCTATCAGAGTGGTGGTTCCGAGCTTCCTTGGCCTTGTAAGCTCTCGGTATCGTCCGGCCTCGAGGTCATGGTCTCGAAGCAAAGCCACAAGGCCGCTCGGCCTCGTGAACCACACTGCTTCGCCTTAATTGTATTATCCTTATTAATTCCATTTTTCTTGTTTTACTTGTAACCTCGCGATTGGCAGGACAGCCTTGGCTTTCTGCCGTAGCGGCTACACGCTCCACCCTCCGCAAGCGGGCAAACTGACTACACCTCACCCCCTTCCTCTCTGCTCTTACCCGCATTTATGGCTGCCACCATCACAATACCGGAATGATAAATAAGTTGAAGTTGAACTATGTAGTCACCATAGGCGGGAAATTGGGTTTACCTGTGTGGTTGCCCTCAAGATCGAAGTGATGCAGTTGAAATAAGCTTAAGTTATATAAGTGCATAGCCGAGATTGAGTAGCCTGGGATACAAAAAGCTTGATCCTCGCGCTAGTTCGCTCGGCACGCCGTGCACCAACCACCTCGGTGCTAGTATGGTGGGCGACACGATATCGGGGTCGGTCTTGGCACATGTAAAAATCTCCATCAGGTAAATCATCACCTATTTAGTAGTGAAACAAGTGTTTTTGAGCTCACAGATGGCAGATCATAGCCGTTTTTGGTAATAAACCGAGTGCTTTATGGTGATTGACAGGGGTATTTTACTGGATTTCGATCCGGCCTTAATAATTTGTATGGGTAAAAATTGACCTGCCTCCCTACCAAAATCACCCAACTTCAAACTCTATCTCCTCAACCACAACACAAGATAATTAAAATCAAAGGCCGTAGAATGATTCTGCTCTCGATTCTCTATCATTCTACGGCTTCTAATCAAAAATATATTGTGTTGTTGTTGAGGAGATAGATTTGGCGTTCATATACTCTTACCGGCCCCGATATCGTGTCACCCACCATACATACCGCTTTCTCGTCTCGTCTCAGTCACTTTAATCCGCACCGAAGAATTTCAAATTGTTGCACCGCGCGCTGTACATGTTAGTTGCGTATATAATATTTACCCACGAGCCAGTAGTAGTCACGCTCTTCAACGACCGGACACGTTCACATGTTATACGTATACGGTCAAGGTTCCCAAAAGGTGGTGTAACGTTTGGAGACGCAAGATACCTCAACTCAACAAAACACCTTAATCGAACGGATATTCTACTCTAAATCGATGAATGATGTAAGAATCTCTAGAGTAAAGTACTCTTGGAATACGTAGGAACAAGGCGCTTGGTCTGCAAAGGGGTCAAATCTCCACCACCGGTATCTCCCATGTATGCACCCACTCTAGACGGGGGTCGGTTTGGTGTGCCTCCGGGTATTTCCATATATACTCTGGATGTCAGTATCTAGATTAAGTACTGATCTATCCGTGGACATGGCTGAAGACACCAGTCTAAAGCGGGGGTGTTGGCGCTAGGACCACGGGCTCACAGGTAGAAATGAGGGAAAGAGGGACATGTTAGACTACATGTAGCTTTACCCCCACTTGACGATAGCCTAGCTACATATAGCTATATGTACCAATTGCCTCTAAATAAGCTTCCGTGGAGCTTAATCAAGCCTTGGAGTACAACCTACATGTATGCACAGATTACACGGAATCAAACTCGGATCGTGGATGTTTTCTCAAAGGCATTCCCTGGCGATTGGGGTTCCCGTACCTGCGTTTGAAGGTTCAGATTTAAGAGTTCCGACACCATACAACCTACCTCGCACAAAGTACATATTACCGAAACCAGTGTCTCCGTGCCCAACAATACCGATTTCTGGTATATGAATGTACATATAAGAACGCTTGGAGTCTTGAGAAAGCTAAGTCAAGTCTCCCTTATTAGGATTTGCACTAGGACTCGAGTACTCTCAATCACTCTCACACCATGTTGATCTACAAGGCCATTGACAGTGTCTTTAGGACCGCCGTCTTCCTCTCGTGCATTAATTCAGACATTGGTACAAACTCTGTTAGAAACATTGTCCATGGTAGAGATGGTTAGTACCTAAAGCACCCTTCACCTGGATCCGGGCTGCCAATTCCTCCAGCATCAACCCAGGGGCGAAGTACAAGCGTTCTTTGGTATCATTCTTACAAGTCTACAGGGCGAAGCCATCCGAAAGAGGTTGCAAACATAATTAAGTCCAATCACCTCGAGAAGTTCTGCTCCTCCTGGCTTGGAGGCAATGCGATGACCACGACCATCACCAAGACTGAAATAGACACCAAGAAACAGCACACAACGGTAACTGTGGGGCAAGTATCGACGGTCACGAAAGGGGCGACCACGGTCACCACCGGTGTGACCGCTACGCAGGGGCCGGGAACGGCGGTCATCAAGACAGGTTATGTCACAAACACTGTGACCAACCTCTCTACGGATCTTGTTGTGATTACCAGCCACATACCGGCGGGCACGGAGACTGTTACTACGACGGTAGCGACTAGCACGGTGACGAGTGATGTTGGCGTTGTAACATGTATGGCGCTGTGATACCCCTCCTGGTAGTTGAGTTAAGATCTGACATCTCTAAAAGCTCTCGAAACCGCGACGTCCGTTATTGTGAGGTATGTTGAGCATATATATTTGTTTGGAATTCTGGGCTAAACGTGCTAATTTCATGTAGTGTCACAATACCCACCACGACAATCACCGCAACCTTCGGGACGCCTACAGTAACCGTTGCCCGGCGTGACAGCGGCTCAGCGAAGCGAGGGCGCCGCAACAAAGTCCCTGACTGCCTCGAATACGTGCCAGACAACCTTATCTCTGCCGGATGCTCTCTTGCCTATGGCCCAGTCAAGACTGTCGTCGAAACCGTTACAGTTTGCACTACTTCAATTGATACCAGAGCTGCGCATACCACAACGGCTTACAACTCGACGACGACAGTCCCGGGGAGCAACAGATAGTCACCTCCACCACTACCATCACCAATGCCAACCCCACGGTTACCACTATCATTAGAACAACCTCCACGGTCTTTGGGACCGTCTCCACTACAAGCATTACGCTCGTTCCATCAGCACCGTCCTCTCCACAAGCACGCTCCTCACCACAACCACCGTGACCACCTCCACCATATCCACCGCCCCAGTCGCAACCTACATCGCCTGCCCCGGCCAGAACCGTGTGCCTGGCGCCTTCGGAATAGGTGTCAACGCCGGCAGCGGCATTATCGACGTACCCGGCTCTGTCACCGCGGAGGAGTGCTGCCTACAGTGCTATGATCCAGCCCGGGTTCAACGTTGCTCGGCCTGGCTTTTCCCTACGGTACAACTTTTCCGGTGTGAGGTGCCTAATTCATCCGATTCGGGAGTGTAGTAATCGGCCCGGAAAGGTAAAGTCGTACTCTTTTGCTCTTTAGTGGTAACTTACCGGAACTATGAGAGATACAGGTTACTCTTTCCATATTTGGGTTTTTTTATCGGTCGTAGACTAAATAAGGTTCAGCCTGCTGCTTTAGGACTTAGCGGGTTTTTTCGTTGAAAGTAATCTGAGGGAAAGGGTAAATTATCTTTTCCTCCCACTATCCTAATTGATAGGCCGATGAAACAGAGAACTGGTATCTTCCTTCATGGCCTAAATGGTACAGCTTATAGTATATATTCGAAATGATGCAGATTCAACCCCGGTTTATCCCTCCAGTATTTTTTTTTGATGGAGTGTTAATATATCTGTAGTTTATACCATGATGGTAGGATAATTGATCATCTTAATTCCATTGTTCATCCAATTAGATCTACAATTCTTTGCCAATTTCATCCCCAAATGCGGGTAACATAGGTCAACTCGCATTAATGGTAGTTTACCATTTCGAAATTGTACCCTAGGGTTTTCAGCGCACCTGGCTTTTGTGCTCTTACTTATAATGCGGTGGGGCCGAATCCGAGCGCTACCTGCCCTAATGGGTTGGGGGATTCCTTTTTCCTGCTTGGTGGGAATCAGGATCCGATTGTTGAAGTTGGGGGGCCTGGGCCTTGTGCGGGGAATCAGTTATGAAGTGATCGTAATTGATGAGTGCATAGGATATGATATATTGAATATCATATTTAGGTCGTTTCGTTAGTTTTTGTTAAGATTGTTTTGATTGGTTATCTTAGTGGTGTCTGCAGAACACTAAATGGATACTTACCGTTTGCAATTGATCTCAGTATATATGTACGTAAAAAACCAATAGTAATGTTAATTTAGCAATGGATATACCAAGAATGGAGCTTCAGGAACACCCTCTATTGTTTTTAAGGTATCAGAACCAACTACCCGTAGCAATAATTAGGTAATTTCTTGGGCAATCTGTTCTGAGTGGAATATTGGTCTTTGAATTAAAGATTCGTAAGGGTACCTATCGACAAGTGTCACTAGTCAGTCCTATCGTAACAGGATATCACCATTTCATCATTAAAACATGGAAGCTGCTACAAAAAAGGATATGCTCAGATAATCACAAGCGATCACTCAAACTTGATATAACCAACCGGGGGTGTTGGATTTGGAGCTTTTGAGTCTTCCAGACGATTACTATCTAGGAAGCGCAACATAGGACACAGTAAGGCTGTGCAAGCTCATGATGTTCGTTCCCCGGAACGTCACGTTAATGTCATGTTCCTGGTCGCTCTTTGGCATGCATCTCTGGTGTAGATAAATTCGCTGCATGATGGTACCGCCCCCCGATCGAACCACAAACAAAACCTCAAACAACTATTATCTTAATTCCGCACATATTCCAGGAGAAAGACTTCATGTTATAAGATACGTTCCGTCTCTATGTCCCAGGCGCTCAAGAGCGTGTATCTGTGGGGTTGTTGACATCGATAGACTCCACACCTTGGTGCTTGACGTGAATTATATATATATACTTGCGTACGTCTCTCGAAGAACAAGACTGGATTACCTGGGATGATATGATTAGTAGTTACGAATCAGCGACGATTAGCCCAACAGTCAAGATCATGTAGGTATTATTGTGGTCTTTCAACACACGTGCACCCTGTCCTCGATAATCCTCTTGAGATCTCGTACAATACCAGTTTCTACCCATTAACCCATTAATCCAGTGACAGTGGTATCTGCAAGAAGAGGATACAAATAGAGAGGTAGAGTACTGACGGTTAATTCGCCTTGAAGAAAGGTGGGTTACTGGTTTGACTTTATAGTCTGCATACGATATCATTTCCTCTGCGACCACTCTGATGGAGTCACTGATACCGGGCATTTCTGTGTGGGATCAAACAATCGATTATAATTTCCAAGGATCTGTTGGAACAAAGAAAGACCGAACCATCAATCCGTTGAAAAGCGACTAGCTTAGTGGTCACGATCACAAAGTTCGCGAACCGATAGAGTACCTTCCCAGCTGCAGTACACAAGGCTGAATGGACATTCCTAAGCCTTTCGCGCATGCAAAGGTCAAGGCTTACCCAGTTTAACCACCTAGCTAGAAGGCAACAGCTCAAGGCACTTATAAACTCGTATAAGGTGGGGACCTCGGTTTAGAAGTTCGATGGGGAAACAGTCCTTCTGGATGGATAGATAGCGAATCAGAACGACTTCCTTTGATCTATCATCATCACTTGCATGAGGCTGGAGGGGACGTTTAGCCAACGAACGGGGGTAAGGACAAACACAGTACATACATATTTTGTTCTAAACTACTTAGTATCTCCACTCGTTTGTTTTAATTTATAACGTCAACGTATTGAAGACTTTCATGAAAGATGGAAGTTAATATTAATAACTCTAGTCAAATCGTTGGGGGTATGTAGAGGTAACCTAACTGCCCCCGATCCGCTCCTCCTGGCAAGGCTGTTTTGCCTTGTTTTAGTTGCTCCCAATTGGTCATCCTTGAGTGGCTGCGGGTGTGGCTGGAACAGGAGCGTGGTTTTCGAGGCCGCGCTATAGAGTGATGAAGCCTAGCGTGCAATCTACCCGTTTCTAATACACCCCGACTCTACACTCCAGAATACGTTGAGCCCATAAAGAGAGGTTTATTCCAGTATCTCTTAAATTTCTTTTCTGCATAGTCTTGCTCTATCTCCATGGGTGGGGATATCAAGTCTCCAAATCGACGTACAGTTTAGACCTCGAGCAGTGCGAATGCACATCCAGGAATTAAGGCATATTCTTGGCATGGCCGGGATTAAGTGTGGCGGTACAACGACCTATGGCTCCACTGCAAACTCTCGTTGCAATCTGCGGGAGCCTTCGGGGGTCTTTGGTGTATCCTTTCAGCCTCGTTCTTCGTAGGTGTTGAGACTCAACCTTATCAACATCACCACTCATCACACTGATCTGTATCCTTGGAACCATTCCAACTTCGAAGTTAATCTCGCCATGTCCTTCGGATTTAGTATTGGCGATGTATGGCTAATGATGCGCGCTATCTCCATTCTTTGGGGCGATACACGATCCTACTCCGAAGATTCGCAGACACTTAGGAATGAAGTAAATACGCTGAAATATCTGTTGGGAGAGCTAGAAAAGAAAACTTGCGACACGAAATTACCGCCGGTAGCGCTGGAGCTAGCAACGACTCAAATTTTGGCATGTTCGAGATATATAAATAAGCTTGACGGGCGTCTTTCCAAGAGGTCTCAAAATAGGTCTAGACTTTGGTGGGTTCTTCGCGATAAGATGAAGTGCCTGGAGTATAAGGACAAATGCCGCACATCAATCCAAGACCTCGAAAGCATTGTTAAAATGTATATACCCAGCTCCGTTCCTCAAGGTCTATCAATAATTAGATACTATTACAGGAGCATGTTAGATGGAATTCCACCACCTGCAAATTGGCTATGTGATAAGCCTATCCACTTAGTAGATACATTAGATAAGAGCATCCAATTTTCCGCCGAGATGTTTAGCACATGGGAGGTATGTATTTCATCCATCTTAAGCAGTATATATCCAAGCATAGCTTTGATACATGGGTCCCATAGGGTCTTCACACGCTTCTTTGCGTCAGATTCGAAAATCGAAAAGATTCTAGTTGGGTAGAAGCTAGGCTTTATGTGTTAACAGACCAATCTACGAAATTGGTACTGACCAAGGACACCTGGGCCATCTTCGCAAAACCGGGGAAGACACTCTCGATGGCAATGCTTATCAAGAAGCACAGAAACAACATTGTCAAAGAACATGAATGTCCTCAATGCTACGCGATATACATAGGGGCTACTTCCGAATATGACGAACCAGTACAATGGTGAGTATACAGCCCCTGGTAAAACACCTTGCAAGAGACAATTACCTAGCTAACGGGAGGTATCATCAGAGCCCCAAGCCACAAGCACACATGGCAGCCATGCCAGTACGATTTCTTCTGGAGTTTCTATAAAGGCCTCTGAGGCGTTTGGGACACATCCAGTGTCGTTAGTTGATCCTAATGATAAGCAATTCTTCAAACGTTTTCATCTCTTGCTAGGAAGACCAGACGAACCCGAAAGTATCGCCACCCTAGCGACCCAAGAGCAACCCAACCCCCCAAATGAGAAACCCGAACCAGATGATGATTCGAAACTGGATCCGGAACCAGGTGATGCTTTAGAGGCTGAACCAGATGATGATTCGAAACTAGGACTAGGTGACGATTTAGAAGCTGAACAGCCAGATGACGATTCGAAACTGCGACCAGGTGATGATTTAGAAGCTGAACCAGATGACGATTCGAAACTAGAACCAGGCAACGAACTAAACTCCGCCTCGCAGGTCTCAAAGAGCGCTCCATCAGTAATGTAAGATAGTAATGAGCCCTAAATAAAGCCAGGAACACTATATGCTGACGTTATTGCCTGGGGCTTGGCTCCATTTCCCGTAAGACCTCTACCGACCCCAAAATCTAGGCTAACGGCGCCCTGGTATTGTCGATTGTGTGGCTTTGGACCGATGAACCAGGATCTACACGTAGCTTGCATAGAATGCGGGAAATTTAGGCGGAGTGGGTAATAGTTTCCCGGGGACTTCACGCGGGAAGGGGTATCAAAGTATACTACCTTAAAAGGAGAATATGTAAATTACTTTAAAACTATACTATATCACCTCATCATGACCGTGACTTGTGAACTATGTACTAGGATGCCTATAGAACACTCTCAACGGTACATCTCCGTTCTCGATTACCAGGGTTGATCCAATAGTTTCTCTGAATTATTTCATAGTTGATATGAAATTTCTAGTCCTGCAATATCCTTGAATATTCTCTCTTGGTACTCTAGAATTAGTTGGGCCGCACATACACATATTTAGCAGCTCGAGACAGTCTAGATTTTTTCCTATAGATCGTAAATTTAGGCAGGCTACTATTCTGCTCTCTAATTAAGAATTCGTTCAATTGATAAAGCCAATACTGTTGATTCGTATTATATGGTACAGGAAAACCTCAGCTTAAGGGTGCGAATCGTACAGAGAATTGTAAAGGTACAAGTTTCACACGGGTACTTCGAGGCTGAATGGTCAAGATATAATCTGAGCTGGTTTGTGTTAATGAGGAAACTGAATAAGAGGATATAAAATCATCCGGATTCCTATATTCAAATCATCTAAAAAGACCCTTCCTTATACCCTTCATATTCTTGACCGCACCTCCAAAGATCCCCGTCGCACCTCCCATAATCGCCCCTGTCGCATCTCCCATCATAGCCCCTGTCGCCCCCCCAATGGCGAATGTCGCACCACCGATGGCCATTGTCGCATCTGCAATGGCGGCTGTGGCACCTCCGATGGCCGCTGCCGTACCTTGCACGACCGCCGTCGTACCTTTCATGACCGCTGTCGTACCTTTCATGACCGCTGAATATAACAGGTCCTCGCCGGCGGTATCTGACTGTAGCTCCACAGTTTCGATGATCTTCATCTGCAAGTTGGCAATGGAAGAGTCTTTTGGAGATCCATTCTCGGCCAGTAACTCTTTGATCTTTGTATGAGTCTCTGCCTGCCTGTTCTCCTTTTGTGTTGTGTACCACTCACAAGCCTTTTCAATATCTGATGCGGATAAGGGCTGTGCGTTGTCTTTGCGACTCTTGAGCTTCCCATTAATTCGTTGATGTAACAGGACGTATGCCATGATGAGTATGGTATCGAGCATGCATGTCAGGATCAGGTCCGCTGGAAGGGAATCATCCCATAGTCCATTCATGTACTGGTCGATGGCATCCCAGGGTGTCCCGACGAGAGACTGGATTAGTGTGGCGTCTCCGGTGAACCGAATATTAAAGCTTACAAGGATAGGCTCCATAAGCATCATTGACAGCTTCATTCCCTCGGGTTTCTCATTCCGATTGAAGTCGAACCTCTTCCCACCAAACTTGAAGCTGTGCCAAATTGTGTATGCTCGCACGCTTTCCTGGGTCGCCAACGCAATCTTGGGTTTAAGCTCGATACGCTGTGCCTTGATCAACGCTACATGGACAGCTTCGCTCTCCAGGTTCATTGAAGTCTCTATGAGGAGGTTCTTTGGCGTGTCCAGAGCTATTTTGTTTCGACCTATCAGCGACTGAAACGGGAGCCCATCATGTGCTGTATGTTTACTTACGACTCTGAGCATTAACATAAGTGCGCACCGGTAGACTTTTGCATTGGATTTTCACATTCTCGATCGCTGCATTAAGCTCAGATAGGATATCGATTTCGGTACTGAAATCCCGATCAAGGATTTCCTTGATCTGATTCAGTAATTTGTCCTCGTTCCTCAGAACCACCAAAATAGGAATTTGACCAAAATTCATTTCAAAAAACTCCTTTTCTGAAGGGGGAACTTTCTTTTGAGAGCAGTCGAGGAAGTACCACATGGCGTGGATCTGCTCCCGAACATCGGCGGTATTGCGATGCTGTTCAAGAAATGCCTCGATGCGAGCATGGTCATCACTGCCGCCTTCACCAAACCCATTGGAGAGGTAAATCCGCACTCGGTCATTATCAGGGATTCTGATGGGTGTGTTGATATCATGTTTTGTCTATTCTCCATCATTAGTGTCCTTGGAGTCGGTAAGGAACAGTGAGTTAAATGACAGTGATTGAATCTACCTTTTGAATATTACCAAAGACCCTTCCAATCAGTTCCGACTTCCCCATGCCTGGTCTTCCGATAACCAGTAGATTCAGGCGCTGCACTATCCTCGAACCCGCCTTCAAAATACCATTCACTGTCTGCTTCTCCCACCACGGTATCGTACCCTGGGGCAGGGTGATGAAACGATCTCTCAAAAAGTTTCTGAAATACTTCCATTGGTACACTTGTAGCCTGAAAGAAGAACTGACATCAAAGACCAGGTATGCAGAGGGATGTAGAAACACCTTTGGTTTCAATATTTTGAGATATGGTGGCGTCGTGAGATATTCAAGGTAGTTCCTGGGCTCTGACGCCATGTATGAACCAGACATGTTGAGAGCCAGGCCCCACGCTCGAGTCGCCGTGTGGTGGTTGATCATGTCGAACATCTTCATTGCAATATCATGCGGAGTTTGAATGACATTATCCTCGCCGGTAAACAGGACATCGTAGGGTTCCATCTTGGGATCGAGGACGAGTCCGTAGTCTTTGGCGGCTTGAAGAATCCATTGCAGAGGCCACAATGCTAGACCCTGCACTTTGCGACCACCACCAATGTCATGATGGTAACCAAAGAACCACGCTTCCAGATAGCTACTATCTGCTGAATCGGCGTCAGATTTCCAAAGGTCGGGGTTAAACAACGGACGCGCTTCGTTGAGTGCAAGGGCGTGCCGGAAGTGGTCCACGATGCCAGGGGCGTCCATTTCAAAATCAATGTTTGATGCACCATGGCTTAGATAGTTGGTGACAGGGAGAGGTATCACAGTCTTGACAGTGTCAAAAGCGCCCAGCAGTCGAACGCGGGGTGGTTCAACGCAGAATGGGCTTTGAGAGTTAGAGGAGACGCTATGCATATATGATAATTGGTGGTTCCCAGCATTAAGGGTATCACCTACAGTAGCTTACGCTCTCGATTTTTAACGGGTTTCTTTAGCAACGGAGTAAATATTAGCTACTTAATAGTTTCCTATTCCAAGAATATGGGTAAATATACCTTGGTACCAATGTACGACCACTTGGTAATCGAAGCGTATTGCTACAGGAGTGCCTTGAACTTGGCCTGGAAGACAGTATCGTTGTTCTCATCCTTATCCATAAACTCCGAGTCTGCTTTTATCAGGCCAACATATTGGATGAAGGATGCTAATGCCCTCGAGATAACTGAATGCTGATTAGGCCCGGAATTTTTGCTGAAAAATGGGCGGTAACAGGTATGAGGACTTACAGGCACCCCGACTGAATCCAAAAATAAATATTTCATGACGTTGAGCATTGCCATGCTGCAACTGCTGGCAACATACCTTGTAGCCATTCTGGAGAATATCCAAATAACCTGTTCTCATATATACACAAGTTAGACAGCCCATTAGACGATGACAGGACTCTCCCAAAAGCCATTACCATGCCCAGTTGCACAATCAAATAAGGAAACTGCCCTGCTCAAGTAGCCCCCATATCCTGCATCCTTGGTACCTATTCCTTCGAAGTACTGCACGAACTATTGTTAAGTTAGTTTTCGTCAGTAAATGCACAGCCTTGCCAAGAAATGGTAGTGCTCCCCTTACCTGGAATCTTTTTTGCCCATCAGAATCGCTTACAGGCCCCGCCCTTGCCATGTCAAATATGGTCTTGATTGAATCCTTTGTGCCAGAGGTTTTGCCTTATATTTTCTTGTCAGCCATCACAAGCAGAAAACGGGGAAGGACGAGATGAGTGATGGTTTGTGACTCACCCCTCATTGCACTAAATGACCCTTGCATTGTATCTCCGGTTCCATCAAAGCAGAGAATGAGTCGGACTGGGAGGCCATCGACGTTCTTCTCCTTTGGCTTGAAAAACCCGGTCTCGGTAGTACTGGTGCTCATGTTTTTTCCTGTGCCTGGAATATCCAGTTCCATCTCCGTCCGCAAGGGTCCATATATATAAGTTACTCGTGATGGATGCCGAGCATTTTATATCCCTCTTGATTATTCGATCTACGTCGGACCCCCACCAAGCGCAAGCCTTCCCCATGATCTACTTCTTGCGTCCTCATTGAAGGACCACTTGCATTCGACGGTTGAAGCGTGACTCATCGGAAGGAACCGTTCTGAAGTTACTCCGGCCCGGTGTGATGAATAGAAACGGAAACACAGCTGGTCATAATAGCCAGCTGGTTACTAAAACCTGCACTATATACTGTCTAGGCTCTTTGTAGATAGCGCTGGCTCTAAATTCTACTTGTATGATTAATTGATGGCCCGGGAGCTCGAGGATCGGCGCCAATCAGGTTACCGGAACTTGGAGCTTGAGTCTTTTGCGCAAAGGGCTTAATCGAGCTGAAGACACCTCTTTCATTGCAGACGAGTGATGCGCTTCTAGGTTTCTCCACGATTGCAACCATAGTTTCGATCACGTCGTAAATTCGGGCTTAACGTTTTCGACTATGGGGCGGTAAATGTGTCAAAAGTAATTTTACCAACGGTAGTAAATTATTTTACCACTGGTGGTGAAAATAATATCAGTATTTATACCCTATAATGCTAATTTTTATGATAAAAGCACAGACCTTTTAGCCAAAAGGGGCCATATAATACCAATATATATGAAAATTGTCCACCGGTAGGAAATTTTCATAAGTTTTGGCGTTACTGATTGAACATTTACTTATTTAGTATAGCGCAGCATAAAGACCGAAACTCAGTGTTTATACCGGTGGAAATGTACCAATGTAGGATAGCGTGCAGATACAATGACTGAAATTCAGTGCTTATACCACCGGCGGTAAATAATTTACTACGGTTGGTAAAATTACTTTTGACACATTTACCGCTCCATATTCGACTGAGTACCGTTTCAGACCTAGAAGTGTGTCGCATGGCAACGCCACTAAATTAACAAGACGTAAAGCCTTCGAAAAACGAAGACTCTACAATCACCATAATAGAGGGCAGTCAATACCATTCAAATGCTTGTGCTTTTAAGTGGAACCCACCTCGTAAACATCTGATAGAAAATATCTCAAGAGGTGGTGGAGATAGCTTTGGCAGCAGAAATCCCCATACAAATTTGTCGCCGTGTAGGGTTGACACTCTTCTAGGTCTGACACAGTACATACCCGGTCTAATAGAGTACCTACACTATGGACCAGGACCAGGACCCTTAGACGGATGCCACGGTCAAATTCGCAGCTTGCCTCTTTGAGTCAATGTTAGCCCCGTTTGGCAATTAACACTGAATTTGATTGGCTCTCTGGCTCAGGTTATTCGGAGAAGAGAAGAAAGTTACCCAACGAGGTGCGTGCACGGACCAAGCCGCGAATTTGACCGTGTCATCCGTCTCAGGTATAGAGTACATACAATGTTGCGCACTAGAGATCACATACTCTACATATGAGATCCAGAAACTTTGATTGGGACTGGCTTGGGGACGACCCAAGCAATGAAAAGAAGCTGCATTTCATGGATCATGGAGTGAACCACCACAAAAGGAACCCCACCAACCACCCTGCCCGAATCCCCTCCAAATAGTATTGATCTATATATGATGAGCGAAGCTCTGGACGCGAGCGTTTTGGATACATCTCTTATGCGGTATGTGCTTATCTACTTGTAATCAATAAATTATATGAGATAGCTTTTGGTCGGGTGGCAACCCCGGAGGAGCAGGGGCAGACCGTGGGGTGAAATGACCCGTGCGTTACTGGAATTGACTGGAGACTCGATCGAGCGGGGGTTGAGGATGGCTGAGCGCGAGTGGAGTCGGATGGAAAAGCAAAGGTCAGATGGCAGAGAATCTTACATACATGTAGTCAGCGACGTCTCAACAATCGCAATGCAGGAAACCTCAGATAGACAGCTACAAGGATTGTGATTTGAGCTATGGGGATTTGCTTGAGAGAGATAGGTAATACCGAATGACGCCTTCTCTACTAGCTACCCCGGATTTCACACCATAAGCGACTGGATTTTCTGCGGGCCACAGGCGGAGCATCGCATATGTACCCAATGGGCATTCGATCAATAAGGATGGGTGCATGGTACTGCCGCCCTTCAAGGTTATCGCTCCGTCCAATTGCAATTAGAAGCCTTTGCTAACAATTAACCCCAGTGACTCCGCCCTGTCAATCAACCCTGGAAACCACGGCGGTGAATTAAATGGTGTTACCGTCAAAGAGCCCCAAATACCTATCTGTAGAGATCACTAGATGCACACGCTGATGGGGGAGAGTCTTATTAGTTTAAGGTGCCCGATATACGTTTGTCTTACTAGCTGTGATGCCAATATCACGGCCAGGTGAGAGGTGATGGGTTAAATCTTGGCACTGATGGGCTGTACTCTTCAGAAGTATCATTTTGACTAGTACGGCTTCGATCAAGAATCTTCACCTTGCCAGCTGGGGCATCCGCGAAGTTGCGAGGGACCAAAAAACTCGGGTTGCCAAGATTCATTGTTTGGTCCTAAACGCAGCGCTTTCCCCAACGTTAACCAACAGCGTTTACGGCGCCGTGCAACCGTCTTACACCCCCAGCGGGAGCCCTGAATTTTTTACCAAGTTTAGGAGGATGAATCGTAAGTAGAACCTTCGTGTCCCATAGGGTGCCCAGATGGCATCTCTCGGGAGTTGTGCTCGCCTCTGAGAACCTGAACGGCTCGATGTTTCCTGCAACCGCAGAGCCTAGACCTTTAATTCTAGATGCCGAAAAAGCACTACCTGATCATGAGCTTACCGCCGGCGGGACCCGCAGGCAAGGATTGATCGAGAAGCTTCGCTCGCTCTGGGATCCGGGGGATCGACATTGTCCGCCGCCGCCGGCCTGGCACGATTGAAACCCCTGGCTACCTGTGCTGTTATCCGAACAGTGCCCACCACGAGATATGATCACCCCCACGGACACAATTGGTGGTGCCATCAGCTTCGGCGAGGGGAAGGCCCCGCATTGCGCTTAACAGACGAGAGCGGTGGCAGGTATGCATATGGTAGACAACGTTTTACCTTATAACTAACCTCCTCACTACACGTCCTGGAGGCCGGGGACACCGGCCTTTGGGCGACTTACCTATGGCACCGGATTTATGCCAGGGTTGCTCTGCACTACATGATGTAGTACTGTGCAAGAAGCGGGAGAGATTACCGAGATTCTGATTCGAACAGCGGCTGCGTTTGTGACGACTGGATACTACAACTGCTGTCTAAGGCCGATTATGATTATCTGGCCTTGCGATTTCCCTAGATTCCCTACATCTTTCTGCCACATACCAGCAGCAAGAACACGAATTTGCTCAACTCATCGGTCTCTATCTCAAAGCTAAAAGCACCACTCATAGGCCCGGGATCCAGCGATCCAGCGCTCTCATCACCGCCGATGCAGGCAAGACAATGACCCATTACGTTCTTGAGGCCACGAGTAGACCTCCCAAGCTCTTCGGGTAGCTTCTGAAAAGTGGAACCTGTGCCTGATATTTGAGTAATGGTATCACATGAGAATGACAAGACAATCACTGAAAGGAACACCGTTTTCTCGTAAAGGACTTGAATATCGTGCACAGTCTTACAATGATTAAGGTACTGACTCGGTTGAAGGGGTGGCGACGTACCCCGGGATGGGGGTGGGATCAAGCTCCATGTACATGACCGCCGACCGGAGCCAGTTTACGTACGCGCGCCGCACCCTACTAGTAAGTGTTTCGTACGGAGTATATGTTTTTTCTTACATTCTCTAATAAGGTGTTTGGGTAACATGATGCAGAGATGAAGTTGATATTTGGTGTGCAGTCTTGGGCGGCATACGAGGAGCATAGAGTACTATTACGGTCGAGGACTTAGATGCTACCTTACTGACTGATTATTCTTTTACGTATCAATTTAATGGATCTCTTGTACCCCGATCTTCCAAAACGTAATTCATCATGGCTTCGGAAGTGGTGCACTCGATCTGATGTCTGGTTGCCAATCGCTCCCAGCCAAGCAGGAATAAAGCTATATAGGACTACCATAAGTCCTGACAACAGGATACATGACAACTGTGATGGGACTCTAGGTGAGTACTGTTAATCAAACGCTATGGAGAGGTATTGTTTTCGTAGTCGTGTGCGGCGTTACAGTTAGTGGGCGTGACGATCAAGACAAGGTCTGTAGATCTAACCTTCTGTTCTTGTTGCAATCATCACAAACTCACAGAGGCCCTTTCCCATTTCATGTTACTGTATGGCCATGGTATCAGTACATAGTAACATTCAATATGCTCTTCATAGAGTATCACTCGTGCCAAGAGTCATCGCGATCTGGATCATATAATGGCTACATACATGTAGGCAATTGCGAAGGCTTTTAATTTTCAAGCTTCGGAAGTGACCTTTCCCTGTAATGATCATCAATAAACCACTTCTTGGCCATCGTGTTTGCCGGTTCTCACGGATCACAGCTCTAGATCTTATGAGGACATGTATGTGCACATAAATGGACGCGTATGAAAACGAAATGTGGGAATACACACATAAGATCGATTATCATAAAAGAATGGAAACTGGCTACATAACCTCCTTACATTCCCACCCACCAGTTGGTTCTCACAGGAAAGGTCTTGGCGCATGGTGCGTGCTACTACGCACGTGCATCACGAGCCACTGATAACACTCCCCACACCAGCTTCGCCACGGAATGCGGCCTGTCTAGTACCGATCCCGGGGCTGAGTTCACATCTTGAACTACAATAGCAAAAAAGGGGCTGTTATTGATACCGCTTTAGTGCCGTGTTAACACCGTTGTTAAATAAATGCCGTATTTAAATAAATTTTAGATTTACTTCCACAGTCCAGGGAAAATTTATTTCCCTTAACTGCCGTATTGCATGACTGATGCGGTCAAGTGTACACTTCAGCATTCTCCAGAATCGGCATTCAAGCAGCATTCACGTACCCGCCACCCCTGCTAGCGATGGCCGCCCGCCCGCCCCCTTCACTAGTACTGCCCGCCACCCCTGCTAGTGATGACCGCCTACACTTACATGTATGTAGTCTTAGCTGTCCGCCTGCTAGTATTAGCTCTCTGTCTCCTAGCGTCTACTTGCTAGTATTAGCTGCCCACCCGAACTTCTGGTATCTGTAGCTGTGCTAGCCATAGTCCACTCTCATGACCTTACATGTAGCCAACATCATGAAGTTCATCAAGTTCGTTAAGTTCATCAGCTTATTCATTACACCACCCATATATACCCGAGTGGTTGACTCTATTTAGATCATAGCTGAGGTTTTGAAAAACTCGAAAAATTTATTTTTCGAAAGTAGGTCGCAAATGTTTTAAGCCCATCGGCAAATAACGACTATTGATAGATTTGTGATTATATTTATATCTGGTAATCTCTGTTTATGAAAAGCTTTATTCGCTAGATTGAAGTATTGGAAAATAATTTTAGTTTTTCTTGAATACCAAATGAATACCCTAGGATGACCGCCAATACCTTCAAACTGCTGCATTATTTCAAATGCCACATTAGAAATAAACTAGCAGTTAGAACTAGTGCTGGTAGTACAAAATACTGTATCCTTATAGCCTTCTTATTAACACATATTATAAAAAAACTAATTTTGATCGCAGTGCTGTTTGATATTGGCTACAGTAGCATTACGGAACTACACTCTCTGCGTTTGCGTAACGGTACCGAGAACATCCCTTTTTTCGCTACTGTACGTATTATCCACTCTCAAACGCGGTTCATAGTCGCGATACGTATACAGACCTAGACTATGGTCCCTGTGTCTGTACGGATACCCATGGATGGATTTGTATCAAATCAAACACATTATGGGACTACAATGCTCTACTTCAGGTGCAATAGCTGCAGGGTTAGGGTTGATTGGAGCCCTCGTTGTTCGATCAGTGCGGTTCACCCCGGTGGAGCCCAGCACGACTATTTATCCCTTCTTCTGGACTGCTAGTGCCATTGAGATTCTGAAGCTGCCAACTTTCAAACTTTTAAAGGTGCTACATGGTGAACCGTGCGCTTAGGGAACTTCTCCGGAGTAGCCGGTACCATAAAATGTCTGTGGCCCTGAGAAGAGAGGCACTAGGATAGGATTTGGTCTCACATATGTACTTATATATAATGGCAGAGATAGCATCTCAAAGATTGGCAGTATTGCCTACATATCTAGTTTTTTGAACTTGTACAATTGTAGGTTAGTCTAGAACATATTTGGGGAATATTGACCGCAGTGCCTGAGACAGGTATCCAATCATTTATGATGATATTCCTTTATCTACATTACTTACAAGTATGTAGGTGCTCTATTTGGTGCTGTATTTGGTGCTCGATTTCGTGCTGTATTGGGTGCTCGCTTCGGTGCTGGATTTGGTGCTCGATTCGCTGATTAGCTCATGTTTTGATATTAATTTTGACGATTCGGAGATGGTCAGAGGAGTAGAGGGGACGGTGATAGAGAGGTAAGGGGGGGGGTATTAAAGAACAGCTGGAAGAACACGGTTTGATATTTACTTACTAACTGCCTAGCCCTAACCCATAGAAACCCGAGAAAGCTGTCCTTTTTGAGCTCTGGCTCACGAAGAATCAACGATCGAACACCCTCAAAAAACGCCGTTGAGGCCACAGTGATAGTATTTAGATACATTGAAGTTGTTACTTCCATAATTCTCCTTCATTTTGAGATTTATCAGTCCTCTGTTGCATTTTATCCCGTTCCTCCTGTAATATACAGCCACTCTGCAAAAGTGTTCGTGATTCCGAGACATTTCTCCATAGGACCGTGGCGGACCATCAAAAAAAACCCAAGAGAAGACTTTCAGTGATCAATGGAGCCCGGAATCAATGAAGAATAAGATCAATGACCTATCTTCTTTTATATATAGTCACGAACTATATTATGTATTTTGCGTTGTTTTGAATCTCAACATTAATAACATCAACATTACTCGGGCGTTCATTAAATGGTCGGATATCGTTGCAACCAAATCCCTACTAAGAATTCCGACCATTTAATAAACGCATGAGTATGTATGAGTGTAATAGAGCGTATTTGCCAACCGTCAATTTCAAGAATTTACGAATTGTGGGGCTCCGAAATGGCAAACGGGGCTGTTAATTTTGAATTTCGGTGGAGCGGCGTGCTGTGAGATATACCAGGAGAATCACAAGTACCCAGTTTTGTTACTACCGAACCTAGTATCATGGGTATGAATTTTCAGTTCCAACAGCGTATTTCACAGGTAGCATGATGGATTGTCTGGTTTTCGGGGTTTATTCTGTCATACCGTTAACCAGATCGATTTTGGTCACTGAGGGGAACTGTCAAGTTTGAAGTGTCAATAGTTGAAATTGACATTTGGCAAATATGCTCTAATCACGAACACTTTTGCTGAGTGGCTGTACATGTAGCCTTGTAGAACTCCACAGATTAATTTCCTACTCTTTCCATGGGGAGGAGAGTGCTTATGTAAGCTATCTTTCAAGTACCCCCCATACAGGCCCAATCTCATCTATATTTGGGGAACCTGCAGGCCAGTAACGCATGAGACACCAGGAAGTGGAAACTGTTGACCACGGTAACGTTTAGGAAATATCCCCTTTCCAGGAGCCTCGGCCTCAATATCCATTTTTGCTGATAGGGTATGCTTCCCCTGCATTATTCCTACTAGCCAGACTGGCTTATCCCTCTCTTGCGATATCCTTTCTATGAAAGTATACTCAATTCCATAAGGAATATGCTCTCCAATCAAAGCCCCCACCCACTGCTCTCTGAAGCATCTATTTTTTGAACTCTAGCTCTGGGCGGCGTGTGTGCCTACATCGAGTGAGATTTCGTGATGGCGTCTTGGCGTCGCTACCCATGCAATACAGCTGTGTATCTATTACCCATGGCTCTATGATGCTAGGGTATCGCTCAAGCTGTTTCGGATACTACGCGCTCATCTCACACATACACCCGTAAGCGACGTAACAACATAATTCAACGCTACATGATACAATTAATGAGGTAAGCAAAAACCTAACCCAGCCCTAACCCTGACACGCAAGATTAGTATTTTTCTCTGTTTTTGACGACCGTGTCCGGGGGAGGGCAGCGGTGGGGTTATATCATGCAGGCCTATCACACTCCTTGCTGGTCAGTATATCGTAATGTATTGTGGCCGTACTAGCTATGTATACCACCTCCACCTAGAGTTCACGAAGTACACCCGGGACCTTGCAGCTTGAGAGTCACGGGCGATTGCATGGTTTCGTCCGAAGGCAATGTACCGGTTCGGGAGAATCGTTGGTACTGCAATATGCAGAGTAGAATTATATTACGGTGCTTCGTCCCGCGTGGCTGTGCGGGATGATACTTTTCTGGTGCGGAGATTAGGGTATCACGATATGCGTTCGATTCGGGCATGCATGACCGGCAGCTCTCTTCGAGAAAGTCCGGGGAAGGGTGGTACATGTAGTTACCATTAAGCGCCAAAGTTCATCTAGGCCGGTAAAGTGCATAATATATGGTGTTCAGATCGAAAGCTTAAGACAAACGTGCTCGAGCCCCAAGCTGGTCTATATAACTACATGAGATAGGACTACAGAATCCCTCGCTGCCTTTCTTTCCCGTTTCCAGATCTCGAGTGGATACAGATCGGACCAATTGATCCCCTAGCCATAGCCGGGTACTACTGCAGCTGGATGATAAACCCAAGACCAGACGATCTGAATCACCAACCTCCAGAGCTGCGATCGGGCTAATGACTCAGAGTACGGGTTAAACATGATCGGCAGAGTATAGATCTACTCTAGGAGACTACGTACGTACGTAATATGTACTGACGTCAGCTCGCAATGATTTGACCCTCCGGAGGCCAACGGGCAATATTCCACTCCATATATCGCCGGGCTCTGAACACCTCTGCAACCACAATTATCTACAAGTGCACAAGTGAGACAGGATGGACGCCTTATAACCACAAAGCCGAAGAAGACGCCGAGCGGTGACATGACGGTCCAAGGGCAAGGACGATCGAACATCCATCCATCCACGAACATAATATAAGCCGAATCCTCTCAGCCCTCGGATCCGGCCATCCAATTAACCCCCTACACTACTCTACGCATTGTATCTATCCCCCGTCCAAGATTCGCCAGCACTGAGTCCCTGGCCCGCTCAATTGCAGGCTGGCCCCCCGAATAACTCTGCATATATATATACTCGCGACAGGCATGAAGTACCCGAATATGCAGCTGCAAGTTTTTGGTGTATTTTTGACTTCTACTCCAATGGAAATTGCAGATTAGGACGTGCATTTTCGGGTACTTGTTACCTGCTGCGAGTATATGACCCCGGCCCCCATCCATTATACCTATATCATCGCTCATGCCGGCATCTTACGGATGAACCAGGGCCCATAGACGATCATGATAATATAATTATAAGCATATATACCTACACGCATATCCCCGCTGGCTGACTGCATGCATATCTCGCTCCTCCTCGCGTGTGACCTAAGCTTGAGCTCAGCTCGACGGCAGATCAGATCGCACTTTGTTACAAAGCCCGTGGTCTGGGGGTTTGTGGGGGAGAGGTCAGCATGCCGTGTGCTGACTGACATACGGGGCCTGGTGCGTGGCCCAAATTGCAGATGGAGTAGGTACGTATACGACGTTGGGCATCAGAATATCTCTCCGTACGTTGTTGACTCTCTTTGACGGAGGTTAGTTACTCGTATCCCATCCCGGTCCCAACCCGGGCATGCAGCTAGCATGCTAGCCTGGCTTTGCCAAGGCCCGTGTCTACTAATTGTCCCAACGCGGCCAAACCCCCGATTAGTCGGCCGGTTGGCGCGCAGCCAGCCAATGATCGCTGCGCTTTCTTTGCCTGTCAATGATCTGCCGGTAGTTTGATCAGATCTCTTTACAACCTCTTCTCCGCCGTGCAGCAGTGAGCCTGGGTGCGACAATCCACGTAGGTATAGTACTCTACTGTGTCTCAGGCACATCTCGGAGCAGAGTGCGAATGGAGGATCCAGTGCTATATCTTCTCGCGGTGTTCCCCCCTTCCCATTGACCGTCCATCAGTCGCCCACCATGAGGTTTTTCACTGCCCTTGCCGCAGCTGCTGTAGCCCTCGTCGCCGGTGCCCAGGAATACTCAACTCAGCACTCCGACCCCATAGCCACCGACTTGGCCCCGCTTCTCTCCTCGAACGCACGCATTTATGTCCGCGGCGGCAACAGCACCCTCTTTGACGAAGTGACGCGCCGGTACGCGCTCGTCAAGCCTGATATCAGCGCCGCAATCAGCGTTGGCGCCGCCGAAGATGTCGCCGTTATTGTAGGAGACTCCCTGATGCCTCCCCCCTCTCCACGAGTGATATTGCTGACCCCCTCGACAGGTAAAATACGCAAAGACACACTCCCGCGAGATCCTCGCCGCGAACCGCCGCCATGGCTGGTCCCGAACCCTCGACCGTGTCTACGATGCAATCATGATTGACATCTCGACTCTGAAAAACATCACCGTCGACGCTGCCGCCAACACTGTGACTGTCGGGGGCGGTGTGCGTGTCGGCGATGTCATGCCCGTGCTGCAGGCCGTCGGGAAGGAGACATGTTGGTTCACCAAACCCAGGAGTGCTGTTTTCCTGCTAACCTTTGCACAGCCACTGGAATCTGCGACTGTGCCGGCTTCCTGGGCGTCACTCTCGGCGGCGGACATGGACGCCTCCAAGGCCGCCACGGGCTCATGGTGGACAACATCCTGTCTGTCCGCCTGACCACTGCCACCGGCGAGACCATCACCGTCTCCAACACGTCGCACCCAGACCTGTTCTGGGCGCTGCGCGGTGCAGGCCACAATTTCGGCATCGTCACGGAGGCGACATACCGGATCTACCCCGCCGTAAACGGGGGGATGCAGTACATGATGAACGCGCTGTACGATCCTGTGTATATCCCCGAGATGTTCGAAGCCATGAACGGCTTTGACGTACCAGCCGAGAGCAACGCGCTCCTCGCCTTCTTCGTCAACCCTGTTCTGGGCACAGTTGGTCTCCCCCATTGGCTCTCTGAACATGCCATAGACACTAACACGCCCAGCCGCAAATGGTCATGAACTTTGTCTCCTCCGCCGCCGAGACCGAGGCAAAGGAACAGTTCGAGTCCGCCTTCGGCCACATCCCCTCCCTCTCCCGCAACGAGACCGTGCTCCCCTGGGCGTCCGTCAACGGGCAAGGGCTCGACGGCACGGGCGACTTTTCGTGCAGCAGCCGCGTGAGGATGCGCATTGGCGGGGTGTCGATCGTGCGGTATGACATCCCGTCTATAGTGAGCGCCTTCGAGAAGTATAGGGAGTGGACGGCGATGCCGGGCGGAGGGAGCTCGATCATGATTTTTGAGTCGTATTCGGTGAAGGCGGTGCAGGAGGTGGAGAGGGCGAGTACGGCGTATCCGTGGCGGGATGAGAATGGCATTATGTATGGTTCCCTCTTTTCCTCTGCTTCTTTTCCCTTCCGCTCCTTTCTCGCGCTTTACGCGGCAGTGAATCGCAAGATACTGACTTGTCTCCAGCCTTCTGGACGCAGGCTATACCGACGAGTCCCTCGACGGCGCAGCGTCCGACTGGCTGGCCGAGATGATGGCGCTCCTGCACGCCGACAGCGGCTTCCCCAGGCCGGCCGTGTACATGAACTATGCCAGCGGCTTGGAGGATCCTGGCGCAATGTATGGGTATGGGAAGTGGCGGCAGAGGAAGCTGGGGGACCTGAAGAGGGAGTGGGACCCGCGCTGTGTGTTTAGCGGGTATAATCCGATCCCGATTGAGTGTGAGCGGTGAGCGTTTGTCTAGGGAGCCGGGGGGGCCGGGGTAATGATTGTGGGACTGGATCTCGGGGATGTGGGAGGGTGGTGGTACGGTAGATACTCTACATGTACTTATGATATGAATAAAAACTTCATGAATTGATCAAGCCTGTATCGTTGTACGGAGGCAGGGAATCTACTCTGGGCGTGTGTACGAAGATAACGAAGATTTGCGAAGAAAGAATACCACAAGCTAGATCTATATGTATTCCCGCAGAAAGACATTTCCGTGTCACTACACATCGCAAGCTTAACGTCTACTCCATTTAATCAGGTAACTGGGCATCCCGCTATCAGATACACCCTTACCCGCGATAACCATAACCACCTTATAGCAAATTCAGGGTTAGGTTTTCTAGGCACGGTGGTAAAAGACCACGGTATATAGACAGCCAGATGGTTGCAAGAGTGAGGTTCAATGCCTCTTCCATGTGGGACAGGGGCGGGGTGAGTGGTAAATATTTGCTTCTTGCAGCTAAGATTTCTATATATATATATATTTTTAGAAGGCTGGCACTACAAATTCATATGCCAAGATCACTTTCTATAAGGATACCCATACAAAAAGCCACCCAAACGTACCACAAAATCACCCAAACCATAAGAATATTCCTATAGCCAATTGTCCTTAAAACTCCATACAGAATTTCTGGGACCGGCCACTGGTGAACTAGCTACTGCAGTCAGTGCACCTTCCCCATCTAACACCTACCCGCCCGTACAGGGATGCAAGATGCATTGGAGATCTCCCACATTGCATAAAGTGCAGGTATGATGTAGTCTTGCGTGGATTGGGAAATGATCGTGCGGCGGAAATACGAACGTATGTACTGCTACGTTAGACAGAGAGAGCGTTTTGTACCGCATACATTGGACACAAGACACGTGAAACAGACACACTCTTCTGGCTGGTATATCTGCTGGCTATGGCTACATCACACAGGACACGGGTGTAAGCCACCTTCCATGATCTGGCCAACGTTGACGCTAGCTGATCACGACTCCTGGCTAACGTCGTCTAGATCTGCCTACATCGTACCGCCTGTCGTTTCTCACGCACTCTTCCACTACGAGGAACACAGAGCATCTTTCTTTACTGCGACATACCCCGCTTCTTCAGACGGAGAATAAAATGGACACAAACGAATTCGAGACCATCACCCCCGATGACAAGATACTCCACGACACTCCCGACGATGCCAAATCGTCGCCGACGACCCCCGCCTCCACCGCCGCTTCAGAAGGTAGGGCAACCATCCTCCCCTCCGGCACCGTCGACCCAGTCTACGAGGCAAAGGCCCAAGTCCTCAACAACGCCATGCTCGAGATTGGCTTCGGACGTTACCACAAGGCGCTATTCTTGGTTGCGGGGTTTGGCTGGATGTCTGATAACGTACGTTCTCCTCCCCCCACCCCCCCTTTTCTTGTGCAAATGGAGGCATTAGTTAACTTTGGGTGGGGGGTGTGGTGTAGCTCTGGCCGCAAGTCACGGCAATCATCCTGCCGGCGGTGGTGAACGAGTTGAGGCCGGAGAAGGTGGTGTATTTGTCGTTGGCGCAGACGCTGGGGCTGGCAGTGGGCGCGGCCGGGTGGGGGGTTGGGTCAGATATTATTGGGAGGCGGTGGGCCTTTAATTTGACTGTGAGTATTGTGTATAGTTGCGACGATTGGAAGTGGCTGACGTTTTGGTGTACGTGGTGGTAGTTGTTGATTACGGGGGTTTTTGGGCTCGTGGCGGGCTCGGCGCCGAATTTTGGGGCGTTGGCGGCGTTCGATGCACTCTGGTCGTTGGGGGTGGGAGGTATGTTCTTGGAGGGGGAGCGAGAGCTTGTGGGTGGGGGGTGGTTTGCTGATTGTTTCGGTAGGGAATTTGCCTGTTGATTCGGCGGTCTTTTTGGAGTTTATTCCTGGGACTCATCAGTACCTTCTCACAGTCATGAGTGTCTGGTGGGCGTTTGGGCAGCTACGTATGTAAGGCAATCCGTCTTTTCGTTGACGCAGCTGAGAGTGGAGAATAGTTGCGAGTGCTGTTGCTTGGCCTCTGATGGCGAATTTTGCCTGCGAGTCCTCGGAAGGATGTACAAAGTCTGCGAATATGGGGTGGCGGTATTTTGTTCTCACGTATGTATAATTAGACTGCTAAAGATCATGATGCATTTCGCTAACCTTGGTGGGAGTTAGAATGGGTGGTTTCACACTGGTTATGTTCTTTATACGATTCTTCGTGTTTGAGCTCCACGAGTCACCCAAGTTCCTCATGAGCAGGGGAAAGGACGCAGAGGCAGTCAAGTCCATCCATGCGGTTGCCAAATACAACAAGGTGGAAAGTACATTGACAGTCGAGCACCTAAGAAGGATAGATGCGGAGGCAGATAACTCTGCCAACACTAGAGGGCCGAGATATGCAACCATTGGCGCAGCGGTAGAGCGTAATCTGCAGCGGTTCAACCTCGAACATATTCGGTCCCTGTTTACAACGCCCAAATCGGCCTTCTCGACCAGCTTGGTGATTGTGCTTTGGGGCCTTATAGGACTAGCATGTAAGGACTACTCTATCGGGTTCATGTCTTAAACTAACGATATAAAGATCCGCTATACAATTCCTTTCTCCCATACTTTCTCGCGTCGCGCGGCGCCCAGATCGATGACGGATCACCATCCACCACATTCCGCAACTACCTCATCATCGCCGTCTGCAGCATCCCCGGCTCCCTCGTCGCCGGCCTCGCCGTCGAGCTCCCCCTCCTCGGCCGCAAAGGCGCCATGAGCATCTCCACCATCCTCTCGGGAATCTTCCTCTTCGCCAGCACGACCGCACGCACCTCCAACGCGCTCCTCGGCTGGAACTGCGGCTACGCGCTCTCCAGCACCGCCATGTACGGGATCCTGTACTCGTACACGCCGGAAATATTTCCCACGAGGAACCGTGGAACGGGGAATGGGCTCGCGGCAACGGCGAATAGGGTGTGTGGCATCTTTGCGCCGGTGGTGGCCATGTATGCGGATTTGGAGACGCCCGTGCCGGTGTATGTTAGTGGGGTGCTGTTTTTGGTGGCGGGGGCGCTGATGTTGGCGCTGCCGTATGAGACGGTGGGGAGGGTGAGTATTTGAGTTGCGAGTGTGGGGGTGGGAGTGGTGGGGGGTAGAATGGGAAGGAAAGGGCGGGAAAGAGGCGGAAAAATAGGTGTAAATCATTGGCAGAGTAGAGTAGAGTAGGCGGGTAGTACTAGTGGAGAGGTTTAATATACCCGGAGCTTCACGGAGGTTGTGCTTTTTCATTTTGGCTCGCGGTCTTCTTTCATGGAATCTTGGAGATAGGAAAGCATGTTGGGTAGCGAGTAAGTATTCTGTGCAAAACTACTGACCTCGCACGACTTTGGTACTATCCCAACGCGCACATCCGATGATAAATGTCCGGCTTATCATACATAGTCTATCACCGATGCCACCCGCGCAGCTAATCAATGTATACAACTCATCAGGTAACGTGAGCACATAACCTTTCGTAGAACACTAGACTACTCTGTGCAGATTAGATAGAATAAAAAGACACAAAACTACCAAGCCCCACCAGCAGCATAAACCCCATACCGCCGTTCTATGTAGGCTCATTGGTGCGTCGGGAGTGCATCATGAGATATCACTCGGTATTCGTTTAACTACAGTGTTAGAAATAAACAGAAATAAAGAATAGTAAATGCGGAAGACTGAGACTTTCTTAATTGACTTGCTTAACTATAATACAGGGGGCATATAAAGCCCTTATTTATACAAGAATATTGGGCCTAGAACAGGCTATATATGACTACATATTGACATATATACTGATACTCATATAAGTATTAGGACATTGCTCATAGGCTCGGAACACAATTCCAACATACAGCTTACCACATGTTATTGTTGTTAATTCATATCTTGTATGTATCTCGCCACAGGTAAGTCGCAGCTTATGACTCATCGTTATTTGCAACGACGCGGGGCAAAAGATATAAGGGATTTCGATCCCTATAAAGCGGACGAAGCTGCGTCCTTAAGCAAGTTTTGTCTTATTCCCGAATGGACCGAAGCGCCCAACCCGATCTACCAGAAAGACACCTATCTGGGCGAGATTTCTTAGATATACTAGCTCGACTAGCTCACGTTCACAACCAGCATCAAGATTCAACCTCTGTCATTCTTGTCTGGTGTCAAAGTGTAATGGGGCTATGGGTCAATGATCGGCCAATCATATCCGTGGGAAGAATCTGGGGATTTTACAATATAAGCAGTAGATTAGAGATCATAGGCGAAGAATTCGAGTCCCCGAGGTGGAAGTGAGACAAGGTATCGATGTTTAGTACGGGGTATCGCGTGTCATTTAATCATGAACTGCCACTCGGGGCTTGGCGACCAGGTATGGCGGGATCTACACTGAGCGAGCGAGAGGGAAAGGAATCAAGGCTTCGACACCAACCAAATCTACTCTACTCTAGAGTGCTACGAACGATACGAACTATTACCGGAACAGGACCACAGAGATAAGAATGAGGCCGTTTTAGCCAAAACACTTATCCCTTCATGGATGGGTGGAACTCTCAGATCCGCAGCCTGGACCGTGCGCGCACTTAGTCAGGTAACTTTCTTGCTTTTTGTGTGCGGTAACAGTAATACAGCCAATCAAAAATCAGCGCGAGTTACCAGATAGAGCTGGTTTTGGTTGGAAGAGGGAAGCTGCGAATTTGAGAGTTTCATCCATCCAAGGGGATAATATCTGATATGTAACCATCCACCATAGTTGGCCTTAATTGTCACACCATCCAAAAGAATAAGGTCTGTGGATGAATTAAGACAATTATTTTGGTTCGACCTGACACTCACTCCATTGGGTCGCTCGCTGCGCGCATGTTCAATGAAATGATCGACCGAGGAGGAGTAATGCCGACTCTAGGCATCCAGCCTTGGCACGGTATACAGCTGATGCTATATCACAGAAGCCATTATTAGTTGCTGATCCACGGATCCGCGAGCCCCGCTACTCGGGGCAAACGAGCTGGGCCTGATCCTTAAAGCCCATCCTCTTTCTTTCTTTCCCCCATCCTCGGACAGCGAGAAGTTCCATACGTCTCATATCTTCCCCCGGCCAGGTTGCGCCAGCATTGAAACCGATAATAACCACACCGACCCCGCCTTCGCGGCGGCTCTATTAGTTGTGCAAAGATGGAGTCCCCCGTGCGCAGCAGGCCGCCCTCCCCAGAAATCGATGTGCAAGCCTCCCACCCAGGCACTAGGGTATACGGAGTCATGCGAATAGGCGTTGCGACAGCTGTCAATGCTGGATCCGCTGCCTTCGGTAACCTGATTTCGAACTTTTCGCAAAGGCCGATCCGGGGGGATAATGCAATGCCGGCGGTGCAGGCACGGGTAAGGCCACAGGACTCGATGGCTCAGTATATGAAGGAGTGGGAGCAGAGGATAACGGTCTTGGAGGCGAGCAAGAAGCTGGCGCGGTGGGAGGCAGCGGGAGGGCACAGGACGGAGGGAGGGGAGCAGCAGCAAGTAGATGAAGCGGATGAAACGGATGAAGCGGATGATCAAGCGGGGAATGACGTTGAGATAAACTCCAGGGAGACAGTAAAGGGGCCGGAAGAGAGTGATGATGGGAAGTTAAGGAAAGATAGTGTTCACGGGAACGCATCAGAAGGCTTAGTGGGAGGGAATAAGCATTTGGGGGGTCCGGGCTCGAGTGCTGTCGAGGATATGCAAAGGGTTATAAACGTAGAGAGCACAGTCCATAATCAGGCAGGGCGCGAGCGGGAGGAAACAGAAAGGCCCGTGACATTAGGAATGAGCCAGGAGGGGCAGGAGCTTCCACCGTCGAGGCAAGAGGAGGACTATCAGCCATGTCGTGCAGAAAGCTCAACAGCTTCTACCAGCCCTCGAACTAACCCCGGCGAGTGTATTACCGACACGCAGTTCAACGCTGCAAGGGAGAAAATACAATACGATCGCCTTAAATATCACTTTGCCATCGTTGGAAAGGCCGGATCCGGGAAATCCTCGTTAATCAACGCCTTCCTGAACCGAAGATCAGGTGAACCGGGCGCTGCGAAAACTGGGGTGACAGGGACAACGAGTACTGAGATTTCCCGCTTTCAGAATCCAGAAGCTCAGCCCCCGTGGTCGTGGACAGTTTGGTTCGATGTCCCTGGTGTTGAAACATCGAGGATACCCCACTTGGAGTACTTTAAAAACCAGGGATTGTACGCTTTCAATGTCATCATTTTGTTAATCGGAGACCGCTTGGAAGAGTGCGACTGCAGCATCGTGTCTTCATGCGAGAAGCGTGAAATTCCGTGCATTATTGTAAGGTCAAAGTCGGATCAACACATCGACAACATGCTGAAGGAAAGAGAAGAAGAGCACCAACATACCTGTCCGGAATCCAGGGTTAAGGCTCGAGACGAATGTCGGGCTACATTCAGAGAGCAGACGCAAATGATGGTAGATGAAGCGCTACACGGGGCCGATCTAGGGTCCCAGAAAGTCTTCTGTGTTTCCAGGTTTGCTCTCAGGAGCGCGTATAATAATGGTACGCCCACATATGGAAATCCTCATGAAGACCAACTAGACGAGGAGGAGCTTGTGGACACTTTAAGATCGTTTGCTATGACTAGGCGGCACTTATATCAAGGTCCAGTAAACAATGCTCAGGTTCCATCGAATCAGGTACAGGTAAGTTTATAACCTCCAATTCTGCGCCCCATTGACTTTGGCAGCTCAATAATTCTTGGGGTTAGCGCCCGCCCGTACAGGCGATGAAGGATTATGTTACAGCGGTGGAAATAACGGCGGGGCGAACAACGGATGTGGAATCTCGTCACACACAACAAAACTTCTTGAGATGGGAGAAGCGTATCCTACGTCTCCCTCATAAAACAACTCAGGACACCGTAGAACATGAACTGAACTCGCGCTATCCACATCTCTCTTCGAGCCTTACTTTCCCCCCGCAAATATTGAATAACAACGTTGTACTTCTGAGCTTTCGGGCCGGCACAGCTATTCCGCCTCAGGTCGAGCTCTTTGGAGTAACGCTGCCGGTTATTATGCATGTTCCGAGAGGCCCCACTGCTGGAATTCGTGGAGCTACTAGTTCTCGGAATACGCATGCCCCGGACTATCCGGGTCGTGGCCGAGGAGGTGATGCCCCGGACTATGCGGGTCGTGGCCGAGGAGGTGATGCCCCGGACTATGCGGGTCGTGGCCGAGGAGGTGGTGGACGCGGTAGACCAGTACGCGGTCATCCTGATCGTGGTGGTCGTGGTGGTTATGGTGGTCGTGGCGGTCGTGCTACCTACGGTGGGCGCGTTACTCGGGGTGGATGGGGTGGATGGGGTGGACGGGGTGATAGGGGTGGGCAAGGTGAAGGTAGTGAATCTAGCTAGTGTGAGAGGTGGATGAGGTGAACAGGGCCGGAAATGAGGCGGCAATCACATGTATCCTTGGTTTTTGGGAGAACGTGAAGGTGGATCTTGCCACGATATATTAATGTACACAGTTTGATGATAACACGTTGCGTCGAATATTATGTGTCGGAATGTTCTTGACTTCCCGATCAGGTTTGATTTGGCCGGAGTCTCTTTTAATCCGTTGTGTGCGCTCTCCTTCGGTGCTTTTTGTGTACTGAGCTGGAGGTTAAATTGGTGATAACTTTTTTTAAATGCATACTACATATGTGATTGGCTCTTATATTCGGCTGCTAGTTACTGCGTCCTCTAGTGTCCTCTACTCATCTAGCAGACAACGCTTCGTGTGAGTAGTTCCTGTTGAAACCAAGTCAGGTTTACTTCTGGTCGCCTGGTAGATGTTGATACTCCCATCTCCTAACCAGAGAACTCTAGGTTAAGGTCAAGTTATTGGGAGATTTACCAATAGTGCTGCGCTACTAGGTTCTGGCTAAGATTCTACTGTAATGGGCTCTTTGCTTAATTCATCAACTGCAATCACTTCCTCGGAGGGCAAATAACTAGAGCGCTGACTACATTGAATGATAAAAATGTAGCTCGCACACGCTAGTTGAGTGGTTACTATGGCATCATGTAATATCACTCGACCACACTGAGGCCTAAAACAAGAACGGCCCTCTCTACACATGCACACCATCACCGGCTTCAGCAACCTTTAGCCCAGACCGCTGAAATGACCGTCAGGAAGTAATCTTTAATTTCTTAAATACATATATACCTATAAACATAATTAAGCATACAAGGACGTAATAAGGCTGTCTACGTTGGCTATATCTCAAGCGTGTGTCACGGCTCATAGCACTTTCTACTGACGTCTTTTTATTACATGGGTGGTTAAGGATTACAGTACCTAGGAACACGGACTGTAGCTGCCGTCTTTGTCGCCTGTGTGGAGTCACGCTAAGCCTGATATGGTAAGATGCGAGCTAAGGATAGAATGTGAGAACGTTCTCTACAGTACCAAAAAACGGGGTGTTTTTCGTGCCGTGAGACTGCGGTGTTTGGTTGGATGCCGTACCCTTGTAGTATTCTTATAAGCACTAGCATTGGCGGGGTATTTCGGGTGGCGGACTAGTATTGCTATGGTATTCTTTTCAAATGCCGCACTCCTGCCGCACTGGTACTTGTCTTAAATAGGTACATTCAAAATTGTCATGTACGCAAAAAAAAAATGTATTCTCACGATGAAGCATCACAAGATTCTCAACCACACATCACATGAACCTCAGTCACAACAATTAAATCCATCACCATCTCTGTGGATATTTATCTAGCATCAGAGGGTTAGGAAGACTTGGGGAATACTTTTTAAAAATAATTTTTCCTTTCCCCCTGAGATTTCGATCTATCACATGTACAGTTCTGCCAGTGGTTCAAGCCATAATTTTCCTCAGAGTTGGTGATAGCAATCATGATGGCGATGGCTACGTGACATGTGTGGTGGTGATGGTAGAACACCTATATAGCTATACTATGGTGTTGAACCGCTAGGTGGTAGAAGCGGACATAGTACTAGGGGGGGGGGGGGGGCGGACAGGCGGACAACTGTCAGTTAGCAGGAGTAACCTAGACAGTGACAGGCAATGGTAGTCCTGCAGCAGTGCTACGGCAGTCTTCCTAATACTCTGATCCCAATGAATGCCGAATTATCTCCGTATTGGCCAAGCAATGCGGTATTCTAACAAATACCGCACTACTGCCGTAGCACTACGGTACCGAAAACACCCCGATTTCTGCTACTGTACTTACATGCAGCTAGTATTTCCTGTATGTATCGTCCTAATCCGTCACACTATCGATATCTATGCGCCTGGAACATCAGAAAATTCTGAACGCCTATACAAGAGAGGGTACCAGTGAAAGGATAAGATTATTCTGGAGTCTTAGGATGGTATTTTGCCTGCGATGTTAATTATTACTCGGCGTCCTCGAATCGAAAATTAAAAGATTGGTTGGTTGCATGATGAGTAGGCCACGCGCACGGGTCAAGGTAAAGGAACATCAGTGTTTTCTCCCCAAGTAATTTCATTTGCTAAGCTTAAGGTCTCCTATTTCTTACTAAATAAAAAGCTCCATCAGGCAGCTGGAAGAGATGACTCCCCCACATAAGAAGAAACAAACATGCTCCATTGGGCAGCAAGAATAGATAACCCCTCTAAAGAACGAAAAACAAACATGATCAATAGCCGTTGGTGGGAACTTGAACGAAAGATTCAAGTATTAGGGGAAAAGTAGCTGAAATCCTCGGGGGCTAACCACTCCACCAATCGCCTCATGATTAGGTCTTCTTAAAGTACCATCTAGCCCTCGGGGAAGTGCTCTTCTCGTCGCCGATGACGTTGATGATATACTGCTTGGTGTCAGTGGTAGCAGTCATGTAGAGATGAGGCTGCATCACACTACACACTACAAGGGGTCTAACCGTTGAAGAAAGCTTAGTGAGTAAACAGACGATATAAAGGATCTTAAAGTGACATACCCTTGGTCTAGTTGTTGAATCCTCCATCTCTGGTTCGGCCCGTCATGGGCTGCAAAAGTAATGATGTTAGTCCCCGGGGAGGCATCGCCTCCATAAAGGTCTATAACGAGTCCCGAGTTCATGTGCGTAATCTCGTAGGCGCTATCCGATGGGTGAAATGTAACTCTCCAGAGGGAATACCCCGACTCCATAGCCTTGATACTATTGTCAATCGAGGCCAGGGTATGATCACGATGCTTGTCGTTTGAAATCAAGTAAACGCCGTCGTGGAGTGGTCGAAAACCCATCTGAGAAAAGGGCATGAGTTAGGTTTCTTTACTAATCATTGTAGATACTGGGGAAGGCTTATGAGGCCTGTACTTCTAAGCTATAAAGTTACTATTGATTGAAGATAGAGAAGAGCAGATAAAGGTTGAAGTCGATTGTTGGCTGTAGTAGTGTAGTGCGCATTTGAATGATGATAGAAGGTAAGAAAGCGCGGTGATGTGCCACCTTATTCTCAGGTAGTACCGATTGAGGCTTCGATAGAGCCTCGGGGTCGGTGGTGGGATTTTTATCTACTATGTACTAGAATAATGATTTTCCGAGGTTCTTGCAGTCTGATTGGTCGATAGCGAGAACCCCTAGCCCTGACTGACTCCTGCATGGCAACCGGTCCACCCCACCATCTTCTACTATGTACTAACTAGAATAATGTTGTCCGAGGTCACTGCATGGCAACCGGTCCACCCCACCAAAACCTATTACATTGCTGAGCAACGGAAGCTCTACGGTTCACGCCCTAATATTCATTTAAAAAGGGGTCTGTATAATTATAATACGATCAATTTAATAATATGTATAATATGACTGGGAGTAGTGGGAGGACGAGATATACGAGGTGGACGATGTGGATGAGGTGACGAAGTGGAGGAGGTGGAAGGCGGTGGAGGTGGAAGGGTTGGAGGAGGTGGAAGAGTTGGAAGAGGTGGAGTGGAGGGTGTAAGGCGGAGGGGGACTCAGAAGGCGGAGAGGGTGGTGGAGGCGGGTGGAGGAAGCTGGATCGGGGGGGACTGAGGGCAGCGGGAAGGCGGTGGAGATGGTGGAAGTTGGAGGGGCGGGAATTGGGGGGGGGGGGGGGGGGGGAAGGTACACTGGAAAGGGGGGGGGTGCACTGGATCCATGGAAGGAGTCCCCTCAATCAATATCAATATTTAATACCCATTAATACTCATAATCCAACAACTCGCGGTCGCGAGGTGGCACACCCCTAGTATATATGTATGAAGAGGATCAAGCGATGTTTATGTAAGTGAGAGACGTGTTCCCACTCACGTGAACAGCTGTATATATATGTACTGCCACAATCACAGCAGTGTGACCTGATGGGTGGCTAATATATCCGTGTGGTTACAAGTGGTTAAGGGTTGTGTGGCGCTGCCGGTGCCATCACCTGTCAGGGCACATCCTTAGGTACATATATGTCATTTACGTCCGTGGATTCATTTACTTCTACCTACACACTACTTGTAGTGAAATTAAGTATTGTCTTAATTAATATTGCGCTGGCAACTATTCAACCTTACCAAACTTGAGACTTTATAAAACTACAATTAATAGCTAAAACTGAGTGTATTAAAGTCATAGTCATTTTTATGCTCAAAAGTAATTATCTCCTGGTTTAATTATCATGGTTATTGTGGTGGTTGGTAGACCTAAGGAAATGGTGAGGTCGATGGTTACTATCGCGAGAGACAATTAATTATACTTAATTTCACCACAAGTACACTATGACGTTCATTCATATATAAGCTTTAGTGTGGTCCACGATCGATGCATCGACGTTTGGGGACTTGCCGCGAGGCCTTTGCCTCGAGGGAGCTCAAGGCATGGGGTCGACGAGGCGGGCATGCGCCTCGAGGCAAACTCTCTTGCTCGCCTCGAGCCGCTCGAGGTTTAGGTAATCATAGTGTTATTGGCGTATATTCAGTCGGATTGCAATTGATGTTACCGATAGGAAGTTAGGAATATTGGAAGTATAGTATTCCCTACATTTATGTTCCTGTACTATCACAAAAAAATACGACTTCGACAGATCTAAATATAGCAACTATCTGCCTCGAGCTAGCTCGAGCACCTCGAGGCATCGCCCATTTTGCACGAGCAAAAAAAGACATCATGGACCACACGAGGCAGAGGCGCCTCGAGCACTTGTCTCTGCTTGCCTCGAGCAGCCTCGTGGACCACACTTAATTATTAAGCTTATAGCTGCATATATGCTACATATATAACAATCCCCAACGTATGTGAGAAAGGGAAGTTTATATATGCTCCCAGTGTACATGCCCCTCATAGGTATCGGCTATAGCTATACTATCAGGAATATGTTATTCGTGGAGATATCAGAGTAATAAGATTGAGCCTTCTCATAAATCGGTCATGCACCTTAATTCTCAGGGATCCGTTTACCACCACATATACATACATATCAATTAATGAGACCCTGAATTTAGTTCCCGCGTTCTTAACTTACCGCCGAGTGATATTATATGCCTCATACCCGGTACCCAAGAATCGATGTCATATAGTAAGTAAAAATAGTTATATATCCATTAGCCGACAATACAGATTAGTACCTCGCCCAAAGATGTAGGGTGAGTCAGAGAACCACTGTATATATCAAAGTCGAAATCTCCAAGCTGTCCCGTGGCTCGTATTATTAGCGCTCTTGCCATGGTGCCACTAGGGGGTGGGTCCGGAATGTTACCTATAGACCTTTTTATAACTTTTCTAGTAAATCCCCACTTGCCACCTGCGCCAAACTATGTCAAAGATTATTCTGGAAATCTTGTTCGTGTGATAGCTATAGAATGAGCGAGCCCTCGCAAAGCAGGGGATGCAGCACTAATGTAGAGGCCAAAATATTGCAAACTCTAGTGCCCTTGTGCATATGGTGCTCGTCTCTAATGCACCTCTCTTAATTTCGCCACGTCATGATATATATATATAAGACTATTGAACCCGAGGGATCAGGCATGATCGTACCTTCTTGGCAATTCCATTTATTTACGTGCGTCAAGTAGGAATATCTGATGGATGAACAGTCCCTGGTCATAGTTGTTGAGATTATAGCCTCATGCGTTGTAGTGGCAGTACTTCCCTGCGCATGCGAGGTGGAATGCATGGGGATGGAGGGCTCGCACTATATCTTTCCTTCTACTCTCGTTGTCTCTTTTCCTTCTGCTCTCGTTGTCTCTTCTCGTCACATAGAGAGAAAGTCAACTACCATCATTCATCAAAAGCTCTATTCTTTCAACAATGATCACTTGAGTTCTAGAATATCAAACCGATCAACTAGGACCGATCCTTATCATCTTTCATCGCAGGTTAGGGAGATGGATCTATATACATCATAAGTAGAACGAGAACGCTCTTGACGTACAGCAGAGCGCTGGTGAGGCTTACAAGTATTAGGTGCTAAGAAATAAAATCGAGGTAGCTAGAATACTCCTCACCAAGGACATTCTTAGTGCCAAGATCGGGTGATATGCTACGACTGCAATAGAGAGTATTTGCCAACCGTCAATTTCGACTATTGAGGCTTCAAACTTGACAGTTGCGGGAGGCAAAATTGACAGTTCCCCTCAGTGGCCAAATCAATCCGGTTAATGCATGCACTAGATAAGCGAATAACAAATGCACAAGAGCACAAGATAAACCAATTAACAATGGAGATATTGATTAAATACTTAACTCATTGCATATAACCCGGATATTATAGCAATGTCTGATGTACAAGAATGGAGATAATATAAAAGCAGTCTAGCTATCTACCGTAAACAGAAGGCGAATCGTGCCCTAGAGAGGCGCGAGCATGATTGCGTGCAAGAATTCGACGATTACGTCCAAGTGCTCTCCTGTACCGCGCAACATACGCCCGAAGGATATCCGTACTCATTTGAAAAGTCGTATTTTCTCCAACAGAGGGTGGGGGCTTACTCCCGTATATATCGCACCTGTGGATTACGATTTTAGGCCCGGGACCATCGCATTGGCTATCATTACTGTAAGAGGAATCATCACTATCGTCCTCGCGAAAGGCCTTTACTCTCGCGGAATCTCGCTGCGTCATGTCTTCTAGAGGCTTGAAGATGTCAGCTAAACATGTTACCATTTCTACATGTAGCGATGCCGATTTTGATATAGATCATGTGACCCATTACTCTCATCAAACTCTAAGCCTTCACACCAACACGCTAGTGCAATATAAAGGGATTATACACGATATTTTGGTCGGTATATGTCCCATAGCCATTCTCATCTCTCTGGATGACTTCTATTGAGATGCCAAGATCACCGACCCAATAATCGTCCTCTGGATCCTCTAAATTACCCCGCGGAACAATGTTTTCAACACCGTTTGTCCCACGAATCAGAGGTGCCGTCTCATTGATAATCATCAACACGACAACTTGGCATATGCTCGAAGATTCCAGCCAGAAATCAGCCTTTCTCCTGGCGTGCTCAGCAGTCTCTGAGAATGCCACCTCCACGACGAAGTTTGGCAAGGTGACACCAAGAGTTTGAATGGACGCATCAGGGGCCTTGCGAGATCCCTCGTGGACACCTTGGAAATCGACAAATTCTGCCTTTGTTATTGGTATATATGGAGAAGACTATGACGGTGAGAATATTACCCATAGAATAGTTACGGGTAATCCGACGATACCAATGTCTGTCCTTGACGAAGCCCAAATCCTTCATACGCCTAATCTCACACTCCAACCAAGCCTGAACGCATTCATGCACTGGGCTTGGCATCTTGCGAAACACAAGAAGTCTATCTTTGCTGAAATACTCGAAACTAAGACCGTGCCTCTTGCATAAAGAGTCGAGCTCGACGGTCTTGCTGTAGATTTGTGAGGGGGAGACTTGTGCCAGTGTGATCATATAGGAACCACTCTTCTTAGGCCAGCGTTGGATACCTAAGTTAGCTCTTTCGAGTAGTGTGTAGCCTTGATTAACTGTTAGCAGGGCTGACATGATGAAGAAATATCTAAACGTGTGCGGGGGTCTGTTGTTGTTGTGCGAATGGACGGTCGCGCGACGTGTGAGGAAGAGGATGTTCGAGTTAGGGTGTGAGGCATGTATGGTCGTTTAAATAGGATGTGGCGCGAAAGCTAGGTGTGATGATTGGTGGCAACTTCCCAATCAGTTCAAGTAACGCTGTGGTTTTAACTTCACCCTTACCACCAAAGTAGTTAGTATCGTTGATCCTCAATTCTCTTGACATATAGTTGAACTCTCACTGACGTTCTATATAGTCCCAAAAGCCCAGCGCTTTGTTTCGTTTCGCGTTTCGTTTGTAACTTTTGCTGGTGGCTCTGCTACTTTCCAGTCCTTCCCCCTCAGGACAAGATTTCAAATCACAACGGATGCCGTTAACCAGTACCGCCAGTGAGGAGGGACTTTTTCCCGGGTGTCGCTGCTGATACAGGAGCGCACTTGAGGCAAAAGTCTTTGCTTAGGCAATGACTATGGTTCATCGGGAGTGGTTGTGGATGATTGAATTGCGGCGAGAATAAAATTCCGCAAGGATAAAATTCCGCAAGAATAAAATTCCGCAAGATTTGTGTGTGAAAATGCTATTAATTGTAAGAAAGAAGAAGAAACAGTGCAGCCATCAGTACGCCCTCTTCCTATGAAATCCTCTACGAGGGTCCAACATAGCATCAGTGAAGTACAGGTATTCTTAGCGAAGACCCGCAAGTATAATTCGATTTATGTAGGTACGTACATTTAACCTCCACGTAGCTACATACCTACTAACATGCACCTACCTGTGAGTAGTCGCCCAATGTAGGATATCAAGGTTCATAATCGGGTTCTCAGTATTAACACAGTGCACAGCGTACAACCCCCGGCTCTTTAATCGGTATTCCCTTTGGGGGGGGGGGGGGGGGGGGTCGGGTAGAAGTAGACACTCACGCATATCCAGGCGGTTCTTGTGTGTCGCTGGGCATGTGCAAGAATGTCTGCCCGTCTAGTCTTCCTATCATTGGCTGCACTTCTTTGAAAGCTTCTGGGGGCGTCAGGGGATTGGATTGGGCACGCTCGAGTGACATGTAGTTGGCTGATTGTTAGTTACATGTCATTCTACCAGTATGTTTCCACCCGTTCCCCGACATGGCTGATCACGAGAGAGCGTTAGTGCAACTATATTCGCAATACTTTGCATTTCTTATTGTTCTGTACCGGCGTTTATGGTTGGTTCGCGCTCTGTGGAAATATTTCCCACAGCACCTGTCTTTACCCCGCATACCGTTCATATCAATCGTCTATCTCGAAAAACCATAGGGATGCCCCTCAGGTACCCCGTGTTCCTTTATTATGCCCGTTTAATTATGTATTGCATACATGCCTCGTTTCTTGACCCAAAGTATTTTTCACTCACCTTCAATGACGAGACATGCCGGCAGCCGATAGATTAGATTTGCTGCAGAACTTTAGCTCAGTGAGATAGGTATTCTACCGCTTTGGCAGGTTTATCTTCAGTTTCAAGTTAGCCGGGCTAATATAAGCTTATACTGACTCTCTTATGCAGATGACAAACGCGGAGGTTTTGAGGAGTTGGCTAGAAAATCAAGTTGCCCACGTTCTTCTTCCTAGCACCGAGTGATGCAGTATGTTTGCGCATCACCACGTGCACTGTAAGCGGTACATGCACCTCAAGGGCACAGCGCAATCTAAGCAGGCATGGTATTTCGTAGAAATGCATTAGCGGCTTGCTTGAGAGGAGGATATCGCTCGACAGAAAGAGAGGCCTAGCTATGCAGAGGTTTGTCTTGACTCGACCCATTGCTTTAATCTTGAAATCCTATCAGTCTCATGATCCGAGGGAGGGCTGGCCCGATTTCCTAGGCTGCTATCTATTGAGTATCCTAATTGATTGGTCGCGACTAATACTCCTTCCTGGTCGGGCTGTAGTGAATTGCCGGTTCAGAAGCTGGGGGGGTTAGAGTCCGGCTCCCCATGAGACCAGTTAGGTTAATAATAACCGGTATCAATCGATGGGACGAAGGTTGGGCTGAGACGAGCACTGTCGCGGGGAGGTATTCTCCTCCCTTTCCATCTGACCTTAGCTAGAGCTAGCTAGGTACATAGTCGGACTCGGGGTTTGTAGCTACCGGCGGGTAGCCCTGCGCTAACGCCTAGGTCCAAAAATGGGGAAAAACTCGTGACCTAGTGAATTGGGTCGAGTAGCCCATCGTCGAATTATTTGTTCTTGCGCAAGGCTCGTTTGAAGAGAATATCGGGGAGGGGCGTCGAGATAGAGTAGAAAGATTAAGCGAATCGACCTGTCGGGCTTGGCAGCGATTCCTCGTTTAGCGGATCGCCGCAGGGAACACACACACGCCTGAGCTGTTTGGGTCTAGCTTTCCCGTCATTCCTTGGCGTATCACCTGGTTAATCTTATCAGATCATCTCTTGGCGCATTTCTAGCCACCCAGCCACCCGTTTGTTTCCATCCCCGCCTCCCTTTCCCCTTCAACCTTCCTCAAGACCACGACATGTCCATCTTCCCCCCCCCCCCGCCTGTCACCGATGGCACAACTCGGTCCATCTAGGGCTATGACTAAGTCGCTCTCTCTCTTGCGCCTTTCCTCTCCTCTCTTTTTCCTTCCTTCCTCTCTTCTCTTTTTCCTTCCTTCCTCTCTTCTCCTCCCCCTCGCTTAGAGCCATCATCGTGCCAAGCTTAGCCAAGCCAGGCATCTCCCATCGCCAATCAGGTCCATAATGTCAGCCAGGCAAACCTGTTTGTTCCCCCCCATCCCTCGCCCTCTTCTCCTCTCGCTTCCGCTAACGGCAGGGCAGCCCACAAGAAGAACTCGAAATACTTCAACTCCCCTCCAAACAGATGGAATCTCATCGACTTCTTGAAGTACCGACACCCCCGGGACGCGACGCGTCGCAAGATTGCCGATTCTTGGATTAAATCGTTGGAGAGTATTGCGGCCTGCAACGGTCGCTGCCATACCGACGAGGGGCGTGAGAGGGCGGAGACGTTGCTCAGTCGGTATAGAGAGGTATATATATACATTCGTTAATCCTTCCTTTGCTCTCTAGCCTCCTGTGACACCACGTTGCTGGACAAGCCCGGACAACCTGATAGCTTGTCCGGCTCTTCGTCCAGCATCGGTGCCGATCGTCGAGATGACCTGTTAGCTTGTCTTGACGGACCCCTCCCTGTTCTTCCCTCCCCTCCCTTCACTACACAACGTCTGCCCAGAATCCAGAAGCGGGACCTGTTAGCTCCCGTGACTGACACCATGTTGCTGGACTGGCCCGGATAACCTGTTAGCTTGTCCAGCCCTTGTCCAGCGTCGGTGCCCACTGCCCAAGATGACCTGCTAGCTTGTCTTGATGCGGTGGGGTTGATTCGCTCTATACCCTCGCACTCTCCCCTCCCCCCTCCTCTCCGCCCCCATAATGTTCAATGCTCCGCCTCTCTTTCCTACCCATTGCAGGTCTGGTGCATACCGGGCCTCAATGGGTGTGGACGTGCTGCCTGCTAAATTTATGTAGAGAGACTCATCGGACCGAAAATACGCCAAAATATGGACCTCCCTCAAGAAGTCGACAGAGCGGCCATCGCCAACCCCTGCGACGATCAATTATGCGCCTGTTTTCCAGAATGGCGGCAGTGCGCCTCTGTTCCAGAATGGTGGCAGCGCACCGGTTTTCCATACTGCAGGTACCGCTGCACCTGTCACTATCAATAACAAAGATGCCGATCGCAATCTGTCTTCGCCGGTGCCATCTAATAAAGAGGATGGTGAGGAAGAGGCAGCGATAGACGAGTGGGAACTGTCAGATACTGTAGCCGGGGAGGAGGATGAGGATGAGGAGGATGAGGGTTATACAGATGAGGAGGACGATATCAGCGATAAGGATTCACCCCCACATATTGTAGCGTTCCAAAAAGCCTATCGCAAGACCGAAGGCCACCGGTGGAGGCTGTCAACTGGCCGGGATGTCGAAACCGTCCTCTTCTCTAAATTCCATGCAGCTGACGGTGCTGGTTTTCACGCGAACCTGGCATTGTCTTTTATTCTCGATTTGGGTGACGACGACGACGACGACAACGTTTGTAAACGCTGGTTTTCGGACGAGGAGTGGTTGGAGATCAAGGCCACTACTCCACCACTCTCGAGCGAAGGGTTGATGCCATTATTCAAGAGTTTTGACCGGTTCGATGGGGCAAAGACAGTTTCGGAATTCAGACATCGGGTCGACACCACGCGGTATAAAGAAGATGGCGAAGTCTACAACCGCGAGAAGCATTACGACCTATGGTCCGCAGATTTGGCGGTGCAGCATATCCTTGGCCTTTGGGAAGATCCTGACCAGCCCCTTCGGGCACCTCAACTCGAAGACACCCTCTCGAGCTGTCTATGGACACATATAATCGACCATCCACTTCTAGGGCTAGCCGGAGTCCAAATGATCCATAAGGAAAGTTCCTGCCGCTCCACCGCCCGGCGGAAAAACCGCCACCGCACACTGCCGACACAGCGACAGCTCAGTGGCCCGAAGATGGACGGCATCATCCGCTCCATCAAGGACCACAGCGAGGAATTCGGCGCTATGGAGGTCGCCTCGTCCTTCGGCAGCGTGGGCACAAAGTCTACCAAGCTGCTAATGGACACCAACAAGCTGATCAAGACATTGCGGGATATGCTTTTCGCGCTGCATCAGCGCGTGAACTTCGACCCGGCAGTTACTGGGAAGCTACAGGTGGTGGGGATCATGTGTGCGGGGTTGCAAGTCCAGTTCCTCAGGCTGTACTGTAAGGGACATGTTTCTGTCCTGGTGCGGGAGCGCATAGAGGAGGTACCTGTGGATTGCTTGGAGTTTAAGGGCTTGAAGAGACTGCTGGTTAAGTTTGCGATGATGAAGGTATGGACCCGTGAATACCCACTCTATTCCTATCGTCCCTATCTAACTGAGGGCTTGTAGAAAACAATTGCGCAGTCAGTAAGCGCGGTCAGCGAGCGCTGTCCTGCGGTCAGTACTGCGGATGAGAGGGTCAGGAGCGATGAGGAGAGACTGCAGGAACTACTTTCTGGGAAGGTTAAGGATTGTAGGCCGAAGTTGGATTGGGCGGGGGATTCGCCGCCTCCGGACCGGTAGGCGCCGTAGGATTGCGGGATGGTTTGGCGGCTTTCTCTTGTCGTATTGGATCTCGGAGGTTTCTATACTGTAGCATCGCTGGATATACTGTTTTCCCAATTCCTACAAATTGAAAATATTGGCATCTACGCATCCGAAATTTATGCCCTGAATATATATATTTGCGACTATTAAAATGCCCGCTCAAACACCCACTGTATCTGAAATCGCCCCTGACTCCATACTTCAGCACGCGATTTAAAAGCTACCACCCGTCTAAGCTCACTCCAACCCACCACTCCCGCTAGAGAACTATTACCCAGATCTCGTCTTATCTTATTTTATTATCTTCTCTCCAAGGCCTAGCTATGGATTCTCGCGCAGTTTGACGATGCACTAGTCACAGTCACAGCGATAACCACTATTCCAAATCATTGCCATGGGGTAGACATGAAAAGTCTTGAATCATAAAGGGGAGGGAGGTGTCTGCTTACACTTCGTACTATACGGCGCGAGACCTCCTTTCCGGACAGATATCTCGTTGATACTCTCGCAGCCGTGACCCCGGGGGTGCTTCACGCCCTAGCCCATGGTAGGTAACGTCGCACCTCACCAGCGAGACACGAATTATCACTCGACTAGACGAGTGAGAACCTATGATATGATCTCCAACTCCATCAGTTTTTTTTTTTTTTCGTCTTGTACAACACGATTTGCGAGAGGATCTATGCCGAGGATGCTTCGAAGATTGTCTGTTTAGATAGCCCATATCGGTAAATAGCCACGTTCCTGTAGGCTTGTAGGTCACGCTGTATCACTCGGATGTTTCTTTCCTTGACAGTAATACAGGCTAGTATATTTCCATCACATGGTAGGACGTGCTATTTCAGCCGCCACACGAAGTTCCACCGCCCTTTTAGGGCCCAGTAGATTGCAGTGGCCTGTGAGGCCCTATACACCCTCCCGTGTGTAGTGCTAGGTATCAACCCTGCCCGTGTGTACTTGAGTCCTTCTTGTTGGGAAGGCTAGAGCGGTCCCGGGGTATATTTGATAACGACGATGCGAAGTGAAACCCTGATATCAGATTCTTTCCGGGAAGTGAGGGGGTTAGTTAGGGTTAGTCAGCAATGATGCTCAGGAGGGTGTTCACTCGGCCTCAGCTCCCGCAGCGACACTGCGGAATTTGTCTGGCGAGCTCCATGGTGGTCCTGAATATCTGCATGGCGCGTGGCACTAATAACACAAGAGCTACCGGGGGAGCTTTAGCACATGCCTTAATCCAAGAAGACATAAGTGCACTTAATTAGGCGAACCCGTATATATTCAATTCCCTTTACAGACACAATTCATTACCCGCCTCCAAAAATCTCATGACTGGCGCCGAATACAAAAAAAAACATAAGAAGGTATATTGTTGATATACCAGAAGCTTCCAGGAAAAGTTAAAAGAAAAGAGTTTGAATATAGCAGAGATCTCTATCAGAAATGGGGTAAAATCTCCTCCCAAATAACAGTCTCGTAGGCACGTGTAGGCAGACTCCTCAAGCATATAAAGGTTTCAACGAAAATAAACATTCTAGCCAGGAAGTATGCTATCAGAAGTAGCCACATGGGTATAACAAGTACCCAGCGCAGGTAACATCTGAAACCCCAATAGGCATTCCAGTCCCTATCCATAATCACTTGTATCAAGAACCAGGCTGCACTGATAACAGCCAAGACCACCGCCGTTTCCAGCGCGACGTAGATGAGTATCCTGTAGTGTTGCTGGATGACCAATCCTGTCACATACCGAAATCCCTCGACACCCCCATATATCGCCCCACCCGCCCATCCAGCCAGAAAGCCCGCGAGTAGATACCAGGACGCAAAGTCGTAAATCGCGTCGGGCAAAGTGTCACTATCAAAGTATCTCCAGACCTGATCCGTTGCCACTAGTATTGCGAAATGTCCAAGGCCAGGAAATGCGATAAGGAGGCAGGAGATTCTCCACAGCAGTCGTTCTGTCGGGGAGGGGAAATATGTATTCCAAAGTAAGGAATGAACGCCACCATATATAAGATATAGTGGTATCCACATAAGCCCTAAGCCCTTGAGATTGAAAGAATTTTGCGTTGCCGTCATTTCTTCGGGAGATTTCAGTAATATGGGATAAGCTGTCTCTCCAGACACAGTCAGATCGCTGTTATGTTTGAAACGATCTGATGAACGCAGCGCCTTTGCCGCGCTTACGAATATTTGGTACTCCTGAGCCGTTATGTTGAACTTCCCGCTCGAGTGTGCCTTTAGAGTAATCCCACGCCTACTGTCGATAAAAATGCGAGTTGAGTCTAGCGGAGGTATGCCTGCTTCCCAGTCTTTCCGTTCTTTGGGGGAAAGCTCAACTCGATGCAGCTGTATGTCTCCGTTCCAGTTGTCCACCGCCCGGTAGAGCATTATCTCATCTAGTCGATATTGAGTGTCCGCAGCAGTGTCGGGGCGTGAAGTTGGAGGACGCGGAGGCATAGTCGTAGGGGGCTTTCTCTGTTCTGACCCCGCTGTAGTGGTGCCAATTACATCGGTAGGTAAGGATTCAAGATGCACAGATCCCTGCGCAGCACTCTGTGGGACATTCTGCTCGCTTGCCTGGCCGATAAGATCAAGGGGTATATTAGGAGGGATTTCGGGGATCCCTGTAGGATCATTGTTGTCGGTATGGGGCTCCAAAACCATGGAAGACTCTTCCAGGCCTGGTGAGGATTCAGAATGCAAAGATCCTTCCACAGGATGCTGAGTGACGTCCGGTTCTTTTTTCTCGTTTTTCTCATTTTTCTCAATTTCCTCGTTTTCCTCATTTTCCTCAATTTTCTGCTGGGGATGGTCAAGTGGAACGGGCGCCGTAGAGTTCTCAACTAGAGTATATCTATTGGCGCCCAGAATGCGAGTGTTGAATGACAAATCACCTGGGCGTGGCTCCGAGACGTGAAGTTCTAGAGAATCAGGGTACTGCATGAAAAAGAGAACCGCACTGGTGGGCTTCGAGATGAACTGATCGAGCGATATTGCACTTCCAGCGTCGTGAGGTTTCTTCCACCAACAGGCGTAAACAATCACAGCACAAAAGACATGCACAATAACGTTCAACTCGATGATGGTGATTGGAAGGCCTGCCGCCCTACGCATGAAACAATTCATCACCATCCATAACGCCTGTGCGCAGACCAAGAACTTAGCTAGCACGTTAGCTTTGCCCTTGTCCTTGACCTCATTCTTGAGGCTCGCAAGACCTTTACCATCCACAATTCCCATTCTGAGAAGAACATCCATCGCATCAGCGGAAAGCGTACGCCGATACTTTGGGTTCTGATAGTGATCGAGTGGGCAGAACGTGTAGCCTCCCATCACAGCAAAGAATGCCCCCTCCATACCGAACGGGGTTTCCCTGAGGAATATATGTGATATCGGCAAAGATCTCCGGATTGCCTCGATCCATCGACGAAATATCTCGTGAACCCGTGATCTCTTTCCCGCGGTAATGATTCTTTCCACAGCTTCATAGTCCTTGAGTGCTTCCTTGACATTCTTGACTGCCGGCAGTGCAGCATCGGCATCCGCTGCCCTTAGAGCTATATCAACTGCCGACTGGAGCTGCTGTCGAGCTTCGCTTCCCTCAAAATCATCGCCTTCCGAGGTGATTGTTCGCTCGAGGGCTTTGGTTGCTAGACTTGCAGCCTCTTTTGCATGCTCTACAGCCATAGAGTATTTCCACGCCAGGAGAACCTTCCGCGCCTTTCTCCATTCGTTGATGGCAACTCCCAGAACGCACTCCGGTATAACGAGTCCAAGCACCATATAGGTAGCCCTGTGTTTGAGACAGCGGGTTACCGTCGGGTTGGTTACAATGTTGGGGTGGATTGCGGTCCAGACACAGAGCATAAGAGTGATGATACAGGTAAAGAAGATATCCAGAGTACCACGTCCTCGGGGTGATGGAACAAAAAAGGGATGAGCGGGTTCGGTGGTGTTTCTAGCATTTGTCACCGGGGCTGCATGGACAAGCGTCGAATCTAGGATAACCGCGAAGGAGGACACTATCGAGTAGAGAATATATAGCGACATATTTGAGGGCTAATGATAAACCTGACTTTTATTTGTTAGTGGAGGATAAGGATAATAATCTGATGCCACGGAATGTGGGAACAGTACAGGTTGGTAAGCCTCCAATTCAGGTCTATTTCCGAGATTCCGAGGTCTCTAGCAGCCAAAACGCAACGAGATGGATCCAATGGCGTGAATACTCCAGCACAGCAGTGGGGATTAGCAAGGGATTTCAAAGATCAGAACAGTTTCCAAGATAGTCAAAAAATACTGGCCCAGGGACCGTAAAGGGGATATAGTTGAGCTTGGAGCTCTGAGGGTCGAGGGTGGGATTGATATAACCTCTTCCTCTGTGGGTGGTACCGGGTGGTACCGATTGTCCTGCCCTTTCTAAATTTATTGAGACTAGGCGCTACTGCGCTGGCGCTCCCTTGGACCAGTAATTAACAACCATGACTATCCTTGGAGCTCAGGCAGGGTCACCGTGCAGTGTTTGCGAAGTGATGCGTTCGATTTAGAACCTGGAGAAGTTTATTTCTTTTCTGCGTGGAGTGTGCACGTGCACAGTATTTATCACCTACGACCACCACGATCATCACCACCACCCGCAATTAATACTGGACCAATCTATCCCATCTTTCATATCGACGCCTTTGGTCTCTCAGGTCCTGGGCCTGTTCTACCCTCATCAATACTCTATAACAGGAATACCCCAAATAAACCATATAATATAGTTGCTGGTTGTTTTGAGCTGAGGCACCGTCAACCATATATGTAGCAACTGAGTGGTGACCTTTCATAGGTAGGTGGTTGTAATGGAAAGTCATTTAGGGGTTTATGAGATCGACGATGTGGATTAAAGCGCCAGATTTGTATTTGTGCCTTTACTCTACAGTCGTTCACCGTCGCTTGACGAATACTGCCACTTGACGAACAGGGGACTTTGGGCCAATAGAAGTTAAAAGGACTGGAGATCTCACAGCTTGGCTGTTGCTTGACTGTTTTTTGCCATACTTGGAATCCCTGTTCGTCGAGTGGCAGTAGACGACCTCCCGGGCCATTCGGACACCCCCCTCACTCGGACAGTTAACGTAGAAAAGAAAAGATCAACGTTTTAAGTGGCTTCAGTACCTCTTTTCAACCAATCATGATTGACTGTCCGAGTGAGGGGGGTGTCCTAGTGGCTAGGGAGGTCGTCTATTCGTCAAGAGACGGTGAACGACTGTAGCTTTATATGCATTTACATACATACGCGAGTTGGACAGAAGGTCTTGGTCTCACCATGTTGTGTTTGTTGGACCTAAGCTCTAGCCCTTTCGGGTGAGAATTGTTGCAGATCGTAGGCACAAGTCTACTCTTTCTGTCAGCTTCTGTGTCATGGAAATAATTGCCGGGGTCCTTGAGGATAACTCTGAGGTTTAATTAACCCCTGACTGATATTTACTAAGGTTACCTATTAGCATAAAGGTGATGGGGACTTTTGAATGGTTCTTCAACTTCTGCATATGTCTGCAGGTGCAGAGTACTCTACTCTCGTGGGTGTAGAAGTAGAGGCGCTTGAAGAAGAGCTTTCCCAGGCGCTCGTGGCGGCCCGTGCTGGAGTACTTACTCGCGGCAGGTAACAAGAACCTGAACATAAAAACGCGCTAACAGGGGTCAAAGTGGTTGCTACCAGAAAACCGATGTTCAGGTTCTTCTTGCCTGCCGCTAGTACAGCGATGGGAATGATCTATGGAAAAAACAGTTATATGGTGCACAGATATTTCGCCATACAATTTCACCCCCCCCCTGTTTTTCCATAGATCATTCCGGTCGCTGTACATACTAGTGCCCCGTAACGAACTCAGAGCTCGAGTCAAAAACAGCGTCACGAACTCAGCCTGTCATAAACAGCAGTTTTTAACTGTCAAATGTCATGAACTAACCTTGATGTCCACTCCAAATTCACCCCAAGATTACCCTAATCCACCCCAAATTTCATTTTCTAATCCAATTTTACACCTCGAATTACCCTAACCCAGACAAAAATTCGGTTTACACCAATGATTAGTTCATAACCATGACACCCAGCTTTCCTCAAGCCAGTTTTTAACCAGTTTAAAACTGTCTGTCAGTAACTCAGTTTGAAACTCCCGAGTTCGTCACGGGCCCCAAGTACATACAACCTGGCAAACTCGGTAGAGACATACACTAAGGCCTTATGAGTAGTCTACTTGTAGTTTTTTGGCGTTTCCGGACGCAACTGCTATTGCATGTCATACAAAAGATAGCCTTGGCGAGTTTTTTCTGTGTATGCAGTACGCATCGATATCTACTGACAGGGATCTTACTTTTTTGCACTCATCTTTTCAGCTGCATGTGCATATCTACATATGCGCCGACACCGCTAGTCCTACAAGTAGTTCTGAGCCATGGTAGAGTGGGGTGTCTACTCCAGAGTACATATATGAATATATACTCTACCGAGTATGTACCCGCCTCCGGTTAGTTTTGGAGTAGAATATGTATACTCTAGTGCTCTTGGGGGCTTTCAAATTCTAAAGAATTATTTTGCACTGTCGTACTCTAGAGTAGAGTAAAAAGGATGTCTTTAGCGTATTCGGACGGGAGCAGTGTTGGTAATGACCGGGGTCCTAACGATTTATCTTGATGGGACCGGGTTTTCGACCGGTCATAATGTAGGTCGTATCAATGCCAAGAAAGGCGATTCTATTAAAGTTTCCCGGGGAGGATACGACCTATGTAAGTCATTGCCTTTACGACCGATGGGTCCGGATCGTCCCCGGTCCTAACACTGACCGGTTGTTACGGGTCGTGGCTCATTACCAACACTGGACGGGAGTGTTACTTACCATAGCAAGCTGGCTACTCGCCCCCTGGTCACGTATATATTCTAGTTCAATGAGTATGCAGTAGAGCACCCCATGGAGGCTCAACTCCGAAGTGACCCGCCTTGAGTACTTACCTAGGGCTACTGTAGGTACTCTAGCGATATGTATGCACCCCGCCCAATGGGTGATATATGTAGTTACACTGAGAGCCGCACGCCCGACACGAGGCGGTTGTTTTGTCGTCCTCGATTGGCGTGTCGATAATGACCTGTCACTTGCTGCGGCTGAGCAAAGGAACTCATTGGACTTAAGCTTGGCAAGTTATTTCACAGCTACATACATGTAATTAACCATTGACAAGGAGCTCTTGTCTCAGATCCACCCCGTCTTCCCCGGGGAAGATACTCTGGCCAAGGCTCAAGAGGACTCATCGCTATGATCAACTGCAGTAAGTATAATTAAGCGAGAAAGGTTTTAAAGAAATAATTATTGGGATCCGTACCTGCTGCGATGTTCAAGGCGATACATAAAGCTGTAGGAGGGATGAAAGTGATCATCTCTCCAGATCCATGTTGTTCCAACGGGAAATGAGGTCGTTCTGAGTCGCAGTCTGACCAGGTAGGTAACAAGGGTGGAATCGTTTTCGTACATACCAAAGGACTCACAACCCTATCCCGAGTTCTCGGGGGGAATAATTGACAATGTTATTTGCGATCTTTGCTGCTGCCAGCATCGGCGGAGCGAATAGATAGACCGAATGTGAGGACACGGTCTACCCAATCGGTGGCAGCTCTTCTTATTTACACACATAATTACTTGCTTTAGCCGCGCGCGCGCCCACGTTAGATATAGAGCCAGATGGTCCACTCGAAGTGCCCAACGTTCCGTTCGCCCTGTGCATCTAAAATCGACACTCACTACACGCGAACTGGGTCTCCTACTCTAGTCTCATGTCATACGTCTCGTCCGCCGAAATCATCGATACTTGTCTCTGATTCTTTTCTTACCTATCAACGTTAGTATCAGGTGATATAGATACGTATATACTGAACGAGTATAGTAAAGGTATAGGAACAGGATATACGCTGCTGCAAAGTCAATTCAACTCGACAATGGTTGTAGGCCGTGGGTGATAGTGGAATATGAGGATCAGTTGAGAACATCTTCTCCATTTGCTGCGTATTGCTATAGCGCTATTGATCTTCATAGTATTGCTATAATGGTCGGTGAGGACATATCAGTAACCTTCTACCATCCCGGTAGACATCCAAATCAGTTTCAGTATCCACTCTCCTCTGTTATATAACTCAAGATTATACCCAAAATATCCTTTTCCTCAAGAATCTTCAGTCCGGGAATGAAACGATAGCAGTATGAACCACAAGAACGCTCAAGGTATTATTTCGTGTGTTCTCTAGGTTTCTCGTTCTCACCATCAATTATTCTCACCCGTGTTCGAGGATTGGGGGCTTTGGGCTTGACGTGCCTCAAGGAAGTTATTTACTCTGGGGATATCTCTTGGGCTGATGAATCAGTAATCAGTATACAGATGTTAGATGTTAATCTAATGAGGTCAGAAAATTTTCGTTTCTTTTTGTCGTGCCCGTGTCTATTAAAGCTGCGATACTGCCTATAAATATATGTACTAACGATTGCGCTGTAATGAGGTAGGCCACAATGTTACGACGACTATTCTCATGTATTGTACTCGACCGCCACTAGCACAATGCGTTTGAGAGGGCGCGACGCCGACAATCAAGTGCGCACGTGCACGTCCGGAGCGCGGTGTTTCTATCGGGGGAACAAGTTCTGCAGGAAGGAAGGAAGGCCTTTAAAGCTTTGGACACCGATGTGAGAGTAAAGTGCTATAGATCGATGGGTTAATTAAGGGTTGTGCATGTAAATACACGACCAGTTGAAAGAAGATATAAAATTACTTTCATCAATCGCCGGTTAGCCCGAAATATGCATCATAGGTATATGCCTCAGGACGAACCCTCACTAACCTAACAGATTGGGTTCAGAGCCTATGGCTACGAGCCGCCATTTTCACCGGAGAGAGATACTTGTTTCGGGATTCCAAATATCTATTTGAAGGCCTCGCAAAGATGTTCTGGCATCGGTTCGAATTCCTCTTCGCGATTGTGAGTGGCAGAGCTGGAACGGTCTTGAAATCCTAAGTGCTTTGAGATAGGCGGATTGTCTGGATCAGCTGCTAGATCCATTCACATCGTTTGGGAGGGGGAGGAAGGAAGTGGGGGAGAAACGACGGTCGGCTCATTGCATATATCCGCCAGTAAAGTACACCAAAGCCAGACCCCAGGGAGCTGATGCGTCGATGACGAGGTGGTCTTATAATTAAGTTAGATGTCAATATTGCTGATGATCTTGGCGCGGAGTATATATAAGAGAACCCAAGGGCAACCTTGACCAGGTTGCAACTGCAGGTTGCAGACAGGATGTTTCAATTCAAGTACGTCTGCCAGGTGGAATTAGAGTAAGGCCACGTACCTGCAGTCGTGGCCGGCCGTGGGGCATAGAGCTCATGTACCATAGACCTAACCGTGATTAACAGCGAACTCTGACGACCACCGTCTATCTCGGCAAGGTATTTGCTGATGGAATAAGGTGAACGATATTCAGAGCGCCATCTTGTTATGCGACCGAATATCAAGCGCCAGGTGTAGTGATGCACACAACACAAAACAAGACGAGACTTCTATTGATCTCGTCTTGTCCCGCATCTGGGAAGAGCGGGTCTTGTGGTTAAAGAGACCTAGGGTAGGTATTGCGCAAAGTCTCGAGACTGAAGCTCGAGCACTAGAGTATATCAGATTAAAATCAAAGTTAGGGTTAGGGTTCGAAATGTTCTCTAATTTATATACGTATTAATTTACGTCTCAGACTACTCTGGAAAATGCTCCATTTTCCAACAATTTATCATTTTTCGAGACGTCTCGAGACTGATCAAGACAGTCTCGAGACAAATTGTCTTGCCCACCTACAGGTCTCGTCTTCTCTCGTATCGTCTAAAAAAACAAAGTCTCGAGACGTTTTTTATCGTGTGCATCACTAGCCAGGTGGATCCGACGTGGTATCAAATCAAATACCTCCTCATGCATCACTGTCGCTGCCGCACTTACCCAAAGCCACGTAGCGGTCAGAAGGACCGAAATCAATCACCAATTAATTACAAGTACCTACCAAGTATTACAAGAGTAGAGAGATAGGGTTGATGGAGTATCGATTTGTGCGCATAGTTTGAATGAGAGAAGTACCTGTTGGTGAACCGTTAATCCCAGTATTGGTGGCTTGTACCGCTCGCACTGTGGCCCGGGCTCGCACGCACACTTTGGCTCCTTCGTCTACGGCAACCTAAATACTACTTATAGGTCCAATTGGCCAAGGTTAATTCACCAACGACGTAAACGTATTCACATCCAAGCTGCCAAGCATGGCACCCACATACTCTCGATCGCGAGAGATGAAATTTATCCGAGGATGATTTTCTGCTTGAAGACCTTGGTGGAGAAAATATCATTTCTTTAGCCTGCTAGTGGCGACGGTTAGTGGTATGCCTCGTTTCGTGACGGTGCTGGCCCTCGTATCGTAGATAGCCCTGGTACCGTAGATAAATACGTACCTTCATCGCCACATGATCCGGCCGAATTATACCCCCACCGGCAATTGATACATTTCTAAGAGCACACACTCGATAATCATATAAACTAGACGTGTTACATGCATCTCTTTCGAAAGTGATGAAACTAATTCATGTGGTGGCCCGTGCTGGTCATGGAATATCACTCGGTATTGCGACGAGTGACAACCTATGATGTAAACCATCCAGATAAATAGGCAGTTGCTGCGACACTACGGACCTTTTGAATCGAACGTCTAGTTATTCATTGGGCCTTCGAGCCAGAACGATCTCGCTCATTTATGAAATTCTTATCTTGTCTAGCGAGTTTTCGCCCTATCGGGATTGTAGACAGACGACTAGCGAAATCCCGGCCCAGTTGTTCCCATACTTACCAGTTCTTAACCTTATCTTTAATTTACTTACCCCCCCCCCCCCCCCTCTTAGACTTGTGTATCCAGGAACTAAGTTTAATCAGTGATGATTCCAATTCCCCTATATAATGTAATGATGAATACCCTGATAAAGTTGGTGCCAAGAGTGTGGCCTTAGTTCATTGATCCCATCTTTCTTACGATCAAAAATAGATGCATTGCATGCAAGGTTTCCAATGGTAGAAACCGGTTGTGATAGAAGACAAAACCGCACCGACCACTAAATCAAGGAGCTCAACCTGTACCAACTGTACTAACTATTTATCTTGACAGTTTCAACCGGTTTAACCGCTTAAACTGCGGTTTATGTTTTGGCATACTCACCGTGATAACAGTCCTAAAAATAGGTGTTCATGTTCTCGGACAGCGTGTTCGAGCTTTGGAACTGACCTGCTCGAGCTCAGGAATTGGGCTGTTCGAACTTACGAACATGAGTTGTATAAACCGTTTAAACCGTCGGTATAACCGGTTGTGCAGACCCCTAAACCGTTCAAACCATGTATTGAGGGCGAGAAGAACTGTACCAACTGTTAACTTAAACGGTTCCGTTGAACCGGTTTAAACCATATAACCGGTAAACCACTGGAAACCTTGATTGCATGCAGATTTCTCACACAAGTATTCACTCTCTTATCGGGGGTTCGAGACGGCAGTGACATACTAAAGGATACATGTCCTCTAGTCGTGGGAATGACGTGCAGGGGTTCTCGGTATGTACCTGACAATCAATAGAGTCTTTTAGCTACCGACCGTAGAAAAGCCTAAATGGAAAGTCCCAAGAATTAAAAAGACCCAAGACCATTGTGCACGCATGAGAGGGACTTGGCCCGCATGGGATTAGGAATACGTTGACAGGAAATTTCTCATATCGTCAGAATTTCTTCAAGCGCACTTCTAAGTCTTGCGATTAAAATGACATATCACATGCAGCTAGCATACGTAAGCAGAGTGGTCTTGGGACTTCTCATTCCTTGGGACTTTCCATTTCGGCGTTTCTCTAAAAGACTTCGATATGCCGGGTTGCCAAGATTCTAAGGAATTCGTACGGGATAGCAAAAAATCCGGGGTAGCAAGTTGGTCTTGCAGTAGAAAGAGTGGTGTTCTCAGAGGATTTCGTACGGGTCGACAGCAAGGGATCCGGTGCTTTCACGGGGGTGGTCAACAGGGGGTATGGTCAATCTCAAATATACGCCGGAGTGATATATATAATACGCAGCTAGGGGCGATCGACTACTTCTTTTGGTTTCTACTCAAATTGACCATCCCATACCCTGTGAAGGCGTCTACGAAGAAGTTGCGTGAGGTACGAACCTTGGCGCCAAGAGGTTTTGGCTGGGCACGAGACAGCTTCCCTCGCTGAGCTGCAAACATCTTTCCTCCTAAACTCAGCGAAAGCCAGGCACATGTGACTGATCTGTATCAATGGGCTTTGGGTGTACTTATGGCTCTAAGAAGGAAGGAATGACGTGGGGAGCGTGTGAAAATTTAATGAAAATGCGTCGGGACCGAAGTATTTCCGGAGAGTCTAATGATTCACGTACAAATGTCATTTCCTACATTATTCTCACGCATGTTTGTGATACGCTATCAGATAAACATGTCCGCCGCAAATTACGCATCATATATCACTTGCAAATCGGTTTGGTCCGTTTCCTGATACCTTCCCCTTCGCTATCAGAGCCTGAAAACGAACTAGATCGTTGACGGCGACCATAACCTGATTAAAAATGCTTAGATATTACTGCAAGTTTGATTTCATATGGGGAAACATAAGAAATAATCGTATCCCATACCTTTTTTAAAGATGAGCTCATTTAATTTACGCAATAGTGAGGTATAAGTAGAGTGATGTTCATGCCCAAACTTGACCATCGTGGAATGATCACCTTCTGCAGGTAACGTCTCTTCGATTGAATTCGGTAAATTGAGAACCAATGACTCACTTTCGACCGCAGTGTAATGATCTCCCGTGCGGGCCCATACACCATATTCATCCTAGGGATACAATTAGTCTCCAACATGATTGTACAGGTAACTAAATCTAAACATAGGCCTAGGTTGCAGGCTTGGGCGGGAAAGAACTCATTAAACCATACGGGAAGCAAACCTTGACAAGTTTTCTAGTTTGTCCTCTTTCCCGAAAGCTTACAATCTTCCATTCCTTCTCCTCGCAGATTTTGATAAATTTTTCCAACGTAGCATGAAGGACTAGGGAGTCTGGGCTCAGGTCCTGAACCATTTTGAGTCTGGAGGACTGGTCGCCGATCATTGCAAGTAAGTCGTCAACAACAAGCCCGCGGTGAGGAGTACCGAAGAATACAATCCCTTTAATATTACTGATAAGAGAACCGCATTTTAATTGTTTCTCTGTAGCGTTGGCTATTGACTGATTAAGTATTTTAGTGCTAGGTGTGAATGTTCGACGAGGGTCAATGCCATCTTACATGAGCAATCACGATGCCACCAAAACTATGAGCGATCAATATAACTGGTCTCTCCCTCTCCTGAGAAATTAGTTAATTTGATGTGTGGTTTTATATGTATATGTATGGGGAGGTACCTCTTTGGAGTTTCTTGTCTTCTCCAGCTCCTCCAAAAATGTATCAACGTAGTCTTGAATACTATGCCTTGATTGGTGCTGGAGATTAGAGTTGTAACCATAGACCATAGTCCTACAATGGTGAAGGCTCTTCGGGAGAAAATGACGAAGCCACATTCTGGTTCTTCCATCAGCATTTGCTTTGGCTGCCCACGAGCCGTATGGATGACCATTTAATCCACATACTGCGACAATACTATAAAGTATCATATTAGCTGACATTGTACCGTACATACCCGGAGGGGGGGAGGAAGAAACACGTGCTCTGCCGCTATCTGCCCGGTCGTAGGATAGAGCTGTGTATGCCCAAAGAAATCCTTATCCACAGTAATCTGCTCTCCTGATCTATACAGCCGCAAGGTGTAAGTTTCGTTGATTCGAAGACTTTGTAGCTCATCTGGCGGCCGTGGAATAAATTGTATCAAAGCCATTTGTGTGTTGGAGCCGTAACAGTCTGGTACTATTGTGGACTCATCCACATCCATCCATATATCTTTACTGCGTAGTTTCAGAGGCGAGGCGCTAAGCGCAACTGATATAGACCTTAAGGATTTTCCATATGGTATCCCCCTAACACGGAAAACAATCTTGCTGGTTTTTTCTCGATCCTGCGTTGTCTTACATGAACCATTAGTAGCTAGGGTAACCAGGAAGCTCAGGAAGGTATCCCACCTGGTCAACACGTCTTAGGCACCGGTCCGCCCGTACCCTTTTTTGTGTTACCCGGTCTTCTGACTTTCCCGGGGCAGGGTATCCGCGATTTCGGTTTGCGTCTGTCTCTCGTCGCCCACTAGTTTTGGGTGCTGGTGGTGATGGTGAACGTTCTTCAACGTCTTCATCAGCGCTGGCCTAAGAGCTGTTAGTAGGGCGACCAGGCCGAGGGTCATCAAGGCGTCTCACCCAATCAGAAAGGTCGGACCAAGAGGTGCTCCTCCTGGGGCGTCGTCGGCGTTTTTTCCGGCCCCAGCTGAAAGGTTGTTCAGCCGGCGGCGATGGTGATCGCTCTTTAGTGACTTCTACCTCGCTTCCCTAAGGACTGTTAGTAGGACAACCAGGTCGAAGATCATAAAGGCGTCTCACGTCCCAATTCAAGAAATCGGCGTATGACATGCTCCTCCCGGGGTGTGTTCGGCGTTCTTCGTGGCAAAATGGGCTGAAAGGTACTGGTTCAGTACTCTTGCCACTTTGTGCCGGCGTCTGGGGGAGGTCGTGGAAAAAGTCCGGTGCACTCAAATGCTGGTGCCAGTTTTCAGTTACTTGCCTTAGCTCATTATCCTTCGGGGGGATGTTTTTCTCTTCTTCCACAGGCTTAAATGGGCTCGGGGTAAAAAGACAATCGAAAACACTTTGGGGGAAAGCTTTTGAATAGCTCTTCTTCAGTGAATCCTGGAAAGAATTTTGGTCATCTGGTCCTAATAACTCTTGAAGTCGGTCTGCACCCTGTTTTGGTTTATCCAGCCATAGAGATTCGTCTTCTTGCCAACATTGCTGGAGGTGATTCTGGGGGAATTCCGAGGAGACGTAGGAGAGCTCGCATGCGGGATCGAAAAACTCGGGCTGTATCGCTTGCTTCCGTAAACTAAAGAAGGGATTTTCGTTTTCTTGCCCTAGTACATCCTGAAGCTGATCATGGCCTTCTTTCTTTGGTATATTTGCAAGTATATCTTCTTCTTCTTGCCCTAGTTCATTACTCCCAATAAGGATTGCCTTGCCCTGGTAACTCTATTTGTTACTTTAGTAGGCCAATCGGGGGTGTTAGAGAGAAATCTTTATACCGTATCGTATAATGCATCTACAAACAATCCCTTCAGCTAAATCGATCGTACATTCATGTTAGTAGCCTCCATGACATAAAATAGTAGTAACACAAACAGTTTTCCATATTATCAGAGTGTCATCTAAGCCTTCGAGTGGTACGTAAGCTACATATGTAGAAGAAATGTAAGTTAGACTGATATGTGAAAAAATTAGATACAATTTATAAGGATGCATCGATGCACGTACGTGGAAAGCAATAGAGATTCTGGATGCCTCTCGACGTAAGACGTTTGAGAAAACGCTCTGCACCCTCATCATAACCGATACGCGAAATGAGAAATGTAGCAGCTATAATATTCAAGGTATATTATCAGACTTGAATGTTTCATTTGGTAAAGTGTATATAACTACTAACCGCCCTCCCCCAGTGTGCTGGAGGCTTTACACTCCAGAACGCAGTCATTAATGACTCTCTCTAACGTATCATCGCTCTCGCCTTCAACCTGTATTATGTTCAATGTCTATTAGAATAGGTGTACCCAAACTATGAGATCAAACAGTAATATCAAATATTAGTCGAATATGGTTAGGACTATCTTGATCTGTGTCTAATTAAGATTGAAATTAATAACCATGGGATGGTCAGCTAGGCAAGTAGACACATAAGTCTAACGAATTGTAGGTTTAGAATTATTAATTACGACCGCGATATGGGTCTAGTAGTCCCACCATTATTCCTGTCGATCATTGAGGATTAATCGGGCCTAGGTATCAAATTCCTTACCTCACTGTGTATGATCATCATAAATATGAGCGGCTTCGGCAGACGAAAGGGACGATTATAGATAAAGCGTTCAAGGATACGCTTATCTAACATGGTCCCTATATTTGCGATACCGTTGAACTGGTGGTTCTCGAGGACCTTGTCCACTTTCTTGCTAGTAATGTTCCTTTTTCCTAGTTCCTGGTTCAAAAACCTGATAGATGAGATACCTATTCCGGGGTTGGCAAGATCATAGACCTTCGCAATCTGCTTTAATATCCTCTTAAGAGTCGTAACCGTAGCACCACCTTCGGCATTTCCCATAGAGAGGCTATCATCTATGTTTATCTGTTAGCATCAATGATGTACCGTAATTGTTCTATCTCTTTAGTACAACTAAATCTTCGTCCCATTGGATTAAGTATATTAGGGCAATGATTATCTCTATTTAGAGGGAAACGTCAAGTTAAAGGTTGCCCACCAACTAATATTACCAAGTCAAAAAGTACAAGTAATGACAGTTGTTCTGCAGTCCGATGATCGCATCCCCTCCTAATCAAAGTTTTGATCATTCCTTCTGCTCGCAATGCGCGCTGCATCAATGAGTCTGCATCGTAGAACGACTTGAGGGCGGGCCTTTGGTTTTCTATGTACTCGTGTAAGATACCCAGACATACACCTGCCGTGCAAACTGGAATATCTGTCTGATTGGTGATGGGGTTATCTGGCATAGATATTAATGGTTTGGATGCGTCTAAGGGGTTATATCTCGAAAACGTTCGTGTTGTGTTATGATTTGTGTGGAACTGGCTACTCGGACACTGAGATGCGGGGTTTTGACAGGAGATCTCTGCTTATTTATCGGGACTCGCGATCGGCGCTAGCGCAGGTTTTAAAATTAGAATGGAAGTTATGCATGCCCTTCTAAACGCCTCTATTTATGGTTAAAGAGATATCTGTAATTCTTTATTCGTGATGTAGAAATCTCTAGCTTGAAAAAATGATACTAGGTATATATATGGTGCCCCCAGTCTTAAAGGTAACATGAGAAAAACGCCAAGTCTCGAATAACTTTTCAACCACGATTGATATTAAAAATATGGAAAGAGAAAAGCTGGATACCATGATGAAGAAGAGTTTGTCTTTCCAGATTTTTAATATCAATCGTGGTTGAAAAGTTATTCGAGACTTGGCGTTTTTCTCATTTTACCTTTAAGACTGGGGGAACCATAGTTCCGATAAAAATGCGGGGCCGGCTAAGTCTCCTCGAGCACACCAACTGGTTCCGGGCAAAGCTTTAGCTCCCCTAAAGCGTGAGAACTCGGCTTCACTCAACCTGGGCCCTTTTGCGTGGTATTATAATATATATTACTTCTCCATTTACTTTCCGGCTAGATGATCGATGTCGTCCACAATATCTCTAAGTCCTGAGCACGACGATTGGAGATTTGAGGCAGATTTCTCGGGACCTAGGGACGTGGTTCAGCTGAGTCGCAGAGCACCCGACAACACGACTTGTACGCGATTATGGCACAGAGAAGAAGATATCGGGCAAGGACATTTCGGCGAGGTTTATATTCAGCGATACACGGATCCTGACACCGGGGAAGCACACCGCCGCGCGGTAAAGGAGATTGCGGTACGCATTTATAAAGGCAGAACAAAATATCTCACAGCGGAGTTGCGGGCATTGATAATTGCGCGGGATGTGAGATATATATATAGTCTTAAAAATTGCGTTCCTTTCCTCATTGATATACATGTATGTACTAATATAATATTTGATTTCAAAACAGTATCCAGAGATGTTCGTCATGTTCCACGGATGGTATCAAGACAGTAACAAAACTATGTTCATAATTACGGATTATGTTTCTGGGGGAAATCTGGATGAATATATGCGAAGAGACAGACCGGGCATTAAGGCAAGCTGCCGTGAAGTTACTATACAGCTCCTAAAAGCAATTGATGCACTTCACCTACACTCGATATGCCATCGTGATTTAAAACCATCGGTTTGTCTCCCTCTACTCTTGAAGACCCAGTTTCAAGCTAATTACTTTAATCCATATATATTTTTTATTAGAACATTCTTATCGCTTCACTCACCCCATTACTCATCAAGGTTTGTGATTTTGGGATCGCAAAGTCATGTTTCAAGGACGATAGTTCTTTGAAAACCGAGGTTGGTACGGCAAAGTATATGGCGCCCGAGATATCAGGATATTTCCCAAGGGCACAGCTCGCCCATACGAGAAGATACACCGCAATGGTAGACATCTGGTCTTTGGGAATGATTTCACACGAGCTTTTTACTGGAAACTTGCCCTTTTGGAATCCGATTCCTTCTGAACCAGATGAGGACTACTCCATGTCCGGAATTGATCATGGACCATGCGACGATGTTCTGGCTACGTCCTTTGAGCCTAGAGAATTTTTAAATTACTGTGAGGGATCTCGCGCCCTTCCCGACAATCATTTAAACGTTAGTGCGGCGCCAGATATTTTCAAAGACTTTATCATATCTTTATTAAGACCCAATCCAACGGAACATCCAGAGGCATGCATAGCGTTGAAACATCCTTGGATTACTCGAACAATGGCTAAGCTGGGTACTGCCCTTTCCGATCTGTTCATCGCCAGGTGTAGCTCTAGGCGGGTGCGGTTGAGGAGCGCTTTATACTCAATAAGTTATTTTTAAATACAGGTAACTGATACGTTAAGGTGCTCGTACTGTTGGTTTAGGCCCGAAACTACGTGACAATCTAGAATCAGAACCAGATGACAATTCGAAACTGGAACCAGGTGGAGACCCAGGATCCGAACCAGCTGTTGGCTTAGACCCAGTCCCATGGGGCGGCCGTTTTCAAATGGGGTACTCCGGCGAGGATTACTAGTAAGTGCCTTTATTCCTGCGAAGAATTCATTAGTCGAGAGGTAATTTACATAAGGGTGGCTTCGATTTAATCTTACTTTGGTGGGTGAACTTTTCTATTATATCACTATCCCACCATGTAACCTTTGGCAGGCTGCCACTAGTGATCATCTTCTATCCTGTAATCAGCTTGGCTCTACCGGTGTAGGCTGATATAGAGACCTCTTCGGCAACATTAATTAAATGCAATTAAGTTGATGACTTATATATAATTATGCTTGTTTTTGAAACGCTAATTCCTAAGAAGATGATGTAGTTGGATTTGTTCTGGAGGTAATGCCTCTTGTCGTACCGACGGAGCCTACTTCCTAGTTGCTCTATATTTGGAATGCGCAGAGTGTCAGCATCCCCGCTGTAATCGGTGCGAGGTCTTGAGCATACAGGCTAGCGGTATACATCAGTGTTATGTAACGTATATATACACAATCTCGATTTACTACAAACCTTTCTACTCTAGTGCTATTCGGATATGCAAAAGATAACATTTAGCATGAAAGGGATGAAACACGAGTACCCCCCATATTTTCGGGTCGAAATTTACATATATCTGCTATACGAGGTGCTGCAGGATTTAGCTACGATTGAGAGAACCCTCATGGCTTTACTCAGCTTGAATATATTTTCATTTTTTTGTTAATTTTCTTATTTTTCTACCATCTTCTATAGCTACTTACGTATCACCGCCGGCCCCCCACCAATCTTTAAACTTTAGTGAAGGTAATATGAATGACCTAAATCGTATCAATGTTAACGTTCTGGAGTGGTATCACTCACCAAGTTAAGAAAGTATTCTGTACATTTTATATATATATCCGAGCATTTTGTGAGCATTGCAATACCTCTCAGCGCTGATATGTCCTACAATATCACCGCTCGGTTGAAGACTTGGTCTCTTCATATGCGGTTATGACCTCGATCCCGAAGAGCTTGGTTGGTCACGGGTGTGACTAAGACAGAAAAGCGTAAATCGATCGATCAACCAATTCGCGAGGGGAAATACCTTTGAGCCTTGTTCTTCTAGGTGTTCCTCTATGATTAATACCACCTGGATACGTAACTTAAGTCAACAACACCACTCATCATATCGTATTCTGTGTCCTTAGGACCCTTTCAACCTTCAATATAGCCTCGCAATGCCTTTCGGGTTTACTATTCGTGACATATGCCTAGCTAGTGAAGCACGCCATCCCCATCCTTCGGGCGACACACAATCTTACCCTGCGACCCAAGAGTATCCTGACCCCAAAAATGAGATGCCGCGCTGGCCGAAGCCTGGACCAGATGACGCTTCGAAACTGGAGTCCAGTGACGATTTAAGATCCAAACAAGGTGCAGCTCTAGAACTACAAACGGGTTACAACTCAAACGTCATCTACGGTACTGGTAGTGGTGGTGGTGGTGGTGGTGGCACTGATTATGAGTATAGTGGTGGTAGGGGATATGCATCAGTTAATGAATTGAAAGTGCCTTTGTTCCCGCAAAATGCGTTCATTAGTAGATACATGTAGATAATTTACACGAGGGTAGCTTTGATTTAACATTACTTTGGTGAGTGACTTTTTCTATTGTATCCCTATCCCACCATGAAGACTTTGGCAGGCTCCCAGTGATCATCTTCTATCCTGTAATCAGCTTGGCCCTACCGGCGTAGGCTGAAACATAGATCTCTTTGGCAACAATAACCGAAAGCAATTTGATGGGTTATAATTATGTCTTTGAAATACTGACTGATTCCTATGAAGATGGTGTAGTTGGGTTTGTTGTGGAGGCAATGGCAGATCGAGTTGTCCTGGTAACGGAAGCTACCCACTTGATATACAAGAATGCGGAGAGTGTCAGCATCACCGCTGTGGCTGGTGCTTGACCGTAAAATCGTGGATTAGTAGACCAGGGTTGACTATAGTTAGAGTATGAACTGCGAACCTTCCTTCTCCTGCATTTTTTCGGATATGCAAAAGATAACATTTGGTACTAAAGGATTAATGAAATGCGAGCCCCCATATCTTCGATCCTAAGTACAAGTCGACTTGTCATAGAACGTCCTGCAGGATTTAGCTACCTTTGGGAGGGATTTCATCACTTTGCTCATGTTTAATTCTTTGTTATCTTTGTTGGTTTTATACCATCTCCTACGTACGCACGGCCTTCTCCGAAGTTCGAATGAACCTTCAAGCTCTAGACTCCCTATATTGGTTTCACTTTTCAAGCCCGCTCAAGTATGATAATCCAACCATTTTATTCCATCATGCCTTCTCATACTCCAACCCACTACCGAATAGGAATGACAGCAGACCTTCTCTCGAACTACATTAATAACGTCTCCATTTCCGGTTTCAGTAATCTTGAAACGTCACTCGTATTTCCTCTGCTCCTACTGCGTTGTATCGATGTGAGAGCCAATGAGAATAAGGTGCCTAATCAACAAAGGATGGAATAATATGGAGTTTTGGATGATATGGGTGTTGATGGTGAATTATACCGTGGTAAATACTCGAGATGCCTGGCCCAGCATATGGATCATAGTATATCACTCGTGTTTCATCAACGAGCCAATATATTGAAATCTAAGGAGACAACAGTCAGAACGAGTACGGAAGTTCTTTTACCACCGGGAACCTCCAAGATGGGAGGTTATGCTGGTTCTTAGTTGATACTCTAAACCGCCGTTTATTTGAAAATATTTATAGATACTATACCTCAGCAACTATGAGTATATACCTCCATAACATTATCTGTTGTATTTCAGCATGACCTTAAGAACAATTTCCGTATTGAAACATGAAGGTAGCTTCATTGCTATGTGTCTCCGTCCCGACCGTGGTTATCACTAGCCGTTTGTTTCATGATGTACAGAGTAGCGCACCTCCCCAAGTGCCATGATAAGACTATACTACATCAACGGAGGCCTATAGGATAGGATAGAGTGCAAAACGATGTGTAGTCACAATTTCCAACCCAGAAAAATCACCGTAATGTTAACGCTTGTCAATCCAGGATGACTATATATGCAACAGTACATATTCATGGCATATTCAACTCCCGTGTGAAAGAGCACGGGATAGACCAGCTGTTCCTCCTCAGGTATCCGGCTCCGGAATTGTTGGGTAAGGTCGGGCTAGGCTCGGTAGAAGCTGCTTGGTTATGATTAATGGTTTGTAGGCTATTAAATATATTCCCTATCTACCACCGGCGGGCCTGGTATACGCATCCCTCCGAGAAGGAGGGCCCGGGAGAGCCTTTCTTGAAGTAAGGACTAACTACGCCTAGAAATCTGTGTAATAGCTAAGGGCAGGTTGTATCCTCACCCGTATAAACAGCGGAGAGAGAGGCGGCGCATGCACTAAGAGTTCGGGGTCAGTTACTATGGCGCCCCAGGCAGTACCGCAAAAACTCGCGAACTTTGTTAGCTGATCTAACTAAAAGAAACTTGTACATAGAAGAAAGATCTGAGACGTCTTTCTGCCTTTCATCAGTGGAGAAATCCTTGCGCGGTGATAATCAAGTTGGCGAGTATAAGAGCTCCCGGACGCCCATCCACGCTAGGCGGCGAGTGTGCTGTTACTAGTAGCGGGGTAAGGCTTCAGGCTCTGCGGAAACACTCCCAAGCGAGCCCCACCACTCAGCAGGGGTTCTCGCCCTGCACGCCAAGAATCGTGAACCTCGACTGCTCCCTGATCAGCCTTCCAAGGCTACTTTAAACTATAAGCCTAGTTTGCCTTTGTGAACACCTCTTTTTCTTTTTCTTCCAGCCGGTGCGAGCAGCTATTACTCCCTGTGATACAAGTCTCACTAGCTGGGCTTGCCTCGATCGAACGGACACACCGTTTCTCTGGGCGGGGTTCTACAGGCACCGCGCGCGCAATGAACACAGGTAGGTACATGCGACTTATCGATCCATAACGCGCCCGCATTTAACCTTAGCGGTATTGGGCGGAGATGTCCTAATTAATGAAGGCCAGGTTTGCAAACGTCGTTGTACCCTACACCAAACCGCCCCGCAGCCCGCCGGGTCCCCGTCAGAGAAGCGACTCATCAGCCGGCTCACCCCATACGGGGTTATGGTTATCTCGGGGTATGGCTTTGTCGCACACAGAACTTGATCTTTCGAGGAATGGATCCCCCTGTCACATATTCTATGGCAATACAGGAATCCCTTACAACTGTCACCACTTTCTAATATTTTCTGGTAACAAACGTAGCAAGAGAAGATGGATCCTGCTTTACTACTGGCTGCGGCGACATCTACCCGCTCATAGGTCTTATCATCAAACCATGCCTTCCAAACTAATCCAAAAATCAATCGTTGAGATCATATCCTTCCTTGTTCTCCAACCTCACTAATACAAATGAACGAGGGCAGAGGGGATGTCAACTAAATTTTTCCGGAAAGGGTTTTCTAGCCTTAACGCGCTCGATTATATCCAATACTCCACACCCGCGTAGGCACGGATACGGTGGGAAATGGTGTATACACTCCCACTAAGAATAACCTCTCATTACCTTTAAAACTATTAATGAAAACAACATAGCTCTCCGAACCATTAGAAGCTATTGGAGGCCATTGGTTACTTGATCAGGGCGTAATAGTTTCCTACGACACTTCGGAGACCACCATACTCAGTTCTTCAAGGCCCGTCTTAACTGTAGCGCCCTCATCAAGTTGAATCTACCTTTTTTTCAGCGCCCCACATATATCCCATCAATCTTGTACATATATAGCTTAGTTTAGATGGAATTCAATCAAAGACCAGCTAGCACAAATAAAGGACATCATATTGGGATGATCTGAAAATAAAACATAACCTAATCCGAGCAAAGGAAAAACCTAGGGCCCCAATACTACTACCGCCCAAATCGGGAAAACATTGCAAAATGAAAGAAGTCTCTGGAATATCACCGAATACCACCACTCTGAATCCGCGCCGACGTCTTGTGATCGGTTCTAACCGTTAGATACCAATGCTCAGATACAGGATGTCATGTGGAAACGGATGTCACTCACTTCAAGGAAATATGAATGATAGAATAAATATCAAGGAATGAAAAGAATTGTCAGGAATCGATCGACTAACAGATGATTAGCCAAATTCTCTCTTGATATGACCATAGGAATATATCCTCGATGGTCGGAGGAAGTGGTCAGTAGATCGGATTGACTTACCAATCGCTGCGAGAGATATATGGTTTACGCAGAAAATGAAAGTTCCCAGGTCCTCAATAATCGATTTTGGGGGGAGCCCACAATGTCAAGATGAAAAGAAAAGAAATAGGAAGAACTGTAAAGAAATAAAAAGGAAATAACCAATCATCCCCATCAAGCCCGAATGTAAATATAAGAAAAACGATAATCTGGGACACTTCCTTTACCCAAACCAATCCGATAGCGGGAAATACACATGTCCTCGATTGATATTTACGTCTCATCCATCGACAACGGTACACTCGATTGTAGTGAGGACTGTGATTCGCTCATTGAAAGTATTGTTTGACTAAGCTCTGGCCAAATTGTCAGTGCTGTTTTTCCCTGCTTATCACGTATGTCAGCACGAGCTCCATGCTCCAGCAGAGCTCTAGCGGCAAATATATGTTTTTTTCCTGCCATTTTGTGTAATGCTGTCTGTCCCCTACGGTCTGTCATGTCGATGTTTGCACCGTGCCTCAAAAGAAGCTTCAGCTCATCGGCCGCCGAATCTGCCGTAATCCTTTGTGCTGCAAGTAAGACTGCCGAATCATTGGTTTTCTTATTTACGTAATTGACCGATGATCTGGCGTTCAGAAGCCTTTCAAGCAGGGTTTTAAGAATCGGATATTCGTAATAGGGGCTGACTATGGCCGCCATAAGAGGTGTTACTCCTGCCTTGTCTGGCGAGTCGACACGTGCTCCATTTTCAATAAGAGTTGTAACGGCTTTTATCATTCCAAAATATATCGCTTCGAAGAGTGCATCTATATCCGTTAGAGATTCAATTAGCGCTGACTCCTGCAGTTTAACAAAGCTTAAATATACATGTACATGTATGTTTAAATCAATGGGGTGCACTACCGGTCTTCTGTAGTACCCCGAGTTTATTTATAACTATTATCTTGTAAGTTAGCGGTAATCCCTATAATGCAATAAGGTTTGGATGGAGATGTGTATTCCTAATGGAGGATTAGGCAGGCACTCTACATTTTTCACCAACTTCCACGTCCCTCTCCGCTCCCCTTGAGATAAGAAACTCAGCTGAAACTCTTAATTTCCTACTTAAGGCCACCAGAACCAGAATTGGAGTTCCTTGGGAATCCTTTATATTCACACTAATGCCAGCCGATATTAGAAGTTTGATTATCGCTAGCTTGCTTTCATTCGTTTTATCCATTTTGCTTGGGAGCATCTCGCGGTACGGATAAGTAATCCTCGCAACGTGGAATATAGCTGCTTCGCCTTTCGGATCCTTTGTGTTTGCATCCGCCCCTTTTTCGAGTAGGAGTCGGACTGATTTCGACTGGTCGTTTTGGATCGCCAGTATCAAAGCCGGAATGCGGTCCGAGGATATTGTATTCGCACTTTCCCCCTTCTCCAGCAGTAGCTTGACCATATCTGGGGACTCCTTGATGGCAAGGATCAGAGCAGGATTGCCGTCAGAATCTTTTGATTCGACATCCGCTCCTTTTTCGAGGAGGAGTCTGACTGATTCCTTCTCGTCTTTTTTAATCGCTACTATTAAAGCCGGGGTGCCTCTCGGGAGCCTCGGGAACATGCTGCCCGTCCACATGATTGTATTAATTACTATTATATTTGCACTTGCCCCCTTCTCCAGCAGTAGCTTGACCATATCTGGGGACTTCTCTAGGGCAGAGATCAGAGCAGGATTGCCGTCAGAATCTTTTGATTCGACATCCGCTCCTTTTTCGAGGAGGAGTCTGACTGATTCCTTCTCGTCTTTTTTAATCGCTACTATTAAAGCCGGGGTGCCTCTCGGGAGCCTCGGGAACATGCTGCCCGTCCACATGATTGTATTAATTACTATTATATTTGCACTTGCCCCCGTCTCCAGCAGTAGCTTGACCATATCTGGGGACTTCTTGATGGCAAGGATCAGAGCTGCCTCGCCATTCCAATCTTTTGAGCTGGTATCCGCTCCTTTTTCGAGGAGGAGTCGGACTGATTCCGACTGGTCGTTTTGGATCGCCAGTATCAAAGCCGCAATGCCGGCCGAGGTCATTGTATTTGCACTTGCCCCCTTCTCTAGCAGTAGCTTGACTATATCTGGAGACTTCTTCACGGCGTAGATCAGAGCTGTATTGCCATCCCGATCTACCCAGTTGACGTCCGCCCCTTTTTCGAGTAGGAGTCTGACTGATTCCTTCTGGTCGTTTTTAATCGCTACTATTAAAGCCGGGGTGCCTCTCGGGAGCTTCGGGAATATGCCGCCCGCCGATATTGTATTTGCACTTGCCCCCTTCTCCAGCAGTAGCTTGACCATATCTGAAGACGTCTGGATGGCGTGGAACATAGCTTCATTGCCGTGAAGATCTTTTGATTCGGCATCCGCTCCATTCTCGAGGAGGAGTCTAACTGATTCCTTCTGGTTGTTTCGGATTGCCACTATCAAAGGCGGGGGAATATTGCTCACGTCCACTGTATTCGCACTTATCCCCTCCTCCAATCTGTTAACTCTGGCTCCCCATTCCAATAATAATTCAACATATTCTATTGATCCTTTAGAGATTGCAGAGTTCAGAATAGTAGCTCTCGGCTCCCTATTCATGGTATCAGCAGAAGCTCCTTTCTCCAAAAGTAGTTGAAAGATATCTTTGTGTCCTGCCCTGAGTGTGTAATGTAAGAAGGATTCGCCGTTGTTGTTAAAGGTACCACAATTTAGGTCGACACCAAGCTCCAACACGCCCTTGACCATTGACACATTTCCAGTACTTATTGTGTCAAATAAGAGATTTGTGAGGTCCAGTGTTCCCAAGGGTGGACAGTTACTCAGGCTAGAATGACCTCGGGTCTGTGTATCGATATCGGAAAAATAAGTTTGATGATACCGTCGAAGATGAGCTTTAAGGGTCACCATAGTCGCAAAACCTATTGAGACAAAATCGCACCCTTGAACATTACATGGGAAAGGTCGAGTATGGGTATCCAAATGCTCGTCTCTTTTGTTTTGGGTGTCAAACCCATTAACGTAATGTAAGCATTGCACTCGAGAACACTTGAATATGTTTCCACCGTAATTTTTATAGATACTTTGAAGTTGGTCCTGATCATTCGACATCGAAGAGGAAGTGAAAATATCTTCAAGATTCTGTCTAAACCTTTTCGTCGATTTTTGTAGTGTAAAGGGGTCGACTTGCAAAAGCGTATAAGAAATAGATCAACGAGGCATATATCGAAGCATAGCCAGGGTTGACTCACATGAAATTCCTTTAGATAAGCCCTCTCCGGAATTGAATATATAGTAATTAATGAGATGTCTCTGTACGTTTGTCGAAGGGTTGAGAATTTCCAAGAAGCACCCATCGGAGGGAATATCTTGATTAGCGACCATTTGCGGTAAACTTTCGTCCAACCTAAGTTGTACAAACTTGACCAATAAAGAAACAAATGATTGAGTCCAGCTATCATCATGGTCCAGCTCTATTGCATGCTTGACATGATACATCCAATTTCGTTCAGCATATAGATGGAGGCAATAGTCTCCCGATAGTATATTCTCTTTGACTTCTTCATCGGTTATGTTTATATCAAAGCAGGAAAATGACAGATATGTGATGCAGGTAATCGCAATGTCTTGATGAGCATCTGAGTACCGTATAAACATCCCGCTATACTTGCTCGTGAGGTATCTTTGAAGTGCACCCTATTAGCTACTTACAGCTAGCAATAGATCATTACTGAAAACTCACTCTTTCGCGGTGAAATGAACAAAGTGGATGTTATCCTCTGCGTCAAACTCTATGACGGGTCCACAAAGCTCATCCAACCGTATCAATATTATTCTCCGCTTGTTTATGCAACTATCCCCTTCACGGATTGCCAAAGCTTGCTTAAGTTCATTCAGACTTAACGGTCTTGAACTACACATAACCCATCCTAAAATTCTTCTCGCAAGGTCCCGCTCTCTCACAGATAGCTTTTCATTTATACGGTTTACAATTCGCCCATACCTAGATAGAAATGGAGGAGAACACGAGTTAGCTAGACGCGGAACGGTTTTCGAAGATGTGCCAATACTAACGCCGCATCGAGCCCAACTGGTAAATTGTGGACCGCGTCTTCAAGTCCCTCCATATCAATCTGGCTTTTCAGGTCATAGATGACCAAGCGAGCCCATAGAAACATACCTATACATAGTGAGTCCTAGCAAGACAATAACGTAGAGGTTACATACCTTCAGCCCTGTCGCACACTCGATCAAGAATACCTTGAACCTGTTGTCTTGTATCTTCGTCCAAGCTCGTGAATTTCTCGAAGACTCCTTTGCCCTCTTCTGTAATATATGTTTTGATATCTTGCTGGTTTTTCCCCGCTAGATCAACGCGATGAACGTGCCCAACAACTTCAACCTTTGTCAAGGATCTTGATATATCCACCTCAGCTCTGCTACTGAGAAATATTTTAAGATGTTCTGCTTCGACCAAGAGAGAGCATAGCGTATCGAGTACCATTTTTCTCTCTTCGATGTCAATTTCGTCTAAACCATCTATAAAAAGGTAAGAAACACCAATATCCCCAAGTATAAATTTGAACATTTCTTGAACCTCTTCCTGCGAGCTTGGAGGGTGGGTTTTCGATTCACGTATCTCATCAAAGTACGTTAATGGCTGGAGATTGTGGTGTAGTAGTTGAGAGATGAGTGTTCGCAATATCATTGCGGATGTGTTATCATTATCATGGCTGAGAAAAGAATAAGCTATAGGCACATTTTTATCGTAAATCGATTGCGTATGTCTTAAGAACGAAGCTGATAAGAATGTCTTGCCTGCCAAGTGCCTAATATTAGTGATCTTCAATTTGTACATTTTCCTCGTGTATCTACTGGGGCGTTCATTAAATGGTCGGATACCGTTGCGACCAAATCCCTACTAAGAATTCCGACCATTTAATGAACTCAAGAGTAACTTGCATGCATTTACGTACAAGAAAGAGGTGAATGGAAAGGCAACACTTACCGGCTCCAGGAATACCAGTTAACCACAATAATCTATTTGATTTGTCTGTCATATCTAACCATGCTTGTACACTGTCCTCCTGAACGAACCAAAGTCCAGTTGTCCTATAGGGACTTCCTAGCTTTGCGAGAAAGGCGTCGTAGTTTACAGGATGCAACCATTCCCGGATTTGCAGTATGTTTTGTTTGTCTCTATGAGTTCTTGCTGTTTCTTCCGCTATCTGCGCTGCTTGACGGGCGGCACGTGCTTCGGCTATGTTGGTTGCTGTAGCTTCGCTGTCGACCAGCGCTTTGTGCTGATCAAGATCAGACAATATCTTTCCAAACCTCTCATCAAAAGTACTCCACACGGATCTGAACAGATTTCGCCAATCTATAGCGTCCATGATGCTATCAGTGTTAAATTCACATTTGTAAATAGGATACCAGAGCTTGAACTTAGGAAGATCATATCATAGATGGAGGTAAGCACATTTTCCTCGGAAGTAACTTAATATGACTTGATAGAATCCCAAAATATCCTCGTATATTATTACAATGACTTCTTGCATTCGAGGAACATCGTGAAACGTTTGTTCGAATACTTGGAATCTATTAAGGTTTTCCCCTAGTTTTTCGAAAGCGTTTAGAAGCTTATCGTAAGCCAGCGTATACGAGCTTGCAACCTGACTCGAGTTTTAGTACTGGTAGCTACAAAGCTATGTTTTCTTTATATGAGGCGTTCGGCCACTTTCCGCATATGCGCATTGGAAGCCGACAATAACATAATGGGCAACATAAGTTAACAGGTAGAATTGGTGCATACTTGAAGCAGGAATTTCATCGGACCCTATTAAACATAAATCTATCAGCAGGTTTCATACATATCACCTAGATAAGGAAGGAAGTACCCATATGAATGCCAAAACCTCAGGCTTAGCTTGTACAAATACTTCAATGACACCCGAAAATTGCGTAAGGCCATTAATCAACGGTTGGATTCTTCTCATGTTTCGCAACATTCCCTTCTTTTCCTGCATAGCCTGTATTGCGCTCGCTTCTTTACGAATATCTTCCAATGTTGAGCCGGTAAAGGCTTGAATTTCTTCTCGAGGCAGATTGTCTTTGAAGTTTGACAGTGCAAGAGCGAAAGCCCCCGAGGTTCCTGTGCCTACCGTGGTTGCCATGATGCGATCGTTGGATTACCCAAGGCAACACGAAGCTAGAATCTTTAATAGAGATTTTATAAAGTAGTCGCAGTAGTAGCACTAGTGTAGTAGTAGTAGTAGTAGTAGTAGTAGTAGTAGTAGTAGTAGTAGTAGTAGTAGTAGTAGTAGTAGTAGTGAGATGGTACTACTAGCAGTAAGGCCGGTAGAAGCTACAATCTAAGCCAGACCGATGATCGATGATTAGTAATCAAACGAGCCTAAGAAAACCTACATGTAGGTACACCCACGGGATAAAAGTGAGGTAACAACGCCTGCAATTAACACCAACCCCAATGACTAGAAGTACTTGAACTATAAAATGAAAAAAAGAGTATATAGTGCGGCCTCTGGAGTATAATTGACGCCTTGTACGGCCTCCCTTCAAAAGTCATGGTTGTTGTTTAACCGCGTGTACATCTGCCTTCGCGGAGTGTCAAATCTCTGTAGCAGCTCAGCCCCGCCATGCATACATGCACATACAGTAGGTACTCGACTAGGTATGTACATACGTTGCAATGTCACGTCAACAACCGATATACTCTACATGTAGCCTCGTTTCGTATCATCAATGTATGTATGTAGCTTGAGGAGAATGCCGAAAATTCTTCTCATTCTTTATATTCCTCTTTGATTTTCTTTCTTATATACCCTCCCAACATCTCACTCCATGGATCCTTCGAATTATCCTACACTCTCACCCAAACGCAGTTTTCTCGAATTCCATAAATCCCTCAACTACCATGATTCCACCCAAGAAATTACAAACCAAGATAAAAGGCAAAGATATAGCTATAACGAAAGCTTTACCCGTCCTCGATCACCTTTGTGTATTTCTAGCGGTGCAAATAGCCCATGTTCCAGTCCGAGCACTCCTGCTGTGTACCCGTTCTCCGTCAGTCCTGTCGGTCATGCTTCTACAGAGACGAACAGTTTGGCAGTCTTAAGATATGATGCAGTCGAAAATGCCTACAAGCACCCCGGAGGCTTACAGGCCCCACGGATTGAAATTCACGATCCATATTCATATGCTGGGCGTGTAAATTGTTTCGGGAAGCTACATTTGAATGATACCGATACGCCAATAAGTCTCAACGAAGGTCTGAGTCTCTTATACACACAGTAGTAAGGTATATCATTCTGACCATTTACACAAGCAGAGGATTACGATGAAGACGACGTCGTTGTGCATCAAGAAATTATTGGGCCTGAGATATGTTTTGGAATGGTATATACTTGAATAACTTTCCCTATTTACCGGTACCCTCTTGGCTATGCATAGACGCCAAGCTTATTCTTCATAGATCAAAAACTCCACCGTCATTACTGGATGTGCAGACTATCTGCGGGAGCTTTGTGTACCACAAATCGTAAATCACAAGGGGAGCAAGCTTAAAGCGCATACAGCAATCGAAACAACCATCAACTTCCTGAAGTCATTCGTAACAGTGCATCTATCTTCTGGCGATAAGGAATACATTGGAATCCTAGATGATATTTCAGCAAGAGGAGTTTCTCAAATCCTAGAGATACCATCAGTTCGATTGCAGGCATTTCTACCTTCACCACAACCGTCTCCTGAGTTATTTCTGCCGGAGGAGATAACCGAATTGAAAACCAAAGAGCCACAGAACCCGATCTTTATCTACATTAATGTTTACGGTGCCAGTAGTGTTGGCGACGATGTAGGAAGGATTCTTTCTGCAAACGGCATCTATCTTCAGTCTCCAGTGAACAATGAGAAGAAACCCAAATACAAAAATCCTCATTATTTTAACGAAACTGAGCTAGTTACGATGACTCAAGTCACTGCATCTCGCCCCCGTCTACGGAACGTTGAGGAAAAGATCAAGACGATTTTTGACACTAACATCAATGATAAATTACCAGAAATTAAAATGGGAGACGAGCTTCAAACATTGCTATTAAGGTACTATCACCCCAATATTATCATTATTCGAGGTGCCAAATTGTTTTTAAATCGCGGCAAAATGATTCTGATTTGGGTCATCAGTCATCAAAAACAGGCTGTGTATTTTATGCTCTGGAAAGAGACAGCTCCTGCTTTTCATGAGGAAGATATGCTTACCAGTACTTCGATCTATAAACCAATAAAAAACGAACTTGGAGTTGTTAGGTAATCTTCGGGCGCGCGCCCTGTGTTGAATATAAGAGTATACGTCTATATATTGACTGGGAGCGTTATGGGAATATATAGTTATCTAAATTTGATCACAAAGAAACAGACCTGCGCAAGCCCCCAGGCAGTCCCTGGAGGCATACTTGCCGACGATATGGGACTAGGAAAGTCGCTCACGACTCTTGCTTTAATAACCCGTAGCCTCGACCAAGCACACTTGTTCGCGCAGAGTACAAATTACCAATATTGCCCTACGTTGAATCGAGTTCGAAAACATGCCAGGGCAACCCTGATTGTTGCACCCGCATCACGTAGGCTTTCCTCAGTTTAGAGTCTAATTAACACCCATATACTTACTTAAAAATCTACCAATAGTGTTGGATAGCTGGAGAGAGCAAATACGCAAGTAAGTTAATATGTATATACTACGCTCCTCTGGAGACTTCTTCTCGAATTCAGTGGCTAAGATAAGGCAATTAGCCACATTAAACCCGGAGCAGTAAATTTTTATACATACCACGGAGCACAGAAAGATATCAGCATTGAGAAGCTCATAGATTTTGATATCGTTCTTACTACCTATGCAACCATAAGAGCAGAAGTCTTTTCAAAACATGTCAACCAGTATCGTCGATCGCCCCTGAAAGAAATCAAATGGTTCCGGGTCGTCCTTGATGAAGGTATTGAAGAATCCTACTGGAAGTTCGATCCCTATTCAAGCTAACGGAGATACAACAGCACATATAATTAGGGAACACTCGACGCAACAATCGAAAGCAGTCTGCATGCTTGAAGCACAACGCCGTTGGTGCCTTAGCGGCACTCCAACACAGAATAAGCTGCAAGACTTTGGAACACTTCTCCGATTCCTACGTCTATCGCCATTTGATAAGGAGGGTACATTTTCGAAATACATTGTCCGACCTCTGAAAAATGCAAACCCGGAGGGTTTGAGAAGCCTCCGTATACTCATAGGTTCCACCTGCTTAAGGAGGAATAAAGATATTCTTGAACTACCACCGAAGATTGATCAAGAAGTATACATCCACCTTGAACCTCCAGAAAGACGTCTATATGAAGGCTACAAAAAGGATTCGGCGAATATGATCGAGCATGCTCTCACTGAAAGCGGAAGTGGTTTCAGTTACTTTAGTATTCTGCAGTCTATCCTTAGGCGAAGATTGATGTGTGACCATGGAAAAGACCTATTGCCCTCGGTGGTGCAAAATAGGCTGGAAGGATACTCATATACTGATCACAACCCATCAAGTAGCTTGGACATCGACATGGAAGACTACGTGCAGGAAGGAAGTCCGACTCAACCAATTGCAAGCGGATTTTTCACGCCAAGATGCGCGCTATGCAACAAAGCAACCGATGCGGCTGAGGCAGAAGCTATTTCTTCTTCGCAAGCTTGTTCCCACACCATTTGTGACAGCTGTTTAAGACTGTATGAGCTAAATACAACGCAACTCGGCACTTCATCTCAAATCTCTTGTCCTAAATGCGCAGAAATCGCCGGGTTCTCGCTAGAGACTCTCAAAGACGAGGATAATCCTCGATGGATGGAAGATAGACCCTACGGTGGACCGTCTACAAAAGTCAAAGCATTAATAAAGAACCTTCGTCTGGATGTGGGGAAGGATAAGGATGGCAAATCAATCAAAAGGTATCAGTCCATGATCTAAACCTATCTAAATAGCATATGTTGATACTGACTTCTTTTCTAGTGTTGTATTTTCTTGTTGGACGAAAATGTTAGATCTGATAGCAATTGCATTGAACATTGAACAAATGAAATTTTGTCGGTATGATGGAAGCCTCTCTCTGCGACAACGAGACGAATCAGTTCGTTTCTTCCGCGCGGATCCGGAGATAAATATCTTGCTGATATCAATTGGCAGTGGAGCTGTTGGGTAAATATCCCCCATTCCCCTCGCTCATTGAAGCATTGTGGCTGAGTGAACAAAAGGTTAAACCTCACCGTCGCCTCTCGAGTACACCTTATGGAGCCCCAGTGGAATCCAATGGTTGAGCACCAGGCATTGGATAGATTACATCGGATCGGCCAAAAAAATGAAGTTATCACAACTCGCTATATCGTGAAAGACTCCATTGAGCAGGTCAGTGCAATACCCCCTCCCCCATCTCTTGTGCGTTACGTAGCTAAACTCTCGACAAAGTCCATGGTGTCTTTCCAGAAAAGAAAGTTGGCCATTGCAGGAATTTTGATGTCTCAGACTCAAAAGTCTACATCAAACCAACACCTGAAGGTATGTCAACGGACCCTAGATTCAAAGTACACCGGACGAAGATTGACCATTTTTAGGAACTTCAAAATCTATTGGCAGAGAAGATAGAACCTACATACGGTTTTATACTAGAATAAATTGACGCGCGCACATATTGACATTATGATTCATTTTGGAACCTCCTATTGCAAATTGTTTGGATTGAAAATGACGGGAAGAATATATACAGACAGTTGAACCACTCGGTGGGATGTATAGATACAGAAAAGCACTCTCCTTTAGTTAATGAAGATTTCTATGTCACTCCTACCCTTTCCCATTTGATTTCCACCCCATTACAACTTACAAGTAAGAACCATCTCAGTTAGCACAAAGGCTTCCACAGTTTAAGTACATGCATGTATGCTCGAAGAATTCTTTAACTTTTAAAACCATCCTTAGAGGCATGTGTGATATTTTATAAAGTTACACATGGTATATTATCCACATCTTGAGAAAGCGTGTGGATTTATTCATTCCACCAGTTGTTAATGCCGCGACTTCCTTGTTTGGCCTAATCATAACCGCCGAATTAGGGATGTATATGTTAGTTTATGAGATCGATCTGCCCAATGTCCCTCTCAAGGGGACGAGTAGCGAGTATTCCGCAGGGTACAAAGGGGGTAGTAGAGATCGGTCTGGGAGCCTACAATAGGGGTCTTAAAGGACTCTAGTGTTGGTAAGGGTCAACGGGACAAGGGAAGCAGCAGCACGGTAGTCTTCTTGAGTAAAGAATAGGAAATAATATTGTATAGTAATAGACAGCGTAGGTACAGAAGACATTGCGTATCAACAGAAAGAAGAGAAAGAGAACAGAAACGAGGGCGAAACCTCCTAATATACCCAAGGAAATCCCAACGATGACAAATCCAAAGTGACTTATACATTTACAACAGACAGAACCCGATAGAACTCAATAGAACCTTTCTGACTAATCCAACTCCTCGTAACCCAGTGTACTAAGTAATCGATATATGAAAGTCCCCCCCCTCCCAAAAAAAAAAAAAAACCAAAACCCAAATGGTCTAGGAAACCAACCAACCTACGCCACCAAATTCCAACAGGAAGGTTGGAAACCTCAACTGTCTGGTGTATGAGTACACACAGGGCCCAGTTGCATGCTGAGAGTTATTGTTAGAAGCCAGTTGCACGGTGATATGCAAGTACCGACAGTGTGGTTAGCTACCAGCTGTTAGAGTAACTACATTCCGGGCGCTAGGAAGGAGATCTATTCATGGAAGCAATGACTGACGAGTCTATGCCTCGCCAGTGACTAGAAGACCAGCCAGAGTGAAGCTCTGATTGCCCGGTGATCCTCTGTATCCTCTGAGCATTGTAGGACCGCCGAATAGGCAAGGACTATGCTAGGGAAGTCTACAATAAGCGAGAGCTCTTCAGCAATAATTAAGCTTACATCTGAGCGGCAGCTCATTCATGCAAGCCCCGGTCATGTGGCAACCAAAGCTGCAGGTGTTACAAAGGCTTTGACTAAGGGTAGTTGCCTTGGGTATCGGAAACACCTGCTGACGCTTAAAGAAAAGCGGGGTAGCGGTGGTATTGTTTCCGGCACCGAGGAAAGGCTTCACTGGAACTTAGTAAGGAGTTAGGAGCAGAGAATAGAGGCCTTCGGAGTATAAGTACTCAGGCTCATTCTCGCCCTTCAGTCCTATTCTCTCCAGTCTTCATCAGAAAGAAAAACCAAGTTCTTATCGGTAGCAGAGCCCTTAAAGATTATTGAGTTCTAGCGATAGTATCTTTGAATAATCTGCAACCTGATTGTCTATCTTGCACGGCTGTCTCTATTCTACTTCATTCTATTTCTCTTAGAAGAGACCCCCGTTACAGCCAGAGAGGTCAGGAATCAAAGAGAGGTCTAGTTTTGTTAGAAATGCAGTACCGGACACGACATTGAAGTTGCCAGATGCAGCGGACTTCTCTTTGTCTCTGAAAGCTTTGAGTTTCCGGCAATTTTTGTGCATGTGGCCTTTTGCATATTCGCCGTTCTTGGTGCACCATGTATATATGAAATTCCTTTTGTCCTTTTTGTTCTTCCGTGCTTTGCCGACTTTGTTGTTGCTTCCGTGTCCTGGGTTTCCTTGCCTGATGTTGTAGGCTTCTCCAGTCGCCTGTCCATCGTTGTTGCATTGTGAGTCCAGATCCAACAGCTTTTCATAGATGTCATCGAAGGTCATGTTGGGCTTGGTTTGCAGGTTGTCAACGACTGATTCGAGGGATTTGTGCCAGAGTGAGAGGAGTAGGAAGGATGCTTTCACTTCTGAGACTGATGCGAGTTGGTGGAGGTGGTAACTGAGTGGGTCTTTGGTTTTATCCCGTAGAGTTACTAGTTCTAGTGAGGAGGGATGACCAAAGAGTATTGAAATTGGTTGGATGTTCCTTGATGCATTTGTCAGGCGTATACTGTAGGGTTACAATGTTGGCAAGAAGCGAGTGGAGGGGAGATACAGTTTTTCGATCAAATCTATCCCCGAGTTGAGTCCAGAAGGTGGTGAGCGGTATCAGCCGGAGTGAAATGTGAGAATGACTTCAAATTCAATGTTGGATTGAAGGAAAAACGACCGTGAGGTTATCTTTCTTTGTCCCATTTTCTGATTTCTTCGGCGTTGTCTGTAGTTTCTTCTTTGTCCTCTTCTGCTGTTGGTGTTGCTGCTGCTGCTGCACATTCTGCTGGTTTGTTCTGCAGCTGGTGCCGCTATAACCGTGGTAGTAGTTGTGAACACAGGACGCTTACTCGTACCATTGACTAGATTCCACAAAATTGTGAACTTTTAACATGCGACAGGTGAGGTCTCTCTAAACAGTGTAATGGCATTGACCAGACAGCTTAAATAGTAAAGCGGGAATTTTTACGCTGTTGTTTGACATGTTTAAAGTGAAACGATAGAGTGTACTTTGATAGTAAAAATAGTTTGAACTATATAAGCGTGAGTGGTCTCCGGGCTTATAACTTAGAGTAAATGTATGTAGAGAAGTGTAGTAATTGAGCGTGTTATTCCAACTAACTAGAGAGGGGAGAATGCCCCGTATTTATACTAAAGAAAGACAACACAAAACATAGTGAATCATAGACGTATGAGTAAATAGAAAAACAATGACTAATAAATACCAGTGAAAGAAATGAGTCAGAACCCGTGACTCATGATGACAAATGAGAATCCTCCAATACTATGAAATGTGCTGAGCGTACTATTTCAAGAATGCATATATTACGAAAGAACAAGAAACTTAAACACATGAAGAATGAACCCAACTGAACAGTGGGAACGGATTAAAGTACCCATGCAATACATTATGGACCACCCGCTAACGATATCGATATCGATCCTAGCCATAGGTCCAAATCTTTGACGTCCTAGCCAGCTCAATCTATCCCGAACCATTGGCGAACACCTCGGCTTCGCGAATGGATCGACTACTTGCCCCATACATCCAGGACCGGACCGGACCGGCCCGGCCCATTGGCGAATGGACTGGTTAAAGGGCTATCAAATTTCGTGTCTAAAACATAACCGTCAATTAATGGTTTGGACACTACTGAAGATTGCAGGTCACTGCCGAAGATCGCCCCGGGGGGGGGGGGGAGGTTATAGGGAGCATGCTGTTGCAATTATATTGGCGAAGGTTCCCTTTTTCGAGGCCGACGTCTTTGAGGATTTTTTTTTGGGGGGGGGGGATCTTTGAGTTGGCAGCGCTCGATGGCTTGAGGCCACAGAGGTCCCCCCCCCTGTCGAGGTTGCAGATGTTATTGGAGGTTGGCCGAAAAACATTGGTGGTTGCGATGTAACGATGGGATACCGCAGAATCTCAGGAATAACGAATCGGACTGGGCTGGAATACCACTTACCCATTGGTCAAGATGACCAAAAGTTACGCTTTGGGTCTGTGGGATTGAGGCTCAACAAGCATTTGACCAATCCGAAGGCCAATATTCCAGTCCAGTTCGATTCGTTATTCCTGAGATTTTGCGGTATTCTAGTTTACTATAACTTCGTTCTACCCGGGCTATGCGCGAATATATAGACTGGTCCCAGCCGTAGATGCATGAGGCTAGGAGCCCATTCGCGAATTCGAGGGTATTCGCCGGTGGCCCGGAGCAAATATGTAAGTGCTTGTGGTTTGCACGCGCCACCCCCCCCCCCCCCCCTCCCCCCACTATATGGGAGTCGACTCTCCCACTACTACGCCAACTAGAGCTCGAGCGGTCGATTCTTGATACCACTTGAGCAGATCGATTCCCCATACCACTGGGGATGTCATCCGTTTTTCTCCCCCCAGACGCTTCTTCTTCTCTTCCTGTATATGCGGCCGAGGGACAGTTCATACCCTCGAGTCGGAGGAGACGATATAAGTACTAGTAGCAAGCTGCTTGTAGGGCCCTATACCGATGGGTACGAGACTAGAAATATGTGTATAGATTTAGAGACAGTGGTATCATATGACTATGGCTAGTACTTCTCTCACCATAGTCATCTATATGCAAACTCCCACTGCACTCACCTCCCCCCATCCCTTCTCCATCGCTATCCCCCTCCAAGCTCCAAGCTCCAAGCTCCATGGGCGACGCTACGAAGGGTCTGGCCGCCTTTTACATATGCATATATAGTGCGCACACCCAGCGTCTATATCCCCCAACTAGTTTCCATCATTCCGGTCCTCTCTCCATATATCCTCTTCCACCGTATCTCAGGCGCTGGCACCCATCACTTACCACCTATTCAGAAACAAGGACAAGCACACCATACCGCCCTTTAAATTCCAAGTGTACACTGCGCCCAACCAACCAACCAAACCAAACCAAACCACAAGAGAAAAAAAAAAAAAAAACAGAAATTTATTGTCAGGCCATGTATCCAAAGCCGCAAAAGTGCCATACACACGCACAGATATACAGACACTGAAACTTTTTTTCGTTTGTTTGCTATAGTACAGACATAAGGAACTCGTGCCGCTGGCTGGCTAGCTTCGGAATATTTTCATCTGGGCGGGACAAGGCGTGTATTAGTACATATATTTCTACACACACACACACACACACCCCCCCACACACACGGCTTCTTCCTCTTTGTGCTTCTCCTTCTTCGGCGGCGGGGGGATACATACTCGGTCCGTAACGATCGCTCTACAAATCGGGCATTTCGCATTGCCGTGGCCTGCGCCGCCGCGCTCGCGGATACTCATGCCGTCGCAGCAGGTCTACAATACCCCCCCCCCCCCACCATCCATCAGCACACGCACCAGGGAGGAAGAGGAAGTAGCAAGATGATACGCACCACACACAGCGCCAAATGCTTACACGGCAGCACCACCATATCCGCCACCCCGTCATAACACACCACACACACCCCCTCCCCCGTCTCCGTCCCCGTCCCCGTCTCCGTCTCCACCGTCTGCCCCTCCGCACCTCCTCCCACCGCCGCCGCCGCCGCCTCCTCAATCCCCAACTCCTTCCCAATGCTCACAACATCCCTCAGCGCCATCGCCACCATCGCCCGCTGCTCCCCCTGCACCTCCCCACCGCCATCACCCACAGTCCTCCCAAACACCTCCATCAGCAACGACACGCTCTCCGCCCGCCTCTGCAGGCTCTCAACGTTCAGCACGGCCCGTCGTGTCGCACCCCCGCTCACCGCCACGCCCCCACCACCGGCACTCGCCCCCGTCGCGCTGCTGCTGCTACTGCTGCTGTCGCTGCTACTACTGCTCGCCCACTTCTCGCCCAGCAGCAGCACGCGCAGCACCCCATGGACCAGCTTCGCCAGCGCCGTGTGCGCATACTGCGCCGCCACAATCACAAGCAGCAAACTGAGCGCGACGAGGGCCGTGACCGCGAGCTCGCGCGCCTCGGCCACGAAGCGCGTTGTGCGCGCGGCGATGCGGAGGCACTCGGCGGAGCGGCATGCAGGGGTGCCGGTTGCGGCGGAGCGGGCGTGGTGGAGGAGCTGCGTTGTGCGCGCGGCGGTGTCGCGGAGGAGGGGGGGGAGCTGCGTCAGTGCTGCTTGCGAGGCGTGGAGCAGCCGCGTTAGTGCCGCCTGCGAGGCGTGGAGCAGCGGCGGGAGGGCTGTGGCGTGGTATCTGTAGAGATGGGCGGCGAGGCGGGATGTGGCGGTGTGGGCTTTGTGGAGCAGCGGGGGGAGGGCCTGGGATAGGGAGGACCATGCTTGTTGCAGGAGCGGGGGGAGCTTGGAGGTTGTGTAGTGCGATGCTTGGGCTTTGGAGGACGACGCCCAGGTGTTGAGCCGGTGCAGCGAGCCGTCCCAGTCCGATAGCAGTATCGACAGCCCCTCGAGGCATTTCTTGACGTTGTAGAAAACGAGGTATATGCAGACGGTGAGGAACCACTCGAGGAACCAGCCGAGGGCTGCGCGGAGAAAGCGTCGTTTTGGTCGTGCTGATGCTGATACTCTGGGCGCTGGCTGTGGTTGCGGTTGTGGTTGTGGCGGTGTGGTGGGAGTGACAAAGTCGAGGTGGCGCAAGGGCTGGTACATGGCCTCGAAGTCTGGCCAGTTGGTGTCGTCGCGGTTGGGGCGGTTTCTGTATAAGCGGCGGGGCGAGTAGTCGTCGCGGAGGAGTTCTACGTCTGGCCGCCGGCGGGGTCAGTATAGATAGATGGATAGCTAACGGGGCGGGGGGGGGGAATTAATACCTCCTAAGGGCGCGTTGACGCCATATCGATAGGGGAGGGTATCCCGCTGGTAGCTCTCATAGCTCATGGTGCTGTGTTTTTTTAGCTGCTGCTGTGGCGGTGTGTGTGGGCCTTTGGACTTGTGTTTGGCGGTGCAATTAGGTCTGTATGTTGTGGTGAGGTGCTCTACCTGCTATGTAGATGGAGGGATGGAGGGATGGAGGGATGAGAGATGGAGGTCTTGAACGTATTCTCGGCCGGGTGCAACGCGTATGTATGTACGCACTTCTTCTTCTTCTTCTCCTCCTCCGTCCGTTCGGCGATAGTCAATCAACCTTCGTGCATGCAGCAATTGATCAAGCAGTTGTGAGAAGAGCAAGGTGAAAGAGAAAAAGCGTCCTCCTCGTCCTCCTCGTCCTCCTCGTCCTCCTCGTCCCCTCGTCCTCCTCGTCCACGGCAGGGAGGTAGCAAGCGAACCCCGCATGCGCTCTCCCACTCGCTCGCTGCACCGCGCGGGACGGGATTGGGTTGGATGCCTGACTGAGCCCAACCGTGGTGCAGGTGCTTGGCATCGGCTTTAACGAGGGGGGCCTGGGTCATGGAATCTCACTCGGCTGGCTGATACATACTGCTACATACATACATACATACATACATACATACATACATGTAACCAGGCGGTTGCTAGGCCTCGGTTCTCTACAAATAATAGACTACAATTGCACTCGGTGCTATTTGGATGCTAGTGCTGGAATGCGGCATGGCGTCGAGCAGGCCCTACTAATTGTGGCCCGATCCGTACTAGCCGGGTATCGAGTAAGACAGTCGTTTCCGAGAACGGCAACGCGCCGTCTAACCTTCCTCTTATGTAACATATTAGGCCCCCCACCCCCCTGGACCGTGACACGTTTACCCTCCCAACCTCCTCCTCCGGACCACCGTACATACACCCCCCCCAAAAACCCCCCAAGCATCTCCCCCACCTCAACTACACGCACAACAATGCCCCCCTCCACCGCCTCCGCACTCCACCGTACGCCCCCCCCCCCTCCCCCCCAATTCTCTGTAGACCCCGCTAACCCCCCCCCCCCCGCGGCCAGCAATCGTCCTCCCCCCTATCCCCGTCCCCCCATACTTCACCACTCTCGGCGCCGGCCTCCTCCACGCCACGCACCCCCGCGAACTGCCCTCAACGCTCCACACTCTCCTCTTCTCGCACCCGCCGCTGGCCAACAAGGACCGCTCAAAGACCTGGTGGCGCGCCCAATGCCTCCTCTACGGCCTCGACGCGCCGGAGAAGCGCACCGTCGTAGAGCTACGAGCCAAGCTCCAGGACGCAATCCTGATGGGGGGGTTGAGGGTGCCGGACGCGATGCAGGAGACGGAGCGTAGGGAGAACGGAAGGTTTCGGAAGTTGAACGCCGAGATGCGGGAGGCGACGGGGGTGGCGGTGGCCAAGGGGAGGGCCCCGCCGAAGGATCCGTTGAGGGGGATCCGTGGCGCCGATGCAAGGATCACCAAGCCGGGGAAGAAGTCGGCTGCCGAGGATGGTGGTGTGACTTTCAATGTCACGGTCAACATGCACACCCCGCAGGTCCCGAAAGCGCGAGCTAGGAAAACAGAGCCAGCCTCCAGAGCGAAGCAGACCGCAAATTGGGGAGGTCCCGCGCCAAAGACCGCACGGGCGAAGGGACCCGCTGCATCGAAAGAGCCAGCCTCCAGAGCGAAGCAGACTGCAAAGAGAGGAGGAGCCGCGCCGAAGACCGCACGGTCGAAGGGACCCGCTGCACCGAAAGAGCCTGCCACCAGGCCGAAACAGACGGCGGGACGGGGCCGCGGTGGTAGTGGGGCCCCGGCACAGGCCCCGCGGATGAGCGATCTCCAGGTGCCGGTGAATGATGAGGATGAGGATTATTACGGCAGCGGTGGCGACTATGAGGACCGTGCACTCTATGAAGCTCTCCGGCTCAGCAGGCTGGAAGCGTATGGGGATGAGGAGGAGGTCGACCGCAAGACCTTGGAAGCTCGCGGGGGGTCAGGGCAGGCTGTGTGGGGGTATTCGAACCACGAGGGGTATCAGGGCCAAGGTGGCCATCAGGACCAAGATGACCATTATGATTCTGATGAGTATTAGGACCACGAGGGCTACAGTCCCAGGTGGGTCCAGCCTTATTGAGAGCTAGATCCAGCAGTGCAATGCTTGTCCAAAGCGCAACATAGCCTAGAGAGCAGCAGCAGTGCTGAGTATGTCGAGTCGGAGTTTGATTCTTGCAAGCGTATAGCGTAGATCGGGTCTTCTGGGCCAAGTACATGTAGTTGTGGATCGTTTTTTTTTTCTTTTGTGCATTAGTAGGAATATATGTTGGCTAGATCATTGGCGGTTCGAGCTTCTAGTTCATAATTGATCTCGCCCGCATTGCGTGTACATGTGTGCTTGTTGTATCCACGGGGCCCCAAGGTAATGCGAGACATGGAGTGTGTATTGAGAGTTGCATGGCGTTAGTGAAGAGGTTAGTATGTATTTGCCAGTTCGTGCACAGGCGATTTAAACAAACCTCAAGATGAAAACGTCACCAATTACAGGCATGATGCGCGCGAGAAGGTCGGAGTACATACATACAACCCATGACTTCAGAATTTTGGACTCCACTCATGTACATGTAGGTAGTACATGTTTTCAGAGACGATAAAGTAAAGAGCCGAGAATGTAGATGGTGTATTGTATGAACTGATGAGTAGAAACAAAGGAAAGCCCGCTCCTTATACTTACAGCTGAGAGGCCAGACTACCTCTAACTAATAAACACAAAAGTACAGATAGTTTAGGAACTACATAATGAAACGTTTAGAAATAAAATTGTTGACAACATCCACCACCACTGGCCGTATATAACCAACAGTACACACTCCATCTATTGGACGGGACGGGTCAATGGGCGGCAGGTTAGCAGACCATGTATCAAAACACCCTCCAACGGCTTGTTACATACGTGGTCGGGCTCGGTCAAGCATGTTTCGAGAGTCTACAAGTTAACCCCCTCGATCCGACCATCAGCACTCTTATCTTCCTGCGAGGAACCAGCAACAGAGCCCCACCACCGTTCACGGGATCTCACTCGGCTGCGTGAGTAGTTGCTCGGATGCTAGGTGGAATGCGGCATAGCGCCCACCTGGCCCTACTAATTGTGGCCAGATCTGTGCTAGCAGTGGCGAATGTTACTAGGAATAGTAACACGGCACTCACTCACCTAGCCCACTGACTTGGGCCCTCCGTGCGTGCGTGCAACGACAGCGCAAGTTTCCCATCGACCTCCACAGCTCTTCGTGTATCTCCCCCACCGCTCCCACGTTCACCACCACCCCGCTATTCACAAAACAAAACACCGATCCCAGGTTCTCGAGTGGCGTCCCAAATAACATCCCAATGCCCAGAACCACAACCACCGCCCGCCACAGCCCGCCAAAAGAGCCCACACCCCGGCCCTCTCTCCTCACCCAGAGCCCGAACGCACACCCACCCCCGAACTCCACCGTACGACCCCCCTCCCCCCTCCCCCCTCCCCCCAATCCCCCATAAGCCTCACTGACCCCCCGCTAGCAATCGTCCACTCCCCCCCTCCGCCTCCCTCCGCACTTCACCACCCTCGGCGCCGGCCTCCTCCACGCCACGCACCCCCGCGAGCCGCCAGCAACCCTCCACACCCACCTCCTCGGCGCGCCGCCGTCCCGCCTGGCAAACAGGGACCGCCCCAAGACGTGGTGGCGCGCGCAGTGCCTGCTGTACGGGCTCGACGCGCCAGAGAAAGCTACTATCGCCCGCTTGCGCGGCACGCTGCAGCGGGCGCTGCGGAGCGCGGGGGGGGCTGCGCGTGCCAAGGGAGTTGGCGGAGGTGGAGGAGAGGCGGTTTCGGGCGTTGAATGCGGGGAGGAGGGAGCGTGCTGCGAGGAGTGAGAGGGAGGAGGCGGCGAGGAGGAGGAGAGGGGAGAGGGTGGCGAGGAGGAGGGGGAAGGGGAAGGGGAGGGGGAGGGGGTAGAGGAGGAGGAGGACGGGGACGATAATGTGTGGGGGCCCATTTTGGGCAGCATACCGACGTGGTTACATACTCATTTTTACTACGCTTATACTCCACATATACGTCAGTCCGAAGATCCAAACCCGTGATACGCACCCACCAACTCTACACCACCCATTACCTCACACACGCCACATCTCCACACCATATAGCCAACCAGTCTACAGCAATACGATTAATCAATTATCAATCAATCAATTAACCAGTCTACAGCAATACAATTAATCAATCATCAATCAATCAATCAACCAACCAATCAATCAACCAGTCTACAGCAGCCCACAACAGCACACAATAGCACACAACAGCGCTTAATAGCGCCCAATACCTAGCTAGCCCATATCCGATTTCGACTCCGGAGCTACATCCCCGCCCCCCCTCCCACCATCCCCACCATCCCCACCCGACCAGGATCATTATCCAAGACTCACAGTTCCAACCACTCCCTGCCATTATATTGCCATAACAGTAAGGTTGTATGCAATTAATGAATTAAACAAACAAAAAAATCCAACCACCCGCATCACAGACTATCACTCGTATGTAGGGTTAGGGTTCCCATGCATCTTTTCTGATTAATTGAATAGATCTACGCGCGAGCCCACCGTGGGAGTGGTGGTATGTTTAGCCCTGGTGCTGCACTGGTGGGTGTGGTGTTCCATGGGGTTGGGGCATTTTTTTTTTTTTTTTTTTTTTTTGTTTAATTCATTAATTGCATGCAACCTCACCGTTATGACGATTTGTGGTTGCTGCATGATGAAAAGTAGTAGTAGGACGACCATTGATTGACCGGTTGATAATTCATTAGTTTAATTGTACAAGTAGGACGACCATCATGCGTTCGTTATATTTTAGCCAAGATACAGGGGAAGATAGGGGGCTACACGCTCTTGTATTAGAGCCCCCGCTCACTCCCGAATGAGCTGATGCCCGATGGTGGCCGATGGTGCGTACTGGGGCTCGCGTGCAGAACTAGGGTAATATGGGACACTAGGGGGGCGCGGGCTGCATGGGTCGATGTGTTCCGGGCCGTTGGCGGATTTGACGGATTCGCCAATGGCCTTGACAAATTCGCGAATGGACTTGAGGTATTCGCGAATGGACTTCTAGGCTCATACATCTGTGGCTGGACCAGTCTATTCGCGAATGGCCTGGGAATACTGTGGTTTTAGTAGGACAAATAGCTCATCACTCACAGCTAATAATGGTTTATATCAATCCTGAACGATCTCTACAACCATCAGAAACCTCTGAAAAAAACCATCGACCCTAGAAACCAAACCTACAAAAGTAATTAGCATCTTCATGATCTTTAGCGAGCTTAAGACCTCAATATTAACAACTGACGCCTGATATGTGCTATCTTGTGGTCTCTATCAGCTTCAGTGACCTCTACAACTACTTATTAGGGCCCTATGAGCTCTAGTAGAGTCTAGATTATTCTCGAGTTAATTTAAAGACCCAATTCCATTACCCTTTATCCAGTCCATTCGCCAATGGACCGGTCCGGTCCCCGATGTATGGAGCAAGCAGTCCATTGGCGAATCCAGGGTATTTGCGAGTCGCCCGGAACAGATGCTCTAGGGGTATTTGGGGGGGGGGGGGGGGGGGAAAGAGAGAGAGAGAGGTCTACGTAGTTTAGGTACCGTTACTTCTAGCAAACAAGCCCATATGTATGGGCTTGGCGTAAAGTAGTGGTAGAAAAGAATAAGGATGAGATATAAGTTTCAAATAACTAAAAAGTCAAAGTTATAGTATCTGAAAAACAAATATTATAGGTAACCCAGAGCACACCCCATGCCAACCAGCTGCACCCCGCAATCCCGCGCGGAGCAAAATTAAAAAGAAAGAAAAAGAAATAGAGGTAGATATATAATATTATGTAGTATATAAAACCTACGCTCCAACGGTAAAAAGTTCCCTCGAATTTTTATACGCGCTCGGTTTCCGACTCAGTGCAGGCTTTTCTCTTTGTAGTAGATCCGCCGTTGCTTCCTTTCCCACTATCACGCTTCCAGGTAACTCTGAGCGTTCCTTGTTGCCCTTAATATCGTGCCAAGCCTTTGGTGTAATTCTACAGCCCGTAGAAGAGGGAACGAGTTGACAAAAGCCTGGGCACGAGAGTAATTCTCCCCGGCTTCCTTCTAGCTCTTTTATGCGGGTTTCTAGCTCTGCAAGGCGATAAATCATTTCCTCAGGTCCTTCAGCCTTTATCTCTGCTCGTTCCACGCCCTCCAGCCTAACCTTCTTTGCAATTGTGCAACCACCCCGCCTCGCTATGTAGACCACAAGCACAATGAGGACCAGAACCAAGATAACTGTTGCACCACCAACTAGGCCCCAAACTGCCTCGGCGGACAGCACTGGCCCCCTGTTCCGGACTGAATCCTTCTCTTTCCTATTCGCTCTTGGGCCGGTGCGGAATCCCTGCGACTTGACTGGGTCCTTCTTTTTTATATCCGCTATTGAGCCGATATAGAAGCTCTGAGACTCGAGTGTGACATTGCCGTCCACGACGCGGATATGATAAGTGTCGCTGGCCTCCAGTAAATTGCTAGGAAACCACGGGTAGGAGTAGACAAAGAAGCCGGGCCCCTCATTGCGGTCGTCTATCTTCACGCGGAACGCGTTCGTGATGATGTCCAGACCACCACCAAGATTCATGCTAGGATTCACGAGCGTGATAGATACATATGAAGTTTCTGGAGGATCGATGACTCTCCACATGATTGAGTAATCTTCTCCTTTGGTGACGAGGGAGAGTTGGTCGGGCTTTACGATTGATTCCTGACAGTTTGCGCCTGAGAGGAAGAGTGCATAGGCTACCAGTGCGCGGGCTATAGAAGAGTGAAAGACCATCGGGGGGGAGGGCGTTCGTGTACCTTCAGGTGTGAACCGTTTGTAATTGTCAAGAAGGGTTGCCCGGGTCTGTAGAAGGTGTCAGGTTGCTTTGGTAGATTCCGGTCTTGAGACCGTAGGGAAGTAAGTGGGAAGAAGAGAAATGAGAAAGATACTGACTCGGATATATTATTTAAATGCAAGCCTTGGGAACGCTTTCCTGAACCCACTAGCGATATATCCAAACGATCGATAGTTTAACCCATGATATGCGCACGCCGCGTCCTCCTTAACCCGCAATCCCGCCAATATTCAGATCACGATGCGTATCTTGCTACAAGTATAAAGATCACCCTCTAGGCAGAAACAAACTGAAGACGCAGCGAGGCCCAGACTTGCTCACCGCGTTGTCTCCTCTGGGAGACGCGACAGAAAACTGATACGCCTCGAAGGCTGCGCAGCGCTCGTGATAGGTACCTCAAGTGATAGGGCTATTATCCATCCATATTGGTGGCCTTCATCTCTTCTTTTTATCTGGCCCAGTGTTATTCTTTCCGCGCGTGAGATGGTGGCGGTTGACATCTAGCTCACCTGAGAACCTTGGGGGCGACGTTGGGGATGAAGGGACGCTGGTCGGCCAAGACAGATAGCGGTTGCTTAATCCTCAAAACATGAGCTATGAGTATCATTTTGACGAGGTTCTTACTTATGTGTGTGTTAGTGCATCCTCAACTTGATGATGTTCCCCAAGATAGAGACTTAGTAGTCACATATATATATTCTCTCCATGTTATAGTGTATGTTCGTAGTTACCACGTAGCTACTCGCTTGTCAACTATGTATTTCCCCCGGCTTTATGTGGCTGCATATGATTGCATCAGTACTCGTATCTTCCTGACGTTTGTGGACGCAATTAATGATTTTTGGTGCATGCAATAGTGCTCCAGTTCGAAAACGCCAGGAAAATAGGAGTAGAATGATATATGTGCGGTCTCCTTGCCTAGAATTTAATAATCAGGACGCCTTATCGGGCGAGGCGAGGTGATATCAGATCACGCTTCTTCCCCAGAGACCCTCCCATGCCATGCGTCCACATACACTCATCTGTGAGTACTCAAGTCTTCATCAAAAGGATGAATATATATTGCCTTGAAACCGCTCTATATACGTTCGACATCTACAAGCGCGAAAAAATCTGTAAATAGGTTTCCCGCTACCTAATTACATTACCGGATATACCATTTAAATACATCTTAAATAAACATAAACAGTATAAGCTTCCTCATTGTAATCACGAAGCATTTCTATTGGTTAGAATATATAGTCTGCATACCACAGATAGAAGCACATATATATGTACAGACAAAGAGCTGCTCCCGAGATAGGACCCGGGAATGCCGGGAAGGGAGCTGACAGCAAAAGGGCAAACACTGGCAAGTAAGATATATAGTCTTATATATCAACCTTGAACTACCAGATATCCTTTTGTGAACTACACATTAATATTAAGAACTCGTGTGAGTGAGGAGGGGTCGGTGTGCCGCGCAGCGGCACCCCGCCCCGATTGTGAGCCAGCTTATTGAGAAGGAAAAAATGTCACACACAGGGATTTTAACCATCCAAACCAGCAATTAGTGCAGTGCTTATACAATCAGACTGGACCTGTTTCTATTATTCACCTCGGAATAGACTATGGGCTGGACGCACTACATGTCCTAAAGACCTATGCCGGATGATAACGCAAATCTATCCATAGATAGTAAGGTTGACAACCTCTATTTGTCCACTACATGTTAATTGCGGCCGGAGGCCGCATTCCACTTGTACATATATATCCTGCGACATCTATTATGCAACTTAGAAGCTTACTAAATTCAATTAAACTTGTACCTACATGTATACTCTACATACATGTGTGTATATCTGCTAGCAAACTCACCGCATTGAAGCTTTGCCACATATGTAGGCAATTGTATAGAGCGAGATCGCTAGACCGACCCATAGCCACTATTGATGATGGCTGGCTAGTTTTATAAATGAAGAGACATGCCTTGGTATATCCGTATACGCGTACGTACTTGTAGATGCGAAGGGGCTTCATCTTGTTCGTGACAAGACTTCTGAAGCTTATGCATCTCATGGCATCATTTTTCGCACCGTGAAGTATGACGCAGATCGATCTGGTAAAGAATACCTACGAAATGGAAATACCTCCCTGTAGTTTGTGTCAGTTAAAAATTACCTGTACATTCATCGCAAAAAACTGATCTGTTGTCTTGAAACTATCGGAAGGATATCATAAGCCGATGTACTTTGTGTATGCTACGTAATATAGTAGTGGCCTGCGATGAGGTGTTTCTGACTGAGGGAATTGGAAAATGATATGTGAACTTGATTAACTACTTAATTAATTTTCTTAAAAGCGCGGGGCCATTGGTAGTTGCGAGTGATTTTCTATGACTACAAGCGGGGTGCGGCCTCCGGCTGCCCAAATGTAGTGAGGAAATGAAGGTGCGGGCGGTACTGCGATAGACTATTTATCATTCTGGATTATTGGGCCATCCAAACGTACAGGCACGCACTAAACCTCATCTCCATCTTTCCTTATAGGTAATCTGTCATATATTAGCTCTAGTATGCACTATAAGTCATTCAATGAGTAGCTTTAGTATGTACATGTAGTTCATGATAAAATGCTATCGGGGAAATTCGAACTTGATATCTAATAAGTATATAGATATACCGATATGCAATGTGTTATTTAAAGGTTTTGATTGGCCAGGTTTGAGGGGTTTTCTTTTTCTCTATCAAATATGTTTGTCAGTAAGTAGATATTCTATCAAATATGTTGGAGTTAGTAGATATTCTATCAAATATGTTTGAGTCAGCCAGTAGATATTAGTTCCAACATACCTTGAGTCAACCAAATAGTATATCAGATATGTGCACAGGGCATCTTGGGGTTTCAGTGATCTTAAGCGTTGGTAAACTGATATTGTTTAAGCCATAACAGCTCCTACTCCGGCCAAAGGCCGGAAAATGCTTGTATAAAAATATAGCTGTAGTTCTGTCAGTGTTTATTCTTTTATATCCATCAATTACAATAGCTACACGCCTTTTAATATAATGCCAGTTCCCTTCCATCTCGGGAGTAGATCTTTGTCTAATGATATGCAACCAATATTAGAAATAGTACACAACCAATAGAAAACGTTCCTGGTGAGGATGAGGAAGACTATATAGTTTAGAACAACGGCATAGATCTTGCAAAGGTTTCAAGATCAAGTCTATGACCTGCCTTAATAGGTCAGATAAGGGTTCAGAATATAATAAAATGAATCGATAGGTCTTGTAGTAAATTGGTTTCCCTTCAAGTTTCTCGGCCTAATAGCTTCATCCACTCGCGTGTAGACTCGACTACTGCATACCAACTTGCAATTCGCCTTAAAACGTATACATATACTTAGACCAGCTAATCTTCGCCCACTAGCCTCTTTGTAGAAACGTATTATAATTATACAAAGGATAAACGTCTTTAGAGTATGTCGTTCCAGAGAATGAAGAGGAAAGTATAATCTCAAACATTTCAATGTAGTCGTACCGTAAATCGTCCAACAGGAGGTGGTACCGGGGATTCGATAGGCTATCGGCGCATCTATAAGTTCATTTGCGTCAGAAAAAAACCTTGCCTGCTGTGTTATTACTTTGTAGTGAGGTCTCCTAACCTCTGGCATCAGGCCTGCTCTTGCCGCTCCATCCGCGATTGCCGCACATGAATCTACAGGTGAAAAGAAACAGTGCGGATATTTCTGTTTTAAATTGGACTCAACAGTCTTCTCAAGGTAACTGGGTTTTGCAAATTCACCCATGAAGAGAACACCCTCCAGTTTCAACTCTTGGTGTTCGATGCTTGTTATCTGAGCCCTCGCTAGGTCCGTAGTTCGCTCGCAAAGCGGGTAGAAGCACTGTAAAATCTCTGCATTTGTGAATGTCATGAACCCGTCTTGATCGATTACCCCTGCCCTGAAGAATTTTCCCTCCGCTGAAAGATTAACACGCCAGCTCCGTCCGCAGTTACTGAAATTTTCATTGATCTCATTCTCAAAGTGCAGCATACATTTTTCGAAAACTCTTTCTGCTGATTGCTCGTGGATTCTCATTGCTGCGATCTTATTTTGAGCAAGTGTTGTGAATCTATTCCGTGGTGATTTAAACCCAGAAGTGTCGCCAGATCTATAAGTGCACGGAACTATAACTCCTTCGGTCACTTGGTAGGCAATAAGGTCGACCCTATCACCCCCAAAGCTAATGGTAAGTACAGCATGGTGGATCTCAAGATCTATTGACCTTGCGTTAAGGAGATTTGTGATTGCGGCCTCGGGCTCAGTAACTATTGTTAGTCGCGAATTTTTCGTGTCTTCCAGGAACCCTAATTGCATGATTGCAGATTTTAGGCTTTCTTTTTCGGTATCACTGAAAGCTATGGGAGCGACAAGGTGGTAAGTCATGTTAGGACGAAAGCCATAACCAAAATCCCTGTACAGGTCCAAGTATATCGCTTCGCGGAGTTTCAGAAGGTATTCAACAGCAAGATCAGTTTGCTGCTTTCCGCGTGGAAGAGTGGCGGGAGTAGTCCATGGCTTCCAGCTTGTTACGTTTGAATATAATGTAGATACCTATAGGGGAAGTCAGAATGTAGAGACCTTGGTACCGACCAGTAAGGAAGATAAATATACCCGTTGAATCCCGGATCTTGGTACTCCATTCGAGTCTAGGGAATTTGCCGTATCATGAACCCAGCCCGCCAGTTGCCCACCATGATTGTAAGAAAGAACAATTGGGATCTTTGCAATTTTGTCAGAAACTGATATCCCATCTCTCTTTTGTAATACATGCGATTAATAGGCTTACCTTACTGACCAATCGATCGCTCAAACTTGGCGGCTCATCTATCGCATCGCTAGTGAAATTCCCCTTTAGGCAGCTAACCAGATAAACTGCGCTGCTAGAGTTTGAGCCCTGTAATGATTAGTTGAACTGCCATTCGTGAAGTGTTACGGGGGATTATTCACAAATCTAATGCCAACAGAGACTAAGTAATCCTGATCATTATTGGTACCCAAGCGTGGTAAGAACGCTTCAGATGGACGTCCTGCAAAGAAGATTGGTAAGAGATGAGAATTTATATCTTGAACTAGTGATACCCACTTGTGTGTGTATCCCTTTGTTCCGAAGACTGTTGCGACGGCATCACAGGGTATAAAGTCTGGTGGGTATCAATCATCGTCTTCCGTTGCAATTGGATATATGAAGAATCCTCTATATTGCAATAAGTTAGAATTAAATCACATAAATATAACGATCACAAGCTCACTTACCATATGAGTATTGATTTGCCATATTTTTGCTTGCTCCACTCTTCCATAAAGAGGAAAAGAGGCTCCAATAGGTTGGAGGAGAATTTTGTAGAGAAGAGGTCGAGCGAAAACCTGAGCTCAGAGCGGGAGAAGTGGGAACATAGCCAGGAACTCCATTAATGCTATTCTCCAAGAAAATTCTTCCAGAATCTTCCACTATTGTCTCTGACGATACCAAGCGATCAAGCATGTCACGTATCTCACCCACACCGTCATGAAGCTGATCAACGCGTCCTTCAACACGGACATTAATCATACTAAAAACTCAACCGAGGTCAGTTAATGTAGAAAATTAAGCCTGAACTTTAAATACATTAAAAGAATCATCGGTCGCATTTTCTTGTGAGCACTTACGTTGACAATGCTTGCATTTTCAAACCTAATGTACTTTTGAAGCTCTCTAGTCTTGTCGTTAAAACTTTGACATCCCTCTCTAGAAACGTCCATTTGACGCCTTTCCACGTTCTTTTATACCAGCCAGTTTGCATATTACTCTTCAATTTATTTATTAAAGTTGTAAGCTCAGCAAGAACATCCGCGCAACCACGCAATGTCAAGTCCAGATCCTCAATCCATTCGCTGGGAACAGAATCAGATACACCCCCACTCTCAAAGGATCTCTGAATGTCTAAAATTACAGACTGTATCGACTGTAGCTCGAGATATAGTCCGAGAATCTCTTTTGGCGCATCGCGGATGGAAGAAAAGAGGTTGGTGAGTTGGATAGAGGTGGTAATGGTCACGCCGATGATGGTCGCTAGGGCACTTATTATTGTGATGGGTTCTGGCATTGTTCAAGATGACTACGTGGGTCTTAGCTCTGTGAGTGCTTGGTCGGGGGTATTAGTAGTTTGCCGAAAGTTCAGCCGCATGCTACAACGCTAGACTTTCTTGACCTGGCGAAGTTCGGTTATTATTAGTGACATCCCCCCGTAATAGAGTAGAGTAATATACCTACATGTTATTAATTATATGTTTACTCATCTTCAGCCTGTAACTGATGTCTGTCCGTCGTTCTATCCTAGAGAGAAAGCATGTACGTTTATGTATCTAGTATGTGTAGGTAGGTCCTTTACAACATGATCCCTAATCCAATATATAAGAGGCTATTAATAATATATTAATTACAAACTCCTTATCAATGTTGAATGGCAATACTTCTGATAGAATACATAAATTCCGATGGCTACACGGTACTGCTGCTACTTAGGCCAGCAGTGAAAGGCGAAGCAAATCCGATCTCAGCTTATATACTCCGTTTCCCTGCTCAGCGAGATCCCTACTGACCGAGAATTGGGGCCGTCCACTACGTAAAAACTGGCCGCCGAGCATGCAGCCAAGAACTATTTGTATGTGAATCTCGCGGAGTAGAGATCTCGCTGAGCAGGGAAACGGAGTAGGTACTGTCGTTCACGGGGTGTTGACGGACACTGGGTGTTGACGGACAAGCCAAAAAAGAGCCAAGCCAAGTTTTGCCTGCAATCCGTGCCAATAACCCGTGAACGACAGTAATTATCTATAATTATCACCTAGGCAGATAGGCTTCTCAAACCCACCCATCGTCAGCGCCGCAGCGCTAGTGCCGGGTGCATAACTGCACCTATTCCTTATCGAGCTACATGGTTTATAGCAAGAGCCCTAATTATAGTAAGATAGGTTTTAAAATTTCGAGATTAAAGTTAAAGAGAAGGTATGCTACGGGTGGGCTAGGCGGTATAGCTTCGGTAAATATCTGCTATGTATAGTATAAGGCCGCCCTTATAATTATGCCACCTATGCCGACTATGGCCTTAGATAAGAGACCGCACGCGATAACGTTGAACAAAAGATATCTTGAGCTAGTTCATACATATAACTGTGCGTAACCGCAAAGAAAGAACCGTCCCAACATGCGTTTACAATCCCGCAGGAGGAACTTCGATTAGACAAGTGAATACTTCGCTGTAGCACTCCCATAACGCTTCCCTTTAAACATCTGGTCAAAGGTCAAGATCATTGCTGACTTCATCGTCAGGACGTAATCCACGTGGATTTCGTAATATACCTGCGAATTCAACCCCATCTTTTTAGTGAACTCGCTTGGGGGGATCATGCTCAAGTCTGATTCTAAGTTGCACAAGATTCTCGCAGCTTGTGTCCATCAGCATAATTCTTTTCTTTTCTTTCTGATTTTAATCGCCAGCGATTAAGCTCCAAGGGGGAAGGAAGCCTACGATTGATTGGTGAATTCAAGTATGGAGGAGCCGGTCCCATCTCAGCAACGTAGAGTTCAGTAGCGAAGTTCATATGCATACCTCCTATTCGCGTTATATAAACAAACGGAAGGGAGATTGGTTTCTCTTCTGAGACTTCGTCGCCCTTGAGATAGTACACACAATTAGCTTATCAATATCCATTTGTAGCCTGGATGTCATGTGCTTTCACCTCATTGATAAACCATGCCATTGTATCCGAACATCTCATAGTTCCTGTGAAAGGACACTTAAATAGGTTTTCTATGGGGTCTTTTCCATGTATAAAAGGTCGATTACAAGTGGTACCGTAATGTCGACGTGATGTACGAGTCGAGATACGAATACCAATTGCGGCACCCCGAGCGACGGCGCTCCATCTATTGACTGTCAGTATATATATAACCGGACTACCAAATGTGGAAAACAAACGCGTTGGCCGGCTGAATGATCTCTATTGGTGACCTGTCGGCCTTTCTCACTTCGTTTTCAAGCCGTTTTAATAGATATTTAGAGCTTCCGAAGCCCCCAACAAGGAGTACAGACTACATTTTGTTTGATATATTAATAACGTTCGAATGTCTGGATAGAATTTTATATTCACATACCGTGAGTCTTAAAGATGCTTTTGCTTCAACATTCCTAACCTGACTTTTAACGAGGGGAATAATCTTATCAATAACAGGGTCAAAGATTGCTTTCATCTCTTCCCTACTAATAACAAGATCACCGCCATCAATTCCGGCGATAGGATCATCCGGAATTCCACCAACAGGGCAATATAGCTCATCGTCATCCTCTGAGTCCGTGAAGCCCCGCTTCAGCTCTTCCTCAAACTTCTTCATTATTTCATTCCGTTTGCGAGTACTCATTGTATCGTATCTGCATAGATCAGCGTCAGAAAATGATACTCAACAGGAATGTTAAATTATTTAAAGGCAATCAACAAAGTGCATTTCTAAACCTTTCTCCTAGGCGGGACCGAACCATTTTCTCGAAGTTTCCGTTGAGAAAGGTTGAGCCACATAAACCTCCAGTACCTGCTGCACACTCCTTCACTGTGATATTTGGACTTGTTTCTGTGACCTGATATGAAATAAGGTCCTAGAATGGTTTATTAGACTACGATATATATATGTATATAAGGTTGGAAGAACTTACGACGGTACCACCACCACAGTCCACAATAACGAACGCGTCATTGATCTGTCAATCGACGTTAGATAGGCATGATGAATGACAACTCTCTAGGTATGGTTGTAAAGGAGGTATCTTTACCTGAAGGCCATTACTTTTCAGGTCTCTCAGAAGAGTCCACGCTGCAGCGGCATCAGGCTCCGACACGAGTTGGAGTTTAGTTCTATCCCCAAATCCCGCAGTCTCCGCTGCTCGTAGAGTCAATTCTTTTGCATTATCAGTCCAAATCTTAAATAGCAGGTTAGCAGTTGCGCTTGAGCAGGAGAATCTTAAATCCATCGATACTTACAGCTGGAACGGTCAAGATATAATCGATGGGTGTCGCATCAAGGAATGCTTTCCCGTAGGTGGTCTGTATACAGTGAATAGCATGTTTTCTCAAACATGTTAAATAATCCGCTACCACATCTACTGGCTCTTTTGTATTCCGATCCAAAATTAAACTCCTGGTAGAATTGATCGTCCCATTGTTCGAAATGTACTTTGTCGGCTCAAGGAGAAGCTTAATCCAGGCAAGTCTTTCTTCCCCAGTCTTAATTTGGAACCCCCATTTGGATATCTCTCCCGAGCTGTCATACGAGATCTCACTGGGTACTTTATCTGATGATCGAATTGCCTGAAGCCTCCGATGCTATCATGTTAGCGCCACAATATCTAGTGCTGAAGCTATAACAAAGGATTTCATCATTGTTACCCCTGGCCAATCTCGGATGATTATAACGTCCTCTTGAGCCCCTGTGAAGTTCTAGTAAATTGTTAGCGCTGCAATGGGCTAGACGTTCAGGAAGGTCCACAATATATAATCCATACAAACGCTTACCCAAGCGACTCCTGAGAACGTAGTCCCAAAATCTATCCCAACCTTCAATTTATGTATATTAGACATTTCCAAGAGCCTGTGCGAGTAAGGTGACTTTAGGAGCTCGCAGCAATCTAAAGCTTTGTGTAGAGGTTGACTGTGGCTTAAGTAACTCGAGAATCAAGTTTGTGGTGGAAAGATCAGAAGCAGGTGGGGGACTGGTTAAGGCGGACACTGGTTTAATTTAAAGATACGCATTAAACTTAGGCATACAGCGAAAGCTAGTGTCTACATTAAGTTATCTCATGACAGGGTGTGCATAGCTGGTGGCGCCAACAAACCACACGCCGCAGTATTGCATGTTGGTTGCCTGAACCAATATCCGTTTGGGATTGCGTACATTATATCAGTCCTTCAATTTATTTCTTACACGCAAAGCTCCAGTCCCAGCTTCCAACACCAGAAATTTTATCTAAACGTCTCTTATACGTACAAACTTCAAAATTATTTCTCATGCAAAGGATATCAGCGGGTTTGTGCTGGATCACAGGAGGCTCGCAACGTCCCAAAGACAGTAGCACCAATCGTGGCCCCTCTTCAGCTTCCATGATGACACCGGGTAATGCGTGGGGCGTATACCAAGGCAAAGGCCATCCAAACGTACCGGATGGTCGTCAGGATTCGAACTCTGATGAAATTGAAGTCGATGTACGTACTAGGACATTATCCCAAGTGCTATCTTGAATTTTGAATAACATAAAGAAGCCCATTTATGCGTGTTATTCATCTGAAGATAAATCAAACATGCCATCGGATAAGGAGCAAACAAATTCTAGTGCGCCAGTCCAAACGGCTCAAGGCCAAACTTACAATAACGTCGGCGGCCCAAAGAAAGATACATCTACGAGACGAAACGAAGCACCACATAGATATGATATTCGACAAGAATATACCGATATCCACTTCAAAGCAGGGGCTCGCGGGGAAGGGTTGCAGAGAACCTTTTACGACGAACGTACCGATAGCAACAGCCGGTACAGCAACAAACGGCTAGAAGATGAAATTAGACAGAGGGTTGAGGCGGAGTTAGAAAGGAAGTATTCCGAGAAATATGAAGAAATGTTGGGAAACTTTGAGCAGGATCGAAAGTCGCTGGAAAACAACAACAAAATTCAGCTGAGAAAATTGGAAGAAGCCTATAGGAAGAGTCAGGCCACATTAGAAGAGAGTCATTGGGCATTTTCAAGAAAGGAGCAGGAGACACAAGACCTCATATCGAAGCTAAGATCCAACATCAATGAGCTTACAGTGTCCGTCTCGAGGACTGTGAATGTGAGCGGGGTCACTACCAGAGACGACGACTACTTCGAAGCAGAGTTTGCTAGCCTAAAAAATTCGATACATCAGTGGGCTCGTCAATCATTTCGTCAAACTGATGCAGTTACATATGATCAACTTCCGCCCAGCCTGTCCAAACTTTTAGGAGTTGATACTCCCGGATTTATAATCCCTCATGACTCTAAAATTGGCTCCGCAGAATTTGAGGCGATAATGGCCCACACGATGATATTCGATATGATCTTTAAATCGAAATTTCTTCTACCTTGGGAGAGGCTAGAGGGGCTGGAGGAACTGCACGACCTAGAGCAAAGTGAGGGACACCAGAGGCCCGACATCGCGAGTACTTTTCTACACTATATTGGGGGAACCGGTGAGTTTGCAAAAACACTTAAACTAGTGCCAAAGTATAAAAAACTTACGTGGGGCGCGATAATGACAACATTAGATCTCAAGAAACGAGAATGGTTTACTCAAACCATCAGTATGCTCTTCGCACACCATGAGTATGAAGAGTTCCTTAACTCCAATATTCAATCCGCGCAAATGATCCTTCAAGAGCTGTCAAATAGTCTTTTACCCTTGGAGGGCGCAAAACTAGATAAGAGCGCAAAAAGGTTAGCCAGTATCATTTCAAAGGCTACTCAACTTCATAAGGAAACCTTCCAGCAGGTATCGCCATTTTTCCTCCACACAATCAAACCAGGAGAACAATACAATCCCTCGTTTATGGAAGAGTTGAACCTACCAGACACTGAGGAGACAAGTGGTCAGCACTACGTTCAAGCAGTTCTTTTCCCGCCAGTATTTCGGATAGGGTTCAACGCGGCCGGAAACAACAACTTGGACTATCCAGTACTTATACGAAAGGGAGTCGTGAAATGCTTTCTAGAGAAAAGCTAATAAGTGTAATCTCTTCTCCGACCTCCTAAGATTCCGTAAGACAGTTCCTATCGATATAGAGGCTTGTGTGGATTTTGTCTTGCGTGCCACCTTAACATTGGTTTTCACAAGGTATTTTCAACCATATCTTAAGGACATGTATACTTAATTCAATGGCTTCTTTAATTTCCTTTATCTTATGCATGCGCTCTTTACACTAGCTAGTATAGTTCAAGAAATCATCTCTATTACCCTAAGGTATTCTCGGTACAATGCGGCCCGGTGGTAAACACAAGCTCTACGGGTGGTAAATGTCTACATGTACAACCTGAAAATTGCAGTAGCCCTAATCCGCCTCAGCGAACCTAAATATACGTATTAAAAAATGCATGTCGTGCAATACAGCTTAGGTAGTAATACAGTCTGAGAAAACTCGACTTATGGGTTGGTGAAAGCTAGGATGTAACGTAAAAAGGAACTCTAATAAATAATAATTTCTACATAATCACTAGATATGGGAAATAAGTGGGAATACTTATGGTATGAGAAGGTAGAGGGATGGGTGTGTCAACTTCAGAGGAACCTTTTTTGTATGGGAATTAGAGAAAATTCCACCGTTAGGCTAGGCGCTAGTACCATTATATATGGGTGTAGATCTCCCAATTTTTATAGATTGATTGGCTGCAAGCGCCGAAGTTTACAGGTTTACACCATAGCTTCTCGAGCCATATGTATATACTTACTTTGTAATGTAGATAAACTGTAGCAAGGACCAAAATTCTCATAGTGCTGTCACCACAAAAGATTTGAGTATTCGCTTAGTCTTTATCTACTATCTCAAAACAGTAGGTTTAAACCAACTTGATATAGAGCCTCCTACTGATTCAAGGACCTTCTGAAAAATATAATATACAGCTTTTAGACATGCTCTATCAGCAGGGGAAGCCTTCGGGCGGATTTATTAGGTGGTTTGCAATTGGGATTATTAGGTTTGGGCCCATAAGTTTTCTCAGACCCACGTTCATTTAAAGTTTCATTGTGTCTCTATGTACTGCGTATGTAGCAAGATGTACTGAGCTAGAGTACTACATGTACTCTAGTTCGGGTGTAGGAGTAAGTACCTAATTATAAAGTGAGAAGACACCTGGCTGCAGAGGCTTCGTACTCCTGAAGGCCGTTCACTGGGCATTGACACTGGGCCACAGTTAGTCTCGTGTTTGCTTTGATTCTGCGCACACGCAGTGCGACAACAAAACAGTCTGGGAACAAGACTAGGCCGCAGTCAACACGGCCAACGTCCGTCACCACACTGTAGGTGGTAGCCAAGTCTCATGTGACCCCAGGACGATATATGTATAATTATTAGCCAAACGGAAATTTCTTACTTTTGTTGGCGATCTGAGGCGGTGTTGATTGAGTGGTGGCGGTCTATAGTAGCCTCTACTTAGAATATCTATGCCTGCTTGATTATGTACATGTACATACATACTTACTGCCTAGATCCCTGAATTAATGAAAGACACACTTTGTGAATATCTACAAGCTAGTAGCTGGCAAATCTGTTCTATCTGTGCAGTCGGAGTATTCACTCTACACGGTAAGAATACAGTGTTGACAACTAAAAAGTACATGTGGTCCTATTTGTAGTCTTGTACACTTAACGTCGAATCTCAGAACATAAGGCGTTATCTAAAAACCAAGTACTAGATAGGTAAATAGAGTGTATTGGCCACACTCGATTTTCAAATTTCGAGCTCAAATTCTGAGTTCTTGGCAGCGGGAAGACCCACCTGTACTGCATTAAACTCTGTCAATGTTCACTGGAGTATTGAGTGTTATATATATCGCACGCTACAGAGCTTAATAATAGTAAGAACTCTATACGCGTTCACCATAGCACAGGTGGGTCTTCCCCGCTGCCAAGAACTCAGAATTTGAGCTCGAAATTTGAAAATCGAGTGTGGCCAATACACTCTATTCAATCTCTTCAGGATATGGGTAATGATGATCACGACTAAATATCGTCTTGTCTCGCGTCCCATCCTAGTCTTGGAAGTCTCGAGATCTGGAGACGGATCTCAAGCTAGACTGATATAAGTTAAACCCAATCCGGATTGGGTAAGAACTTGTAGATACATACATCTGGCCTTTCCTCATTGAGAACTTCCAAAAGTAAACGGGATAAAAGATGGGGAAGACCGGCTTAGGTAAGTACGTGAAGCCCCTCTTGATATAAAGCTTCTATGTCGTTACGGGCAGCGCATAGCTCGGTGGTTAAGCCCGAGACAGGTTTTTTTTTGATTTTTGACCCTCGATTTTTTGCCGGTGCCGGTGCCGGTGGTATTTAGCGGTACCGCGGCCTAAGTGCTTATATCTCTACATGTATGTTGCTGCGTTTCTCAATATTTCGATATATATATAATTCATGATTAAGCCAAGTACCAATTGTATCAATCAGAACCAATTAGAATGCATGCGAGGTGAAATATAATTCTACCTAATTCAATACTCCGGTTGATTGCCTCGTTGAAGCAAACAAATACAAGTTGGATGCCTTAATCGTGCATATCTTGTAAGCAAGGTCTCTTATCAGTGACTCAGTACGCATGTAAATAGTTGGATGCCTTACGTTCTGTTAGATAGTTAAGGCCACCCTTGGAAGGCCCGAAAACCTCCAACCCTCGCTTTCTCCTGCACCTGTTTTATTCTCAGTCTAGAAGTCAACAGCTTTTTTTTTATTGGAGAATTCAAACCAAGTAGGTACATATACTTTTGATTCCAGTTTAAAATAAAGAGTAATGAATGAGTAGATGGAAGCTAAACCATGACTATTTGCAGAGTGAGAGTAGAGAATTGTCCCTCAATCAATTGATAGTTTCAGGCCGACATCTGAACACCAAAACCAACAAATCTAGCCACTACTACATATTCTCGCTCACCTTCAGACTAAAGTCTACCACAATTTGTATCTTTAACGATGGCCAAAGGCTGGAAGGAAAACGTCAATAACTTCGACAACGCGGACCGTGTAAAGCTCCTTGGGGTAATCGACCATCTCCGCGAGCTCGGAATCAGCGACGATATCCCCCTCCCACAGGTCAGTTCTATTTTCATCTATCATTTTAACTCATACTAAAGTGTTGGTCCAATCATGCAGCTTGTCGTTGTCGGTGACCAGTCAAGCGGAAAGTCCTCTCTTCTTGAAGGTCTCACAGGGCTTGCATTTCCCATTGCATCAGACCTATGTACGCGTTTTGCGACACAGATTGTGCTTCGCCGTACGCCTGCGGAGGAGGCCAATGTGAAGGTCTCCATAATTCCGGGCCCAGAAGCTCAGACAAACGAGCATTTGAAAACCTATCTGGCAGGATTTAAACATATTTCAGAAAATGCTGAATTCGGCGCCGACGAGTTCGCGGGTTTGCTGGGCAGTGTAGGTTTATTCCAAAATTAATCTCGATAGTCACTTTTTATGCTTTAACGCGAGCAAGACTAACCTACCCGGAAGGCTGCGGAGCGAATGGGACTCCCTAAGCCCGGAACAGAGGATGTCGAGGATCTTGATCACAGGTTTTCAGAACATGTATTGAAGGTTGAACTATCCGGGCCCGAACATCCTCATTTGAGTGTGGTAGATGTTCCAGGTCTATTTCACAGTATGTGTGCAGTCAACAATACTTCTCATATATTGGCATCCTTTGGTTGACTTGAATAATTGCAAGATCCGACAAAATATCAAACGAAGGAAGATGCAATTATTATAAGAAATTTGATTCTTAGTTACATCACGGATAGACGTACTATAATTATGTACAGTTTCCAGTGATTCGTGTAGAGTTTCATCATGCAGTAATTACTGACAAACAGATAGGGCTATTATGGATGGGAGAAACAACCTTGCGAACCAGGAGGTATTTCGGATGGCAAAGGCAGCGGATCCGAATGGTAGCCGAACCGTTGGTGTCGTGACCAAATGTGACGCCCTCCAGCCCGGAGAAGAGCTTGGTGTGAGTATTCCTATTTCTCTCTACATTTATCCTGTAGGTTGATTAACACCGTTGCGATTATACAGGTCCTCCGAATCCTTGAAAACTCCGTCGAGAGCCTTAAACATGGCTGGTTCGGAGTCAAAAACCGGTCGGCGAAGGACATCAAAAACAATGTCACTATAGAAGAGCGACACGTGAATGAAGAGAATTTCTTCACAACCTATCCCTGGAGTACACTTCCTAAAGACCGAGTGGGCATCAAACCGCTGAAGGCATTCCTGGGAAAACTCTTGTACGAGCACATAAGAAATGAGTTTCCAGCACTTGTGAGGGATATCGAAGCGAGACATGCGGAGAGTATTCAGGAGCTTGAGGATATGGGAGCACCTAGGCAGTCCACATCAGAACAGAGAGTTTATCTCACGAAAGTGGTCAACGAATATCAGCTTGCAGTGAATAAAGCGCTTGCTGGGACCTACCCGAGCGATCTATCTTCAACACATCCCCTGAAGCTACGAATGCATGCCCATGCAGCAAACACCGCGTTCGTAGAACGCATCGCCAATGAAGGCCACACCTACCAGTTCATGACCGCAAATAATGCTCTCGACCCAAGCTATAAACCCAGGACTTCTGGTGCGGTTTATGAATGGATTAGAGCGTGGTATAAAGAGTCACGTGGCGCCGAGCTTCCTGGTACCGTCAATCCAGCTGTGGTCGAAAGTTTGTTTAGGCAACAGTCAGTCGGATGGGTTCAGATTGCGGATAACCATCTCATGAACGTTGAACGTATCGTTACAGAGTTCAATGATGCATTATTCAGAGAGACGGTTTCCGATGATCGTATTCGGCAAAATATTATCTCGCACATGGAACCTTTAATCTCGGCTGGTATGAAAGCTGCCGAAGAGGAATTGGCGAAGGTCCTCCGAGATGAACGCGAAGGTACTCTTCTGACATTCAACAAAATATTTGAGACGACCCTCAACACTGCACGCCTTGATCGGATCATTGCTCGGATGTCAACTCACACTGGATCGCCCACCAGCGTCCTAAACGCAAGTTCTCGCACGGTTGCAGGCTATGTTCATCTCACCCTTGAGGACCAGGCAGTTTATGATATTCATGATATCCTCAAGACGTTCTACACGATCGCAGTAGAACGATTCACAGACAACGTTGTGGTCCAAGTTATCGAGCGGCATCTTCTCGGCTCTTCTGGGCCTGTAAAAAGTTTTTCCGTCGAGCATGTTGGTGGTCTCCTGGATAGTGAGGTGGCGGATATTGCTGGCGATGATTTGGCACTGAGGACTCGTAGGACGGAAATCAACAGTCGTATTCGAAGACTGAATCAAGCTATGGATATTGCAAAGAAGGTTAGTAAAGGGTAGATTAGGTAGTACGTACGCTGGGGTTTTTGAGCAAATTCCTTTTTCTCAATATTTTATATTTTCTACAGTTAGCAGTCAGCAAGGTCTTGGATGAATTTATGAATGGTTCAACTTCCTTTATACGCCAAGACTCGAGTGATTCTTCGTGAAAGTTAGTACTCCCGCATACATGTCGTACTATGTAGTCTCATTCTTGTTGTATTTTGTGGTGTGTTCTAGGGTGTAGCGAAAAGTGATCAGAATCTGATGACAAATACACGTATTCACCGCAACATTCACCCTCAATACCCGGTTCATAGTAGGTGCATCCGACGCCAGACTCCTACTCGACCCAAGTACCTAGACTCGCACCGCCCCATCTACACCGGTGGTTGCGCCGATCGATAGCTCGACTCTCCCCATAAACGGTTTAAATCATAAAGCGATCTGTAGAGTAGGTACATGTAGGTGCATGTAGGTACTTCATCTTTAAACATGGTACATACATCTTTCTCCATGCCATATTACCAAGAATGATTTCTGCTCGTCAAGCTTGAAACTTCAATTTCGTCGCTTTGGCGCTTGTGACTACCTAATTAGTCGGTCAATCTTTTATCTACACAAGCAAAACTGCCGCCGACCGACAAGGATTTTTATCTCGATCTATAAATACCACCACTATGGTTGGGGACACCTTGAGCCGGAGTATGCGACATTCGATCCAAGAATTAACCGGATGTTAATTAGACTCTTGGCACAGATAACTGCTTCTCGTTTACAGCTAGCTAGTGTATTAATACTAATTAACATGGCCCGCGACATTCATCACCGAACCCCGACCCTAATAACTCCACCCACAGAACAGCTAAATTAATTTGGACTATGTAGGGTGATAGATCAGATGAATACTAGCCGAATAACAAAGAGATAATTAAAATAGGGTGTGGTTGTGGAAAGTTATTAGCTTGGGAAATCTTGACGTTGGAAGTGCTCCGGCTCAAGGTGTCCCCAACCATAGCACTCACGCATGCCGATGACACTGCATACGGTAGCACATAACAGGGTTTGGTTTTATCCTACTTTATGTAAACGATTTTCAGATAATGCGGTATATCGAGTAGGTATGTATTAGGTCCAAATTTTGAATGTAGCTCCCCGCAATATGAAAGTCGTCGACAGGGGCTCAGATGGACGGACCTCCGACCGAACATATACATGTATGTACTAGTTAATAACACCCTCTTCCAGTGAGTGCTCCATAAATTTTTCACAGTTGTTTCCTGATAGAGTCAACTCTGACGTTTTAAGGAACCCCAAGGAATCTTGTCAACTTTATTTTCTGACTCACGGAAGGTTTCCCCTATTCTTCCTCATCGATGGTACCTGCTAGTACATGTAGGTAACATATTCCGGTCCCCGCTTTGAGCGCTCCAAGAAATCTAAGCTTTCTTCAACGTTATCAAAAATGGTTTGCGAAGACGACACCAGCCATCCCAAATATGCTTCGCCACGCAATAGCACCGTGTCAGCACTTCGATCGGGCCCGGGTAGTGCAAAGAGCCCCCGAGTTACAGCATTCCACACCGCGCTGTTAATGCCATTTTTGATCAGATCTGTTAACGCCGCATGCTCTGGTGATTGTGCTCCTCCCGAGGGATGGGATAACTTCGTGAACAATCTTGCGTCCGACTTAGCACCACTACTCACCCTTCTGGGTGAGCAGGTGACAACGCAATATTTGAACGAGTCGCTGAGCTGGATTGATAGTCTACTGTTCGCGTTTGCTCCTTTAGGTATCATTTCAGCAATGGTTGCCGCAATTCGGGTTGCGGGCAGGCCATTACTTTGGTCCCTAATCGGCAGGGCAAAGGAAAGTCGTGGAACCGTTGAAGCCGAGTTGATGTCTTCAACATCATCCGATGTTTGCGAGCTATGGGGAGGTGAAGGTGTTTCTCGCGTGCTTGGATCTCCAGTCCTTCTGCAGTTGGTTTATGTAGGATCTGGAGATGTTGAACAATCGGAGGATGAAAAGTCGCCTACTGTCAAGAACTCCGAGGGAGTTTACCTATTTCATGAAGCAATTAGGTTGGATATCTACCGAAGAAAGGGGGACGCAGGTCCATCACCAGGTATACAAGAGAGTGTAGATATGGAGGCGAATAACGACATAGATGATTTCCTTACTCGACAAAATCCCCCAAACCTCTCTTTGAACGTCAGTATCAGACCTCTCGACCCTAAGGTGCTCATTACCTTTGCATGCATCGGATTCTTTATGCAAGCTGGAGTTCTCGTATATGCTGCAATATCTCAATACCACTTGAAACTTGTCAAAAGCGGTATCGAAGTCCCAGCCTACGGCTTTCCTATCCTCCTCACAGGAACACTTAGTCTGGCGATTGGTATGTTCTTATGTGCGCAGGCCGTGGAGACCAGCACAAAAGAGGAAACCTGGGAGCCGACGGAAAAGGGCGATTCCAAATCCGTTGTATGGCTACAACAAGGAGGACAAACTGTTGGTGATCAGCGATTTGGATCATTCGCACGGCGATCCGGAATAAAATTTCCCGAAAACCGTGTTCTAACTTCAGAAAAGGCGGGAAAAGGCAAACCGGTTCTTGTTACGGCTGCCATCAGCACTGCCTTCTTCGGTTTCGTTGCTCAGTTTGTCGGATTACGCGCAATGCATCCATCAGTCACCATTGCACAACTGGGGGCAGTTCTGATAATGACTGTTCTGCGGTCTTGTGCTCGTATACAACGGGAAGGCCGCAATGATATTGAAGATCCCGATGAGATAGAAGGCTATGAGTTGGATTGGTTGGCGAAGGATTTGAAAGGTTGTCAATCTTGGGAGATCAACACCGGTCGTGAAACATCTTGTAAAGTTCCAATGTCCCCAACTTCATTCGAGGTGTCCTCGGCAAATGCAAAGGAAATTACCAAATCGACCGCTGCATCAATAGAGAGAATTTGGTCTCAAGCCAGTCCGCCTCAGAATCCTGATGATAAGCACTCAGACGTGGTATCGGAAGCTCCTTCGTCCGATGAAGAGGATATGGATACACCCGAACAACGGTTTCCAACTCAAAACGATGTCAATGCTGCAGTGATGAGGACTCGAGCTCGTCTAGCCAGACTTTCGCATGACTGGATGTTTGGTGGTAGGAAGAAGGCAGAGGTGCTGCATAATCTCATTGAAGAAACGATGAACGAGGTTTTTGACAACATGACCATCCGTGATGACCTGAAAACTGAAAGAGAAATCTCCTGGGTCATACCAGTCGAGGCTTCATTTAAAGATTCAACCACGAATACCGAACAGATCAACCTGATTTTCAGTAGAAAGCTCAACGAAAACCAGAGCTTTGGCGCCTGGACCATTGAGAAGAGCGAATTGGAAGCCGTTCTGTGCCTTTGGACATCCTCGATTGTTAGGGCCGATAGACAACGGGCAAGGGATAGGTTGCCCCGTTTCAAGCGGGTTAGAATCTTAGCGTGTGCTACAGAATTAACAAGCACACACTACAATGTCTGGGTACCTCGCGCAAGAAACCCCAAGCTGGAAAGGCTGTATGATGAGGATACCAGATACTACGGATACACAAGAGCCCCCTCCAGGGATCAAGTCAGCTCAACCGGGTATCTTTATGTCGACGCCGAAGGAGATTCGAGCACTTTATGTGCCCAGGAGCTTTATAGTTTATTCATTTTCGAGCTTGCTGGGATGGTACAAGAGATTGGGGGAGTCACTATACCCCATAATAAAGATGCGATCACCAGGGCTGCCGGTACATTAGACGGTCCCAACACCGAAGCCTTTCGTCTTCATAATTCGAACCTTGGACATCTCGCGGATATATATAATGGGCATGGACTAGGAACCACTGAAGATGCATATTTCTCCATTATTTCAGCTTTTGGGTCTGCAGGAAAGCTTCCTTACCCGTACGAGACCTGCCTTGAAGTCATGAATAATTCACAAGAGCTGGCTAAATCTGGGAAGTGGAGAGATGGTCTTGAGAACGATTCGTGGCTATATAAAAACTCAAAGTCGGAAAACGCACCGATGAACCTCACCAATGTCATTACGAGGCCACTCTTTGAACAAACTCGGAGGTTGGCGAAAAACATCACACGTTTCGACAGGCAGGATCAAATTCAGGAAATGTGGGAAGCGACTCATTCGTACTGCAAATTACTTCGAGCAGAGAAATCAGAGAAGCGAGCCCTAGGGCTTGTAACCTTATGCCTAACCTGCACAAGGGCTAATTCCGAGTTTGGTCACGAAGCGATGACTGGCCTTCTCTGCGATACGATCCAGTCTTTTGGTGGCAAGAAAATGCATAATAATCAAGATTTTAAGGCAAGGGTCCAGGCGTTATGGAAGAACGAAGCATTTTCTGATTTCAGATTCACTGCAAGATTTCTGTGGGAGAACACAGTCGATGGGTGGCTTCAGAGCGATCAAGAACAATGTCCTTTAATATCAAGGGTATTGATCGATGTTCTACGGGACATTGATGGTGTTCTATTCAACGTCGAACTTCAGAGATACCTCGCGACACCAACGTGTCTGAAGTCCGCCGCAGCGGTCACTGCCGATCGTGGTATTTCTATTGAGGAATCCAAGGATGGCCTTTTCCCAATTGATCTATTATTGATCAGGAAATATCGATCCCCGGTTCAGATGGCAGCGGAAGTTGGTAATTTGCAGATTTTACGAGCTCTCTTGGAGGCCGGGGCTGATATAATCAATGAAAAACCCGCACCACATTACGGCAGAACTGCGTTACAGGCAGCAGCAGGGGCTGGGCATATGAACATCGTTTCTCTGCTTATCGACAAGGGTGCAAAAAAGGATGAAGAGCCGGCACCTTACTATGGTCGCAGGGCATTACAAGCCGCTGCAGGAGCTGGGCACCTGAAGGTTGTCAAGTTTCTCTGTAATGACTTGAAGGATATCAAACCGCAGGGCGCTGGGGGGGCAATATCAATACCCATAACAAAAGGTGAGAAAAAACCATAGATTGTGGGCGATTTTGCGGACAATCTCAAGGGCAGGACTAAAGATTCTTTTTGAAACAGCAGTGACACAGAAAGCGGACGCAACTAAGGATGCGGGTGATGGGAAGAGCTATTCTCCTGATGATATTGCATTCGTCAGTGGTGCGCCAGCACCGCATCATGGACGCACAGCATTGCAGGCAGCAGCAGAGGGAGGCCACATTGCAATTGTGGAGTACCTTTTGGATATTGTAGAGGTTGAAAACGAAACAACCAGCGACCCGGGGGTAACAGCACTGGAGGCAGCAGCAAGCGGCGGCCACGCGACCATCGTTATGGCGCTCATAAAGGCTGGCGCCGACATAGACGAAAATCTAGAATCCCCCGTGGGGAAGACAGCTTTTGAGGCCGCTGTTTCTAATGGTCATATGGGTACAATCAAATCGCTTCTCAGGTGCAACTTCAACCGCCAGAAAACATTGGTGAGAGCGATAGAACGGGGGTATAACGATGTGGTCCGACATCTCTTTTCCCATGCAGGTGTCAAACCGAATCTCAATGGGGAGGATGCGCAAACCCTCCTAGATACGGCAGCTAATCACGGCAAGTCGGCCATTATAAAGATACTCAAGGAGAACGGGTTAAATATCGAGAGTGTAAATGGTGATGGGCGTACAGCATTACATATAGCGGCATTACAAGGCGATTTGAAACAGGTGGAAGCCCTTCTGAAGGGCGGGTCAGACCTGGAGAAGGGTGACAATCTCGGAGATACGCCTTTAACTCTTGCAGCTTACTTTTCCCACCCAGAGATGGTCGATTTGCTTCTGAAGCTAGGCGCAGACATTCACAGGGCCGACAACAGCGGTAACACGGCACTACAAAATGCAGTGAGGCTAGGAAAGGAATCCAGCCAAAAGGTTGTAGAAATACTTCTTGATAATGGGGCAGAGATCGAGAGGGCAGACAACCTTGGAGATACGGTTCTGACTCTTGCAACCCAATATGCCGACAAGGACGTGATTGAGTACCTGCTGAATAGGGGTGCCGACATTCACAAGGTCGATGACTACGGGGGCTCAGTCCTGCACCACGCATCAATTTCAGACAAAGAGGACCGTGTGGAGGTTATTGAACTACTTCTCGCAAACGGGGCAGATATCGAAAGAGCAAACGTTCCTGGGGGCACGCCATTCCTGGTCGCTGCACAGAATGGGCACATTCCTCAGGCAGAAGCTCTTCTGAAGCACAGGGCAGATATAAAGAAGACGGATAACCTCGGTGATACGGCTATGACACTCGCGGTTGCCGCCGCCCAGACTGATATGGTCGAGTTCCTTATAAATAATGGCGTAGACATTCACAGGCCTGACAATTATGGGAATACACCAATACACCACTCGGCTCTCTCGGACAAAGGCGACTGCACAAAGATTATTGAGATTCTTCTTCAGCACGGAGCAAATCTTGAGACATCAAATGGCCCTGGGCGCACACCTTTGCTTGTAGCCGCACAATCAGGGCACGTAGTACAGGCAGAAGCCCTTCTGAAGCACGGGGCAGATATCAAGAAGATTGACAACCTCGGGGATACAGCTCTAAGTCTGGCAGCTTTCGCCGTGAAGGAGGATATGGTTGAATTCCTTCTAAAGAACGGTGCGGATGTTCATACGGCGGATAAGGAGGGTAATTCACCACTGCAAAACGCGATTATCTTTGGGAAAGAGGCCAGCGCGAAGATTGTGGAGTATCTATGTCAATACGGGGCGGATATTGAGCGGCATAACAATGAAGGATTGTCGGCACTACAAATTGCTGTTAGGGATGGTTATAAAGAGGTGGAGACTATACTGCAGCAGGCGTTGAAGGATAGGGCGAAATAGTTATTGAGTCTTTTTGGAGAGGGGTGTGAGGACGTTTTATGTGTTTTCTTGTCATTATAATTTCCTTGGTGATTTCGTCTCCTCTTTACTTTACTATGTTGGCGATTTTGTGTTGGGTTTATTCTACATATGGCGTCGTTGAGACCTGTTGGAAATGGTGCTTATAGGTGTTTAGTATGTACTTGATTGTGGCCCTTGGATGAGAAATGATATATGTTAGTACTTTGGTACTTTTGTACGGACATAAGATAATATTATCCATTATTTATTTTACGTGGTAAAATTACCACCGCTCACGTCTCACTACAAGGTCTCTCACAGGCAGTGATTGCCAATACTATAGACTAGTACCTCTCCACCCCAATATTGTGAATAAAGTACAGATCGAATACTATAGATTTGTATCGAAAGTACTGGAATAGGTTCAGCTGCTTTAATAATTATTGCAAAACATTTAGCACAGCATCCAGATTTGTTCGCCCCCCCACCCCCCGAAATCCCACAGAAGCTCTGTGTATCTACTCGCACTGAGCAGGATGGAGATCTACCGTTGGGGTGCCGAGACTGGTATCTTTCGTATTATTGGACTCCTCTAAGATAGAATAAAAATAGATGTCACGTTCTATCCATTGAAACACCCAATATAAATAGAAATAGAACGCCTTATATCCTTTACGGGAAGTCCTCCATTGTTTTCTATTCGCTTGTTCAGAGTAGAATTATACCTCTGGCCTAGTAGCGGACTGGATTGCAAAGCTTGTCATACTATCGAAGTCCGAGTGATATATTATGACCGACTTGAACGTAATGGTGCTAAGGAGTATTGATCGGTCTCATAGTAGAAGCAATAAAGAATAAGCATCTCGCCTTCATCTACTTGGGGGCTTTGGCTGGTAAATACCATCAAGTTTCATATCAGTGGCACCGGCAAATTAAAGTGTTATGTACTCGATTTTAGCATGCAGGCCACCCTTTTATAAAGGTTCGTTTTTTCGTTTATACAGAAGACCCGGATTTATGCGTTTTATCGTAGTGTTTGTGATATGAGTTGATGTATTTACCTAATTGAGAGCATTTGCAAATGCTCGAAAGATGTGATGGGAAGCAGATCTAGAGAACTTGTTTACTTTGACTCATGAGTTGAGAGCGGGATTAATTGCCTTGCTTGTCCGTGAACCAAACATATTAAAGTAGATTAGATGATGATATCAAGTGGAAGAGCCAACTGCAAAGGTCCGCAGGATTTCGTATAGAAGACGCCTCAGGGATGTGGAGAAACGCCTTACGTTACTAAACCTACATGTAGTTAGGTACGTAAGTGCACTTATGAAACTGGTTACACAATTGTACTACAAGATTAAACCTAACCCCGGAACACATCGAGATGCGAATATGCATGCCTACTATGTATCTTACACCTCTTCTTCAACAAATACTATCCGCAACCATCTTCACACACACTCTTGCGCCCATGTGAGTACAACCTACATGTGTACTTATCGGCCGTATATCTACAACCTAAAAACCAGAACCTCCGGAAGGCCAGCCGGCGGGGAAAGTTTTCAATGCCAGCAATTAAAGGTTCTGGGCGTCTATCCGGTCCTCAAAGACGTATCGATCGCAGGTATTCCGAAGACAGATTGATTCAACCCTTTTTCAGGTTCAACAATATCAATAGACAAGCTTATGATATTAATAAAAGGACAATATAATAGGATAAAGTATCTATATCTATGTATTTATGCAATAATCCAAAGATATTCGTCGCACTGATATTTATCTGCCTAGTTGCCATAGAACAAGGCTATTGTCAAATGCAAATATCTCACGGTATTCCGGTCCTTACAAGAACTTTGTTACTACACACGTACAACCTCCCAAATCAAGAGAATTCGTGTATCTCCGGGGGAGAATGTGGCTTCGGGGCTGAGTTTTCAAACAGGGTAGGTGCTCTTATCTGCGCTACAAATCCCCTGTATCTAGCAGAACGAAGTGCCCCTGTACCCTGCACGTAACATAAATTATTAGGCGATATTGGTACTACCCCGCCTAAACCATTAACATTTATTCACTCACATGATAGGAACGCGCTCGTGTACTTCAATACATAGCCTCCAGACCCCGGAAAGGGTTTACAAAAGTTTGTTCTGATGTAACAGGAAAACGGGCTTCTCCTGAATTCTAAACGATGGTCTTCGTCCTTCAACCTTACGAGGCGGCCTTTGTCCCTTATAATCTCTCACGAATCTCTATAAATCCATCAGGCTTCTGCGTGTTGTACTAACTCAGAGACAGCCAGAATACACTCTTATTAAGAAAACCAAAACCCAGCTTTTCTCTCCCCCTTTGTTATCACGATGTCTCCCGCCGATACAATCTCAGTCCCATCGCCGGAATCTCTCTACTTCCGTCAGGCCAGCGTGAGAGAAAAACACATCTGCTGGAACCGAAATAGTGCATCCTGGGGCGGCCTCCTAAACCTGCCCGACTATCTTGGCCGTGAAACTCTCAATGGCTCACAGCTCATGACTCGTGATGGGCAAATCAAGTATTGGGTCCTGAGTTCGCTAGACAAACCACCAGCCGAGGGTGAAGAGGAACCGGATACAATTTATGCAGCTTGTGAAACTCTTCAGAAGCCGGTGATTGTGAAAACTAAGGATGGAGATTGTACTGAAGAGATAAGCTATGGTATTGCGAGCGTGTACACGAATCCTAAGTGTAGACGGAAGGGAGTGGCAAGTGTATTGTTGGCGAGACTGGCGAAGTGGTTGGATACGGAAGGTAATTGTAGAGTCAGCGCACTTTACTCGGATGTTGGCAAGGTGAGGAGATCCCTCGAGAAAGAATACTCTATGATTTTAAACTGACTGGGTCGTAACGAGTAGGAATTTTATGCAGTGCATGGGGGTTGGATGCCATACTCATCCAATCAACTCACAGTATCCATCTCCCCCTCCGAAACCAAATATACGGCTCACACCGAGATTAAAACAAAGCCTTTACAACGAGCCGACCTGAAACACCTCTGCACAACTGATCAAGATACTCTCAAGTCTCAGTTTCAATCTCTCGCCTTCCCACCCGACACCCACGCCCGGTTCACCTTCCTCCCCACATTCGCACAAGCCTGTTGGCATTTCGGGACAGAGGAATATATCTGCGAGAAAGTACTGGGAAAGTTCCCCATGGTCAAGGGCGCCCTAGTTGACAACAATACCTGGTTATACTGGACTCATGATTTCGCCGAGAAAAAACTTGTCGTCCTGAGAGTTGTCGCGTCAGGTGATAAGGAGGGACTAGTCGCACGCTTGAAGGGACTACTCAGCGCCGCAGAAAAGGAGGCAAGAGAATGGGAGTTTGGCAAGATTGTTGCATGGAGCCCGACTCGTGAGTTAGTTGAAGCAGCGAAGCTGCTGGAAAAGGAGGAGAGAGGAATCGCAGCGGATGTGGCGGACAGAGAGAACGACAGTATCCCAAGCCTGAGATGGCATGGGGCGGAGGGGAAGGGCCTCACATTGTGGGATCCAAACGAAAAATATGCTTGGTGTTAGAGGGCCATTATTACAAAGATACATGTTGGTTGCATGTGTGTAGGACGACATGTTTCCTGGGGTTCTAGCATCTTACAACATTACCATTTATGTATGCATGTCTACTTAACGGGGACAGCTTAGAAATAGCCTTGTAGTTATGCCTAACGGTGCATAGTATTATCTATGGCCTTAGCGAATATTTATACCTTGCCGCAGATGCCATCGGAAAATAAATCAGGAAATCTTCTTGGGGGCATTCTTCGACGGAGCAGACGCCGTGGTCTGATTTGGTCTTAGGTACACACTCATACCGTAAGGGTGTATTTATTGGCTTACGGTACGTAGCCCGTAGATATCGATTAACTCCTTGCTTCGTCCGTGTTACACGGGCAAGTCATGTCACTATGTTGTAGGTACATAGTACTAGAATTCGGCCCCTGTACGATTCATTTACATGCGATAAGTGGATCCCAGCATATTATGCACATCCATTTGATGATCGCAGCACAGCCACGCAGCACGGGTCTGCCAAAAAGATTTAGCACCAAAAGAAGCTCTTTAAAAAAGAATAAAAGTTACATGTAGCTAACTATCTACAAGTACCTGCAGCAGGTCAGGTAGTAAAAACAAACCCCATGTTCCATATGCCCGCCAAAATAAAATTCCATATGTAAAGTATGTACAAAACAAGAAAGTATGAAGAGAGAATTGAGGCAGAATTACAAAAACTGGCCTATGCAATACATCGACAGTCGTCAGTGTATAGAATTATATGAACTGTCCTTAACAGCCCCTGCTCGATAGCCACCACGATCTCTTCTCTAAACATTCTACCAGCCCGAGTAGAAATTTGATGCCACTCATCCTGCGAAAATATATCATCAAGTAACTGCTCATGAGGGGGTAAATGTAGGTAGCGTTTCAGAAAAGAATTGAATAGATGGGTGGGTGCGCATTCGATAATATTTTTCATTGAACCCCAGGTTGCTACTCGACATTGTGCATCGTTTGGTTTGTTCTTTCGCGAGTCGATATCAGTCGGGAGGTTATAAGTTCGTGTATTGGTGTTTGAAGCTTCTTTTAGATAGATGTGCTCCTGAATCAGGTCCTGCAATTTCTTTTCAAGATGCGTTTTAACAACAGGTGGTATTGAGAACTCCAATTGTTCCAGACAAGATCGTAAGTAAGCTTGAAGCTGCTGTTCTGTGTTTCTCGTCCATAAACAGTCCAATCGTACACCCTCTCCCCATTTATCATTAATCGTAGTTATTATGGCACTTCGTAGCTGGTTCAAAGCTATTGCGTTGACAGAATAGCAAACAGTCCTCCACAACGACTGCCACAGTGTGGCTTTAAAATCCTCAGCCAACGTATCAGGGATACCCAACTCCGCCAAAACAACATGATGCAAAGCATTCGGTGTATCCATCTCTGGGCTTACATCATACATAGCATCGATGTCGATAAAACCTTTTGGCTTTGGGAATGATGGATGAATAGGTGTAACTAGTTGTAGGTTGACGGGGCATCCATGCTTGGTCTCAAAAAGATCGATTATCCTCTTCGCAAAGGCTGCCTCCTGATCTCCGATTGATGAGATTGTTATATAACAGAGGAAACCTGGAAGAGCAGAAAGAACTTCTTGAAAGACGGCCCATAGGCCATCAAAGGTTGCAGAGCGCCGAAACTTTTGGTGGTAGTAATCGCGTGACTCTCGATGTAAAAGGTCGGGTCTTTGTTGTAAAATCTGAACGATGATCGAGGCTATCGCGGAATAAGCTGTCATTGATGGACTCCATACAAGGTGCGCAAATGGAACCCTTCCTGCAAGGGAGTGGCCAAGAGCAACCCACTTGCAATATACTTGAGGTTCTATTAAATCGGTTTGCATATATGTTAAAGTTGAATTTGGCCGGTGTGACCAGGAAACGTGCTTTCGCTCTTCTTTGAACCAATAATCCCAATCCGAAGTCGATGTTGTCCTATATAAGTTTACTAAGTCCTCGTGGTATGTTGTGTCTATCTCATGTCCATGAAACAATTCTTTCCGGAGATCCGTTAATAAGATCCTAGCTTCATTGTTCTTAAAATCTGTATTTGAGTGAGTGAGATGCGTATTGATATATTGAGACGTAGAAAAGGCAGAAAATACCGATGATAATCCGAACCTGGTCTGAGATAGGTTAGCACGAATTTTGATGGGTAACTTTAAACATGAAAACAGAGAACCTACGGTTCAAAGCAAGAGATCTCTCTGCCAGCGCTGTGCGTGGTGTCAACGCTCTGTGACCTTGGAAAGTTTTGATACAGATAGTTTAATGTACCTGTATTCTCTAGCTGCAGCTGCATCAGTCCCATTGCAATTGCGTCGGTTTCCACAAGTCGTTGAAGTCGCTTGATCTCTTCCACAGCATCCTTGAATTTGATTTCGAAGGGTGACCAAAATGCCGAAAAGTATCTCCCTAGAGAAAATAAATGAGATTGCAAGCTCAACTTTAGAAGCTGTATGACATACTCAAGCGGCTTTTCTTGAAGAAGATTATGGCGTCTTTGAAGAACCCAACAATAGCAGCGTAGAGCTTTGAACATATTGATTTCATCCGTTTAGAGGGGTATATCTGTAAGTACAAGTCGAAACGGCCAAGGTTGTCTCCGATTTCTATCAACATGGTTGAGAGTCCGCTGAGAATCTCGAAATAGTTTAGGGAAACCTTCATATCTATTAGTCAAACTGCACATATGGAAGCATGATAAGTTCTCTGTGAAAAAAGCACTACCTGAAGGATAAATTTCATGCTACCCCATACTAAACTTGTATACTCCGGATGGTGCTGGGTTGCTGCATCTATAGCTCCGGAGTAACAGTTCAACACTTTTGCCATTTTTTCGACTTTGTCTCGTTTTTTACTCGATTTGTAGTAGAGCCCGCGGGCATCATTCACTACACCAAGTACATCCCTGAGGCCACAGGAAGGCCCGATGCGCTTTTTTTCATCGTCGGATAAGCGTGCCTCTAATGCCTCCATAGCGTCTCTGTAGGCGGCTCCCACAGTCCTTTGAGATGTTAGTATGATCCTGATCTTGAGAGGTTATGGTATGACCACGTACTCGGTCGGTTCATCGGTGTCTTCTTCCATAAACTGACGGACAGCTGGATGCTGGAACCTAGTTGTGCGTGAGGCAAGTCGTGACAGGAATCCAATGTCCTCAAGCCCCCCAATAGCTGCTAGCTGAACTTTAGACAGCTGTGTGGTGTATGTATCATCAGATAAACTGGGGTATTCTGTGACTACAGCATCAGTCAGCCAAGTAAATTTATAGCATGACTACAGGTATTTGATTGGAACTACTGGGAGGACTATTTACCACTAGCTGTAACAAGACCTTTAAAATCTGTTGTTCCGGACATGCTTCTGATTTGTATTTAGGAGATTGATAACCATGTATAAGCAAGTGTCGATGTATGTCTTATTGGAATGGTCAAGAGACTATGTTGTTGGCTTCGAATAGGGCCGGATATATACCCTTCTTCTGCAGTGCAGTACGGTAGCAAGATGCCAGTGCTGTTATATAAAGTAGTCGCGTCGGCTAGCTCATAGTCCGGTAGGGTACCTTATGTGTAGGTACGCAGAAGTTTGTATACACATATGTGAGTGATAAAAGTCCAAGCTTTGGGATGGGTTTGAAAAGCTATTGTACGCTTGTACGACGACATACATTATTCTAGTCGGACTCCGTGATGGTTTCACATCATATCTCACATCTCACATCGCTCAAAGGTATGACAAGCCTAAGCCCCAATTGTTATAGTGATTACTCGCCTAAAAAGATAAGAATCAGCAGGCATGTAGGCCTGATGCCGCATCCACCGAAGCTTTCATCCAGTCAGCCATGGAAGATTCCCCATGGCCTTCGTTATCCAGAGGTGGTTCCCAAATAGTCTAGTTATATAGATCATTAATTAGTTGAGATTCTTTGTCGTATTTATGATCTATCAACGAGGACAATCAATGAAACTTGATAGATCAGTACCAATAAAAAGATTTGTATTGTTATGGGTTGGCTAATAGAAGTGTGTGGAGTGCGGGATGGTAACTACCGAGCACTACAGGGCGGATGGATTTAGCCAACCTGCTCTCGCATGGCATGGCAACATCCGTGGTCCCGCAACCCCAGACGGAGCTTCCATAGTATCCATTAGTGTGGAGATCGTGAGTATGAGCCAGTAAAGCTCGATGAAGGCGCTTCTTCGATCTGGTCACTGGTGAAGAACCTGAAGCTTATTGCTGGTCGAAATGCATTTATGGTAAAATGATTTCGATATTACTTGAGATCCAGTATCCCAGTTATTGATCTAGGTAACAAGGCGCCCCTATGAATCCAAATAAAAAAGTACGCCCGAGGTTGGCTGTACTATTCAAGACAATCGGACCGATTTGAGTTAGTTTATGTTCAGAAAAGGCCTAGAGTATGTATTCCAGTCGCACACACATGCATATGTGTAGGCACTTGGAGTGTTCTAGAGTGGCCACGAGTCAGCCAAGTCAAGCTGCTTAAAACAGCTTGACAGGCCAAGATATTCAATTCCTGGATGATGGGAACCGTTGATTCAGTATCCAAGCCACAAAATCGCTTGTCTTTTATATTTACTTGAACTCGTGGTCATTGGCTTATGTGGTACCGCCAGAAGTGCATGCACCCGTGGGCCGGTGTCAAACACATCTGCACGCCTTATAATCCAAGCTCCAATTTGTATGCACAGCAGTTGTAAGTATTTCCTGAATTTTGATTAGAGGCTTTTAGTCGGTTGCAACTTTCATTCTTTTCCCATACAAAAATGTGTCAAGATGTTAACACCGACTAAAGCCTCTAATAATTCTTCTTGAAAATATAACGAATGGCGCTCAGCGCCAATCAGTGGGTTTTCCGTAGTTGGATATCTCGTGGTTGGATATCCTATGGTTGGATATCTCGATGTATCTGATATATAGGGTCGCGTCGAATTTGTCAAACGAGCTAACTACTACTTGAGCAGTTCCACGACCAACTACAGTACTACATGTACTTAGTGAAGTCTTAAATCCGAACCAGACCGAATATGCACTCAGCCTCAGCCGCTGCATCAAAGTCTGAAATGAGGGGAAGATGAGGTCCCGCTCCGGAAGTTCCCTTTTTCTATTTCTAGAACAACTCCCGAATTCCAGAACCCGAGAAAACCGCGTCACCATTGGCGCTATCTATTCCTTTGATTGGTTATTATTTCAGGGCTTTCTAAGTATCGGCAACGTTTTTCCAGTTGCCCACGGTCGAGACTAAGTGTAAAGCGAGGCGGAGAATGTTGGGTATTCGTGCTCTTATTATGATATATTGTAAATATAGGAACTTTTTGAAAAGGCAATCCAGCCCTGATCCCTCATTTCAGGTTGTTGAACCCCCACGAATATGCCCTCATGGAAGCGCAATCACCTACAAGAAACCTGTCCTGACACCATGTGGTATCGAGTGATGAGCGATGATATGACCAGCATGACACAGATGTACGTAAGTAACTTTCGCCGCGGAAGTTTCATGTATGCGTGCAGTAAAGTGTCTCTACTCCACGCCCATTGGTCACCTGATTCCTTGTAAGCTGGGCAGCTGAAATATGTAGAGTGAAGGTATTGAGGTAATGAGACCTCGTAATACTTCTACTCATGTACGTACCATGAGCCGGATTTCCGCCATCCAGATTAGAGTGCAAAAAGTCGCTACCGATAATCCAAAGGAGTACGCAATATACCTGATCAGTATTATAGGTCGTGACTGGTAGTTTTGTCGGTGAGTCAAAAAGGCTCTCAGGCTCTTCTCACTTCCTGGGTTTCAGGTTGGCAACGTACCAGCCTTCACTTTAGGGAGTAACAAGCGGAGGGTTGCCATCAAAATTACTTTCTCTCAAACTAGATATTGATTCAGAGCATAAATGCAATAGAGAAGGATGGTTGCGGTTTACCTTGGGATAGCATTATCTTTGAATTTGCATCTATGGAGGCGAGGCAATATGAACAACCTTATCAGTAGGCTTTCATTATTCTCCTACAATTAAGATGTCGAGAACTCTGCCACCTTTCGTTATAAATGCTTGTGGTTTGGATTTAACAACCACTACAGGTCGGTTTATATACCCCAGAAGGCTGGGAGTCTGATTTATAAGTCATGTTAGCAAGGGATCATCGTCAATGTAAATTAATATCAATCAATCAAACATCTTCAATGTAACGTATCTTGAGATGTGTTCGTATCTACATACATGTAATTCTCTTGTCGCACGATTTCTGACTCTATGTGTATAGGTCGCTTTATGCACATGGCCTAGGACTAGTGCTCAATAATCTCAACTGATGACACGATCCGAATTCCCTTATGCATATTGCAACATGGTTCTGAGACTTCCAGTTAGCCATGCTTCGTCGTTTGTCTTCGCGCCCCGACCGGCCAGCAGCTAGGGGAGAGGAATACCAGATCAAATTACGCCCACACTTTCCTCTGGCAGCAAATGAATTTTCGATAGAATCGCCACCATTTCAGGTAGATGAACGTTCGAAGATATGGATGCAAGTGCAGGTGCACTATAGCTAGTGAGACACCATCGCTTGCGAAAAGCTTAATTGCACCTCACCGCCAAGAAAAATGATGTGATGGCAGGTGCGGCGGTGGTGTGTACATACGGGGGCTCGGGCAGGACCGACTTCGAATTCAGAGCCAATGGATATCCCATGTATGATCAGCAGTTCGCGCGAGGGCCAAAGTCTGGCGCATTGATGAAATTTACCGCCCTGACCTTATGTTCGGAACATCGCTCTTGGCATTGAAATTTCCATCATCGCTTATCACTCGGTACGCATCTCACTTGCGCAATTGCGCACGACGCACCACTAGGAAAAGGCGATAAACATTGGCATGGTGTAATCATTTAATTTACATGTATCTCTCCCTATTACCACATAAATGTACATGTATGTATGTAACCTCTGCGTTTCTTTACTATCTAGCTGACAGCCGGCCGATTGAATGCTTTGATTAAATTATTGTATATTTACACGTCTAGGTCAACCAATCATTCTCCAAACCACTTACCCGCCATATTCAAAATGTGGAAGAGTATAAATACCTGTAACCGCCCTCCGAACTTTACACTATTAGGATTTGATTGATTAATTAATTCATCACCCTGTTTGAGTGAAATGGTGTTTCGTTCAGCTAGGATTAGTTTGGTACACGACGAGTGTCCTTTTGCCCCTATATCGAGTACTTTCCAAAGAAAGATCTCGGCCATAATCCACACTTTAGTATTGGGATTTTTACTTTAACGAAGTACTGCTTTTTGTTTTCCCAGAATCGCTTTTTATCGTCCTCGAGCTGACAGCAGTGTTAATGATGGGCACGAGACAAGACGAGACCATTTTTCACCAAGTCTCGTCTTGTCTTGTCTCGCCCCACCATAGTCATGGAAGTCTCGAGACCTGAGGTAAGTCTCGGGACGAATCTCGAGACTGTTATAAGCTAAACTCAATCCGCATTTGAGGTAAGAAGTTGTACCCAAATCCGTTAACGCTCAGTTTTGAACAGGGACCAGAAATTCTTGGCAATAAATTGTGGATAGAATTCGGGTCCAAAATGCACACCCGATTTTCAGAAGCCTGTATATGGGGAAATCTGAGTATGAGGAAGCCTAAATATTAGGAAGAGCCCTTGATTTGGATCATTTAACATCACTCGGAAGTCTCGAGACTTATCTCGAGATTTAGAGAAAAACTCTCGAGACATCTCGTCTTGTCCCAGGGTCGTCTCGCCAGGTCTCGAGACAAAGTCTCGGGACTGCGAGTCCCTATTGTGCAATGGTTTTGGTGTAAACGGGATAAGTTATCACCCGTGGGGAGGATAAACAGGGTCCTGGATTTCCGCTTTGGGACGTAAAAGATAAGTAACGTTTTCGACCCAGTACTGTGTCAGACCTAGAAGTGTGTCGCATGGCAACGGCACTGAAACTAGACATAAAGCCTTCGAAAAACGAAGACTCTACAATCACCATAATAGAGGATAGTTAATCCGGAAACTATTCAAATGTATGTATTTTTAAATGAAATTCATTTCTTAAAAATTTGGTAGTAAGTGTCTCGAGTGGTGGTGGAGGTGGCCTTCACCGTGGAAATCCCCATACAAATTTGTGTGGGATTGACACTCTTCTAGGTCTGACACGGTACCCGGTCTAAAACGTTAACGCCCATATCAGGAAATCGTATGCCATTTGAGGACATTTTAGGCTCAAAGTGGTCTAGCTCAATGCTGTTTATGTTCAAGATTATACATCATTTATATATCCTTTCTAGTAGGATAAAGTGAGATTGTGATCTTGAATTTCATCGTAAGGTT